ATACTGCATGAAATTTCTCATTTCTTTGGACTTGCCTTCTGCTATCCGGAGAGCAGAATAAACTCTTTCTCTGAACCACCCTCGGTGTCATGTGACTTCCTTCCTCCCATCCGGGAGCAACGCTCACCCTACCAATTGGTAAAGTCCAATAAGGCTACAATACTGTCCTCCTGCTCCTGGGATGATTCAGGAGGAAGGGGTGGCTCCCACCATTCTTCCTCAGTGCAGCCCTCCTCAGCATGGTCCCTGACACCCAGCACTCAAGGCATGCCTCTGAAAACCAGTTACTGAGAATTACAAGTCGGGAGAGTGCTGTTACACTAAGGACCTGCTTTCTGTCTTCCTCCAGGGATGTAGTTGGCTGGTGTTAAAACAAGATGCTGGACCGGATGGGCCACTGGTCTGATCCTGTAGGTTCTTCTTATGTTCTTATCCAATGCATTCTGTGCAGCATCCAGGTGATCTTTCAATCTGTTTGTATTTCTCCCATTAATGAGTCCATTGTACCACCAAATAGCTAGAGGAAACTGCTGCCCACATCTCCTGTGTCCTTCAGAGCCACCCCAAAATATTGCTAGAGACGTATAGGTAAAAATGAAGAGATGCTTCACAACACTCCTCCGTCATATATGGTGCTGTTCAAATAAAAATATGTACATAAATCATGGCTCAGAGTCCCTAAATTACATGAGCCCAGTCAGCAACTGGACTTGGCAACCCTAGAGTATTAGCTAAGCCATAGCTTTTTATTAGTGGCGCCCACCCTGTGGAACGCCCTCTCACCAGATGTCAAAGAGAACAACAACTACCAAACTTTTAGAAGACATTTGAAGGCAGCCATGTTTAGGGAAGCTTTTAATGTTTGATGTATTACTGTATTTTAATATTTGGTTGGAATAAATAATGATGATAATCATCATCATCATCATCATTATTATTATTAGAATCAGTGCTATTTTTCTAGAAAAAGAAGTGCCGGAACTAACTGTGAATGTCTCTCTTGTTCTCATAATGACAATGGCACCCACCTGAGAGGCGCCAGAACTCAGTTCTGGTGAGTACCTGCTGGGGGGGACCTCAATTAGGATGTTTCTGCAAGTCTGCATTGCAGTAAGTTGGACTAAATGATCCTTAGGGTCCCTTCCAACTCTACAATTCTATTATTCCTTTCGGAAATGGGGTGATTAAGGAAACAAGTCCTGAGTGACTGAAGTAAGGCTGCCATACTGGGATTTCAAAGGCGGGATTGACGTCTGGGGGAATTTCTGAAAGGTGGTGCTTTGTTGTGGATCTTAGAGAAGTCAATATTTAATTGTGAACGACTTGACGACAATATAATCACAATGGATTATTATTTATCCAGGGAGCTCCAGTCACAGTAATTTGGAGAAAGGATGCTAACTTAAAAGTATCTGTTTTTCACATAGTTCTGCAACTTTTGTCTAAGAAAGCATGGCTTTTCAAAGAGTGGTGGACAATTGCCATCCTTCCCAATCGCTTTCTGTTTCCTGACTAGCAATGCAAAACTCAAAGTGGATCTTTTAAAGGCCTAACAGCCAATTTCCACGCTTTACCTTGCTGCACGTTTTGTGATCTTAAATCTCTGCTGGGGCTCTCTCACCAAATGCTACTTGCCCCAAATCTGAATTTAGGCACCTGTGGAATTCTCCTTTTATTCTTTAATTAAATTACTGAAAGCCAACAGTCTCTGCTCCATTCATCCTCATTCAGGACAGTCAGTTCTGAAGTCATCGCCTCAGGTGAGTTTGCAAATTGATCAAAAAGAGCTAGTGAGGAATATCCTTCCTGGAATCTTTGTCCCATGGGACATCATGAGGATCTAGTGAAGCAACAACCCTGGATCTGAGCTAGTGAGTAAGTAGCCTGCTGAAATGCAGTCTGAGAAGGACAGAAACAACAGTAAGAATGGTGGCGGGAGCTGAGCTGGGCATAGGTGCAAAGCTGGGTCTTGCCACAGGAGGGGAGAGGAGAAAGCTGATATCAGAAAGAAGAGTCTCTTTAAGCTGGCACCGTGCATCTAGAAGAAAGCTTAATTGCAGTGAAACAGGAGTAGGCTGAGAGACACCCTGGGATGAAGACACAGGAGTAGGCTAAGATGCAGTCTGAGATGCAGGAAGAGCCCCAGACGTAAACTTCCTTGAAGTCTCAGGTGAGCCCTCAAACCCAGCAAAAGCCAGCTCTGCTGCTCTGGATGAGGTCACTGGGCTATCACAAGCACTTAGCAATGTTAAAATTAAAAGCTGTTTGTAACTCTTTGTTCTGGGCCTCAGAGCCCAATCAGCTTCTGAACTTGCCTGCCCTGGTGCACCATGCTCCTCTTTTGGTTCACGTGGCCCACTCAACCAGGAAATGGCTCAGTCAACCAGGAAATGTGGAGCTGGGCAGAGAACTCATTGAAAGGAACAGGCATGCCTCCACCAAAGATAGCATCAGAGAACCACTGAGGTCTGGGACATTCTGTATAGCATCCAGCTAAACTCACGTCCCATTAGGATTTGTTAAACAATCAGGAAATGATGCACTTAACGGCTCAAGGAACCACCACCCACATCTCTGCTGCTCTTCAGAGCCACCCCAGAGCCCTCTTGTACCTTGAAGCCCATTAGAATGGGGTGAGCAGCCAAGAAGGCCCCTCTCGGCCTTATATAATGACTGTCTTGAGCCTCAGACGGAGAGACGTGTTGCTCAACAGAGAAAGAGCTGCCCCTTCTACTTACTGCCAGGAAACCTAGTCTGCTGTCTCCAAGCTTTCTTTCTTTTTTTTAAATAATATTTATTGCTTTTCCAACAATTTAAACACTAAAAAGACAATACAATACAATACATTAAACTAACAAAACAAAACAAAACAAAAACAATAAAGTAAATCAAACAGTTTCATTATCCCATCTTTCATTCACTTATTTCCACGACCTCCTCACACCTCCCTTTTTGTATTCCACTTCTGTTAATTATTTCAGCAATTCCTTTCCATCTTCCTCTGTTTTCTATCCTATAATTATCTTAACTCATTCTAACCTTATTTTTTCCATTAATACTCTATTAATCTATTTATACTTAATTCCTTATAACGTTTCTACTAAAGCCATATAACTTCATTCCAACATTTTCCTAACATTCATTAATTTTACAGTATTTCTGTAAATAGTCTTTAAACTTTTCCCAGTCTTCTTCCACCGACTCTTCTCCCTGGTCTCGGATTCTGCCAGTCATTTCCGCCAGTTCCATATAGTCCATCAACTCCATCTGCCATTCTTCCCGGGTGGGTAAATCTTGTGTCTTCCAATATTTCACAATGAGTATCCTTGCTGCTGTTGTTGCATACATAAAGAAAGTTCTATCCTTCTTTGGCACCAATTGGCCGACCATGCCCAGGAGAAAAGCCTCTGGTTTCTTCAGAAAGGTATATTTAAATACCTTTTTCATTTCGTTATAAATCATCTCCCAGAATGTCTTAATCCTTGGGCATGTCCACCAAAGGTGAAAGAATGTACCTTCAGTCTCATTACATTTCCAACATTTATTGTCGGGCAAATGGTAAATTTTTGCAAGCTTGACTGGTGTCATGTACCACCTATAAATCATTTTCATTAAGTTTTCTCTTAGGGCATTACATGCCGTAAATTTCATACCTGTGGTCCATAACTGTTCCCAGTCGGCCATCATTATATTATGTCCAACATCTTGTGCCCATTTAATCATAGCTGATTTCACCGTTTCATCCTGAGTGTTCCATTTCAAGAGCAAGTTATACATTCTTGACAAATTCTTAATTTTTGAATCTAACAATTCTGTTTCCAATTTTGATTTTTCCACCTGGAAACCAACTTTTTTGTCCAAATTGTATGCCTCCATTATTTGATAATAATGGAGCCAATCTCGCACTTTATTTTTCAATTTTTCAAAGCTCTGCAATTTTATTCTGTCTCCATCTTGATCCAGAATTTCCCAATATTTCGGCCATTTGGCCTCCATATTGAGTTTTTTCTGTGCCTTCACTTCCATTGGTGACAACCATCTTGGGGTTTTCTTTTCTAGCAAATCTTTATATCTTATCCAAACATTAAACTATGCTTTTCTAACAATATGATTTTTAAACGCTTTATGTACTTTTACCTTATCGTACCACAAATATGCATGCCAACCAAATGCATTATTGAAACCTTCTAGATCCAACACGTCAGTGTTTTCAAGAAGCAGCCATTCTCTCAGTGCTGTCTCCAAGCTTTCAGCCTTAAAAACAGCCTCAACGTACCAAAAGTCTTTCCCATGGGGCAGGGCTTTTTCCTTGCTAACAGGACGCCACGCTTAGCTCACGCCTGGCCACTTGGAGTCTGTGTTTTGCTCTGCCTCAGTTGTGGAGGTAAGTCCCACCTGCAGAACATAAAATAAGGCAGACCACCAGTAAACATGTGCTGTATGTCCCTGGAGAAGAAAATTTCTTCCTGCCAGCAGCACTCTGACAGAAGCATCTTCTGTCCTTGTAATCCCTGCACAGTCCCAACTTTGGGTAGTTTTCTGCCGGAATGACGTTATGTTGGGGGGTGGGTATTATTTGCTTGCTTAATAAATAGTCTCCTACAATTTCATTTTGTAAACAAAAACAAAAACCAATTTCCAAGCAGTTTACTGTATTCATAGCACAACCTCCACCTCCCCATAAAAACACAGTTCACCGGCTAAGTATTCTGCAGAAAGAGTTCGATAATTGTCTGCGTGGCTTAATGCATCAGCTGCAGGCAGCACTCCTATGAACACGCCTTTAGAGTTTAATGTGTGCAATCCAGTGGAAGCTGCAGCCTCTGCTCCTTCTAAGAAAGATGCCCTGTCTCCTTCTTAGGACTCTCTACTGTTAACGCTTGCTGAAGTTGCCATTCCAGCTGCTGCTGCTGCTGCTGCCTGCTACTCACAGGAAGCTCAATGAAGGACCCTTTCTCCAAGATACCTTCAATGCTGGAGCTGTCCTGACAATTAGATACCTGTTATGGGGATGTGATTGTAGGCAGCCTGAGACGCAGCCCAAACTCATTGAAAGGAACAAGCATGCCTCCATCCATCAGATGGCCCCAGAGGTCTGGGACATTCTGTAGAGCATCCATCAGAACCCATGAGGATTTGTCTGGACAATCAGTACATGATGCACTTAACAGCTGAAGGAACCACAACCTCTGCTGCTCTCCAGAGCAACCCCAACTTATTGCCAGAGACTTCATGTACCTTTCAAGGCCATTAAAATAGGGTGAGGAGCCAAGAAGGCCCCTCTCGGCCTTATATAATGACTGTTTTTAGCTTGGCTCCTCAGACAGAGAGTTCAATAAAGGCGGAGCTCTTCCTCCTTCTTATTACCAGGAAGCCTAGCCTGCTGTCTCCAAGCAATCACTCTTCAAAACAGTCTTTCTAATCAGACAGAGCTTTTTCCTTGCTAACATGAAGCCACGCTTGGCTCACGTCTGGCTGCTTGAAGTCTGTGTTTTGCTCTGCCTCAGCTGTGGAGGTAAGTCCCACCTCCCAATGGAAAAACATCGTAGGCCACCAGTTCAAATGTGCTGTATGTCCAGCACCTATCTTCCTAAGAACTGGTGAACCCGTAAGCTTTTTTCTTTTTAGCTCTGGCACCTACTTGGGGATAATGATTGAAAGTCTAACTTTGGAAATAACGCAGACCTGGAGAAAGGTTTAGATGCTATTAAGTAACAGATCAATACAGGCATCATCACCCTCCGTGCTTGGGTCAATGTCAGGGTATTGGCAGAGATGATTTCCACAGATCCCACTATGTCTCCTGTCCTTGTTATCTCTGCACAGTCCCAACTTCGGATAGTTTTTCAGTGGAATGATGCTCTGTTGCCATTCTAATGAAGTTGCTCTAGGGTTGCCATATGTCGGTGTCCGGGTGGAAATCGCTAAAAAATAGCAACCCATGTTCGCAGTATCGTTTTTGGCGATTTCCCTTTAAAATAGCTCAAAAACTTCATTCTTAACTTTTTTTAGGTTTTTATTTCCAATTTTGCCCAAAAAGGTCAACAGCTTTGGCCAAAAGAAAATAATAATAATAAAAGATCAACATCTTTTGTGTTCGGATTTTCACTTTTTGAAATATGGCAACTCTAAGCTGCTGCTTGGCACCTGCCACTCTCAGGAGGCTCACTAGAGGACCCTTTCTACAAAGTCTCTACAATGCTGGAGCTGGCTGCACACTAAGTTGCCTGTTATGGGGATGTGGCAGAGGGGAGGGTCCTCCTGGTTGTAGGCAGCCTGAGACGCAGCCAATTGCGTTCTGCGGAACTCCGTGGGGCTCAATTTACACCTTCTGTAAGAACCCCCAATGTCCTTTTTAGACTCAGGGCATCTCAGCATTTTTCGTTTTTGAAGGAAACAACGAGTTTGGTGACTTAGGCTTTCTTTCTTTTGGTGACTTTCTTTCTTTCTTCTTTTAACAGCAAATGCCTTAAAATGTAGTGTGTGCACTTCAGGAGGTCCAGAAGAGCCGTGTATGCCACATCCCCCCAAAATACAGACATGCTCTGATGATCCACGTACAGGATACCCTGCAGCCTGCGTCTTGTACACAATCTCAGCAAGTGAGCGATCCTTCTCGTCTCTCTCTCCCCCTTATTTTCAGTGCATTTCCATGGGTGGGTGGTGGGCATGGCTAGCACAACTGGGTGCAGAGGGGGCCGGGGATCTTGCAACTTCAATAGTACAAGAACGAGAGAAGCACCTCGTTCCAATGGAAGCTCTAAGCTACGCTAATGCACTCTCTATACGAAACCTGATTGCAAGCACTCAGGAACATGACGGAACGTATCCCCCTGAAAATTCTTTGAAGCAACAATACCTGCAGGCAGTGAGAGAAACATGAATTTTCTAAGTTTACTTTTAATTCTTGAGGTATCTCAAGTCAGGGGCCAGGTTTGGCGCTCTGGCCAGTGGCATCCCAACTGCAATGCTTCACCTAATACAAGGGAAGAGTTGCCATTCATTCTTGAGGATAAGCAGGGGGGTTGGGTGCTATACCTGGCAACAGTGGTGGCAAAAACCTGCCTTTCAGCACAGACCTCCATCTCCCCAGCTGTCTCTGATGCAAAGAGTGCATCCTTCCATTTCCATCAGGCATCTTTCACTACTTGTTAACAGTAACCCAGATACTTTTCTTTCTCTTCCCAGCATTTTCTGGTACTAAAAATGTGATGCGCTACTACAAAAAATGTGGCTTCTATACCAAAGTGTGTGGAACTCGAAAAGTCGATAAGGATTTACCGCAAGAGTATGAGCTCAAGTGCTGTAACGACAGAGACCACTGCCTTTGAGTGCCGTCTAAGGGGGATGCTGTATTAAAAGAACTCCTATGTGAACAAATGGCTGTGCAATTTGAGTTACGCTGCTGTGTGGGGATGGCTATGTGAGTGGGCTCTGTGTGTGCCCAGTGGCTACTCACAACCATGTTAGTAGCACATATGGGCCTGGCTGAAGCTTCCTGGTGGTGAACAAGTAATCGTTACATGTAAGAGGGTTGCTGAAGTCTGGGACACTCTGTACTGCATCAGGCTGGTTCCTCAGCTTCAGCCCATTTGGATTTGTCCAAACAAGCAGTATATTATGCACCTAAAAAGCTCCTTGTGCCTTTCGAGCCTAGCAGGGGCAGGTACCCTGAGGAACAAAGAAGGTGCCTCTGAGCCTTATATAATGAAAGTCTTGTTAACTGAAAGGAATACACTTCCTTCCCATGTAAGATAGAATCATTTGGAAGCTGAGCTCTAGGACATTCTGTACAGGATTTCAGAATCTCGGGTTGGGTCAGTCCCAGCCTCTGCCAACCTAGCAGTTTGAAAGCGCACCAATGTAAGTAGATAAATAGGTACCGCTGTGGCAGGAAGGTACAGTGGTACCTCGGGTTAAGAACTTATTTCTTTCTGGAGGTCCGTTCTTAACCTGAAACTGTTCTTAACCTGAGGTACAACTGTAGCTAATGGAGCCTCCCACTGCCATTGAGCCGCCACTGCACAATATTTGTTCTCAGCCTGAAGCAAAGTTCTTAACCCGACGTACTATTTCTGGGTTAGCGGAGTCTGTAACCTGAAGCATCTGTAACCTGAAGCGTCTGTAACCTGAAGCGTCTGTAACCTGAGGTATCACTGTACATGGCGTTTCCGTGTGCTCTGGCTTTTGTCGTGTTGTTCTGTTGCTACAGAAGCGGTTTAGTCATGCTGGCCACATGACCTGGAAAGCTGTCTGTGGACAAACGCCGGCTCCCTTGGCCTGAAAGTGAGATGAGTGCCTCAACCCCATAGTTGTCTTTGACTGGACTTATCCGTCCACGGGTCCTTTACCTTTTACCTTTTTACTGGGGTATCACAAGCACTTAGCACTGATAAAATTAAAAGCTGTATGTTCTGGGCCTCAGAGCCAAATCAGCTACTGAACTTGCACACCATGCTCCTGTTTGGGTTTGCGTGGCTCAGTCAACCAGGAAATGTGGAGCTGGGCAGAGAACCCATTGAAAGGAACAGGCATGCCTCCACAAAAGATAGCATCAGAGGACCACTGAGGTATGGAACATTCTGTAGAGCATCCAGCTGAACCCACATCCCATTAGGATCTGTTAAACAATCAGGACATAATGCACTTAATGGTTCAAGGAACCACCACCCACATCTCTGCTGCTCTTCAGAGCCACCCCAGAGTCCTCTTGTACATTTAAGCCCACTAGAATGGGGCGAGCAGCCAAGAAGGCCCCACTCGGCCTTATATAATGACAGTATTGAGCCTCAGACGGAGAGACGTGTTGCTCAACAGAGAAAGAGCTGCCTCTTCTACGTACTGCCAGAAACCTTATCTGCTGTCTCCAAGCAATCACTCTTCAAAACAGTCTTTCTAATAGGACAGAGCTTTTTCCTTGCTAACATGAAGCCATGCTTGGCTCAGGTCTGGCTGCTTGGAGTCTGTGTTTTGCTCTGCCTCAGCTGTGGAGGTAAGTCCCACCTGCAAATGCAAAAACATGATAGGCCACCAGTTCAAATGTGCCGTATGCCCACCACTTATCTTCCTAAGAACTGGTGAACCCGTAAGCTATTTTCTTTCTCTTTTTAGCTCTGGCACCTATTTGGGGATAATGATTGAAAGGCTAAGTTTGGAAATAACGTAGACCTGGAGAAAGATTTTGGTGATATACAGGCATCAGCACCCACTGTGTTTGGGTCAGGATATTGGCAGAGATTTCCGCAGATCCCACTATGTCTCCTATCCTTGTAATCCCTGCACGGTCCCAACTTCAGAATGTTTTTTCTGGGGAATGATGTTCTATTGCATGGGTGGGGGGGCATATTTCAACTTTATTTATTTACTTATTAAAACATTTGATTTTAAAAATTCAAAGTAATTTGCAACAGTCATAAGTGCAGCCTTTCTCCTCCCCAAGCAGTTCAACAACTAGTTTTGAAAAAATGTTTGTCTCCATAAAATTGACAGCTTACAGTGGCAGCTGCAGACAGTGCTCCTCCTACCATAGCTGCAGTGACACACACACACACACACACACACACACACACACACACCCCGTTGGTGAAAACTCTCTGGTGTTAACATCTGTTGATGTTGCTCATCTGGCTGTTGTAGGGTTGCCATACGTCGGAAGCAGTGTCCCAGCAGAAATCACTAAAAATGTCAGTGGAAATCCAGACATATGGCAACCCATGTCAGCATTATCGTTTTGGGCAATTTCCCTTAAAAATAGTTCAAAAACTTCTTTATTCTTTTCTCTCTTTTTTGCAATTATGTCCCAAAAGATAAACAATGCTGGCTAATAAAAATAAGAATAATAGCTCTACAACTTTGGTGTCTAGATTTTTACTTTTTGAAATATGGCAACTCTAAGCTGCTGCTTGGCACTTGCCACTCTCAGGAGGCTCACTAGAGGACCCTTTCTGCAAAGTCTCTACAATGCTGGATCTGGCTGACCCTCAGATGCCTGTTATGGGGATGTGGCAGAGTGGAGGGTCCTCCTGGTTCTAGGCACAGCCAATAACGTTCTGCGAAACTCCATGGGGATCAATTTACACCTTCTGTAAGAACCACCAATGTCCTTTTTAGACTCAGGGCATCTCAGCATTTTTCTTCTTTGAAGGAAACAACGGGTTTGGTGACTTAGAAGCTCAGGAAGGGACAAGACATGTAAACAAAGAAGCATGCCTTACAGCAGGTGCCTCCCTCCCTCCCTTCCTTCCTTTCTTCTTTTAACAGCAAATGCCTTAATCTGTAGCCTGTGCAGTTCAGAGGGTCCAGGACAGCCGTGTATACAAGCTGCCCCATATGAAGAGAAATGCCCTGATGATCCACGTACAGGACACCCTGCAGCCTGCGTCTTGTACAGAATCACTTCAAGTGAGTGGTCCTTCTTGTCTTTCTCTCCCCCTTATTTTCAGTGCATTTCCATGAGTGGCTGATGGGGCATGGCTAGTATGACTGTGTGCAGAGGAGGCCGGGGATCTTGCAACTTCAGTAGTACAAGTAGTACAATGGAAGCTTAGAGCTTCCATTGGGATGAGGTCCTTCCCTGGTTGTTCAAGCACCTCGTTCCAATGGAGCTCTAAGCTATCCTAATGCAGCCTCCATACGAAACCTGATTGCAAGCCTTCAGTCACATGACGGTACATATCCCCCTGGAAATTCTTTGAAGCAACAATACCTGCAGGCAGTGAGAGAAGCATGAATTTTCTAAGTTCACTTATAATTCTCCAGTCAAACTCTAGCATGCCAAGGTATAGATGGGATCCTTGATAAGTCCATGTGATGCAGCCCACCTGGCTGAGGTATCTCAAGTAAGGGGCCAGGTTGGGCCCTCTGGCCAATGGCATCCTAATTGCAGTGCTTCACCTAATGCCAGGGAAGAGTTTCCATTCATTCTTGAGGATAAGCAGGGGTGCTGGGTGCTATACCTGGCAACAGTGGTAGCAAAAACCTGCCCTTCAGCACAGACCCCCGTTTCCCCAGCTGTCACTGATGGGGACCTAGCAAGGGGTGGATCCTGACATTATCACCAAGCATCTTTCACCAGTTACTAACAGTAAACCAGATACTTTTCTTTCTCTTCCCATCAGAAACTGGACGTGTGTTGCGCTACTACAAAAAATGCGGCTACTATACCAGCGACTGCAAAACTCGAAAAGTCTACGATGACGTACCAGAAGTGCACGAGCTCCACTGCTGTAACGACAGAGACCACTGCCTTTGAATGCAGTCTAAGGAGGATGGTGTATTAAAAGAACTCCTATGTGAACAAATGGCTGTGCAATTTGTGTTAGGTTGTGTTGCTGTTTGGGGATGTCTATGTGAGTGGGCTCTGTGTGTGCCCAGTGGCGTGCATGGGTGCAGGGTCTCAGCAGGTGAGTGGGTGGGCTTCTCAGGTGAGCTGGGTTGTCAACAAGGTTTCCCCTGGCTGTATGCCATGGCTGCATTGAGCCTGGTTCTTCAAACCAAGTGACATCTTCCTTACTCGAGGTTCAGCTACTATGACTACTTATTGCCTGGTATTTTCTGCCTAGCAACAAGTGGGTGGGACCACCTCACCACAACAATCCTTTTGTAGAGAGCTGATTAGCCAGAGAACGAGAGATTGACAGAAAAATATTCAGGATTCTCTCTCCATTGAAATTCAGTACTGGAGGTTGGGGAAAATAGAAAGAGTGTAGTTTGGGAATCTAGTGGAAACTTAAGAATAAGTAGTAGTAGACCAGCCTCCACTGAACTTAGGTTTTTCATCTGGAGAGAGGACTGCTTTCCGTTCATCTCTTTCTGGTGAATGAGTGATTGGAAAAATCCAAAATTTTCTGCTGTGACAGAGGCCAAGCAGGAGGCTTCGAAACTCATTTCTTCAATTCATTGTAAAGTGGTTTTTTACTGAAGATTCTGGGTGAAGTCTTTTTGAGGGAAAAAGGTTCCATTTAATTAGTCCAGCTTACCACCCTTGGGAGCATCTGAGGCTGTACAGAAATGACCGTACAGAAATCCACTCAGTGTTTGCAGGGTCAGTAGCTGTGTGAGCTCCCAGCCCATTCACCTGGTAGCGCTGGTGAAATATGCCCTTTAGGTCCTTGTAATGGTTCTAGGGGTTGCTCGTGCGTAAATCGGCGCCACACCTGGCTGGGTTGCCTGAGTGAACCCTTTCTGTCCGGACAGCCACTCGCCCGTGGCTGTCTCAATCGCTGGCAGAATCCGTCAGTGGGCGTTTCTTGAACTTCTTCCAGCAAAGAAGTTCTTTGACGCCTAGTCTCCTGCCTACTCTCCCTGCGCGGAAGCCTTCTGCGCAGGGAGGGTGTGGGCAGCGGAGGACCCGTGCTCTCCCCGCTGGTCCCCGGCGAGGAGTCATGGAGCCACCTCGCCGATTCCCCCATCTGCCCCCCTTCTCCACTGGTGCTACGCTGATTTCCTTCCCCGAGAAGATGTGCTGCTTCTCTCCCTCCCGGGACGCTCTCCGGAATCCCTCTGGAGCCCTCCCTCTCCCCTGGCTCCGATGGCAGTTCCCTGACATCCACCTCCTCCCCAGGACCCCCACCACCCCCCGCGCGATTTTACGATATAACCTCGTCACTTTCCTTGGCCGACGATGCGGGGCAACCCCTGAAGGAGCTGTCACCATCCTCTGAGGATTCAAAACCAGCCTCCCACCCGCTCAGATCTCTCCCCTCAGGGTGGACCTCCCAGTCTGATTCTTCTCCCTCTGACACCTCTCCTCCCTCCTCTTCGGAGGCAGGAAAACCCACAAAGTCCCCTTCGTCGTCTGTGGTTCCAAATTCTTCCTCCCAGAATCTCGCTAGTGGTTTTGGCTTATCCGGGAACAAACTGTGGAATTCTTCCACCAGATACCCATCATTGATTGACTCAGCGGGGACCCACGTGTTTTCTGACCTGGGTTCTCCTTCCCAAGCTACCAAGTACTCCACCTGGCGACCTCGCCACCTTGAATCGAGTATTTCCGTGGCTTGGTTGCGGTGTTCCCTCTCCTCTACCTGCGGGTGGGTGGTGACTCCTCCCTCCCGCCCCGGAAATTCCCGCCCCTCCATGTACGGTGAAAGTAGGGACCTATGGAACACCGGATGTATCTTCATGCTGTCCGGCAACTTGAGTTTGAATGCCACTGGGTTCACCTGCTGTGTTACCTCAAAAGGCCCCAGCCGCCTCGGCTGCAACTTCTTGCACCCTCCCTTTAGGGGTAACCCTTGGGTTGACAACCACACCCGGTCTCCCACCCGTATGGCCTCCCCCTCCCGACGGTGCTTGTCCTCCTGCCTCTTGTAAACTTCCTTGGCCTGCTCCAAGTTCATCTTGAGTTGCTGGTGCAAGGCCTCCATTTCTTCTATAAACTGCTCGGCCACGGGTACACTCCATGCTTCCTCCCCCCTCCCCGGGAAGGCCCTGGGGTGACACCCATAATTGGCTATAAACGGGCTCATACCTGTGGACACATGTTCAGCGTTATTGTACGCAAATTCAGCCAAGGCTAGTTTCTCTACCCAATCGTTCTGTCTCTCACTGACGTAGCAGCATAGGTATTGCTGGAGTATACTGTTCGCTCTTTCTGCTTGTCCGTTGGTTTCTGGGTGTCTCGCCGCCGAGAAGCTCACCTCGACCTGTAGCAAGCTCATGAGCTTCCTCCAGAACCTGGAAGTAAATTGTTTCCCGCGATCCGAGATAACCCTCGAGGGAGCCCCATGCAGTCTGAAAATGTGATCCACAAACAACCTGGCTGTCTCCTCTGCCATTACCGCGTGTGAGCAAGCTATGAAATGGCACATTTTTGTCAGTAGATCGACTACTACCATGACTGCTGTCTTCCCCTTGACTTGGGCAAATCTGTCATAAAATCAATGGACACCACCTCCCAGGGCCTTCCCGGTGTAGGTAAGGGTTCCAGTAGCCCTGCGGGGGCAGCCCTCTCTCCCTTTGCCCTCTGGCATCGGTCGCACCCCCGTACATATTCCCGTACGTCTTCCCTCACCTTTGGCCACCAGAACTGCCTGGTGACGAGCAGCATGGTCTTGTGCTGTCCAAAGTGCCCAGCTGTTGGGTTGTCATGGAGTTGTTTAAGTACCTTCCCCCTCAAGGTCTCCCCCGGTACATACAGTGCCCCCTTATAGTACAGTAGCCCTTCCTTTTCCTCAAACCCTCCATGGTCTTCCCTTCCGTCCCGGAGTTCCCTGATTTTTGCTTGAGCGAACGCGTCGTCTCTAGTAAGCCCTGCCAGTTCTCGTTTCCCAACCAACGTTCCCCCACACACCCACCGGTCCTCGGGAAACACGTGTCAGATCTCTGGTGGTCCCTCTCCCTCCAGGTACTCCGGTTTCCGGGAGAGAGCATCTGCTCTTATGTTTTCCTCTCCCGGCATGTATCTGATCGCGAAGGAAAACTTGGCGAACTCCTGGGCTCATCGAATCTGTCTCTGGTTGAGCACCCGCGCGGTCCGCCAGTATTCCAAGTTCTTGTGGTCAGTACAAACCTGGATCTTGTGCCGCGCCCCTATCAACAGATGTCTCCATTGCCGAAACGCCGCATAGATCACAAGCAGTTCTCAGTCATACACTGTGTAGTTTTGCTCTGACTTGCTCAGCTTCCTTGAGAAAAAGGCACACCGCCTCCAGTCCTGCTTGGCCCCGGGCTGCAAAAGGACCGCTCCAACAGCTCGGTCGGACGCATCCGTCTCCAGTCTCATGGGCTTCTCCAGATCAACGTGCAGGAGCTGCTGTTCCGAAGCGAACGCCTTCTCCAGCCTTTCAAAGGATTGCTGGGCACTTTCTGTCCACGCAAACTTCTTTTTGCTACTGAGACAATCTGTTATGGGCGCTGTCAAGTGAGCGAAGTTCTTTATGAACTTCCTGTAGAAGTTGCTGAACCCTAAGAACCTCTGCACATCCTTCCGAGTTTGGGGGCTTTCCATTCCAGCACTGCCTTCACCTTGCCTGGGTCCATAGCTAGGCCCTTGTCTGACAACTTGTACCCCAGAAACTCGACCTCCCTGGCGTGAAATTGGCATTTTTCCAGCTTGACCCACAACTGATGCTTCTGCAGTCTCTGTAGCACTTCCCTGACGTCTCTGACGTGTTGCTTCTCATTGTCCGAATAGATTAAGACGTCATCCAAAAAGGCCATGCAATTCTTGTACAACAGGGGCCCCAACACGTGGTGCATGAATGCTTGAAAGCAGGCGGAGCCCGATTGTAATCCAAATGGCATAACTAAGTACTCGAAGGCCCCCAGGGGGGTGAACATGGTAGTTTTCCATTCGTCCCCCTCCCTTATCCTGATTAAATTGTATGCCCCTCTGAGGTCCAGCTTGGTAAAAATCTTCCCCTGCCTCACCCGTGTTAATATGTCGTCAATCCTTGGCATTGGGAAGGTCACGGGTTCTGACACCAGGTTCAAGCCCCTATAATCCACGATCAATCTAGGCTGATTAGTCCCTTTTTTGTCCACAAAGAACACCAGACTGCCCCCCACCGCCTTTGATTCCCTTATGAACCCCCTCTTCAGGTTCTTGTCAATAAACTGCCGCAACTCCTGCATCTCCCGGTCGGACATGGCATACAGCTTACCCACCGGCAACTGAGCCCCTGGGAGCAGGTTGATTTGGCAGTCAAAGGGCCTGTGGGGGGGTGGTCTATCTGCCTCCCTCTCGCTGAAGACTTCCTTCAGGTCAGCATATTCTGGTGGCACCTCCCCCTTTTGTTCCACGGCCAGCCCAGCCACTCTGGCCACCGTCATTCTTGGGTTCTCCCCTCCCAGACAGTGTCCTAGCAAGCTGACCCAAAGGTGACTGACCGCTGATGCCATGACACTACGGGATCATGCAGTGCCAACCAGCTCATTCCCAGTATTATTGGGGGTCCTGCCAGTGTGGCCACGTGAAAGGCAATGGTCTCCGTGTGCCTGGAAACCCTCATTCGCGAACTTTCTTTATGTATGCAACAACAACAGCAAGAATACTCATCGCAAAATATTGGAAGACACAAGAACTTCCCACGCTGGAGGAATGGCAGATGAAACTTATGGACTATATGGAACTGGCGGAAATGACTGGTAGAATCCGTGACCAGGGAGAAGAGTCGGTGGAGGAAGATTGGAAGAAATTCAAAGACTATCTTCAGAAACATTGTAAAATTAAAGAATTAGAGTAATGTTGGACTGAAAATAAGCGGTTTCCAGCTGTACAGGTTAAAGTTAATGACAGACTAAGATTAAGATTAGGATTAAAGATGTTTAAAGAAATGGAAATTTGACAATTAAGAGGGAAAATTTTAATGTTATAATATACTAAGATTAAAGATCAGGTTTAAAGAAATTGAAGATATATATTACAATATTATATTAAAGTTAAAGATTGGGATTAAAAAAGTTGAAAAGAAATTGCTGGACAAACAATTTGGATTGGAATACAAAAGAGGGAGGTATGAGGAAGTCCAGAAAATAAGTAAACTAAAAAAAAAACGGAAATGGAAAAGAGATATTGTTTTTAATTGTTATGGGTTTTTTTTTTGTTTTTTATTGTTGAATTGTGTTCTTTTTTGTGTGTTCTTGGTATCTTTTTTTTCTTCTTTTTTTGAGATATGTATTGTGTATGTTTTTCTTTTTTTTCTTTGTTGTTTAAAACTTAAATAAAAATTATTTACAAAAAAAAAAAAAAAGGAAACCCTCATTCGCATTGGTGGGGTCTGGTGTGTCACTTCCCCTCCCAGAAGTTCCCTGCCATCGATGGTTGTCACCTGCAAGGGGAAATCTAGAGGCAACAGGTGGAGTTGGTGCTCCAGAGCCGAAGTCCCTGCTGAAGAAATTACACGAGCTGCCCGAATCCAGCAGTCCCTTAACTGTGACAGGGTGCCCATTCGGGAGTTCTAGCACCACTTCTATGGCTATAGCTGCCTTGGGGGGGTCAGGCTGGGGCACTTCTATTGGTTGCTGGCCTGGCTGCTGCCCCTGCTGGTTGGCAGCCAGGCGTTGGTGTTTCCCTGCGCCTGCCCTTCCTCCCCCTTCTCGTCATGGCCTGCAGCCCCCACCATCCCTTGCCAGGCCTTTTGTTGAGGGCAGACCTTAGCAAAACGTCCTGGTCGTTGACAGAGGAAACACTTCTTGGTAGTTTTCCAGTCCTTTCCCTCCCTTTTACAACCTTCACCGGAGTTTGAAACCTCTCGCGCGCGCGCGCCATCAATTTCCATTGGCTCCGCCGCCTGGGAAGGCTCCCTCGGTATCTCTGGAATGCGGTAGTCATGGAAACGCTCCTCTCTCCTTTCCCGCTTCTCCTGCGCCTGCACTTCTTGGCGTACACCTATCGCGAGCACAGCCTTTGTGAGCTCGTCCATCGACCGTGGGCGGGGCGCTCGGGACAACTCGTCTTTCACTTCAGGGGACAGACCCGCCTCAAACAACATTTGTATTGGTTCAGAGTCCAGATCCCACCCGAGCCGGTGGACTAACATCGCAAAACGCGACCAGTAGTTTCTGACGGACTGGCTCCCCTGCTTGCACCCCATCAGTTCCCACCGTGTCACGCTTTGCTCCACCTCGCTGGAGAACATCGCGTCCATTCCTGAAAGAATTTCTTAAGGTCCTTCAAGGCATCATTTTGCGTCACCATTAGGGGCCTGATCCATTCGCGCGCCCCATCCTGCAGATGCCCCACAATGTAAGGCACCCTCTCCCCATCATCAGCAAAGTCATCTTTCTGCAGCTCCAAATAATAATAATAATAATAAATTTTATTTATATCCCGCCCTCCCCAGCCAAAGCCAGGCTCAGGGCGGCTAACAACAAACAAATAATCAAACAATCAAATAATCCAACATTCTAAAACATTTCATTATAAAAATTAATTAAAATCAAATTAATGGCAACCGTTAAGCAAAGTTCTGTGCAGGTTGCCGGAGGTGGGAGTCAGGCTGGGCCCTGACCAAAGGCCTGGTGGAACAACTCTGTCTTGCAGGCCTTGCGGAAAGATGTCAGGTCCCGCAGGGCCCTAGTCTCTTGTGACAGAGCGTTCCACCAGATTGGAGCCGCAGCCGAGAAAGCCCTGGCTCTAGTTGAGGCCAGCCTAACCTCTCTGAGGCCTGGGACCTTCAGGATGTTTTTATTTGCAGACCGTAGGTTCCTCTGTGGGGCATACCAGGAGAGGCGGTCCCGTAGGTACGAGGGTCCTAGGCCGTATAGGGCTTTAAAGGTTAAAACCAGCACCTTAAACCTGATCCTGTACTCCACCGGGAGCCAGTGCAGCTGGTATAGTACCGGATGAATGTGATCTCGCAGCGAAGACCCCATAAGGAGTCTCGCCGCGGCATTCTGCACCCGCTGGAGTTTCTGGGTCAGTCTCAAGGGCAGCCCCACGTAGAGCGAGTTACAATAATCCAGTCTGGAGGTGACCGTCGCGTGGATCACAGTGGCTAGGTCAGGGCGAGAGAGATAAGGGGCCAACTGCTTAGCTTGGCGGAGATGAAAAATGCCGCCTTTGTTATAGCTGTAATCTGCGCCTCCATAGAGAGGGAGGTATCGAAGATTACACCCAAACTCTTAACGGACGGTGCTGGCACTAATTGCACCCCCGCAAGAGATGGGAGTTGCCCCCAATCCCATATCGTCCCGTCCCAGCCAGAGGACCTCTGTCTTCGAAGGATTTAACTTCAACCGGCTTCCGCGTAACCATCCAGCCACAGCTTCCAAACATCTGGTCAGTGTGTCTGGGGCCGAGTCAGGATGGCCATCCATCAACAGATAGAGTTGGGTGTCATCGGCATACTGATGGCAACCCAGCCCAAAACTCCGGACAAGCTGGGCGAGGGGCGCATAAAGATGTTAAAAGCATCGGGGAGAGTATCGCACCCTGAGGCACTCCACACACCAAGGAGTGGCGGGATGACAATTCCCCCAAGCGCCACCCTCTGTCCCCGACCGGAGAGAAACGAGCGCAGCCATTGAAGGACTGTGCCCTGGATCCCCACGTCGGCAAGGCGGTGGTCCAGGAGTTCGTGATCAACCATGTCGAAGGCTGCTGACAGGTCTAGAAGAATCAGCAGCCCCGACCCGCCTCGATCCAGCTGCCTGCGGAGATCATCTGTTAGGGCGACCAGAGCCGTCTCGGTCCCATGACCAGCGCGGAAGCCAGACTGGAATGGATCCAGAGCCGATGTTTCATCCAGAAACCTACCAAGCTGTTCAGCAACCGCTCTCTCAATCACCTTACCCAGGAATGGAAGATTCGAAACCGGGCGGTAATTGGATAGATCTAAGGGATCTAATGATGTTTTCTTTAAGAGCGGGCGCACCACTGCCTCCTTCAATTCCCCTGGAAATATCCCGGTGCCAAGGGACAAATTGATGATATCCCCAGGGGCCCGCACCTCGTCTGGACACGCTCTAATCAGCCAAGACGGGCACGGGTCAAGAGGACAGGTGGTGGGCTTTCCAGCTCGGAGGAGTCTGTCCACATCGGCTGGGGATATCCGATCAAAGTGGTCCAATACTGGACCCGAGGACAGTCGAGGGGCCTCCAGTTCCTTTATTGTATCCAAATTGGCAGGGAGGTCATGGCGGAGCAACAGGACCTTCTCCGCAAAAAGCTCGCAAATGCCTCACAGCTGTGTGTCAGATTGTTATTTAAATTTGGCTGTCCTTCAAGGGACGTTAAAGACCTAATTATACTAAATAATTGCGCCGGGCGAGAGCTAGCGGATGCAATGGAGGCCGAGAAGTAAGACTTCTTAGCGGCCTTCACCGCCATCTCATAGGTTTTCATAAAAACCCTATAAGATGTTCTTGAGGCTCCGTCACGGGCACCCCGCCATACTCGCTCTAGCCGTCTGAGGTCCCGCTTCATTTTCCGAAGCTCCTCGGTAAACCAGGGAGCCCGGTTTCTGCGGAGTCGCAGAGGGCGCTTAGGTGCGATCTCATCTATGGCTGCCAGGAGCTGGGTATTCCAGCCCTCAACAAGCTCAGTCAATGAGTCGCCAGGGGGAGCAAGGTCCCGCAAGGCTTGACGGAATCTATCAGGGTCCATCAGCCTCTGCGGGCGAGCCCAAATCGGCTCGCCACCTAAGCAGGGTGGGGGTGGAAAGTCAATCCTGGCTTTCAGAGCGTAGTGATCAGACCATGGCACCTTAATTGAAGGAGACATGATCACATCTATACCTACGCCAAAGATCAAATCCAGCGTGTGGCCTGCTTGATGTGTGGGGCCTGAAACAAACTGGGAGAGCCCTAGTGTTGCCATGGAAGACACCAGGTCCAGAGCCTGTGAGGAGGGAGTGGCATCAGCATGGATGTTGAAGTCCCCCAATACCAATAGGTTAGGGAACTCCAAGGCCCAGCCGGCCACCGCCTCCAGTAGGCCTGACAGGGTGGCTGCTGGTGCGCTAGGTGGCCGGTACACCAGCCAGACAGCCAAGCTCACCTCAGAGCCCCACACTAGGCCAACACATTCAATGCCGGGGATCGATGGCGATGGTAGAGCCCTGAAAGGACAATCTTCCCGGATTAATAATGCCACCCCTCCCCCGGCCCACAGTCCGTGACTGGTGGAGGACGGAGAAACCCGGGGCGCCATCTCTCGTAAGGTAACTGTTGCCCCTTCGCGTACCCAGGTCTCCGTCACACAAGCCAGGTCAACCCCCTGCGAGGTAAAGAAATCTCGCAGAGTGGCGGTTTTGTTGCCTATAGACCTGGCATTGCACAACACCAGTGACGGAGGTGAGTAATCCTTGCTCACCCTACCCTCGTCCCTCGGGATGGGGCGCAGATTGGAAGGGGTACGAGCATATCCGTATCTCGATCCCCTTCGCCTATAACATCTGCCCCCACCACCATACCTCCCTCGCCCTCCACGGTAGCAATCCCAAGCCTCATACAAGCCTCCATTTACAAAATAGAAAACCAAACCAAACTGAAAACAATTCTACCTAAGCAAAACCAATCCCCACCCCAAACCACAATAAAACAGAACAAAATAAAAATACATAGATAAAAACCACTGTTCACGGTGGTACAATAAAGTAAAAAGTAAAAACACCTTTAAAATACTTTAAAATATATAAAAACATTTTTAACAATTGCTGCGGCAGCACCAGTGTCCTTAAAACTGTAGCGGAGGTGAGTCTGGGCCCCGCCCCCTAGGCCAGGTGGAATCAGCCTGAAGAGGGAGCGGCCTTCCCCAACACTCACGGTGCAGCAGCAGCGATGTCCCAATGCCTCAGTGAGGCTTCTTAAAGCTGTGGCGAAGGTGAGTCTGGGCCCCGCCCCTAGGCCTGGTGGAATCAGCCTGAAGAGGGAGCGGCCTTCCCCAACACTCACGGTGCAGCAGCAGCGATGTCCCAATGCCTCAGTGAGGCTTCTTAAAGCTGTGGCGAAGGTGAGACTCGGCCCCGCACCCAAGGCCGGGCGGAATCAGCCGGAAGAGGAGCGGCCTTCCCCAACACTCACGGTGCAGCAGCAGCGATGTCCCAATGCCTCAGTGAGGCTTCTTAAAGCTGTGGCGAAGGTGAGTCTGGGCCCCGCCCCTAGGCCTGGTGGAATCAGCCTGAAGAGGGAGCGGCCTTCCCCAACACTCACGGTGCAGCAGCAGCGATGTCCCAATGCCTCAGTGAGGCCTCTTAAAGCTGTGGCGAAGGTGAGTCTGGGCCCCGCCCCCTAGGCCTGGTGGAATCAGCCTGAAGAGGGAGCGGCCTTCCCCAACACTCACGGTGCAGCAGCAGTGATGTCCCAATGCCTCAGTGAGGCCTCTTAAAGCTGTGGCGAAGGTGAGTCTGGGCCCCGCCCCCTAGGCCTGGTGGAATCAGCCTGAAGAGGGAGCGGCCTTCCCCAACACTCACGGTGCAGCAGCAGCGTACTGAGTACTGCACTTCCGTTCGGAAGGCATTGTAGTCTTGGGGCTTTCCACCAAACTTGTGTACCAGCCCCGGTACCTTCCTTGTGATGGGGGTGGTTCTGACCCGTGCATCCTGAGCCCGTCTTTCCTCCAGCCGCACCGTTAGGATAGCTACATGCGTCTCCAAGTCTCGGTTCCTCTCAACCAGACTCCGCATCGCAGCTGGTTGCTCCGTCTCTCCAGCTGTTCCTGTTTGGCTCATCGTGATGCCTCTCCTGGGCTGCGCACAAGCAACGTCAGTGACTGACGGATTGCTGTAATGGTTCTAGGGGTTGCTCGTGTGTAAATCGGCGCCACACCTGGCTGGGTTGCCTGAGTGAACCCTTTCTGTCTGGACAGCCGCTCGCCCGTGGCTGTCTCAATCGCTGGCAGAATCCATCAGTGGGCGTTTCTTGAACTTCTTCCAGCAAAGAAGTTCTTTGACGCCTAGTCTCCTCCTACTCTCCCTGCGCGGAAGCCTTCTGCGCAGGGAGGGTGTGGGCAGCGGAGGACCCGTGCTCTCCCCGCTGGTCCCCGGCGAGGAGTCATGGAGCCACCTCGCCGATTCCCCCATCTGCCCCCCTTCTCCACTGGTGCTACGCTGATTTCCTTCCCCAGAAGATGTGCTGCTTCTCTCCCTCCCGGGACGCTCTCCGGAATCCCTCTGGAGCCCTCCCTCTCCCCCTGGCTCCGATGGCAGTTCCCTGACAGTCCTCAAGTAAAATATACCCTTCTGTATCCAAACCTTTTAAAGTAAAAACTGATCTTTAGTCCAGGTCTGATGGTCCCTAGTCAGCTGACGTTTCGTGTGATGCAACAATCACGTATGCCTGACTGCAGCTTCCTGGTGGGGAACACATACTGCAATCCTTCCCCATAAGATAGCATCAGGAGCCCAGGGAGGTCTAGGACTATGAAACAACCATGTGAGTAGCACATATGGGCCTGGCTGAAGCTTCCTGGTGGTGAACAAGTAATCCTTACATGTAAGAGGGTCGCTGAAGTCTGGGGACACTCTGTACTGCATCCGGCTGGTTCCTCAGCTTCAGCCCATTTGGATTTGTCCAAACAAGCAGTATATTATGCACCTAAAAAGCTCCTTGTACCTTTTGAGACTACCAGGGACAGGTGCCCTGAGGAACAAAGAAGGTGCCTCTGAACCTTATATAATGAAAGTCTTGTTAAGTGAAAGGAATACACTTCCTTCCCATGTAAGATAGAACCATTTGGAAGCTGAACTCTAGGACATTCAGAATCTCGAGTTGGGTCAGTCCAAGCTCCTGCCAACCTAGCAGTTTGAAAGCTCACCAATGCAAGCAGATAAATAGGTACCGCTGTGGCAGAAAGGTACAGTGGTACCTCGGGTTAAGAACTTATTTCTTTCTGGAGGTCCGTTCTTAACCTGAAACTGTTCTTAACCTGAGGTACCACCGTAGCTAATGGAGCCTCCCGCTGCCGTTGCGCTGCCGCCGCACAATTTTTGTTCTCATCCTGAAGCAAACTTCTTAACCCAAGGTACTATTTCTGGGATAGTCTGTAACCTGAAGCATCTGTAACATAGGTACCACTGTACATGGTGTTTCCGTGTGCTCTGGCTTTTGTCATGTTGTTCTGCTGCTCCAGAAGCGGTTTAATCATGCTGGCCACATGACCCAGAAAACTGTTTGTGGACAAACACCGGCTCCCTTGGCCTGAAAGTGAGATGAGTGCCTCAACCACAAAGTTGTCTTTGACTGGACTTAACCGTCCAGGGGTCTTTTACCTTTTACCTTTTTACAGGGGTATCACAAGCACTTGTCCCTCGCAAGCATTTAGGATTGTTAAAATTAAAAGCTGTATGTTCTGGGCCTCAGAGCCCAATCAGCTTCTGAACTTGCCTGCCCTGGTGCACCATGCTCCTCTTTTGGTTTGCGTGGCTCAGTCAACCAGGAAATGTGGAGCTGGGCAGAGAACTCATTCAAAGGAACAGGCATGCCTCCACAAAAGATAGCATCAGAGGACCACTGAGGTATGGAACATTCTGTAGAGCATCCAGCTGAACCCACATCCCATTAGGATCTGTTAAACAATCAGGACATAATGCACTTAACGGCTCAAGGAACCACCACCCACATCTCTGCTGCTCTTCACAGCCACCCCAGAGTCCTCTTGTACCTTTAAGCCCACTAGAATGGGTTGAGCAGCCAAGAAGGCCCCTCTCGGCCTTATATAATGACAGTATTGAGCCTCAGACAGAGAGACGTGTTGCTCAACAGAGAAAGAGCTGCACCTTCTACGTACTGCCAGGAAGTCTTAGCTGCTGTCTCCCAGCAATCACTCTTCAAAACAGTCTTTCTAATCAGACAGAGCTTTTTCCCTGCTAACATGAAGCCACGCTTGGCTCAGGACTGGCTGCTTGGAGTCTGTCTTTTGCTCTGCCTCAGCTGTGGAGGTAAGTCCCACCTGCCAATGGAAAAACATGGTAGGCCACCAATTCAAAAGTGCTGTATGTCCACCACCTATCTTCCTAAGAACTGGCGAACCCGTAAGCTATTTTCTTTCTCTTTTTAGCTCTGGCACCTATTTGGGGATAATCATTGAAAGTCTAACTTTGGAAATAATGCAGACCTGGAGAAAGGTTTAGATACTATTAAGTTCCAGATCTATACAGGCATCAACACCCACCGTGCTTGGGTCAGGGTGTTGGCAGAGATGATTTCCACAGATCCCACTATGTCTCCTGTCCTTGTAATCCCTGCACGGTCCCAACTTCAGAAAGTTTTTCAGGGGAATGATGCTCTATTGCACAGGGCAGGGGGGGCTTATTTTAACTTTATTTATTTACTTATTAAAACATTTGATTTTTTAAAACATGGTAATTTGCCATAGTCATAAGTACAGCCTTTCCCCTCCTCAAGCAGTTCACCAACTAGTTTTGAAAAAAATTTTAATTGTCTGCATAAACCTGGCAGCTTACAATGGGAGCTGCAGACAGTGCTCCTCCTATCATAGCTGCAGTGACACACACACACACACACACACACACACACACACACACCGGTTGGTGCAAACTCTCTGGTGTTCACATCTGTTGATGTTGCCTATCTGGCTGTTGTAGGGTTGCCATACGTCGGAAGCAGTGTCCCAGCAGAAATCACTAAAAATGTCAGTGGAAATCCAGACATATGGCAACCCATGTCAACATTATCATATTGGGAAATTTCCCTTAAAAATAGCTCAAAAACCTCTTTATTCTTTTCTCTCTTTTTGCAATTATGTCCCAAAAATCAACAACCCTGGCTAAGAAGGAGAAGAAGAATAAAAGCTCTACAACTTTGGTGTCTAGATTTTTACTTTTTGAAATATGGCAACTCTAAGCTGCTGCTTGGCACCTGCCACTCTCAGGAGGCTCACTAGAGGACCCTTTCTGCAAAGTCTCTACAATGCTGGATCTGGCTGACCCTCAGATGCCTGTTATGGGGATGTGGCAGAGGGGAGGGTCCTCCTGGTTGTAGGCACAGCCAATCACTTTCTACGAAACTCTGTGGGGTTCAATTTACACCTTCTGTAAGAACCACCAATGTCCTTTTTAGACTCAGGGCATCTCAGCATTTTTCTTCTTTGAAGGAAACAACGAGTTTGGTGACTTAGAAGCTCAGGAAGGGACAAGACATGTAAACAAAGAAGCATGCCTTACAGCAGGTACCTTCCTCCCTCCCTTCCTCCCTCCCTCCCTTCCTCCCTCCCTCCCTTCCTTTCTTCTTTTAACAGCAAATGCCTTAATCTGTAGCCTGTGCAGTTCAGAGGCTGAAGGACAGCCATGTGTACCAGCTGCCCCATATGAAGAGAAATGTGCTGATGATCCACGTACAGGACACCCTGCAGCCTGCGTCTTGTACAGAATCACTTCAAGTGAGTGGTCCTTCTTGTCTTTCTCTCCCCGTCCCCCTTATTTTCATTGCTTTTCCATGAGTGGCTGATGGGGCATGGCTAGTATGACTGGGTGCAGAGGAGGCCGGGATCTTGCAACTTCAGTAGTACAAGTAGTACAATGGAAGCTTAGTACTTAGAGAGGTCCTTCCCTGGTTGTTCAAGCACCTCGTTCCAATGGAGCTCTAAGCTATCCTAATGCAGCCTCCATACGAAACCTGATTGCAAGCCTTCAGTCACATGACGGTACATATCCCCCTGGAAATTCTTTGAAGCAACAATACCTGCAGGCAGTGAGAGAAGCATGAATTTTCTAAGTTCACTTATAATTCTCCAGTCAAACTCTAGCATGCCAAGGTACAGATGGGATCCTGGATAAGTCCATGTGATGCAGCCCACCTGGCTAAGGTATCTCAAGTAAGGGGCCAGGTTGGGCCCTCTGGCCAATGGCGTCCCAATTGCAGTGCTTCACCTAATGCCAGGGAAGAGTTTCCATTCATTCTTGAGGATAAGCAGGGGTGCTGGGTGCTATACCTGGCAACAGTGGTAGCAAAAACCTGCCCTTCAGCACAGACCCCCGTTTCCCCAGCTGTCACTGATGGGGACCTAGCAAGGGGTGGATCCTGACATTATCACCAAGCTTCTTTCACCAGTTACTAACAGTAACCCAGATACTTTTCTTTCTCTTCCCAGTGGTAACTAAAAATGTCTTGCGCTACTACAAAAAATGCGGCTTCTATACCAGCGACTGCAAAACTCGAAAAGTCTACAATGACGTACAGCAAGTGCACGAGCTCCACTGCTGTAACAACAGAGACCACTGCCTTTGAACGCCGTCTAAGGAGGATGATGTATTAAAAGAACTCCTATGTGAACAAATGGCTGTGCAATTTGTGTTAGGTTGTGTTGCTGTTTGGGGATGTCTATGTGAGTGTGTTCTGTGTGTGCCCAGTGGCGTGCATGGGTGCAGGGTCTCAGCAGGTGAGTGGGAGGCCAAGCAAGAGGCTTCGAAACTCATTTCTTCAATTCATTGTAAAGTGGCTTTTTACTGAAGATTCTGGGTGAAGTCTTTTTGAGGGAAAAGGGTTCCATTTAATTAGTCTGACTTACCACCGTTGGGAGCATCTGAGGCTGTACAGAAAGGAACGTACAGAAATCCACTCAGTGGCTTCAGGGTCAGTAGCTGTGTGGCCTCCCAGCCCATTCACCCGGTAGTGCTGGTGAAATATGCCCTTTAGGTCCTCAAGTAAAATATACCCTTCTGTATCCAAACCTTTTAATGTAAAACTGATCTTTGGTCCAGGTCTGATGGTCCCTAGGCAGCTGACGTTTCGTGTGATGCAACAATCACATATGCCTGACTGCAGCTTCCCTGTGGGGAACACATACTGCAATCCTTCCCCATAAGATAGCATCAGAGGCCCAGGGAGGTCTAGGACTATGAAACAACCATGTGAGTAGCACATATGGGCCTGGCTGAAGCTTCCTGGTGGTGAACAAGTAATCCCTACATGTAAGCGGGTTGCTGAAGTCTGGGACACTCTGTACTGCATCCGGCTGGTTCCTCAGCTTCAGCCCATTTGGATTTGTCCAAACAAGCAGTATATTATGCACCTAAAAAGCTCCTTGTGCCTTTCGAGCCTAGCAGGGACAGGTGCCCTGAGGAACAAAGAAGGTGCCTCTGAGCCTTATATAATGAAAGTCTTGTTAAGTGAAAGGAATAATAATAATAATAATAATAATAATAATAATAATATCTTTATTGTCATTGCCCCCTTCGGGGACAACGAAATTACTTGACTGCTCCATAAAAACTCTAATTAATCAATACAGTATAATACAGCAAGGGAGATTAGATGACTTTCAAAGTCCGGGCTTCCCATTCAGGGCCGAGATCGCTCTGGAGAAGAAGCTGTTCTTAAGACGGCTCATTCTTGTCTTCATCATCCTGTATCTCCGTCCCGACAGCAAGAGCTCGAAGAGACAGTGACCAGGATGCGATGGATCTTTACTATGTCCAGTGCCTTCCTATGGCACCTTGTGGCATAAATCTGCTCTAAGGTGGAGAGTGGGCAGCCAACAATGCTCTCTCAATACACTTCCTTCCCATGTAAGACAGAATCATTTGGAAGATGAGCTCTAGGACATTCTGTACAGGATTTCAGAATCTCGGGTTGGATCAGTCCCAGCTCTGGCCAACCTAGCAGTCCAAAAATGCACCAGTGCAAGTAGATAAATAAGTACCGCTGTGGCGGAAAGGGACATTGCATTTCCTTGCACTCTGGCTTCAGTCATGTTGTTCCGTTGTGCCAGAAGCAGTTTAGTCCTGCTGGCCACATGACCCGGAAAGCTGTCTGTGGACAAATGCTAGCTCCCTCGGCCTGAAAGCGAGATGAGCGCCTCAACCCCATAGTTGCCTTTGACTGGACTTTACCGTCCAGGGGTCCTTTTACCTTTTTACTGGGGTATCACAAGCACTTAGGATTGTTAAAATTAAAAGCTGTATGTTCTGGGCCTCAGAGCCAAATGAGCTACTGAACTTGCACACCATGCTCCTGTTTTGGTTTGCATGGCTCAGTCAACCAAAAAATGTGGAGCTGGTCAGAGAACCCATTCAAAGGAACGGGCATGCCTCCACAAAAGATAGCATCAGAGAACCACTGAGGTCTGGGACATTCTGTAGAGCATCCAGCTAAACTCACGTCCCATTAGCATTTGTTAAACAATCAGGACATAATGCACTTAACGGCTCAAGGAACCACCACCCACATCTCTGCTGCTCTTCAGAACCACCCCAGAGCCCTCTTGTACATTGAAGCCCACTAGAATGGGGTGAGCAGCCAAGAAGGCCCCACTCGGCCTTATATAATGACAGTATTGAGCCTCAGACGGAGAGACGTGTTGCTCAACAGAGAAAGAGCTGCCCCTTCTACTTACTGCCAGGAAGCCTAGTCTGCTGTCTCCAAGCTATCACTCCAAGCTATCATTTCTTCAGTTCATTGTAAAATGTCTTTTTACTGAGGATTCTGTTTTTTTTTTTTTTAATAATTTTTATTAAAGTTTTAAACAAAGAAAAAAGAAAAAACAACACACACAAAAAGAACAGAATACAAAATTTAACAATAAAAACACACAACATAACAATTTAAAACAACCTCTCTTTTACGTTCCCAATTTTAAATTACTTATTTTCTGGACTTCCTCATACCTCCCTCTTTTGTATTCCAATCTACATTATTTGTCCAGCAATTTCTTTTCCACTTTTTAAACCCAATCTTTAATTTAATAAAATATTAAACTATATAACATAAACATAATCCTTGTTTTTAATGTCATATACCTTTAAATTTTTCCCAATCTTAATCTTTAATCTTAATCTATCCTAGCTTTAACCTGTACAGCTGGAAACCACTTATTTTCAATCCAACATCACTCTAACATTCCTTAATTTTGCAGTGTTTCTGAAGATAGTCTTTGAATTTCTTCCAATCTTCCTCCATCGACTCTTCTCCCTGGTCACGGATTCTGCCAGTCATTTCCGCCAATTCCATATAGTCCATAAGTTTCATCTGCCATTCCTCCAGCGTGGGAAGTTCTTGTGTCTTCCAATACTTTGCGATGAGTATTCTTGCTGCTGTTGTTGCATACATAAAGAAAGTTCTATCCTTTTTAACACCATTTGGCCCACTATGCCCAGGAGAAAGGCCTCTGGTTTCTTGGGAAAGGTATACTTAAATACCTTTTTAATTCATTATATATCATTTCCCAGAAAACCTTAATCTTTGGGCACGTCCACCAAAGGTGAAAAAATGTACCTTCAGTTTCTTTACATTTCCAACATTTGTTATCGGGCAAGTGATAAATTTTCGCAAGCTTGACTGGGGTTATGTACCACCTGTATATCATTTTCATAATATTCTCTCTTAAGGCATTACATGCCGTAAATTTCATACCTGTGGTCCATAACTGTTCCCAGTCAGCAAACATAATGTTATGTCCTACGTCCTGTGCCCATTTAATCATAGCCGATTTTACCGTTTCATCTTGAGTATTCCATTTCAGCAGCAAGTTATACATTCTTGACAGATTCTTAGTATTGGGTTCTAACAATTCTGTTTCTAATTTTGATTTTTCCACCTGGAAGCCAATTTTCCTGTCTAATTTAAATGCCTCCATTATTTGATAATAATGAAGCCAGTCTCGCACCTTGTTTTTTAATTTTTCAAAACTCTGCAATTTCAGTCTATCTCCGTCTTGTTCCAATTTTTACTGAGGATTCTGGGGGAAGTCTTTTTGAGGGGAAAAGGTTCCATTTAATTAGTCCAACTTACCACCGTTAGGAGCATCTGAGGACCGTAGAGAAATCCACTCAGTGGCTGCAGGGTCAGTAGCTGTGTGGCCTCCCAGCCCATTCACCCGGTAGCACTGGTGAAATATGTCCTTTAGGTCCTCGAGTAAAATATACCCTTCTGTATCTGTAGAGTGTGGTGGTTACAGAGTTAACCTTCTGTGTCTCACGTCTGAGGGAAGGGCTTCCACAGAAAGTCAGCCAGGATGTTGTGTCACAGGTCTTTGTTGTGTATGCTGTGAGAAGTGCTTTCGTTTTTCAGTCGGTCGCTGCTCCGAAGCAGAAAGGAGTCAGAAGAAAATGGAGCTGGATTCTGATGGATTGTAAATACTGTTTTTGCTGTTAATAAAAATGCTTCTAGGATAGAGAGAAGCTGTCTGGACTTGATTTACTTCCTTTCTCACACGGACTAAGCTGTGCATCTGCTAAATGCTTTTCTCCCGGGGCTGCGCTTGATGAGCTCGCAACGGAAGCTGGACGGAAAAAAGCAATAAATCTTCAGTATCCAAACCTTTTAATATAAAAACTGGTCTTTGATCCAGGTCTAATGGTGCCTAGTCAGCTGAAGTTTCATGTGATGCAACAATCACGTATGCCTGACTGCAGTTTCCTGGTGGGGAACACATGCTGCAATCCTTCCCCATAAGATAGCATCAGAGGCCCAGGGAGGTCTAGGACTATGAAATAACCATGTGAGTAGCACATATGGGCCTGGCTTAAGCTTCCTGGTGGTGAACAAGTAATCCTTACATGTAAGAGGGTCGCTGAAGTCTGGGACACTCTGTACTGCATCCGGCTGGTTCCTCAGCTTCAGCCCATTTGGTTTTTTTTAAAATAATTTTTATTAAAGTTTCAATCAAAAATTAAACAACAAACAAAAACAAAGAAAAACATAAAAAAGATACACAAATACACAATACAAATCCCAAAAAGAAAATAAAAAAACCACAAAGAACAAAAATCAACAATAAAAAGAAACATAACAATTAAGAACAATATCTCTTTTCCATTTCCGTCTTTGAATTTACTTATTTTCTGGACTTCCTCATACCTCCCTCTTTTGTATTCCAATCCAAATTGTTTGTCCAGCAATTTCTTTTCCACTTTTTTTTTTATCCCAATCTTTAATTTTAATATAATATATAACTTCAACTTCTTTAAACCTAATCTTTGATCTTAATGTAATATAACATTATTTTACCTCTTAATTGTCAAGTTCCATTTCCTTAAACATCTTTAAACCTAATCTTTAATCTTAGTCTATCATTAACTTTAACCTGTTCAGCTGGAAACCACTTATATTCAGTCCAACATCTCTAACATTCTTTAATTCTACAATGTTTCTGAAGACAGTCTTTGAATTTCTTCCAATCTTCCTCCACCGACTCTTCTCCCTGGTCACGGATTCTACCAGTCATTTCTGCCAGTTCCATATAGTCCATTAATTTCATCTGCCATTCCTCCAGCGTGGGAAGTTCTTGTGTCTTCCAATACTTTGCGATGAGTATTCTTGCTGCTGTTGTTGCATACATAAAGAAAGTTCTATCGTTTTTTAACACCATTTGGCCGACTATGCCCAGGAGAAAGGCCTCTGGTTTCTTAGGGAAGGTATATTTAAATACCTTTTTTAGTTCATTATATATCATTTCCCAGAAAGCCTTAATCTTTGGGCACGTCCACCAAAGGTGAAAAAATGTACCTTCAATTTCCTTACATTTCCAACATTTGTTATCGGGCAAATGATAAATTTTTGCAAGCTTGACTGGGGTTATGTACCACCTGTAAATCATTTTCATAATATTCTCTCTTAAGGCATTACATGCCGTAAATTTCATACCTGTGGTCCACAACTGTTCCCAGTCAGCAAACATAATGTTATGTCCTACGTCCTGTGCCCATTTAATCATAGCCGATTTTACCGTTTCATCCTGAGTATTCCATTTCAGCAGCAAGTTATACATTCTTGACAAATTCTTAGTTTTGGGTTCTAACAGTTCTGTTTCTAATTTAGATCTTTCCACCTGGAAGCCAATTTTCTTGTAGCTTCAGCCCATTTGGATTTGTCCAAACAAGCAGTATATTATGCACCTAAAAAGCTCCTTGTGCCTTTCGAGCCTAGCAGGAACAGGTGCCCTGAGGCCTCTGAGCCTCATACAATGAAAGTCTTGTTAAGTGAAAGGAATACACTTCCTTCCCATGTAAGACAGCATCATTTGGAAGCTGAGCTCTAGGACATTGTAGGGACGCGGGTGGCGCTGTGGGTAAAACCTCAGCGCCTAGGACTTGCCGATCGGATGGTCGGCGGTTCGAATCCCCGCGGCGGGGTGAGCTCCCGTCGTTCAGTCCCAGCTCCTGCCCACCTATAGCAGTTCGAAAGCACCCTTAAGTGCAAGTAGATAAATAGGTACCGCTTTATAGCGGGAAGGTAAACGGCATTCTGTGTGCTACTCTGGTGCTGGTTCACCAGAGGAGCTTTGTCAGGCTGGCCACGTGACCCGGAAGTGTCTGCGGACAGTGCTGGCTCCCAGCCTCTAGAGTGAGATGAGCGCACAACCCTAGAGTCAGGCAAGACTGGCCCGTACGGGCAGGGTTACCTTTACCGCTAGGACATTCACAATCTTGAGTTGAGTCAGTCCCAGCCCCTGCCAACCTAGCAGTTTGAAAGCTCACCAATGCAAGCAGATAAATAGGTACCACTGTGGGGGGAAGGTACATTGGTACCTCGGATTAAGAACTTATTTCTTTCTGGAGGTCCGTACTTAACCTGAAACTGTTCTTAACCTAAGGTACCACTTTAGCTAATGGGGCCTCCCGCTGCCGTTGCGCTGCCGCCGCACGATTTTTGTTCTCATCCTGAAGCAAACTTCTTAACCCAAGGTACTATTTCTGGGATAGTCTGTAACGTGAAGCGTCTGTAACCTGAAGCATCTGTAACATGAGGTACCACTGTACATGGTGTTTCCGTGTGCTCTGGCTTTTGTCATGTTGTTCTGTTGCTCCAGAAGCGGTTTAATCATGCTGGCCACATGACCCAGAAAACTGTCTGTGGACAAACACCGGCTCCCTTGGCCTGAAAGTGAGATGAGTGCCTCAACCACAAAGTTGTTTTTGACTGGACTTAACCGTCCAGGGGTCTTTTAACTTTTACCTTTTTACTGGGGTATCACAAGCACTTGTCCCTCGTAAGCACTTAGGATTGTTAAAATTAAAAGCTGTATGTTCTGGGCCTCAGAGCCCAATCAGCTTCTGAACTTGCCTGCCCTGGTGCACCATGCTCCTCTTTTGGTTTGCGTGGCTCAGTCAACCAAGAAATGTGGAGCTGGGCAGAGAACCCACTGAAAGGAACAGGCGTGCCTCCACCAAAGATAGCATCAGAGGACCACTGAGGTCTGGGACATTCTGTAGAGCATCCAGCTGAACCCACATCCCACTAACATTTGTTAAACAATCAGGACATGATGCACTTAATGGCTCAAGGAACCACCACCCACATCTCTGCTGCTCTTCACAGCCACCCCAGAGCCCTCTTGTACATTGAAGCCCACTAGAATGGGGTGAGCAGCCAAGAAGGCCCCTCTCAGCCTTATATAATCACAGTATTGAGCCTCAGGCGGAAAGAAGTATTGCTCAACAGAGATAGAGCTGCCCCTTCTACTTACTGCCAGGAAGCCTAGTCTGCTGTCTCCAAGTTTTCAGCCTTCAAAGCAGCCTCAACGTACCAAAAGTCTTTCCCATGGGCCAGGGCTTTTTCCTTGCTAACATGAAGCCACGCTTAGCTCACGCCTGGCCGCTTGGAGTCTGTGTTTTGCTCTGCCTCAGCTGTGGAGGTAAGTCCCACCTGCAAATGGAAAAACATGGTAGGCCACCAGTTCAAATGTGCCATATGTCCACTACTTATCTTCCTAAGAACTGGTGAACCCGTAAGCTTTTTTCTTTCTCTTTTTAGCTCTGGCACCTATTTGGGGATAATGATCGAAAGGCTAAGTTTGGAAATAACGCAGACCTGGAGAAAGGTTTAGATGCTATTAAGTGCCAGATCTATACAGGCATCATCACCCACCATGCTTGGGTCAGGGTATTGTTGTTGTTGTTTAGTCATTTAGTCGTGTCCGACTCTTCGTGACCCCATGGACCAGAGCATGCCAGGCACTCCTGTCTTCCACTGCCTCCCGCAGTTTGGTCAGACTCATGTTTGTAGCTTCGAGAACACCGTCCAACCATCTCGTCCTCTCTCGCCCCCTTCTCCTTGTGCCCTCCATCTTTCCCAACATCAGGGTCTTTTCCAAGGAATCTTCTCTTCTCATGAGGTGGCCAAAGTACTGGAGTCTCAGCTTCAGGATCTGTCCTTCCAGTGAGCACTCAGGGCTGATTTCCTTAAGAATGCATACGTTTGATCTTCTTGCAGTCCATGGGACTCTCAAGAGTCTCCTCCAGCACCATAATTCAAAGGCATCCATTTTTCGGCCATCAGCCTTCTTTATGGTCCAGCTCTCACTTCCATACATCACTACTGGGAAAACCATGGCTTTAACTATACGGACCTTTGTTGCCAAGGTGATGTCTCTGCTTTTTAAGATACTGTCTAGGTTTGCCATCGCCTTTCTCCCAAGGAGCAGGCGTCTTTTAATTTCGTGACTACTGTCACCATCTGCAGTGATCATGGAGCCAAGAAAGTAAAATCTCTCACTGCCTCCATTTCTTCCCCTTCTATTTGCCAGGAGGTGATGGGCCCAGTGGCCATGATCTTCGTTTTTTTGATGTTGAGCTTCAGACCATATTTTGCGCTTTCCTCTTTCACCCTCATTAAAAGGTTCTTTAATTCCTCCTCACTTTCTGCCATCGAGGTTGAGTCATCTGCATATCTGAGGTTGTTGATATTTCTTCCGGCATTCTTAATTCCAGCTTGGGATTCATCCAGCCTAGCCTTTCGCATGATGAATTCTGCATATAAGTTAAATAAGCAGGGAGACAATATACAGCCTTGCCGTACTCCTTTCCCAATTTTGAACCAATCAGTTGTTCCATATCCAGTTCTAACTGTAGCTTCTTTTCCCACATAGAGATTTCTCAGGAGACAGATGAGGTGATCAGGCACTCCCATTTCTTTAAGAACTTGCCATAGTTTGCTGTGGTCGACACAGTCAAAGGCTTTTGCATAGTCAATGAAACAGAAGTAGATGTCTTTCTGGAACTCTCTAGCTTTCTCCATAATCCAGCGCATGTTTGCAATTTGGTCTCTGGTTCCTCTGCCCCTTCGAAATCCAGCTTGCACTTCTGGGAGTTCTCGGTCTACATACTGCTTAAGCCTGCCTTGTAGAATTTTAAGCATAACCTTGCTAGCCTGTGAAATGAGTGCAATTGTGCGGTAGTTGGAGCATTCTTTGGCACTGCCCTTCTTTGGGATTGGGATGTAGACTGATCTTCTCCAATCCTCTGGCCACTGCTGAGTTTTCCAAACTTGCTGGCATATTGAGTGTAGCACCTTAACAGCATCATCGTTTAAAATTTTAAATAATTCAGCTGGAATATCATCACTTCCACTGGCCTTGTTATTAGCAGTGCTTTCTGAGGCCCATTTGACTTCACTCTCCAGGATGTCTGGCTCAAGGTCAGCAACCACACTACCCGGGATGTACGAGCCATCCATTTCTTTCTGGTATAGTTCCTCTGTGTATTCTTGCCACCTCTTCTTGATGTCTTCTGCTTCTGTTAGATCCTTTCCACTTTTGTCTTTTATTATGGTAATCTTTGTACGAAATGTTCCTTTCATATCTCCAATTTTCTTGAACAGATCTCTGGTTTTTCCCATTCTATTGTTTTCCTCTATTTCTTTGCATTGCTCGTTTAAGAAGGCCTTCTTGTCTCTCCTTGCTATTCTTTGGAAATCTGCATTCAATTTCCTGTATCTTTCACTATCTCCCTCACATTTTGCTTCCCTTCTCTCCCCCACTATTTGTAAGGCCTCGCTGGACAGCCACTTTGCTTTCTTGCATTTCCTTTTTGTTGGGATGGTTTTAGTTGCTGCCTCCTGTATAATGTTACGAGCCTGCATCCATAGTTCTTCAGGCACTCTGTCCACCAAATCTAAATCCTTAAACCTGTTTCTCATTTCCACTGTGTATTCATAGGGGATTTGACTTAGATTGTATCTTACCGGCCCAGTGGTTTTTCCTACTTTCTTCAGTTTAAGCTTGAATTTTGCTAGAAGAAGCTGATGATCTATGCCACAGTCAGCTCCAGGTCTTGTTTTTGCTGACTGTATAGAGCTTCTCCATCTTTGGCTGCAGAGAATATAATCAATCTGATTTCGATGCTGCCCATCTGGTGATGTCCATGTGTAGAGTCGTCTCTTGTGTTGCTGGAAAAGAGGGTTTATGATGACCAGCTTGTTCTCTTGGCAGAACTCTATTAGCCTTTGCCCTGCTTCGTTTTGAACTCCAAGGCCAAACTTGCCAGTTGTTCCTTTTATCTCTTGACTCCCTACTTTAGCATTCCAATCCCCTATAATGAGAAGAACATCCTTCTTTGGTGTCATTTCTATAAGGTGTTGTAAGTCTTCATAGAATTGGTCAATTTCAATTTCTTCAGCACCAGTGCATAAACTTGGATTACTGTGATGTTAAAAGGTCTGCCTTGGAATCGTATCGAGATCATTCTATCTTTTTGAGATTGCATCCCAGTACAGCTTTCGCCACTCTTTTGTTGACTATGAGGGCCACTCCATTTCTTTTACGGGATTCTTGCCCACAGTAGTAGATATGATGGTCATCCGAACTGAATTCGCCCATTCCCGTCCATTTTAGTTCACTGATGCCCAGGATGTCAATATTTATTCTTGCCATCTCATTTTTGACCACATCCAACTTACCAAGGTTCATGGTTCTTACATTCCAGGTTCCTATGCAATATTTTTCTTTACAGCATTGGATTTTCCTTTCGCTTCCAGGCATATCCGCAACTGGGCGTCCTTTCAGCTTTGGCCCAGCCGCTTCATCAGCTCTGGATCTACTTGTACTTGTCCTCCGCTCTTCCGAAATATTGGGAAATTTTAGAACAAGATGGAGACAGAATAAAACTGCAGAGCTTTGAAAAATTGAAAAACAGAGTGCGAGATTGGCTCCATTACTATCAAATAATGGAGACATATAATCTGGATAAAAAAGCTGGTTTCCAGGTGGAAAAATCAAAATTGGAAACAGTATTGTTAGATCCCAAAATTAAGAATTTGTCAAGAATGTATAACTTGCTGTTGAAATGGAACACTCAGGATGAAATGGTGAAATCAGCTATGATTAAATGGGCACAAGATGTTGGACATAACATAATGATGGCCGACTGGGAACAGTTATGGACCACAGGTATGAAATTCACGGCATGTAATGCCCTAAGAGAAAATTTAATGAAAATGATTTATAGGTGGTACATGACACCAGTCAAGCTTGCAAAAATTTACCATTTGCCCGATAATAAATGTTGGAAATGTAATGAGACTGAAGATACATTCTTTCACCTTTGGTGGACATGCCCAAGGATTAAGACATTCTGGGAGATGATTTATAATGAAATGAAAAAGGTATTTAAATACACCTTCCTGAAGAAACCAGAGGCCTTTCTCCTGGGCATGGTCGGCCAACTGGTGCCAAAGAAGGATAGAACTTTCTTTATGTATGCAACAGCAGCAGCAAGAATACTCATTACGAAGTATTGGAAGACACAAGATTTACCCACCTGGGAAGAATGGCAGATGAAGTTGATGGACTATATGGAACTGGCGGAAATGACTGGCAGAATCCGAGACCAGGGAGAAGAGTCGGTGGAAGAAGACTGGAAAAAGTTTAAAGATTATTTACAGAAATATTGTAAAATTAATGAATGTTAGAAAAATGTTGGAATGAAGTTATATGGCTTTAGTAGAAATGTTATAAGGAATTAAGTATAAATAGATTAATAGAGTATCAAAGGGAAAATAAGGTTAGAATGTGCTAAGATAATTACAGGGTAGAAAACAGAGGACGATGGAAAGGAATTGCTGAAACAATTAACAGAAGTGGAATACAAAAAGGGAGGTGTGAGGAGGTCGTGGAAACAAGTAAATGAAAGATAAGACAATGAAATGGTTTTGTTTTTGTTTTATTAGTTTTATGTGTTAGTGTTTTGTAGTGTTTTTGTATTGTATTGCATTGTCTTCCTTTTTATGCTTTTTGTTGTTGTTTTTTGTAGTGTTGTGTTTAAATGGTTGGAAAATTAATAAGTATTATATATATATAAAAAAAAGCTCTACAACTTTAGTGTCTAGATTTTTACCTTTTGAAATATGGCAACTCTAAAGTCTGCTTGGCACCTGCCACTCTCAGGAGGCTCACTAGAGAACCCTTTCTGCAAAGTCTCTACAATGCTGGATCTGGCTGACCCTCAGATGCCTGTTATGGGGATGTGGCAGAGTGGAGGGTCCTCCTGGTTGTAGGCAGCCTGAGACACAGCCAATCACGTTCTGTGGAACTCCGTGGGAATCAATTTACACCTTCTGTAAGAACCACCAATGTCCTTTTTAGACTCAGGGCATCTCAGCATTTTTCTTCTTTGAAGGAAACAACAAGTTTGGTGACTTAGAAGCTCAGGAAGGGACAAGACACGTAAACAAAGAAGCATGCCTTACAGCAGGTGCCTCCCTCCCTCCCTCCCTCCCTCCCTTCCTTTCTTATTTTAACAGCAAATACCTTAATCTGTAGCCTGTGCAGTTCAGAGGGTCCAGGACAGCCGTGTATACAAGCTGCTCCATATGAAGAGAAATGTCCCATGTAAGATAGAATCATTTGGAAGCTGAGATCTAGGACATTCTGTACAGGATTTCAGAATCTCGAGTTGGGTCAGTCCCAGCCTCTGCCAACCTAGCAGTTTGAAAGCGCACCAATGCAAGTAGATAAATAGGTACCGCTGTGGCAGGAAGGTACAGTGGTATCTCGGGTTAAGAACTTATTTCTTTCTGGAGGTCCGTTCTTAACCTGAAACTGTTCTTAACCTGAGGTACCACTGTAGCTAATGGAGCCTCCCACTGCCATTGCGTCGCCACTGCACAATATTTGTTCTCAGCCTGAAGCAAAGTTCTTAACCCGACGTACTATTTCTGGGTTAGCGGAGTCTGTAACCTGAAGCATCTGTAACCTGAAGCGTCTGTAACCTGAGGTATCACTGTACATGGCGTTTTCGTGTGCTCTGGCTTTTGTCGTGTTGTTCTGTTGCTCCAGAAGCGGTTTAGTCATGCTGGCCACATGACCCGGAAAGTTGTCTGTGGTCAAACGCCGACTCCCTCGGCCTGAAAGTGAGATGAGTGCCTCAACCCCATAGTTGTCTTTGACTGGACTTATCCGTCCACGGGTCCTTTACCTTTTAGTTTTTTACTGGGGTATCACAAGCACTTAGGATTGTTAAAATTAAAAGCTGTATGTTCTGGGCCTCAGAGCCTCAGAGCCCAATCAGCTTCTGAACTTGCCTGCCCTGGTGCACCATGCTCCTGTTTGGGTTTGTGTGGCCCACTCAACCAAGAAATGCTGGGCCGAGAACCCATTGAAAGGAACAGGCATGCCTCCACAAAAGATAGCATCAGAGGACCACTGAGGTATGGAACATTCTGTAGAGCATCCAGCTGAACCCACATCCCATTAACATTTGTTAAACAATCAGGACACGATGCACTTAACGGCTCAAGGAACCACCACCCACATCTCTGCTGCTCTTCAGAACCACCCCAGAGCCCTCTTGTACCTTGAAGCCCATTAGAATGGGTTGAGCAGCCAAGAAGGCCCCTCTCGGCCTTATATAATGACTGTTTTTAGCTTGGCTCCTCAGACAGAGATTTCAATAAAGTATTGACAGTATTGAGCCTCAGACAGAGAGAAGTATTTGAGCTCTTCCTCCTTCTTATTACCAGGAAGCCTAGTCCTCTGTCTCCAAGCAATCACTCTTCAAAACAGTCTTTCTAATCAGACAGAGCTTTTTCCCTGCTAACATGAAGCCACGCTTGGCTCAGGTCTGGCTGCTTGGAGTCTGTGTTTTGCTCTGCCTCAGCTGTGGAGGTAAGTCCCACCTGCCAATGGAAAAACATGGTAAGCCACCAATTCAAATGTGCCGTATGTCCACCACCTATCTTCCTATGAACTGGCGAACCCGTAAGCTTTTTTCTTTCTCTTTTCAGCTCTGGCACCTATTTGGGGATAATGATTGAAAGTCTAACTTTGGAAATAATGCAGGCCTGGAGAAAGGTTTAGATACTATTAAGTGCCAGATCTATACAGGCATGGGTCATCACCGTGCTTGGGTCAGGGTATTGGCAGAGATGATTTCCACAGATCCCACTATGTCTCCTGTCCTTGCAATCCCTGCACAGTCCCAACTTCAGAAAGTTTTTCAGGGGAATGATGCTCTATTGCACAGGGCAGGGGGGGCTTATTTTAACTTTATTTATTTACTTGTTAAAACATTTGATTTTTAAAAATCAAAGTAGTTTGCAATAGTCATAAGTGCAGCCTTTCCGCTCCCCAAGCAGTTCAACAACTATTTTTGAAAAAATGTTTAATTGTTTGCATAAACTGGACAGCTTACAATGGCAGCTGCAGACAGTGCTCCTCCTATCATAGCTGCAGTGACACACACACACACACACACACACACACACCGGTTGGTGCAAACTCTCTGGTGTTCACATCTGTTGATGTTGCCCATCCAGTTGTTGTAGGGTTGCCATACATCGGAAGCAGTGTCCCAACAGAAATCACTAAAATGTCAGTGGAAATCCAGACATATGGCAACCCATGTCAGCATTATCGTTTTGGGCAATTTTCCTTAAAAATAGCTCAAAAACATCATTATTCTTTTCTCTCTTTTTTTGCAATTTTGTCCCAAAAGCTCAACAACCCTCACTAATAATAATAAGAATAATAGCTTTTAATGTTTAATAGGTTATTGTATTTTAATATTCCATTGGAACCCAGAGTGGCTGGAGAAGGCCAACCAGATAGGCAGGCTATAAATAATAAATTATTATTATATTATTATTAATTATTATTATGCAATGTGCCATCCTCTTCCTGGTGTCATGCCCCAATGAAGAGCTGCCACAATGACTTCCTCCACCACCAACACCACATAAGCATATAGAGTTTTATTATTGCAATACAAACACTTTATGCTGGTTTTCCTATACAACATCAACGAACAGAAACAAGGGAAAGATTTATTCCTTCAGAGACTGGAGCGGAATAAGTAGTGAGCAAAAGTCCGCCCCTCCTCTCTGGAACATCAGCAGATTCTTGCAATGGGAGGGGTGAAATATCCTCAGCCATATGTCTGGAATTTCCTGGACATTGCCAGGATTCGACTGTTGGAAATAGTGCCTGGGAGGAAATCGCTGAAATGTCTGTGAAAATCAGGACCCATGGCAACCCGTGTTGGAAGTATAGCTTCTGGCAAATTTCCTTAAAAATAGCTAAGAAAGAAAGAAAGAAAGAAAGAGAAAGAAAGAAAGAGAAAAGCTTTTGTGTCCGGATCATCTTCACTACACACTTCAGTTGACCATTCCATGAGGCATCAAACACCCATTTTCATCACAGCAGGCAAAAGCGTAGATTTCTTTTCTGTCGTCACTCAGGAATTTGCGCCTGCACATCTTTGTGGCTTTGGAAATGCAGTTCCTACGTATATGTTTTACGGTATCTGTTTCGGCTGTGGAGACAAAGGCCAAATGAACGTGCAGGATACGTCCTTGGTACAAGTAGAATGCTAAGCCAGGCTGGTCCACCCATGAGGCAAGGGAAGGTAACCGCCTCAGGCGGCAGGATCCACAGGGGCAGCCGAACTGGCCTCCATCACCCACCACTGCTGCCACGGTGCCAATGACAGCTGCAGCATGCTCTCTGAAGGCCACATATGGCTCCTTCTTGGCAGCTCCCATCACCATACTGCCTCCACTCTCGGTAATTAGGAGGTACTGCTGGTCTCCTCCTACCACCACAGATAAAGGTAAAAGGTAAAGGACCCCTGGACGGTTAAGTCCAGTCCAAGATGACTATGGGGTTGTGGCGCTCATCTCACTTTCAGGCCGAGGGAGCCGATGTTTGTCCACAGACAGCTTTCCAGGTCATGTGGCCAGCATGACTAAACCGCTTCTGGTGCAATGGGACACTGACAGAAACCAGAGCGTACGGAAACACTATTTACCTTCCTGCCACAGCAGTACCTGGCGTGCTTTCGAACTGCTAGGTTGGCAGGAGCTGGGTCAGAGCAACGGGAGCTCACCCCGTCACAGGGATTCAAACCGCCGACCTTCTGATCGGCAAGCCCGGGAGGCTCAGTGGTTTAGACCACAGCACCACCCACCCCAGCAATAATTCAAAACAAACAAAAAGTCAGAATGGTGGACTGAAATTAAAACAACACCTGAAGAGCCAAAGCTTCTCCACAGCTGTTTTAGGGGTTGGAGCAGAGACAATGGCAAGCACCCTCGACAGAATCCTTACCATCAATAGTTATTATCTGCAAGCAATATCCATCCTTGATTGTGCAAGTGCTTCTCCTAGGCCAGCACTGCATGCTCCGCTCCGGCACCAGTTTGCAGACCTGGCATTTGATTGCTTCTGCTGTAAAAGAAATGCCTCATTTCAGCTCTTCCTAGCAAGCAACCTGCCTAGGGGAGAAGGGTCTGAGAAGAGTTCTGCTGTGCCAGAAGCGCAGCCCCAGACATCCACCAAGCTCACCGTCTCGCTTTTTGCAGCGACAAGCTGGGTGCTTCCCAGAACCCTCCCACAAATTTATTTGCAACATTTCTGCCCTGCCCATTCAGGGGCTGATAGCAGACCTTGGGGAAAATTCTAAGCCCCTTGAATGGGAGCTGAGCTATAAAAGTGAATCCCAGTTTCCAAAGTGCATGTGTCTTCTTCAATTTTGGGGGTATGTGAAAGGGAAATAACTAGCTAAGGGGAAGAAGTGTGCTGAAAGTGGGTTTTTTGAAAGGGGCGAGAATATAGTGCCATTTTATCTATATCTATCTATCATCTATCATCTATCATCTATCATCTATCATCTATCATCTATCATCTATCTATATCTGTCTGTCTGTCTGTCTGTCTGTCTGTCTATCTATCTATCTATCTATCCATCCATCCACAGTGGTACCTTGGTTCTCAGACTTAATCCATTCCGGAAGTCCGTTCCAAAACCAAAACATTCCAAAACCAAGGCGCGCTTTCCCATAGAAAGTGATGCAAAATGGGTTAATCCTTTCCAGACTTTTAAAAACAATTTAACATGGATTTTACTCTCTAACGAGACCATTGAGCCATAAAATGAAAGCAATAAACAATATACTGCAGTCACACAATCAATCAATCAGTAGCTGAAATGGGTTCCACACAGTCACAAAAAAACAAAACAAAAAAAAACCAAAAAAGGGCCACAAAAACAAAAAGGCAAAATAAATAGCAAAAACAGACAGACCTCAGCGTAACACTCAAAATGGAAATGTGGCACTCAAATCGGAGCACGTTCGGCTTCCGGGAAAAAGTTCGCAAACTGGGTTTGCAGTGTTTGGATTCCAAGGTGTTTGAGTACCAAGGTGTTTGAGAACCAAGGTACCACTGTATATGATTTATATACTGTGCTGCATCATTAGAACTCAGGGCGGTTCACAGAATAAAAACATCAAGTGCCGTGGTGACATTCGTGATAGGGGGTGGGAGGGAAGTAGGGTTTATCAGAAGGGGATGAGGAAAAGGGAAAGCATAATTAGCAAGGATACAAACCATGGGGTGGGGTGGAGGTGGGGCTAATAGCCATGCACCAATGGGGTCATGGGAGTCAAGGAGTGTCCTGAATAGGAAAATAGTGGGATGGAGTGTACCAAAGACGAAATCCCTGGGGTGGGGGGGGGGGGAGAGAGAGAGAGAGAGTGAGAAGGAAAATGGAGTATACATAGGAGATCAGTCATGGGCAGATGGGAAAACACAGTGGGGGAGGAAAAGGCGTTCTGTATATGTTCAGAGAAGCCTCTTTTGCATGCAGGGAGCCTCGCAAAGTGTCTTGGACGAGAGGTCGGCAGAAAAGGAGTAGGGAGGGAAAGGCACAGTGAAAACCCAGGTACAAAGGAGGTTGCAGAACAGGAGGAGCTGGATGCTTGAGAACTGTGTGCGAAATTAAGTGTGCATGGTTTAAAACTGCAAGCTTGCTTCAAATTTTAGTTTAAAGAAACCATGTTGGACCTGATCCACTTAAACATGGCACGTTTTTAACACTGGGAGCCACGCAGAATGGCTGGGGAAACTCAGCCAGATGGGCAGGATATAAATAATAAATTATTGTTATTGTTATTGGGCAGCAATACTAAGCAGATTGCTTCATCAGCACACAGATTTCTCCTTGCACCTTTGAAAGGTCTCTTCCTCCCCCCCCCCCCACCTCCAGGGAACCACAAAATCTGTTTCAGAGCTTTCTCCAAACTCTCCGGAGCAGGTTCTGTTGAAGATGTCAGTGGCCCACCCTGGGACCTTACTGTAATCAATAAAAATACGTTACTAACAGGAAGAATAAAAGGCTCAAATAATAGCTGGAACAATCCCCACCAGTTGGAGGTCTCCTCCTCCCTTCCATACCCAACGCAGTATCACTGCGCTCTCCTAGAGAGAACCTCCTGCAAGGGACCATGTTATCAGGAGGCCCGTCCCACACCATTTAGGTCTTTGGTGTGTTGTGGCACCTGCCTACCCTTTGTAATTCCCTCCCCTCCATTTTTAGGCGGTTGCCACCTCTGCTGTCTTTTCAGCAGCTGCTGACTTTATGAAAAAGTATCCCCCCCCCCCCCAAAGGATTCTGAGCACTGGTGTTGTAACTCCCCTCCTTTCTCATAAGCAGGACTTACCTCCTGGCCCAAAGCAGAGGGTAACGCAGGCAGCAAGTAGCCAAAGCTTAGCCAAGTGTGGCCTCTGGGTCTGCAGGGTGAAGCTGTAACACATTGTCCAACCTGTTGGCATCGAGAAGGAGAAACTGCCAAAGAAGGACAGAATTTTCTTTATGTATGCCACAACAGCAGCAAGAATACTTATTGCAAAGTATTGGAAGACACAAGATCTCCCCACTCTGGAAGAATGGCAGATGAAGGTGATGGACTTTATGGAACTGGCGGAAATGACGGGCAGAATCCGAGACCAGGGAGAAGAGTCGGTGGAAGAAGATTGGAAGAAATTTAAAGACTATTTACAGAAATACTGCAAAATTAATGAAAGTTAGAATGATGTCAGAATGAAATTAAGTGGTCTTAGCAGCAACGTTATAAAGGTGTATGTAAAAATGGATTGTTAACAGATGAGAATCCAAAGTTATAATATATTAAGTTAAAGGATTAAGACAAAAATAAAGAGGGAAAGGAATTGCTGAATTAACTAATAGAACTGGAACACAAAAAAGGGAGGTGTGAGGAAGTCAGGGAAGTAAGGAAATGAAATGTAAGTTATGGAAAGATCGATGTTTTTTTTTTTTATCTTTTTCCTGTATTTTGTATTTTTTCTTTTTTATTTCTTTTTCTTTTTCTTCTCTTTTTATCTATGTAATCTTTTCTTTGAAACTTTAATAAATATCATTTAAAAAAAGAGAGAGAAGGAGAAACTGACCTGACCTCTTGCTGCTGTGGACTCTGTTTTGGAGCTCACACCCCTGGACCTATGCTGCTCCTGGCAGTACAGCCTGGCTTCACCACCACCACCCGCAGCCGGACACCTGGAGGTCTCCGCCTACCTCTGCCAGTTATTCTATCCTGACTGGGGACGCGTTGGCAGGAGATTTGGCCAATGAGGGACCGCCCTGCCCACACAATAGAGGGCAGAACTTACCTGGGAATCCTCAGTCAGCTCCAGAGCTTCTCCCACCCTGCCCTCCCTCAGTTAAGCCTTCTTTTGCAGGTTAACCTCTTCTTCACAGGTACACGGGCGCTGCTACATCACGGTCGCTGCTGAAGGGCCGGAAAGAAATTTTCCTGCATTTGCAGGTTTTGCCTTCCCCGTACCAAATCGTCACAACTTTGGTGGTTTCAGGCCTTGGGCGGAATCCTTTAGTCTATCTTCCCTAATTTGTCGGGGCGTGAAGCGGTGACCCACGCCCCCCCCCTGCGGCGGCGATCCCAGGGTTTCCCATTAAAGGGGTTGTTTGAGGGGAGGCGTTGGCCATATGCCAATAGGTTGTCATTGCTCTCCCCTGTGACAGTGGCAAAATGGGGGGTGGGCTCTCTGCTTGAACAGATGTTCTCCAGAGCCAGCCCAATCCCCACTCATTCTGGATAACCCTGATGTTTCCCAGCTTCCCGGCCGGGGACTGGGAGGGATAAACACCCAATGCCTAAGCCAAGGTCTCCCTACATCTGAAGTTTTAATAAAGTTGTGGCCAATTTTAATCCCATAACATAGTGTCTTGAGTCATTATTCCACCTGGGGGTTGCCTGGGGTTGGGGGGACTTTGCCTGTCCACGCAATCTTTCCCACTTATCTAATTCAATATTATGACCAAAATCTTGAGACCATTTAATCATAACCGACTTAACTTCTTCATCCTTTGTATGCCATTCTAATAATAACTTATACATCTTTGACAATGTTTTTCTTTTGCTATCTAGCAACTCTGTCTCTAGTTTTGATTTAGTATTACCAAAACCATTTCTCTTACTATCTTCCTTAAATATATCTTGCAATTGATGGTACTGCAACCAATCTGATAGCTTGCCTCTTATCTCTTCAAATGACTTTAGCTTCAATTTGTTGTCAACTTCCATTAACAAGTCTTTGTATGTAGCCCAATCAATTACCATATTTTTCTTTTTTACCACGAAGGCTTCCAGTGGTGAAAGCCACCACGGAGTTTACCATTCTAATAATGTTTTATATCTGTTCCAGACCTCATAAACTGATTTTCTTATAGTGTGGTTTAGGAAGCCTCTATGTACTTTAACCTTGTCATACTACAAATAAGTGTGCCAGCCGAATCTGTTATCGAATCCTTTTAAATCCAATACATCCATATTGTCCAAAAGCATCCAATCCTTCAACCAACAGGACGCCTCATAATAGATTTTGAGATATGGCAAGGAAAATCCTCCTCTTTCTTTTGCATCTGTCAAAAGCTTATACTTAATTCTCGTTTTTTTCCTTTGCCAAACAAATTGCAAAAGTCGCTTTTGCCATATATTGAATTGTCCTGTTCCGCTGATAATCGGGATTGTTTGAAATAAAAATAACATTCTTGGTAGCACGCTCATTTTTATAGCAGAAATTCTTCCCATAAATGATAATTTCATTCTTCCCCAAATTTCCAAATATCTTTTGACTTCATTCCACACTTTCTCATAATTATCCTTATACAGATTTATATTTTTAGATGTAAGCCAGACTCCCAGATATTTTACTTTTTTTGCTATCATCATCATTCCTGTTATCTGTTGCAGTTCCTCTATTTTCTTACTATCCACATTCTTAGTTAATAATTTCATTTTGGATTTGTTGAGTATAAAACCTGCTAATTGCCCATATTCTTCTATTCTCTCCATTGCTTCCACTGCGCTGGATATCGGTTGTTCTCATGTCAGTACTAAACCTGTCTAGTTCCTTTTGTAATCTCAATCTTGTCGGTTAACGGGCTATTGACTAATAATTTAGCATATTGTGCAGAGTAAATAGCCTGAATACCATTAAGAAACATTGGACCCATATCCATAAGTTCTAAGTTTCTTTTCATAAAATACCAAGACACATTATCAAATGCCTTCTCAGCATCTATAAATATCAAAGCTGCTTGTTTATCTTTCCTGGAACCCAAATATTCAATTAAATCAATTATATTTCTAACATTATCTTTCATTTGTCTCCCAGGTAAGAATCCCGTCTGAGCAATAGCTCTATATTTATATTTACCACATTTGTCTCCCAAAATAAAATCTAAGATGTGCACCTTCTGTGTGTACACATTACCAGCCTGTTCTGGATCAAAGTCATGCTGCAAGATTCCATCTTCTTATCTGGCCTCCCCAAATGTTCTGTTCTGTTATTATCATCCCACATTTCAAGCATTAGGTCTACAAAGCAGAGCAATCAATATGCAACGACTGCAGTGAATGGGATCTTGTAGGCTTTTATAACACACACACACACACTACATCACAACCCAAGGACAGAATTTCCTTGTGCCTTGAAGAGTATCCAGTGATGAGGCTCAATGGTGACAAAGGACAGAGCTGAGATGACCATTTGATAGACCAGAAACAAAATGTTTGGCTTCCCTTGTACTCATTGCGCCACCTGTAAAGACTGTTCAGAGTAACTGGATTCATTTTACCCATGCTCACTAAGAGCTGATCTGGTACTGCACACAACCCAGCTGCAATCCTACACAATGCAGGTGACTAAGCCCCACTGATTTCTGAGTAAACAGGCATAGGGTTGCAGTGCAGATCTAAATCACGTATACAAACAGGCAAGTTGAGCTCAGGTGGATCCAGCCAAAGGCTTGTTGCAGTCCACCATCCTGCTCACTCCCTGCCCATGGGCAGCTCACAAGTGGGGCATAATTGCACTCTCTCACTTACGATCTCCAGCAACAGGTATGCAGAGAGAGAGATAGTACCCCAGATACCATACAGGCATTGTGATTATGATAGCCTTAGGCTCCATGGAGAATCATTTATGTTGCCAAAAGGCAAAATTGCACCGGCATTTACATGGACTTTCAGCTGCCTTGGCTCAAGACATATGCTCTGGTCTAAGCAATGTAAGGCCTGGCCTGTCCTGGCCTGACTATACTGGCTACCAGTTAATTTCCATGCCTAATTAAAAGTGCTAGGTTTGATCTATACAGCCTTATGCTGCTCAAGGCCCCAATACCATAAGAATCACCTCTCACCACACAAATTATGTTTTATATGTGCTGTAATCTGCCCAGAGTGGTTGGGGAAACCCAGCCAGATGGGTGGGGTGGTATTATTATTATTATTATTATTATTATTATTATTATTACCCAGGCCCTGTGTCCTTCCCTGCTGTCTTCTACATACACCCTGATTTGAATGTTTGGGGTCAGTTGGCTCTGATTCTGATTCTCCTTCCTTCTTTTCTTGTGATATTTTAAGTTATATGCTGTTAAACCTCTATCTATGAGGCTCAATGGTTGCGAAGGGCAGAGCTGAGATGGCCATTTGATAGAGCTAAAAGCCAAATGTTCAGCTTCCCTGGTACTAATTGAGCCACCAGTGAATACGGCTCACTGGGTTTATTTCACACATGCTGTTCTTGCTAAGGGCTGATCCGATAAGAGAGAGAGAACAACAACACAGATATACTATATAATCTGCCACATGTAGAACTGGAATGGATTAACCTGGTTCATCATCACAGTCAGACATCTGCCTGTCCTGAAGCTCCATTGTGTGTTACTGCAGCTATCAAGCCCAGGTTGATCAGGTGACCTGAGAGAAGCCAATAAGGCTTCATCTGGATTTATATAATAGATGGCTCTTTCCAGGCTCCTCCACGCAACCAACCAAGCTGCCCAGCTGCCAGGGTGGTAGAAACCCGACTGCCCACAGAAGAAAAAAAGGGAACCCAGTGGCCCCATCTCGATTTCTCTCTGCTCATACCAAAGGGCTATAAAATGGGTTACGGCTTCATCCTGGAGATTCAAGAGCCTCGTGTGGCTCCAGCTTGGCTGCTTGCTGTCTGCATTATGCTCTGCCTCATGCCAGGAGGTAAGTCCCACCTACACATAGGTGCCAACTCGAAGGGTCCCAGGTCCCTTCGGCCCCCAATAAAATATTTTCAGGGACAGCTCCAAAGTTGATGGGCATTGCTGCCTTTCTTGCTTTTCCACATTTGGACCTCATTTCCCAACAAGGCCTGTAAAGGAATTTGTGAAAGGGTTGCTGGATGGCATAGGAGCTGGGACTGGTCAAACACCTCTAATATCGTTTCTAGTGGCCTTTGTGGTTGAAGCTAGAAGGGGTAGCTGTGCAGTGGAGGGGCATGGAGCAAGCAGAGGAAACCATAGCCCTTCAACTTCCAAACAAGAAGAAGCATGTGAGATTTGTGTTCTCTGGCTACTTCTGCAGTGTGTGTGTGTGTGTGTGTGTGTGTGTGTGTTGCATGTTGCATGGTCTGTCCGCCATAAGATGCATAGATTGCTTAATCAAAAGAGAAAAATCCCTAAGTAGTTTTCATCTAACAATATGTGTGTGCACGCATATATAGAAAGATCAACAAAAATTAGTCTTCCCGTTCCTATATATGCATAAAGACCAATAAAATTAGTAATATTTCAAACAAGTGAAGACATAATAAAAGTATGTGTCTGGATAGGTTTGCTGCAAGAAATAGGTTTTTAGCAGGTGTCTGAAACAGGTGGCCACACTAGAAGATAGGTTCCTTGCAGATCTGGAATGAAGATACATCTTTTTCATCCCCTGCCCCGTGATGTGGCATTTGGTACATTCCATTCCACTGATTCTTTATCGGAGACACTTCTCCCCACAGTTTCCCTTTGGGTACATGGCTGTTAGCCCCTGCTCCATGATTTTGCATCCAACATTCCCTTTTCTCCCTCCCCTACTGATAAACCCTCCTTTTCTCCTACCCCACCATGAATCCCACAACCACATTTGTTCTGATTTAGCGTGGCACAATCTACTTTCCTCCCCGTTTCAAGGAGCCCATTCTCAAGGAAATCACTTTTAGTACCCTCCTGCTCTAAATCACAGCAAGCAGGTGCAGCGTCCAGGAGACCCCAGAGGGCGACCCCCACCATTTCTCCCCCAGGGAGACCAGCAGCGCCTCCTATTCCCCAAGAGGCCACTCTTTCATCACCTCACCTTGCCTCATGGGTGGATAGGCACTACCACCATCCTCCCAAACTCTTCCTTTCCCTCTCAGACCACGTCTATCTGTGTTGACATTTCAGGGTGGAAATGGTGTAAATAAATATGTTGGAGAAACATCTGGCTAGTGACTACAAAAACACATACAAGATGCTGAGCTCGGTGGATGTTTGGGACCTTTCATCTGGCAGAAGAAAACTCTTCTTATATCTTTCCCACGTGTCTGGGACTAGCAGAGGAGGAATGGGGGAGACTGCCTCCCCATCCTGACCCTTCCAGGGAGGAGGAAGTAGAAGACGGTTTAGATTTACAACAGGGGTTTGAGGGAGGTTGTAGCTCAAAGGCAGATGAGGGGAGAAGCTGGGAGAGCCAGAACATCTCCCAGCCGTCATTGGAAAGCATTCCAGATCCTCTGTCTCCCAGAACCTGATGAGCCTTAAAAGTAGGAGAGCAAAGAGCTCAAAGACAGAGGGCACGTAGCAGCACCAGTAGAGGAGACGGACGGGGAAGTGGGAGAGACAGGGTGGGTGGAGATTCATTCAGGACAATGCTATTATCCAAGAGGCTGGGTTCTACAGCCTCTCTCTCTCTAAAGATTGAAATAAAAAAGGACGGTAAGAAACTTTTCCTCGTCTTTATACTTTCCTGGGCAACCAGCCGGGGGCTGCTGACAGCATCCTGACACCACATTAGGGATGTTGTCTGCAAGGAAGAGTTACAACAATGTGTCTCTTTTGCAGCAGAAGCCATAAAATGCAATTACTGCAATATTACTAATCCAGACATCAGTAGGAAGTGCTGGCCTCCATATATCTGCACAATCCCTGATGGATACTGCTTGACCATATTAATTTACGAAGGTAAGGATTACTTTGTGGGTACTTACAATCCCTCTGGACATTCCAGGATCAAATCAGAAAATGGGATGGCTTCTACAATTCCGGGACTGTTACTTGAAAATTGGGGTACTTGGAGGATATGTTATTTCCCGAAAAGAGACTAGTGGCTACACTTCACACTTTGCTTGTACTGAGGACATATCCTGTCCTTTCACCTATCCTTTTTCTCCCCAGCCCGCCCAGGAGGTGCCTTGACATATGTAGATAAGAGGTGCATATCCAAAAACACAAAGGTATGCGGAATTGAACAGATAAGTGGGGACAAAAAACTACGCCGTGCCTTTGTCTGCTGTGATGAAAATGACAAGTGTTTGATGCCTGGAAGAAAACCAGCATAAATGGAAGAGGACTTGCATCTCTGATTTTCCCCCACCTTTGACATTTAAATTGTAGATATTGTCAGGAACTGCTGCTCATGCCCCATGTGATAACCCACATAGCTATGTCTTCTTCTTGTAGAGCCTTCTGGCTCTGGCTGACTCCACCCACCCAGGCTCCCCATTGGCTCCGCCTGGGCAGGAAGTGGCTTAAGGGCCCCTCTAGGCTGGTGTTGTAATGCAGGTGTCTCCTGCAACATGTTTACTATCATAATTAGCTTTATTATTCCCTTTCTAAAAATACATGTAGCCAAAAAAACCAAACATATGCCCTCACCACCCCCAAGAAACATTCCATGAATCTGCTGTACAATCATGTAAATGATATAGTCAAAAATATGCTTGTAAGTAGTTTAGAATTGCTTATATCTGTCAGTTGTCTTCCACTCTCTTCGTAGATTGTCCCAGACTAAGCCATGCTCTATTTCATATCCTGTCTCACCATCCCTTTAAAGTTAGTAGCTGTTCACAATATTGTGTTGTTATGTTTCTAGCTGCAGACATGGCAACGATTAGCAGGTCCTTGAAAAATAAATTCCTACGGTCATCTATTAACAGATTTAATAAAGCCAGCTCCTGCAGCATATTCTTGATGCAATAATAGTGCATGTTGTTGTTGTTTAGTCATTTAGTCGTGTCCGACTCTTCGTGACCCCATGGACAAGAGCACGCCAGGCACTCCTGTCTTCCACTGCCTCCCACAGTTTGTTAGTATAATAGTGCATAGTGGTCCTAAAGCAAACAGTCTACCGTATTTTTCGCCCCATAGGACGCACTTTTCCCCCTCCAAAAATGAAGGGGAAATGTGTGTGCATCCTATGGGGCGAATGCAGGCTTTCGCTGAAGCCTGGAGAGCGAGAGGGGTCGGTGCGTACCGACCCTCCCGCTCTCCAGGCTTCGCGCAGCTCTCCGCAAGCCGTGGGGAGAGTTGCCTGCATGCTGAAGCCTGGGCGCGCTGAGCTCAGCACGTCCAGACTTCGCGCGGCTCTCCGCAAGTCACAGGAGCCCTGCGCTGGGCTCCCGCGGCTTGCGGAGAGTTGCCTGCATGCCGAAGGCTGGGCGCTCTGAGCTCAGTGCGCCCAGACTTCGCGCAGCTCTCCGCAAGGCGCGGGAGCCCTGCGCTGGGCTCCCATGGCTTGCGGAGAGTTGCCTGTTCTGGGGGCTGGGGTCGGGGGAAGCTCGGGCTTCCCCCACCCCAGCCCCGTGCCTGGAGGGGAAATAATTTTTTTTCCTTTGTTTCCCCCCCAAAAAACTAGGTGCACCTTATGGGACGGTGCGTCCTATAGGGCGAAAAATACAGTAATTGGTCAACGTCTAAAAGATATCGAGCATCAGAACAACCTGGCCACTATAAGGAAATTCCGCCCTTGGTATGTTCAGTTTCCACCTCTCCATTTTGATTCTCTGGCCCCATATCTGCACAAACATATTATCCCAAAATACAGGTGTGCTTTTACACTTGCAAGACTGGATGTTTTGCCATCTACGGTACTTGAGGGTTGATTCCAAAAGATCCCACCTGAGAAATGTCTTTGCCCCTGTGGAGACGGTAGCACCGAAACAGCGGCACACGTCCTCCTGTCCTGTACTCTCTACAAAGACCTGAGGAACGAGATCATCACCCCACTCGTACTAACCATCCCAGGGCGCTCAACCACTGCCACAATGTCCTTTCTTCTATCAGATCAAAATGAGCAGATAACAGCAAAGGTTGCTAGGTTCATAGCAGGGGCAATCAGAATAAGGGCCACTAACTGACTGCTGACTGCAAACCAGGCCATTGAAGGTGACTGTTGTTGCTAAGCATTAATCAATGGTGCCAGAGGCCCTCCAAGTTTAATGGACAAGTGGATGCAAGAAACACACACACATCTAACGGCATTACGCCTATTGATTGTTTTATTAAACATTAGTTTCCTTTCATTTCTTAAGCCAAGGATGTTTTGCCTCCGAGACACGCCACTGAACTGCAGGAATCATTCTGGATTTCAGAATCACCAGTTTCTAACACGAACGCAAGGCGACTTTAAATGGCGGCACTGCTGCCATCCAAATTCTGAATTGGTCCCTTCGACGTTGTCGCAGGCGCCTCCGTGCTTTTCAGCTTTTCAACCTGGCTTATTTCTTCATTATCAAAGTTCTTCCTGTAAAGACACCAATGCACACTGGGTTTTGTTTTTTGTTTTTTTAAAGGCAGTGAAAAGCAGCAAGATCAACCATCATCATCATCATCATCATCATCATCATAATTTATTATTTATACCCCGCCCATCTGGCTGAGTTTCCCCAGCCACTCTGGGCGGCTCCCAATCAAGTGTTAAAAACAATACAGCGTTAAATATTAAAAACTTCCCTGAACAGGGCTACCTTCAGATGTCTTTGAAAGATAGGATAGCTGCTTATTTCCTTCACATCTGAAGGGAGAGTGTTCCACAGAGTGGGCGCCACTACTGAGAAGGCCCTCTGCCTTGTTCCCTGTAACCTCACTTCTCGCAATGAGGGAACCGCCAGAAGGCCCTCGGCGCTGGATCTCAGCATCCGGGCTGAATGATGGGGGTGGAGATGCTCCTTCAGGTATACTGGACCGAGGCCATTTAGGGCTTTAAAGGTCCATCTCCTCCCTACACTAGCTCCCAAGCATATACCAGTTGTATACTGGTTTGTTCAGTAGGACTTTCTCTCTTTTGTCTGCTTTAGTCAAGTGCCTCTGCTACACTGTCACAGGGATTAGAGGCCGATGAACAACACAATCCTATACAAGTCCACACAGAAGTACATCCCTGTGGCGTTTGCCCTGCTAGGTGTGTGACATCATACTGGGTTCATAAGGAAAGGGTTAACTAATTGTAAAATGACTAACCAATAGGAACCCAAGGGGAGGAGTTAGAGTTGTTAAGAAGTCAGTCTGGAGTTAGAGAAGAGACTGAGAGGATAAGTCTGTGGGTTGGGCTAGTCTGATGTGGGAGAGTGAGAGAATCGGTTAAGAGGGGCCGGTCAAACAGTTGATATAATCAGTCAGAAGGTATTAGGAAGGTATAGGCTGGTAAAGAAAGTAAAGAAACTGACAAGAATATTCTGAGAAACCATAAACCTGTTAATACTTATAAAATAAACTTGTTTATTTGCTTCAATTTTAACAACTGTCTGGACTCAGTGTGTACCCGAGAGTAACGGGTTGCTGGCAGCGGGGAAGTGAGCACAGTGGTGGCACAGGGATCAATAGACCGTTAAACGTCCGGGGACCCTGTGTGATCGCCACAAAAGGCTCCAGTCTCTTCGGGGGCATGGGTTCGAATCCCACCGCTGACACCACTTTTGTGCCGATCACACAGGGTCCCCGGACGTTTAACGGTCTGTTTATCCCTGTGCCACCACTGTGCTCACTTCCCCGCTGCCTTATGAACCCAGTATGATGTCACACACCTAGGAGGGCAAACGCCACAATCCCATTTATTTCAGGGATTCTTACTCCTAGGTAAGGGGTTTGGGTATTGCCAGCTAAATGTGGAGGAACCATTCATCATTAGTCTCCCAGCAGCACCGAAGGGAAAGGAAGAAGAGGGCCACAACCTGAAAACAGGAAGCTTTTGATTAAAGGCACAGTGACCCAGAAACACCATCGATAGTGCTTTGCCTTAACACACTGGGCAGGCTGGTGCTGTAACTGCATTCTATGGTGGCAAACAAAATGGGGAGGGGGAATGGGAGGAGAACACAGAAAACTCTGGAATACAGTGAGCTGACAATGAAGTTGCCTGATTACTCCATGACAATGGAATGAACTTTTATGGCAATTCCAGAGAAAGGGGTTACCATGGACGGATCCAGGGTTTCCAATTGCAGTTGTCTTTATTAGAGCAGCAGCTAAATATGTAATGGAAATCAGTTTTGGGGTGCCTCCACTGACTTCCACATTTGTGCTTTGCATCCTCTTCGCAACCTAGCATAAGTTTCTCCAACCGCTTTTCTGGAATTGGGAAAAGAGAAAAGGAGTTTGTATTAGGGAAATTCCAAGAAAATGTCCACCTACAAACCCATTTCCCCCCATATAGAGTTAACATGTTCTGCGTTATTTTAAAGATAACTTTCCAAATTTTCCTTATCTGCCAACAGCTTTTCGAAATGGCATTTTACACGTGAGTAAAGCAACCAGGAGCATGACATACAAGATGACTCAGAATCTCTCTGCTTCTTTTCTAAAGATTAGTTAAAGACCTCTCCAAGGAAATAGACAATAGTTTAATGACCCTTTACTGTACTGAAAGTTTTGGTTTCGCATTTAGTGAACTGACAATAATTTTGATGTTAGGAATAAAATTGGATGAGCTTAGTTGGGTGAGCATGTTGCATTGGTCACAAAAACACCTCCCCCCCCCCCCCCGCACACAACAAATGAAGAAAAAAATCTATATTTTTAAATTTTAATCTCTTCTTTGAGGTTCTTAGCATTAAGAAAATGTGACGAGATGTTACCTGAAATATGTTTTACATGCAACATTTATTGTGACCAACGTAACACCACAATGTGCAGCTTACTTAGCATAAATATGTTGTCATGTGTGTCATATAAACCTTTCCCCCCCTAAGGACTATCGCAAGTCCTTTCTAGAGAATGTAATAAGTTGTACTATACCATCAATGTAAGGCATATTACAGTTTTACAAAAGAGACGGGAGCCTACATGAAAGGACATAAATTAACTATGGAACTGGAGGAAATGAATTGTTAGCCATCAAAGCTGCTTTGAAAAACAGCAACACCATCCAGCGTTAGTGCCAAGAAACCATAAGACTGAATATACATAATAACCAATAACATCTTCACTGATGATCGGTATAAAGACAATAATAAAAAAGAAGAGTTTGGACTTGATGCCCCGCCTTTCATTCCCCTTAAGGAGTCTCAAAACGGCTAACAATTTCCTTTCCCTTCCTCCCCTGCAACAAACACTCTGTGAGGTGAGTGAGGCTGAGAGACTTCAGAGAAGTGTGACTGGCCCAAGGTCACCCAGCAGCTGCATGTGGAGGAGCAGGGAATAGAACCCAGTTCACCAGATTACAAGTCCACTGCTCTTAACCACTACACCACACTGGCTCTCCAGTGTGGAGAGGAATTATATTGGGATGTGCATAATTTTGAAAACGGCCTGCCTTACCAGGTTGGCATAAAAATATTTGGTAATATCCAGGCAACTCATACTCAGTGTAGACCCACTGAAATTAAGTTCAGTGACCTCAGTGGGTGGACTCCACCTGGATCTCATCCAATGAGATAACATGTGAGACTTGCTTTCAATTCCAGCTCTTTGAGACAGCATAGTTCAAGGGATGCCTGGGAGCAGAATGCTGTCCTGCGTCCAACACAGCCAATTCTATAAAAGGGTGGCGCTTAGAGAATGCACGACCTCCAGAAAGGCTCCTTACCCCCCAAGACTTTCAGGGTGAAGCAGGCACCACCACGGACTTGGCAGAAATTTTTAAATGGAATGCACGGTGACATTGGCCACATAGAGAGACACTGCCGGCAGACCAAGCCATCTGCTGTTAAAGAGACAGAGACATATTTTATTGCAGCGTCTCCCTGCCTAAACACATTGTTCTTACCTTGAATGCTCACCGCACCAATTTTATCTTTTTTATAGTACTGCCTGAGGAGTACGTAGGAAGGGTTCTATATGTGTATACTCAGAAACAAATCCTGTAGAGTTCGGTGGGGCTTGCTACCAGAATTGCAGCTTCAAACTGACCATGGAATAATGATAATAATAATATTTATTTATTTATACATACATACATACATACCCCACCCATCTGGCTGGGTTGCCCCAGCCACTCTGTGCGGCTCCCAATAACAATAATAAAAAAGCAACAACATCAAACATTAAAAAACTTCCCTAAACAGGGCTGCCTTCAGATATCTTCTAAAAGTCAGATAATTGTTTATTGCCGTGACATCTGGTGGGAGGGCGTTCCACAGGGCAGGCGCCACTACCAAGAAGGCCCTCCACCTGGTTCCCTGTAACCTCACTTCTCGCAGTGAGGGAACCACCAGAAGCCCTCGGAGCTGGACCTCAGTGTCCGGGCAGAACGATGGGGGTGGAGACGCTCCTTCAGGTATACTGGGCCGAGGCCGTTTAGGGCTTTAAAAAGGTCAGCACCAACACTTTGAATTGTGCTCAGAAACATACTGGAATAACTCTCTTGGACTATCACCAGGGTAGAGGGACACTTTTTTTCCTTGGGTACATTTTCAAAAATTGTATTTTAAGAATTGGAAGCTATTGTCACCTGTAACTTTGGTGATCCCAACCTAAGGGGATGTTCCCCCCCCCACACACACACACAAAGGGACACTGTTCCCTCAAAGCATGACTTGGTATTTCCCCATAAAAGCACATAATTGCCATGGACTTAGGTAGCAGGCATCCAGTTTGGTTGAATAAAGCTAATTGTTTCAGGATAATATTGGGCAAAACCTTTCTAATCATGCCACAATGACCTTTACTAAAACGAACCTCAGGGGGAAGAGGACATCAATGTGCCTCTGAGCACAGAGAGATGTATATTTTTTTAGATTCCCACGCAATCTGCAATCCCCTCCACCTCTTGCACACATCACCACAACAAGTACATTGAAAGTTAATCAACATCATGATAACAGTGAGCCACCTTCGCCTCCATGGAGCGTAGGTCTGTAGGGATGTAAAATGGCAGCAGTTTGCATTCCAACCCATACTCATCACAACCAGAGCTGTTTCCGCTGTACTGTGGTTCGGTTTCTGCCAAGTGCTATGTTAGTCATCTCACTCGCCACTGTTCAAAGTAAGCTACATAAGTTGCGGAACCATTTTTGCAACATACATTCATTTCAATGGCAAAGAAAATATCAAAACAATGTAAGAGAACAATCATGTGCTGTTTGCAAACATAAAAATGCAACAGTGAGAAATAATACGGATCAATACCAACAGTAGAAGAATGGCAGATGAAGATGTTGGACTTTTTGGAGCTGGCCAGAAAGGAGACACAAGAGGATTGGAAGAAATTCAAAGAATATTTAGCTAAACATTGTAATATAAGATAAATAGAAAATCCTTTTCCTCTTCTAACATCCCAATATGTGTGAGCTCTCCAAAGGCAGCAAACCTTTCCTCAGCTAGTTGTTTGTTTTTTCTTCCTCCCCTGAAAATGTCTCTGCAGAAATTTAACATCACTCTTGCAAATTATCTTCCAAATTCAGAAAGCAGCTTGGGGATTTGTCACTTTTTAAGAAGAGACAAGAAAGTGGAGGGGGGAGTAATAGAACATGTCACTGGCCGGCAGACGTCACCTTACCTTTTGACAGGTCTTCTGGTATGAGGCAGAGGAAAGCATAGACTACAAGCAGCCATGGCTGGAACACGACTGGCCCCCGAGCCCTGAGGAAGAGTATGTTCCCCATTTGACAGACTGAATGAAACTACTGCTCGGTGGTTGTTGTGATTGTTGTTGTTTATTTTTTTAAAAATCTACACCTACACTCCAAAGATCAACATGTTCTCTTGGCGATGAGCCAAAGGATCGTTGCTGGTCTATGGAATGTAAGACCCTCCCAAGTGAAATATTGAAACATCCTCCCACTCCCGAAATCTTGGCTCTTCTGAGACTGGCAACTGCTGGTATGTATCTCTCATTTGCTTTCTTGTTTATTCATAATAGAGGACTGACTGTCCTTAATAATGGACACCAATGGGTCTGCCCCATTCTTAAAAGAAAAAGAAGGAAGGAAATCCCTATTTGGATTTTTTAAAGGGCTTGTTTTGGTAGTGCTGCAAATCATGGAGTCCGCCTTCCCCCCTCCACACACACAAAGTCTACTGCTCATTCCTTCTTGCATCTGGATGCTGCTGTTTTCATAAAATGGTAGAGTTGGAAGGGACCCCGAGGGTCATCTAGTCCAACCCCCTGCAATGCATATGTTTTCCATACCTGTATCTTGACTTCCTTCCATGATGGAACACAACAGCTTGCCAGGCAGGCCCATCTTCAAGGAGTTTGATTTGACTGGAACTCAGCTCTGGAAAATGTCAAATAAATTCATCCAACCCCCCCTGGAAAGCATAAGACAAAAACAAATACTGCAAGTATTAGTTCAAAATATAAGAGAGACAGAAAGAATTGCAGGCATAAAGTGTGGAGAAAAAGAATACAAGGTCAAATCCTTCGCTGACAATATAGTTTTGACATTACAGGAACCACAAATCTCGACAGCGGGAGCATTAAAAGTAATTAAGAATTTGGTTTGTTGGCAGGACTGAAAATTAACAAGCATAAAACAAAAACGATGGTAAAAAATATGAATGGGGAACAAATAGATCAGTTACAAAGCAAAACGGAAATAACAGTGGTAAAGAAAATAAAATATTTAGGTGTCTGGCTCTCCCCGAAAAATACAAACCTATTTATGGACAATTATAAAACAACAGGCAGGCTTATCTTCAAGGAGTTTGATTTGACTGGAACTCTGCTCTGGAAATGGGACGTGGGTGACGCTGTGGGTTAAACCACAGAGCCTAGAACTTGCTGATCAGAAGGTGGGTGGTTCGAATCCCCGCAACGGGGTGAGCTCCCATTGCTCGGTCCCTGCTCCTGCCAACCTAGCAGTTCTAAAGAATGTCAAAGTGCAAGTAGATAAATAGGTACCGCTCCGGCGCAAAGGTAAACGGTGTTTCCGTGCGCTGCTCTGGTTCGCCAGAAGCGGCTTAGTCATGCTGGCCACATGACCCGGAAGCTGTCTGCAGACAAACGCCGGCTCCCTTGGCCTATAGAGCGAGATGAGCGCGCAACCCCAGAGTTGGTCACGACTGGACCTAATGGTCAGGGGTCCCTTTACCTTTACTGCTCTGGAAAATGTCAAATAAATTCATCCGAACCCCCCTCCCCCCGAAAAGCATAAAAGAAAAACAAATAGCCCCTCTTTTTCGCAGGAGACTATTTTTGGAAGCCGGGAGCTGGGGAAGAGGTTTTGGCCCAGCATTTGTGTGGACAGAGGGATTCCTTACTGCAAACACCGTGTAACTTAAAAAAATAAAAAAACCTGAATTTTTATTGAAAGTTTTCAGCATATAATATAATTTAAAAAATGAATCTAAATTAAAATAGGGAAAAGAAAGAGAAAACAAAGAGAGAAAAGAGGAGGGAAAAGAGAGAGTCCTGTATTAGGAGTAGATCTTGACCCTTATCTCGCACAAAAGAGTGTGGACCCTCCCAGCTCTCACCTGGGAGCTTCCATTGCTTCTCCCACCCTGGGAGTTCTTCCCTTCCCTGCCTCTCACGCAAGGTCCTTCGTCAGTCCTCCATGACCTTCCTGTGAGCATCCTCCTCAACTCAGAGTAGAGGACATCAGAAAACAAAATACAACTTAAACAAAAATGAAATCAACCAAAAACAAAAAGCACAAAAGCTAAATATAATAAAAAGGAGAGAGAGAAAGAGGCATAAGGTAAAGAGATAGAAAGGACTTCCGATTCTCCATCGGTCCATTATGTATATTCAGATTATTCAAAGCATTCAGAACTCCAAGACAAGGTCCGGGTATTCCTCAATCTGTTAGGCGGTGCTTCCTCAATCTTCAGTCTCCAAATTTGTTCGTTTTCCTTTCCACGCAAAAGGTCCAAAAAGTGCTCTTCAATTGTTGTTATCACTAGAGACTCAGAATATTCTTCCTCCGGCCCAGTGTATTCGATTTTATCTCCAAGAAGTTCCCTTAGTAAGGTAATAATAATCCATAATTACAGTGATACCTAGGGTTACATACGCTTCAGGTTACATACGCTTCAGGTTACAGGCTCCGCTAACCCAGAAATAGTGCTTCAGGTTAAGACCTTCAGGATGAGAACAGAAATCGTGCTCTAGCAGCGCAGCAGCAGCAGGAGGCCCCATTAGCTAAAGTGGTGCTTCAGGTTAAGAACAGTTTCCGGTTAAGAACGGACCTCCGGAACGAATTAAGTACTTAACCCGAGGTACCACTGTACTTACCGTACTTCTTGCATGTTCATTAGTTCATACCCTATTCCCTTCCCTTCCAGACCCATTTCCTATTGATTTCCCATCTTAATTGAGAAGAGGAAAAAGTCGATATTGATGGCTCAGAAATGGAAGCAAGAGGAGCTACCTACACTAGACGAATGGAGAATGAAGATGACGGACTATGCAGAACTTGATAGACTGATGGGAAGGATCCGAAATTGACGAGATCAGAGATTTATAGAAGACTGGGAAAAATTTACAGAGTATATGCATAAATTAAGTGATAATCAAATAACGCTTGTAAGCTTTAATGAAGCTCTGTAAGAAGAAATGTTAGAATGTGAGTAAGATAAGATTTAATCTATAAAAATAATGGAAGTAAGGATTTAGAAATGTGTAAGAAATTAAGAAGGGAAGGAGTATCAGTCAAGTTGACGGAAGTCAAATTGGGAATGGATTTATAAAAAAAAGATGTATGAATTGTATAAATTTTGTATTGGAAAAATTGAATAAAAATAATTTTTTTAAAAAAAAGAGAAGAGGAAAAAGTCACAGAATCATAGAGTTGGAAAGAATCCTGAGGATCATCTAGTCCAGGCATCCCCAACCTTCGGCCCTCCAGATGTTTTGGACTACAATTCCCATCACCCCTGACCACTGGTCCTGTTAGCTAGGGATCATGGGAGTTGTAGGCCAAAACATCTGGAGGGCCGCAGGTTGGGGGTGCCTGATCTAGTCCAACCCCCTGCAATGCAGGAATGTGCAAATGCCCCTTAAGGGGATCCAACCTGCGACCTTGGTGTTATCAGCACCACGCTCTAACCAACTGAGCTGTCCTTCCATGTTTCTATCCAGAGAACCATCCTTTTCTCACAGTGGCCTATGGGATGCCTATGGCAAGCCCCCAAGCACGATCAGAGAGCGTTGGCTTTCTCCCTACCTGTGACTCCTAGCAAACAGGTATCCAGGGGGCATACTATCTCCAACACTGAAAATGAGGACCAGCATCACCAGGGACGCGGGTGGCGCTGTGGTCTAAACCACTGAGCCTCTTGGGCTTGCCAACTGGAAGGTTGGTGGTTCGAATCCCTGCAACGGAGTGAGCTCCCATTCCTCTGTCCCAGCTCCTGCTAACCTAGCAGTTCGAAAGCACTCCAGTGCAAGTAGATAAATAGGTACTGCTGTGGCAGGAAGGTAAACAGCATTTCCGTGCGCTCTGGTTTCCATCACAGTGTTCCGTTGTGCCAGAAGAGGTTTAGTCCTGCTGGCCACATGACCCAGAAAGCTGTTTGTGGACAAACGCCGGCTCCCTCGGTCTGAAAGCAAGATGAGCGCCACAACCCCATAGTTGCCTTTGACTGGACTTAACGTCCAGGGGTCCTTTACCTTTACCTCTAATTTATTATTTAAATATAAAAATACTTATATCCCATTATGTCATTAAAAAATACATCAAACCAGTTTACCGGAACACAACATAAAACGGTACAATATAAGCCATGGAAAAGAGTTTAAAACAGGCATCGGTTAACCCTTACAGAGCCACAACATTGGTTGGGCTTACCTCCTGCTAGGAAGCAGAGGAAAAACAGGAAGCAAGTAGCCCAATCCGAGCCATGGCTAGCTTTCGGCGGTCCTCAAGTAGAAGCCCTGTCTTGTTGGCGCCAACAGAGAGAAAGCGACTTCTCATTTGTGGGCAAACTGGTTTTTATCCCGATAACAGAACACATCTATTCTCCAGAGATCAGCCCTCACTTCTGAAGGTGGGTTGAAAGGCGACGGGTGGGCCTTGAGATCACAGACAACCTTTTGAATGTTTGAATCGTAGTCGAGATCACAGCATGTGCACACAAACCGGCTGGCACACATTACTCTGGGAGTCTTGGAGCTCCCTTATCATAGAGTGGGGTGAGGGTACATTCAGTTCTCTGAACAAGATCAAATACGCTCATATTTTCTTTGCCTACATATCCAACCAGTCCTGGATACTATGGATGCTGGCATTGCGACATTCTGCCTTCTGATTTTGCTCTCCCCAAATCGTAGAACTGTAGAGTTTTAAGGGACCCCCACGGGTCATCTAGGACCCTCGTACCTACGGGACCGCCTCTCCTGGTATGTCCCATGGAGGATCTTATGGTCTTCAAATAAAACATCTTGGAGATCCCGGGCCACAGGGAGGTTAGGCTGGCCTCAACCAGAGCCAGGGCTTTTTCGGTCGTGGCCCCGATCTGGTGGAACGCTCTGTCACAAGAGACTAGGGCCCTGCGGGACTTGACATCTTTCTACAGGGCCTGAAAGACAGAGCTGTTCCACCAAGCCTTTGGCCAAGGCACACTCTCTCCTTCTGTAATCCTCATAGAACTCTAGCCCAATGGTTGCCATTAATTTGACTCTGAATTGATTTTAGAATGAATTGATTTTAGAATGTATCCATATTTTTCGCCCCATAGGGTGCACCTAGTTTTTTGGGGGGGAATAAAGGGGGGGAAATTACTTCCCCCCCAGGCATAGGGCTGGGGCGGGGGAAGCCCAAGCTTCCCCTGACCCCAGCCCCCAGAACAGGCAGCAAGCCATGGGAGCCCGGAGCGAAGTTGCGCCAGGCTCCCATGGCTTGCGGAGAGCTGCGTGAAGCCCGAAGCCTGGGGTGCGCTGAGCTCAAGCCCTGGGTTTTGGGATGCAGGCTGCTATCCGCAAGCCTAGGGAGCCCGGCGGGAACTCCCGCGGGCTCCCCAGGCTAGCGAATAGCTTCCTGAAGCCTGGAGAGTGAGAGGGGTCGGTGAGCACCAACCCCTCTCGCTCTCCAGGCTTCAGCAAAAGCCTGCATTCACCCCATAGGACGCACACACATTTCCCCTTCATTTTTGGAGGGGAAAAAGTGCGTCCTATAGGGTGAAAAATACGGTATTTCAATTAATTGATTGTGATTTTATGTAAACTGTGTTTTTTTTACTTTTGTTAGCCACTCTGAGCCCGGCTTCGGCTGGGGAGGGCAGGATAAAAATAAAATGTTGTTGTTGATGATGTTGTTGTTTTTGTTGTTATTTAGTCCAACCCCTTGCAATGCGAGAATCTCAGTTAAAGCATCCATGACAGATGGCTGCCCAGCTGTTCTTCTCCTGAAAAATGATACGCAACATCTCCTCTCCCACCCTGTACTGTACATCTTTCCATTCCTTTTTTTTTTTACTTGTTTCTTTATTTAAAAATATATTGCTTAACATAATAAACAAATCTGTAAGGGGTTTACATGAAAGAGGAATAAACGTGAAGGAGCATCTGCAGAAGGTCCTTAGGTTCATTTTCCAGCTTCTCCAGGTAAAGTTGAGAGAGATTCCTGCCTGTCATTCACTGCAGAGAATACCGAGATAGCCGAACCAATGATCTAACTCAGTATAAGGCACCTTCCTATATTCCAGCGCTGAGCAGATCATTTGCTGCTGTGTTCTTTCATTTTATATCCCTGGATAGAAAAGACTTCCAGTTCAGATGCTTGCTTTCAATGAGTTGGAAGGTAAAGAATTGTGACGGAGGGGGCAGAGCTAGTGTGTGCATCCATATTTGCCCCCACTGCATCTAGGCGATTGTGGTCAGGACTTCTTTTTTTTTCGGCCGGAACTTTCCGGAACTCAGTTCCAGCACCTCTCAGGTGGGCGCCATTGCCATTATAAGAGAACAAGGGAGGGGTTCATGGTGAGTTCCGGCATCTCCTTTTCTAGAAAAATAGCACTGATTGTGCTTACTGTTGTGCAGAATGTGGTAACTAGGGCTTTTTTCAGTAAAGTGGCACAGTGGTACCTTGGGTTACGACCTTAATTCATTCTGGAGGCCCGTTCTTAACCTAAAACTGTTCTTAACCTGAGGTACCACTTTAGCTCATGGGGCCTCCCGCTGCCGTGGTGCCGCTGGAACACGATTTCTGCTCTCATCCTGAAGCAAAGTTCTTAACCTGAGGTACTATTTCTGGGTTAGCGGAGTCTGTAACCTGAAGTGTCTGTAACCTGAGGTACCACTGTATATTTCATAGAATCATAGAGGTGGAAGGGACCATGAGGGACATCTAGTCTGACACCCTGCAATGCAGGAATCTTTCACCCAGTTTGGGGCTTGAACCCACAACCCTGAGATTAAGACCCTGAGATTAAGAGTCTCATTCTCTACCAACTGAGCTATCCACTACCAGCTAAACATCGTGATATACCAATCTATCACGATCTCTGAAATATGGATGGAGCTATGTAGAGACACTGAGATCCAGGGCCAGGGGCCTTCTGGTGGTTCCCTCACCGCAAGAAGCGAGGTTACGGGGAACCAGGCAGAGGGCCTTCTCGGTAGTGGCGCCTGCCCTGTGGATCGGCCTCCCACCAGATGTCAAGGAGATAAACAACTATCTGACTTTTAGAAGACATTTGAAGGCAACCCTGTTTAGGGAAGTTTTTTATGTTTAATGCTGTATTGTGTTTTTAATATACGATTGGGAGCTGCCCAGAGTGGCTGGGGAAACCCAGAAATAGGCGGGGTATAAATAAATTATTATTATTATTATTGGCTAGCTTCATGGCTTTTACTGCATCTTGATTTTTGCCAGCACCTGCTTTTATGATGCACTGCAGCAACCGATAGAAACATTGGCTGACTTCATGGGTTTTCCCACATTGTGTTTTTTGCATAGCACTTGCACACTGATTTGTGATATGTTATTGCCAGGACAAAAATGATGAAATCACAATATCGCGATACAGCCTTCAAACCAGTTTTGGATGATATATTGGATGATATATGATGTATTTGCCATGTATTGGATACTGTTTGAGATGTAATTGGTGGTGCAGAAAAATAATTGTCCCGGGTGTATTTGATCCATTTTATGAAACTTGGTTTGGTTTTATTTGGTTAAAGAAAGTTACTTAAAGTGTGGGGGCGTGGGGCGGGAGTACTGCCTATTCCCACATTGTAAACCTTCAGGGAAGCAGCTTAGAATGCTATTACCAACATTGGGGGCATGCATGTAAGGAGGACAGCAGTGGGGAAGGAAAGGGTTAAGCCTCCTTTCCCCGCACACTGCATTCCCAATGAGATCCTACAAACCCCATGACAAACTGGGTGTTCTAATAATGTGTGTTTAGCATCACATTTACTTTGGCCATGAGACCAAATATATAGCTTGTAGAGGAATGGGACCAGTTTGTAAAGAGTCTCGCTGTGCTTCATTTAAATGTACCGGTATCTCTTCTTCTCCAGTAGTTTCATCTGAGAAAATCAAGTCTGCAAGCTGGCAGCGGAAACTGTTTGCAGATAGCATGGGCTGACTGGACTCGGTCGTGCCACAATCCCGTCAACTATTTTTAAATTGAAGGGCATGTGTTCAGCGACAGTCTCTCTCTTTTTTTCCTATATCTGTAGGTCAGGGGCAAAGGGATGCAGGCAGCACTGTGGGTTAAACTACAGAGCCTAGGGCTTGCCGATCAGAAGGTCGGCGGTTTGAATCCCCCGACAGGGTGAGCTCCCGTTGCTTGGTCCCTGCTCCTGCCAACCTAGCAGTTCGAAGGCACGAAGTGCAAGTAGATAAATAGGTACCGCTCCGGCGGAAAGGTAAACGGTGTTTCTGTGCGCTGCTCTGGTTCGCCAGAAGCAGCTTAGTCATGCTGGCCACATGACCTGGAAGCTGTACGCCGGCTCCCTCGGCCAATAAATCGAGATGAGCGCCGCAACCCCAGAGTCGTCCGCGACTGGACCTAATGGTTAGGGGTCCCTTTACCCTTTACCTAGGGCAGGGGCAAGGTAACCCAGTGCTTAATTTTCTGGTCTGCACATCTGCAATTTGCAACCCCTAAAGGGAACCAAGATCACACTGTGACTGCACGTTGGAAGCAGAAACTGGCTGTGGGCAGAATTGATTGGCTGGAATCTGTCACGCCACAAATCAGCCTATTCTTCCGCATTCCCTGATGCAGCTGGGCTTAAGGGGGGGTCACAGATTCCAAGTGGGCTAGAATTACTCTTCCAGTTTCCACATCAACGTGGCCACCCAATAGACCAAGAGAGGATTTTGCTCCCAGTGTTTGCATTCTCCCCGTTTCCCTGCCCGTGGTGGCAAATGGAAATCTCAAATAAAGAAAGGGCCACATGCTTAGCTATAGAAGGGAGGGACCATGGAGTCATCTGGTCCAAACCTCTGCAATGCAGGGTTATTTTGCACAACGTCAGGCTCAAACCCATGACCTTGAGATTAAGAGTCTCATGCTCTACCAACTGAGCTATCCCAGAGAATAAAAGCATAAAAAGAAGAGCACTGCCAAATCGGACCACGGGCCTCTCAGGTCCAGCCATTCTTCTCCTTACAGTGCCAACCATAGGTCTAAAGGCAGCCCACATGACCACAGAAACATTCTTCCACTCATGATCCTCAACAGCTCATATTTGCCTCTGGCCCTTTAAGTAGCATGTGGCCGTGGTGAATAGCGGCCGCTGGATTTGTTTAAAGCTGCCTAGGTTTGTGGCCCTCACAGTGTCCATGGGAGATGGTGTGACTGACGGCTGAACAAACACTCACTTTTTCGGTATCTGTTAATTAACTGAAAGACTTCTGGTTGCTTCGACCCCTCTTTGTTCTTCTCTCAACGTCACACAAAGAACTAAGACACGCAACACTGCCATCTATTATTGCTGAGTGCAATAATCTTTATCGGAGCAACAGGAGAATGTGTACAGTTTGCCAGTGCGCTTGTCAAAATTCCATTGGTCACACCTGTCGTCATCCACATTCGTGCAGCCCATGACCTTCTGCCACAGCTGGAAACCTGGAGTGGTGGGAAGAGGCACGGGGAGAAAGGAAAGCGTTTTGATTCGTGTTGTTATTCATGTTCTGCTTGAGGTGAAACAGGAACGTGCCGCCACCCCGCCCCGCTGCCCACGACACACTAGCCGCTGCTTCTCCACTGGCGGTGGAGGGGGGTGAGTGGCGGAGGTGAGGCAGGCACCACCTCTTGGACTTCTTCCACCATTCAAGGTGGGTGCCTCACCTTCGTTCGTCAGTAGACTAGGCCTAGCTGTGAGTCCCGACCTATCTAAAGCCACCCAGGGGCTTGATGCCCCAGTGGCAGCTGTATTCATATCTGAAGGAGCATCTCCACCCCCATTGTTCTACCTAGACACTGAGGTCCAGCGCCAAGGGCCTTCTGGAGGTTCCCTCACTGCAAGAAGCCAAGTTACAGGGAACCCGGCAGAGGGCCTTCTTGGTAGTGGCACACACCCTGTGGAACGCCCTCCCACCAGATGTCAAAGAGAACAACAACTACCAGACTTTTAGAAGACATCTGAAGGCAGCCCTGTTTAGGGAAGCTTTTAATGTTTGATGCATTACTGTATTTTAATATTTTGTTGAAAGCCGCCCAGAGTGGCTGGGGAAGCCCAGCCAGATGGGTGGGATATAAATTGTTGTTGTTGTTATAATCCACAGGCCAACACAATATGACTTTCCCCAAAAGCAATGCTCTTGAAATAAGTGCTAGCTTGCAAGGAAAAGGTCAAGGTTGCTAAGAAGACAAGACACCTTACCTTTGTAGACTTTCAAGATTATGCAGGTCATTTTGTTCTTTATGGCAGCGCATCTTCTCCCTAACGGCATGCATGGTATCCACGGCCTCATGGTAGCACACTGTCGGCAGACAACAGCATCTGTCGTTAAGAAAGAGCATTAAAAATAATAATGCGGTTGCTCCTAGGATCCACATTAGCAAGTGTCTCCAGATCAAGTTTATCTAGATGCTGGATAGTGAAAAGAGATATTATCCTCCTCCTCCTTTTCTCCTTAACCCAGCAAGGCTCATGAAAATGGAGCTATATCATGACACGGTGCTGTTCGCATTGCTATGTCATGACATAGTGCCGTGTGCAAGGATGTGACAGGCACTGTAGTATAACTGTTTTGGTCCTCTGGAATGAGGACGCGGGTGGCGCTGTGGTCTAAACCACTGAGCCTCTTGGACTTGCTGATCAGAAGGTCAGCAGTTTGAATCCCTGCGACGGGGTGACCTCCCGTTGCTCTGTCCCAGCTCCTGCCAACCTAGCAGCTCAAAAGCACGCCAGTGCAAGTAGATAAATAGGTACTGCTGTGGTGGGAAGGTAAACAGCGTTTCTGTGAGCTCTGGTTTCCATCACGGTGTCCCATTGCTCCAGAAGCGGTTTAGTCATGCTGGCTGCATGACCCGGAAAGCCGTCTGTGGACAAACGCCAGCTCCCTCGGCCTGAAAGTGAGATGAGTGCCACAACCCCATAGTCGCCTTTGACTGGACTTAACCATCCAGGGGTCCTTTACCTTTACCTTTATATATATATAACTGCTTTAGCTCCTCAGGAATGAGTAACAACGGCTCCCAAAGACAGTGTTAAATAGCATTAACGATCCAATGCTAAAGCATTTTAAAACATAATCCAAAAAGCAACTCAGTTTGTGTATACGGACATTAGAACATTCTCAGGACTTCGTAAAACAAACCATTACAATATATCAGACAAATATGTAATCAATATGCCCAAGCAATTGCATATTCTTAGAGTGCTCATTCTCCCTCCCCCCCCTTTCAGAGTTAACCTTTCAGATGACTTGCTGTTTATTTCCTAAAACGTTTTCATATCACCAAGGCAATGTGCAGCAATTATACCAGTACAGTGGTACCTCGGGTTAAGTACTTAATTCGTTCCGGAGGTCCGTTCTTAACCTCCTGAAGCACCACTTTAGCTAATGGGGCCTCCTGCTGCTGCCGCACCGCCGGAGCCTGATTTCTGTTCTTATCCTGAAGCAAAGTTCTTAACCTGAAGCACTATTTCTAGGTTAGCGGCGTGTGTAACCTGAAGCGTATGTAACCTGAAGCGCATGTAACCCGAGGTACCACTGTATACCAGTACAATAAAATACAAAGTGCCATACAAACTGTCTACGATAATAATAATAATAACAATAATAATAATATTTTTTATTTATACCCCGCCCTCCCCAGCCAAGGCTGGGCTCAGAGCAGCTTACAAGCAATAATAAAAACAAGTTGAATGATTACAACTTAAAAACAACATTAAAAAACAACATTAAAATATTGAAACATTAAAATATTAAAATGTAGCCTCATCGCAGGAGGAGAAGAAAAAGAAAAAAGAAAGAGATACGGACTGAAATGACTGGTAGCCTTAAGAAAACTGAGTTCTGACAGCGATTTGTCTTTCCCAAGTTCAAAAGCATTTTGAATGTGTAGTTGTCCTCATGATATCATGGGCTGCATGAAAGTGGCGATTTACAGAAAGGTGGCTGATGGCGAAGATTCTGAGTAAGTGTACGTTTGTATTGTTCACAGATATTGCAATATCACCTGGGACCAAGTGGCAAAGCTATCTGATCTAATTCTACAATTAAAAACAATAAATTACCTTGTAATTTACCTTGAGGGGGAGAAGCAAATTGGGGGTTTGTCTTGCAGCTCATACATTTGAAACACATAGCTTCCCTCAATGACTCCTGGGAACTGGAGTTTGTTAAGAGTGCGGAGAATCGAAAAACTGTAAGGGGTAAATTAGAGGTCCCAAGAATCCTTTGGGGAAGCCATGTGTTTTAAATACACTTTAAATGTATGTGACGGATAGGGGAAAGGGTAGTGGGATATGATGCCCAGACCAGTGGCACCCCATGTAATTATTATTATTATTATATTAGTGCTTTTTTCTAAAAAAATGTTTAGGGGTACTCTCACTTTCCTACTCATATTGAACTATTGCCCCTCAATGAGGCCAAGCTTATATTCACAAAATGTTTTGGGGCATTTTTGTTGTTGTTGTTTAGTTGTTTAGTTGTGTCTGACTCTTCGTGACTCCATGGACCAGAGCACGCCAGGCACTCCTGTCTTCCACTGCCTCCCGCAGTTCGGTCAGACTCATGTTTGTAGCTCTGAGAACACTGTCCCACCATCTCGTCCTCTGTCGTCCCCTTCTCCTTGTGCCCTCCATCTTTCCCAACATCAGGATATGCGTACCCCTAATTATTATTACTACTAGTTGTTGGGCTTACCTCCTGCTACGAAGCAGAGAAAAATGCAAGATGCAAGTAGCCAAATGTGAGCCATGCCTAGCCACAGTGATCCTCGAGCAACAACAGTGTCCTCTTAGATGGAGCTAACAAAGAGAAAGTGACTTCTCATTTGTGGGCAGTCTGGTTTTTATCCCAACCATAGAACACATCTACACTCCAGAGATTAGCCTTCGCTTCTGAAGGTGGATTGAACACATGGGATCACTGATTACCATTTTAATGTTTGGATCTTAGGTGAGATAATGTTTTATTTTTTAAAAAATTATATCCCATCCATCTGGCCGGGTTTCCGCAGCCACTCTGGGCAGCTTACAACACATACAGAAACGCAACAAAACATTAAACATTAAAAAACAAAATATCCTACACAAGCAACAAACCAACCAATAAATCAATAGAAATCAGTAACAACAACAATAAAGAGTTTACAGTTACACCCAAGTTAAAATAACCACCAACTCCAGCTAAACATTTAACCAACACCAGCCCAACAAAAACAAAACAAAGGAATTAAAATTAGATACTCTGGGATTTTTTTGATCTCCTTTATCCTAGAGTGGGATGAGTATGCACACCATGGGCAGCAATAACTTAGCAAAGTACGTTCAATTCTCTGAAAAAACGAACGCACCCATATATTCTACGCCTACGTGTCCTGGCCCTGGATTCTGTAGCTCCTGCCATTGCAGCTTTCTGCCTACCGATCATTCTGTTCTCATAATTTCTGCTCCAGAAATATCCCACTTTTATTAAACAAAAAAATGCTTGCCGTGCCTTCTCTCCTGCACTCTAAGCTTTTAACAGGATGAAATTGACAGAGATATTAAGGAGCTTCTGTTTTGAAACTGTTGCTTACTGTGGTGTTCTTCCACTTTGGGTCATTGCCAGAACTGCAACTCCCATCATCGCTGACCATTGGCTAAATTGGCTGGGGATGATGGGAATTGTAGTCCAACAACATCTAGGGACCTGCAGCCGAAAAACACCAACTTATACTATACTCATTTTAACAGCCCCATCAATGGAAGCCCAATGCAAGGACTTCTGCTTGGACAATGAGGCTTTCCCCCGCTCTTCCCCCTGCTTAAGGTTACCAGATTTTTTTCAATGAATCCGGGGACACTTTTTTCTTTTTCTTTTCTTTTTTAGTAAATTTTATTAGTATTTTCCACACAACAATAAAACAACAAAAAATAACAATACACAAAAACAAAAACAAGCACTAAAAAAACAAATCCAAATCTTACAAATTAATAATGTAAACACTAAAAAGGAAAAACAAACATTGACTTCCACCAATCCCACAGCACTTCCTTTACCTCTCATTTTATCTTCCTGTTTTCCTTATCATCTCTATCCTAACATCTAAATATAAATCCCTCTTTCTTGTCCTTTCACTTCACAAGGTTATTCCAGACTCAGCCAGATTTCTGTCCTCGAACCTTGGCTTTTAAGGTATTCATTTAGGCACTCCCCTTCTTTTTTCACTTCACTTTTTGGTTTTTGTCTTATTATATCTGTCAATTTGGCTAATTCTAAATATTCTGAAAGCTTACATAACCGTTCTCCCCTAGTGGGTAACTGATTCTGGGGGACACTTTTCAACTTCCTACTGAATAGATGGATTTTGTCAGGGGACTGATCTGTAAATCCGGGGACTGTCCCTGGGAAACGGGGATGTCTGGTAACCTTACCCTGCATGCCCTCCACATTCCCCAAGACTGGTTTGGGGGGGTGTCAGGAGAACCCCCAAAGCAGCCACCTGGCAGGTAGAAGTGGGGTCTCTCCCATGGCAAGCTGGAATGCTTGTATGGCAAAACAACTGGCACACTTAGAGCAGCTCCCATTGTCCATCCACTGATCTCACAGACACCAGGAAGGGCTGAAGCACCTTAGTTCTCCCCAGCACTATAAAATTAGGTGCTCCTGGACATGGCCGTAGCCAGGATTTTTGTTTGGGGGGGTCAGCCAAAGTTGTTGAGCTTTTTTCTCCTGGGTTCCATATCTACATTTACCTATGGTCATATCTCACACCATACATTGAAAGCAGCTTTACAAACTTAGTTGGTTCTAAGGTGAGGGTGAAAGAGGAGAGCGCAAAATATGGTTTGAAGCTCAACATCAAAAAACAAAGATCATGGCCACTGGTCCCATCACGTCCTGGCAAATAGAAGGGGAAGAAATGGAGGCAGTGAGAGATTTTACTTTCTTGGGCTCCATGATCACTGCAGATGGTGACAGCAGCCACGAAATTAAAAGACGCCTGCTTCTTGGGAGAAAAGCAATGACAAACCTAGACAGCATCTTAAAAGTAGAGACATCACCTTGCCAACAAAGGTCCGTATAGTTAAAGCTATGGTTTTCCCAGTAGTGATGTATGGAAGTGAGAGCTGAACCATAAAGAAGGCTGATCGCTGAAGAATTGATGCTTTTGAATTATGGTGCTGGAGGAGTCCCATGGACTGCAAGAAGATCAAACCTATCCATTCTTCAGGAAATCAGCCCTGAGTGCTCACTGGAACGACAGATCGTGAAGCTGAGGCTCCAATACTATGGCCACCTCATGAGAAGAGAAGACTCCCTGGAAAAGACCCTGATGTTGGGAAAGATGGAGGGCACAAGGAGAAGGGGACGAGAGAGGACGAGATGGTTGGATAGTGTTCTCGAAGCTACCAGCATGTTTGACCAAACTGCGGGAGGCAGTGGAAGACAGGAGCGCCTGGCGTGCTCTGGTCCATGGGGTCACAAAGAGTCGGACACGACTAAACTAAACAACAACAAAGGTGCTACTGGAAGGATTTTTTTATTTTGTTTTGACTGCAGCAGACCACCAGTTCAGCAGTCATGGAGAGAATCCCATAAACTGTAGTTTTGTTAAGGATGCTGAGAATTATAGTTTGGCCATTCCTTTGAGATGGTAAATAGATTAGTTCTTGAATCAAGGTCACAGGCCCACCCTATTCATACACTAAATTTGCCCTTAGGGTGGGATTTGAAGGATTTGGAAGCAAAAGAGCTACTGGGAAACGTTTCTCTTCTGCAGAGGAAATACTTAGAGTCATTAGGAGAGCCAAGATGGCTTGGGAGGGGGGTTTGCTCTGTGTGCGAAAATAATGTGTCATTTCCTTGGGGGAACATTTCCTAAACTTTGAAGGGTGAAGTATTGGTTTTCTGTAGAGTGTGTGCACCCTAACACCTGTGAGGGAACTTTTTGGTTTTGAGAAAAGGCCAGCGACCAGTTACGTGATAAAACTGCATGAAATTATGCAGCTTCATACGAGTATATATTTAAAGAAGATGAGTAAATGAGCAAATTAAGTTCATTTGGATATGCTGAAGATATTAAAAATAAATTTAAGGAGGTGCAGAAAGAGGGGGAGGGAAGTCAAGCTTCGAAATGTCAAAATGATTGTAAAAAATAGTGAAATGTATAAACTTGAAAAGTAGAAACAATTTTTTAATATATATTTTTTAAAGAAAGTGGCGAAAGAAGAGTTCTCCCTCTCTGGTCACACCAAAACTCGTGGGCACCCGATGAAGGTAATGGTTGGAAGATTCAGGTGAAACGAAGCACTTCTTCGCAGGTAACCTGCGGAACTCCCTCCCACAGGAGGCAGGGGTGACCACCCGGTTGGCTCTAAAAGAGGACAGCTAGGCTCTTCCTTAGCAGCTGGAGGCAGCAATGCTCCCGAATGGCAGTTGCTGGGAGCCGCAGGAGGGCAGAGAAACTCCCTGCAAGGCCTACAGAACGGGGGAAACGAAAGGAACCCGGAAGGCGACGCCTTTTGTGAGTCTAACCACACGCCACGCGTCTATGGAAAGCGGAGATAGCGAAAGGGCCGGGAGAACAAATCAACCTGTAGCTCTATGGCCTCGGCGGCGCTCAGAGCGTCGCTTCCGGTGACGTCAGAGCCGCTTCCCAGAGCGGCTGGGGGGGGCGGGAGAACCAATCAACCTGTAGCTCTATGGCCTCGGCGTAGCTCAGAGCGTCGCTTCCGGTAACGTAGGAGCCGCTTCCTGTGGTGGCGTTTACGGAACGGGTTTGTTGTGGAAGTGGGAGGAGGGGGCTGGCGGTTGGCCGGACGTCCCGCAGGCCGTGCGGTTCGCCCCGTCAGCCGTCGCCCTCATGTTCGCGGGGCGGGAAAGTGAAGGCCAAAGAGGGGCGGCGGGGCTGCCGTAATTGCGGCCGTGCTGCGCGGAGGAGCGGCGGGTTTTGCGGGGCCTCCCGTAATTACCCCTCTAAAGCCCCCTCTGAAATTGCCCTTACTGCAGCCGTGAGATCCCCGCCCCTCTGGCTTCTCCCTGGCAGCCGGTTCAAAACACCGCGCCGTCTTAAGAACGGGCGCCTTGGGCTCAGGTGGGCAGGCTTAGCCCCCGAGCCCAAGTCCTCTCCACAGAGATCTCCTGTGCTTCGTTGTGCTTCAGGTTGCAGGTGCGCTTCAGGTGCCTGCCTCAGTCCTAGAATTACAGAGCTGGAAGGGATCCTGGGGGTCAGCAAGCCCAACCCCCTTATGCAATGCAGGGATCTCAACTAAAGCATCCCTGACAGATGGCCACCGCCAGCCCTGCTGCCCTGCCTCTTCCTCCTCTGCCTGCGCTGGAGTGGTGCAGTAGCTGAACGGGGTGAGCTGAAATAAAAGCCCTGTATCTTCTTTCTGTTCATGGTGTGGCATTCTCTCAGTTCACCGTTCCTACACAGCGCAACGTGAGGGCAATACCAGGCCTACTAAGTTGGGCTGTTGTAAAAGCGCTTGAGATAAACGCCTGTGAAGTGTTTTGGGGGAAGCGCTGGGTGCATAAGCGGTGACCAACTCGCCAGGAAGGAGGCTGCTGTCCCATTGTTAACTAAAACAGGACTAGATGGTTCGGGTTCGGAGGCAGTGGCCCACTATCTGTGCCCTACAGGGTGAATTTGATAGCGCTGTACAAAAGGGGAAATATCAAAAGCCGACATTTAAAGGGGTAAAAGATCTGGAACAAAACAGGGGTGGAGAGGGTGACCCTACCTTAATAGGGAGACAAGCAGGTACAAATGTATGGTTTACTCCACTGTGGACAGGCCCAGAGTTTGGGTAAGAGTCATGAGCTAGAAAGTCTCTAATCCAGATCTTGCTTGAGATATAAATACCCTTGGGCAAGCCAGTGTTTTCTCAATCTCAGCACCTCATCTGTTGTATGGGGATGATTTATAATACTAATTTTCCTTAAAGGCTGTTGTAAGGGTTACAGGATAATACACGTGAAGTACTTCAAACACTTGGAAATATGCTGTATATATGGGAAGCATTATTGCTTTCTAAATATTTTTTTTTTCTTTTGACCTGCCAAGGGAATACCAAAGTGTTAAATGCTAGACAACTCATTTGCAAGGTGCCTTGGTGTTAAGGCAGTGGAAGAGATCAACTGGAAGAGATCAACAGCCATAGCTTAACTGTGATGTTGAATCATGCCTCGGCCAGCTCCCAATGGATAAATCTTTGCTGTCCAAAACCCTGCCCAGAGAGGAAAATACACTTGCAGTTGAGGAGCTCCAGATAACCCAAACAACAAGGTAGGTAGTCTGGCATCGCCCGCTGTAAAGGGCTTTGAAGTACCCTGACAAATACTAAAACTGTTGTAATGCTGAGAGTGGACACTTTTTAATTGGTTAGTTGAGAGCCACTGTGATGAAGTGAATAGGTTAGCTTTGAATCTGGGAGACAGATTCTGCCCTCCAGATGTTGGGCTGCTGTGTTTAGCATTAGCAGAAGGTGTGCAAATTACACATAGCAGAGGAACACCTGTCATAAGTTCCAGAGATTGTACTAATTATGCAGCAGCAGGAGAAAGTCCGGGGAACTTTGTTCTCCGTATGTTGAACCACAAACTGTTGGGCTGTTAGCATCCAAAATGCATATGGAAAAAGTTAAGGTTTGAAAGGACTGTAGAACCCTGTGATGTCATACGCTCTGTGGCGTTTCTCTCTGTGTGGTATTTCAGTTGGTTCAGTTGGTTTCATACACTCTGTGGTATTTCAGTTGGTTCAGTTATTAACAGTCTTGTGAGTCTTAACAGTTAGAGCAGCAGGTGTGTTGTGTTGTGCTGCTGTTTGTCTCAGAGTCAGAGTAAATGTTAGTCTGTAACAGTTTAATCTATGTAAGATGTTCTAGCAACTAAATAAACTTCCACCTGCATTGTGTGTGTATGTACACACACGTACAAACATATATATATCTGCAATTGCAAGTACACTAAGTAAAAGTTATTTGGTCTTTAAACACAAGTATCTTGTGTGGTTTTTATAGGAGGAAAAAGAGAACTAAAGGGTCAAACCACCCAGGGCTGTCTTCCACATACTCTGCAAACAGGAACTAGAGTCTTAATTTCCCGCACAAACATCAGTCTCAGCAAACATGGCCAATGGCCAAGTGCGATGGGAGTTACAGTTCAGCAGCGCATGAATAAATTACTTTAACTCTTTAGATTGATGTATATACCCTGTAGAAGTGGGCTGAATTTGTAATGTAAAAGATACTCCAAGTCTGTTTTGATGCTGTGTGGATGACTGCATGCAAGACTTAACATATGTGCATGTATTTGTCCTGGAAGACAACACTTCATGTTTGGTGATTGCTTTCAGAGTTTTCAGTAAAGTTTGTAAAAAGAACAAAACAAAGTTCAGCAACATCTGAAGGGCCACGGATTCCCCACGCCTGAGCTAAATAGAGGGTCCATGATCAGGATGTGAAGGCTATAGGGAAAACTTTCCATATTGTTTTGGGTCATATACGAGTTATTGTGTGCTTACACTATGCTCAATTAGAAATATTTAACATGCCTGTGTATATGCCAGATCACATGCCTCAGTATTTGAGAACAATTGTGGTGTATTCTGTGTATGGTGCAAATTTGGTGTTTTTATGAAAAGTACACAGTTGGGACAAATTGAACTGTGCCACCACTCTATCGTGGTCATATGCAATGTTAATTGTATGCTAGTGCAAGATCCCTTGCACTAGTGGATGGCATAGTTTAAAGGTTGCGCAATTAAGGAATCAAACACAGCTGTTGTGCTAGTGGAAGCTTGTTGCACAACAGCTGTGTTGGCGAGCGGTCTTTTGTAATCTGTTGGCGTGCAGTCTTTTGTAATATACTTGTGTTTTCCTTTGCACAGCAATGCTCCGCCAGCACAACAAGGATATCAATAAGTGACAGTGCTACGCTGGATACAGCCCTTGGTTCTGCCATCCATGCTTTCCCCCTCCTGCCTTTGAGGAGCCATGGCCACCACAAACCCTTTGGAAAACCTCCAGGTAGAAGCCAGCTGCTCTGTCTGCCTGGAGTACCTCAAGGACCCCGTGATCATTGACTGCGGCCACAATTTCTGCCGGGTATGCATCACCCGCTGGTGGGAAGATCTGAACCGGGACTTCCCCTGCCCCGTCTGCCGCAAGACTTCGCGCCACCGCATTCTGAGGCCCAACCGGCAGCTGGGCAACATGGTAGAGATAGCCAAGCAGCTGCAGGTCACGAACAAGCGCAAGGTGCGGGATGAGAACTTGTGCGAGAAGCACAATGAAGTCCTCCGCCTCTTCTGCAAGGACGACCAGGAGGCCGTTTGCTTAGTGTGCGAGATCTCTCACGAACACCGCTCCCACACGGTGGTGACCCTGGACGATGCCTCCTTGGAGTATAAGGTAAAGTGCGGATGGGACATGGCTGGAATCAAGTTTTTAAAAAAGACGGGAGAGGGCATGAAGACCAGCATTTGAGTTTGTTCATAGTAATTGGTTTTAATATTTCTGTTGTGTCTGCGTCTTGGAGTCATTTCCATGAGCAATGCAATTAATGTATATAAATAACAACAGAAACATCACCAGTTGTGTGAGGTATGCATTTGATGTGTATCTGCCCATTGCAGGCAGATGCCTTTTTTGGCCATCACAGTAGCACATAAACTTGCACAGACTGTACATAGCCTGATTGAATAGGGAAGCCCGAGTGGGAACTGCAAGAAAATGCTGTCCTATATTTTGGTTTGCTTGTTTAATCATTAAAGTGCTCAGCCAGCCAGCCACAGCTTCCTCCAGGGAACTATAAGTAAGCCAATTCACCCTCCCATTTTTTCTTTTCAAAGTAATGCTCAGCTGGTTGCTAGTGACCACTGACTATGCTCTCAGTCTCCATAGGGTTGTCTGGGTGGGGGCTGTTGTTGTTGGCTCTTCTGCAAACCTCAGGGGTCCCCTGAGTATGCTGGTGCCTCTCTTTTGTTTCTTGGTGGCTTCCGTGTTAGTTGAATTTCTGTTAGGCGCTGCAGTCAGAGGTGGACTTTGCTATTAGAGGGTGTCATGGAGGTGAGGAATGGAAAGCCTTAAAAATGAGGGAAGGAGCTTGAAATTTGATGTGAGAATTCAGTGCAGAGTTGAATGGAGAAAGGGAACACAGTTGTCTTCCTACAATGAATAGGAAGGCTGGAGGAATAATAATAATAATAATAATTTTTATTTATACCCCGCCCTCCCCAGCCAAGGCCGGGCCCAGAGCGGCTTACAAGCAATAATAAAAACAAGTTAAATGATTACAACTTAAAAACAAAATTAAAAAATACAACATTAAAATATTGAAACATTAAAATATTAAAATGTAGCCTCATCGCAGAGGGAGAAGGAAAAGAAAAAAGAAAGAGAGGGAGGGAATAAAATTGGCTCCAAGCCAAAGGCCAGGCGGAACAGCTCTGTCTTACAGGCCCTGCAGAAAGAAATCGGATCCAGCAGGGCCCTGGTCTCATGAGGCAGAGCGTTCCACCAGGCCGGAGCCAGAGTTGAAAAGGCCCTGGCTCTGGTTGAAGCCAATCTAACTTCCTTAGGGCCCGGGATCACTAGGGTGTTGCTATTTATGGACCTTGAGGTTCTCCGTGGGGCATACTGGGAGAGGCGGTCCCATAGGTACGAGGGTCCTAGGCCTTGAAGGGCTTTAAATAAAGCAAAATAAAGGCAGCAAATGACAGACACAATGTGAGTAGGTTGCTCTTATGTTTGGGAACAAGGTATGCAGCCTGCTATAAGTGGAGTTATGCTGTTATGGGGTGGGCTACACCTAGATCCAGCTTTCTCACTTGAACCTCAAGTGTCCAAGGTGGTGCCTTTGTCCAGCTCTTGCTTACTTGCCAGGCTACAGTTGATTCTGGAGAAGAATACTCTTTTTCACGGTTCCCCAAATTCCAGCAACCTCTCCCTTGCTTGCATTACAGTAATCCCCCTGTACATGAGGCTGCCCTTGAAGATGTGAACACTTCAATTAGTGCAGAATGCATCTGGCCAAATGTTGACCGGTACGTGTTAGACTTGTGAGGTCAGTTGGCCCATAACCTGTTACACAGGGCCAACAATCTGTTGTTGATACTACACCACACTTCAGCCGGTGTGATCAGCAGAATGTTAGAGACTTCCTGCTTTCTACTTGACAGAGTTCCCAGTTTAGAAAACTCCTTACCCACGCAGTTCAATCCAAAATAGAAAATGTTTAGCATCTCATGACACAAGACAAGCATGAACATTCTAGCTAGATATGTTGGTACATCATGAACTATTCTACTATAACACAATTATCTGGGCTTATAAGTAAACCTTGTAAAGTTCAAAGTATACAGGGATATCCACTAGCACTTTATCATGCTGGCTCACCATGCTGTACTGACATCCAGTGTTAGAAACTGAGATACGAAAACTAGGAGCTAAATGGCACCTTAAGCCTAGGTTATGGGCGCAACAACGGAATGTCTGGGCACACTTTTTTATAATAAGAATTCAAAGCTTAAAATGAATGAACTGCAACTAAAATATTCATTTATTTTTCACATGGTCTAGTTCTTCCCCTGCCCACCCCCCCTGATATTCTTAAGAGGGTCTCTTCTCCAGTCTTCAGAGAGTACCTGGAAGTGGGGAGGTGGAAAAAGGTCCTCCTTTCCTTCCATTCTGCTGTTTTAATCTGAAATCTTAGGTGCGGTACTGCGTCCAGAGCTCAGAAACTGCTCACGCTAATGAAATTCCCTGTCGCAAAATGCGCCTATAACAGTGGGAGTTTTGAACACTTCTAACACCATATAGGAGAATCTCATCAGGGTAGGACAGCATTACTATTTCTATAGAAATAATGCTGCAGAGATTGTGGGTGGAGGCAATGGTTGTTTGCAAAAGACCATCTAGACCAAAAGACCATGGGTAGGCGACCTAAGGCCCAGGAGCCAGAGCCGGCCCAATCGCCTTCTAAATCTGGCCCACGGACAGTCCAGGAATCAGTGTGTTTTTACATGAGTAGAATGTGTCCTTTTATTTAAAATGCACCTCTGGGTTATTTGTGGGGCATAGGAATTCGTTCACTCCCCCCCCCCCAAAAAAAAAAAATAGTCCGCCCCTCCACAAGGTCTGAGGGACAGTGGACCAGCCCCCTACTGAAAAAGTTTGCTGACCCCTGATCTAGAACGTCTCTGAAATGGCACTTGAACCAGGAACTCCCAACTTGTTTCATTTTCTGTTTTTAAAGCCATTATATTCTGTTAAAGATAGCTTTTGCTTCTAACTATAGGATAAATCTGGCAGCAGTAGCAGGTGAGCACTCAAGTCGTGGGCAGTGTTTGAAATTAGCCAGGTGCATTTTGCACCTGGCTATCAACCACTTGAGACCAAATGAAGATTCGTGGGCGCACCAAGATGGCACCTGACATCTCCACCATCTGGAGGTCCATGCCTGGGGATCATTGGATCTTAACTGTTTTCACACACTAATACCGCACCCTGTACAATTCTGTCATTTATATTCTAGCTGCACAATCGGAATGAATTTCAGGAACCAAAATGCTTTTTCTGTGCAGCCTGAGCAGGAGTAGTGAATAATGTTATATGTAATTGTTGTAGCTTATCCTCACTTACCCCACCCTACTGCCCTGTCCACAGTTGTGAAGAATATTCTTACATTTTGAATGGTCTGTGTCACCCTTAAGAAAAAGAGGTAGAAATAGGCCAGGATATATGTAGATTGTCCCTGGATAAAGTGACTTTTCTTCTTTTAAGTTCTCAAAGTTCTTAACCTAGCTCAATGTAGCTATCGGAACTCACCAGATGTTTAACTGAGAATCAATCACAGTCAGTCCACCATATGAAAAATAAGACTTTAGAGCTGTTTAACTCCAAAATAGCAACTACAGTGGTACCTCGGGTTACAGACGCTTCAGGTTACAGACTCCGCTCACCCGGAAATAGTACCTCAGGTTAAGAACTTTGCTTCAGGATGAGAACAGAAATCGTGCTCCAGCGGCAGCGGGAGGCCCCATTAGCTAAAGTGGTCTTCAGGTTAAGAACAGTTTCAGGTTAAGAATGGACCTCCAGAACGAATTAAGTACTTAACCCGAGGTACCACTGTATACATAGAATCATAGAATCTTAGAGTTAGAAGGGACCCCAATGGTCATCCAGTCCAACCCCCTGCAATGCTGGAATTTCAGCTAAAGCATCCTTGACTGATGGCCATCCAACCTCTGTTTAAAAACCTCCAAGGAAGAAGAGTCCACCACCTCTCGTGGGAGTCTGTTCCACCGCTGAACAGCTCTTACTGTCAGAAAGTTTTTTCTGAATGTTCGAATCTCCTTTCTTGCGACTTGAAGCCATTGGTTCGAGTCCTACCCTTCAGAGCAGGGGGAAACAAGCATGCTCCTTCCTTCATAGTACAGCCTTTAAGATATTTGAAGATGGCTATCATATCTTCTCTCAGTCTCCACTTTTCCAGGCTAAACATACCCATGCCTTCAAGCGCCCCTCATAAGGTTTAGTTTCCAGACCCTTCATCATCTTAGTTGCCCTCCTCTGCACATTTCCAGCTTGTCAAGATCCTTCTTAAATTGTGGTGCGCAGAATTGGACACAGTATTCCAAGTGTGTTCTGGCCAAGGCAGAATAGAGTGGTACTATGACTTTTCTCGATCTGGACACTAGACTTCTGTTGATGCAGCCGAGAATAGTGTTAGGTTTTGTTTTGTTTTTGCTGCTGCTACATCATACTGTTGACTCTAAGTTTGTGGTTCATCAAGACCCCTACATCCTTTTCACATGTACTGCTAGTATGCAAGGTGTCCCCCATCCTATATTTGTGCATCTGGTTCTGCCTGCCTAAGTGCAGAACCTTACATTTATCCCTATTGAAATTCAAGTTGTTATTTTTCGCCCAATTCTCCGATGTGTTAAGGTTATTTTGAATTTTGATTCTGTCTTCTGTGGCATTATCTACCCCTCCCAGTTTGGTGTCTGCAAATTTGATGAGCATCCCCTCAATTCCTTCATCCAAGTAATTTATAAAGATATTGAACAACAACGGGCCCAGGACAGAACACTGTGGCACCCCACTTCTCACTTTTTTCCAGGATGACAAGGAACCATTAATGAGTATTCTTTGGGTTCGGTCAGTCAACCAGCTACAAATCCACCTAACAGTTACCTTGTTCAACCCACATTTTACCAGTTTCCTCATGAGACTATCACAGGGTGTGTGTGTCAAAAGCCTTACTGAAATCAAGATATACTATGTCCACAGCATTTTCCTGATCCACCAAGTTTGTAATTCCATCAAAAAATGAAATCAGATTGGTCTGGCATGACTTATATTTGAGAAACCCATGCTGGGTCTTAGTAATCACAGCATCCTTTTCTAAATACTCATAGACCGACTGTTGAATTATCTGTTCTAGGCCCTTCCCTGGTATTGATGTCAAGATCACTGGTTGGTAATTACCTGGGTCTTCCTTTTTCTGCTTTCTGAAGATGAGGTCATTCCATTCTGGAGACTGTAACCTTGATTTAAGGAGCTGTTTGGCACTTAGCTTATATATCTGAGTTTCTAACACTACTTGTTAGAATGTTAGAGATGTCTGTCTGTTTGTTTTTTGGCCACTGCAGGAAGCAATCTGGGTGGTTCTTATGCTCATGACTCGTACTCTTTAACTGTTATCGCTGTGCTAGCTCCCAGTTATGCCATCTCCTCTTTCAAGCAGGAAAAGCTGCAGAAATGCCTGGAGCCACTTGAACGAAAGCTGCATGAGATCGGCCAGTGCAGATCCCGGGAGGAGAAGAAGCCTGGGGAGCTCAAGGCAAGTGCTGCATGCGTTGGATTGTATCTCTTTCACTTGGAATTTTCTCCCAAAGCAAATGCTGCAGTGGAAACCCTGTGAGCCTTGCTTGAATTCAAGTGGACTACTACTAGTATTAACATTTTCTCTCACTGAGGCAACTGGAGGCATCTTTATAAAAACAAAAAACAAACTTTCGTTAATATCCAAGGGGTAAAGGAAAAACACACACATTAAAAACAACAGTACATCACGTGTGCTTTAAAAGGCCATATATCATTAACAGCCAAAGGCATAGTTAAAGAGGAATGTTTTTGCGTTGCACATAAAGATATGTAGGGGACGTTGGTGGCACTGTGGGTTAAACCACAGCGCCTAGGACTTGCTGATCAGAAGGTCGGCGGTTCGAATCCCCGCAACGTGGTGAGCTCCCGTTGCTCGGTCCCTGCTCCTGCCAACCTAGCAGTTCAAAAGCACGTCAAAGTGCAAGTAGATAAATAGGTACCGCTCCGGCGGGAAGGTAAATGGCGTTTCCGTGCGCTGCTCTGATTCGCCATAAGCGGCTTAGTCATGCTGGCCACATGACCCGGAAGCTGTATGCCGGCTCCCTCGGCCAATAAAGTGAGATGAGCGCCGCAACCCCAGAGTCGGCCACGACTGGACCTAATGGTCAGGGGTCCCTTTACCTTTACCTAAAGATATGTAACAAAGGCACCAGGCAAACCTCCCTGGGAAGAGCATGCCACAAATAGGGAGCCACTACAGAAAAGGCCTGTTCGTGTGTTGCCACCCTCCAATCCCCTTGTGGAGGTGGCACACAAAGAAGGCTTCAGATCACAGTTGCAGAGTCTGGGTCAGTTCATATCTGTGCTGCTGACTCTTCTTGCCTAAGTGCAGAACCTTACATTTGTCCCTGTTGGAATTTATTTTGTTAGTTTTGGCCCAGTACTCCAATCTGTTGAAAGTCAAATTGAATGCTGATTCTGTCTTCTGGGACATGGGCTACCCCTTCCAGTGTGGTGTCATCTGCAAATTTGATGAGCATCTCCTCAATATAAAGAGCCCAGAACAGAACCCTGCAGCACCCTACTTGCCACTTTTTCCCAAGATGACGAGGAACCATTAATGAGTACTCTTTGGGTTCTGTCTGTCAACCAGCTACAAATCTGCCTAAGTTACCTTGTTCAACCCACATTTTAACAGCTTCTCCACAAGAATATCACAGAATTTCCATGCTCCACTGAGCTTGTAACTGCTATCAAAAAAAGAAAGAAAACTTAATAGGAAATAACTTAATAAAACCACTCGCTGTATAAAATGAAAGCTGGTACAGTCGTACCTTGGTTTTCGAACAGCTTAGTTCTCGAACATTTTGGCTCCCAAACACCAAGTGACTGTTCTGGTTTGCGAACTATTTTTGGAAGCTGAACGTCCGACAGGGCTTCCGCAACTTGCAGTTGGCTGCAGGAGCTTCCTGCAGCCAACCAGAAGCCGCGCTTTGGTTTCCGAACGTTTTGGGAGTTGAACAGACTTCCGGAACGGATTCCATTCGACTTCCAAGGTACGACTGTATGTGATATTTTCATTTGCTGTGATACACCTTCACCAAGATTCCCTCAAAAAATAAATGCTGAGCACAGGAATTTGGAATATATAGTTAACTATCTCAAAGCTCCGTGCTACTTTTTGTTGCTGGTCGGTGGGCAGGAAATACCCTTCTGCCCCCACCATGGCAGAATCAGAATGGTTGAAGAAAATACATTCTGTTAACTTTTATGTCAAAATGAACCAATTATAAAAAGGAACACAGTAGCACACTGGAAAATTGTAAGGTACCAGAACTGCATACTTTGGGATAATGTGCTCTTTTTTTTCCTTCTGTTTAGTCCTGACAGTTCTTTATGCTCCGTTGCTTTTAATTTCTTATAGTTTTAGCTCCTCTGGAAATTGCTTTTGATGATGATGATGATAAAAAATGTTTTGCAAAACAACAACAACAACAACCCACAAAGCACCCTTCAAACAACTTTAAAAGTGCATTACTATTAGTAACAGCTAAGAAGCCACATCTGCAAGTGGGTGGGAGAACACGAGGATTTGTCTTAGTGATACAGGTGAAACTGTATGCTGTATAGCCACATTTGTGTATGTAATGTTTATGCTCCTCTTTGCAAAGCCTGGGACGGCTGACAATTGTACAAATATACCAAAGCATATTGAAACAATTAAAAAAATACAACAAATTTATGCCAACTTTACAGTGGCAGCAGCAAGCAATGCACTCTTTCAGCATTAGTACCTTTGGGAACCCAGAAGCAGCGCAGGAACGTTTCCCAGACCTTCCCCTGCTGGGTTTTGTCCCTCCCACTTGATATTCAGAGGTATACTGTCTCTGAACGAGGAGGTTCAGTTTGGTTGAAATGGCTGACAGGCTTGGCCTAAATGAATTCACCTAGTTCTTTTTAATGTTGCATTGAGATGCCATGGTACCACCCATAGTAGAGAATCACATTACAGTGGACCCTCCAGTTACATACCGCTCTGGATATGTAACTTTGGGGTTGAGAACGCGGCAAACCCAGAAGTGTATACTTCTATACACTACTATTGTGTATATTGTGTATACCTCTATTGTGCTGTGTGCATGCGCAGACGCGGCGCCTCCAATTACGAACTTTTCAGGGTAAGTACAGACCCCCGGAATGAATTAAATTCATATCTGGAGAGTCTACTGTATTCCAAAAAATATTAGATTGCCAACTTTTGCTCCAACTCTAGGTGGAGCAACTTTTCATGGCCAACTTTTCCTCCAACTCTAGGTGGTACACAGTGAGATAACTCTCCTGTCTTCACACAAAAATTGGTAACCTTCCAATTTCAAGAGCGTTAGCCAGTGTTAGTCTGTTGGAGCACAAACCACAAAGATTCTTGTGACACTCTAAAGGTTGACACATTTATTATGATGTGAGCTTTCATAGACAGAATCCACCTCAACACATTATCACCATTCATCTGATGAAATGGACTTTGATCCACTAAATTAGTGCTCAAGGTGTCACAAGGCTCTTTTTGTTGTTTCTGTACAGTAAGTTGGGCTGAGAGGGAGACTGTCCCAAGGTCACCCAGTGAGAGTCGCAACTGAGCAAGTACTTGAATTTGGGTCTTCCTGGGTGTCACACCACGGTTTTGTGCTGTGTGAGGAAGTTCCCTCTTTCTCCCAATCCTGAACATCAACCTCATTGGGTTGACCTCATTGAGCCCTACCTGAACCCTGTCTCCCATCTCCCTGCAGCGGAAGGTTGAGGACCGCCGCCAACTCATCATCCGAGAGTTCGAGGAGATGCATTTGTTCCTGGAGGAGGAGCAAGAAGTGCTGATGCAACACCTGGAGGACGAGGAGAAGGAGATCTTGCAGAAACTAAAGGACAATGTGGCTGAGCTGTCTGAGCAGCGGGTCTCCCTCAACAGCCTCATCACGGAAATCGAGGAGAAGTGTCTGCAGTCAGGCATGGAGATGCTTAAGGTGGGGTGTGCATCAGAGTCTACCTGGAGGGGGGGGGCGACTCTTGCATCTGAACAAATGCTGCTTGGAACATCCCGTTCCTCAGCAGCCCTTGAGTCTGCCTCCTTCCCTTACTTTTTTCTAGTGCTTTAAGGAGTAGTAAACCACCAGTAAAGCTTAAGGCAGGCAGTAAATCAACAGTAGATTAAAACAGACTTGAATTACCCTATTTTTCACTCTATAAGACGCACCAGACCACAAGACGCACCAGACCACAAGACGCACCTAGTTTTTGGAGGAGGAAAACAAGAAAAAAAATATTCTGAATCTCAGAAGCCAGAACAGCAAGAAGGATCGCTGCGCAGTGAAAGCAACAATCCCTCTTGCTGTTCTGGCTTCTGTGATAGCTGTGCAGCCTGCATTCGCTCCATAAGACGCACACACATTTCCCCTTACTTTTTAGGAGGGAAAAAGTCTTATAGAGCAAAAAATATGGTATCTTTTGCACCCACAGATCTGAAAGAGAGAGCCTGCTTCCCCTTTTTTCCTCAACTGCTGCCTGATGGAGCAGATAAAGCTCTAAACAGGACTTTCTTAGGAAGCAGTGGTTGCATGTGATGGGTTCAAAGAACCTCCAGAGATCAGTTGCCTCAACCAGTTTCCTGGAAATGCAGTGCTCTTGGCCTGGGGCCACCGTGGAATGGGGCTCATGGGCCTTCATGTGGGGGTTTGGCTCCATCACTAATTGTGCAACTCAGAGGGATGAGAGTAGAACAAAGGGTCGATGAATTCTAGTCTTGCGCCAGCCCATTTCTGTTCCCCACTTCCTCCACCTCTCATCTAACATTTCCATAAGGGTCTGTGAACCCCAATTTCTATAGACCCTTTGGATGTGAATCTGTATGCCTTTTGTGGGTAGCAGGGCAAGATGCGTAGGGCTCTAGCTTTCTGTAGTCGACATGCAAGCATGAAATCCAGTGTAAGGTCATCAGAATTGGTTTGCTTTGTGAAGGCAGATCCTTAGATAGGTGATATTTCAGGACATTGCGGTGGCAGGCTGGAAGTTGATGTGGTTTGCACAAAAGATCCAACACTTGAATTTTTTGGTGCATTTGGGGTTTTTTTAAACTTGCCTGTGCTTTTTTAAGCTAAAACAGCAGAATAATATGTGTTGCTTTAACCAAAGGTGGGATCTTCCTCATTTCACCAGTCTGCATAGATAGATTTTACTTTGCGGTTGGGCTCCTTAATGACGACACGACTCTTAACAATTTTTATTTCTTGTCCTTCTCATGCAGGATGTGAAGCACACCCTCGAAAGGTAAGGAGCAAATTCTTTGGTCATCACAACAGCCTCACTGCCTCTTAACATGGGGTCCTATGAGGTGGTCCTTGTCATAAACAGCTGCTGGACAAGTATTTGTCCTGGTTTGACACATAAAATGCTCTTTTAAAGACTGCTGGTCTCCTTACCTCTTGAAGGAGCGCTTCCGATGGATGCCTTTGCTTTCTGAAAGGAGGTGGGCAGCTACCAAAAACAGGGCCTTTTCTGTGGTGGTGCCATCCGCCTTCACAATTGTGGAAAGCTCTCCCCAGAGAGGTTTGCCTTACAACCTACCTTACTGTTCTTTTGGCATCAGGTGTGGTTGAAGGTATGAAAGGCCCCTGCTTTGCTGAAGCAAATACTTGTAAGGACAAAGGCAAGGGGTTGGATCTAAAAGTGCCACTTCATTCCTAGTGGGAGTCCTTCCAAGAACAGACTGGCCTTTGATCGAGGCCAAGGCTAGTGGAAATGCGCCTAGAACAACAGGCGTTTCGAACACTGCCAGCAGGGTTTCCCAAAATTGGGTCTCCAGCTGTTTCTGGACTACAGTTCCCACCATCCCTGACCACTGGTCCTGCTACCTAGCCATGATGGGAGTTGCAGTCCACAAACAGCCAGAGACCCAAGTTTGGGAGAACCTGGTGAAAACTAAATAAAACCTCCATGAAAATAAACAAGTTGCTCAATTATAGCCTGGGAGATGATTCATTCCCCCCCCCCCCCCGCAAAGTCTGGAGACTCTTTTATATATTTATTGTAAGTATTTTTTATAACTGTCTTTCAATCATATTTCCAGGACAGTTTACAAAAATAAAAAAGCATGTACATAAAGCATACTAAACAAAAAGGCACAAAAAATATTTAAAAAGCAGCAGAAGAGAATCAGCAGAATTAAAAGTACTTGTGAATCTCAAGAATTTTTATTCGCTTATTTACGTTTGTACAGTGATATCCCACCTTCCTTCCATCCCAGAAGCCAAGGCTGCGGACCTGTAGGTTCTCATGGCATCACTCATCCAGGCACTGACCAGACCTTACAAGTATTTGAAGTCAGGCCTCACAATGGCCATGAAATGAAAGATGATTGGGGGACACATGGAAGCAATGGACAACTTCAGGGACAGTGAACCTGGGGCCCACCAGATGTTCCTGGGGCTCACAGCTTGCATCATCCCTGACCCTTGTCCATCCTGGGTGGGGCTGCTAGGGGTTGGGAGCCCAGCAACGTCTGAAGGGGCCACAGGTTCCCCAACCCTGAACTTGCCCTCACCCAACTTGCTCTTCTCCTTTTCTTGCAGATGTGAAGAGGTGCAGGCCCAGAAGCTGAACCTGGTCTCCATCGAGCTGGAAAAGAACTTCTGCAACTTCCCCAGGCAGTACTTCGTCCTGCGCAAAATCATCAAGAGGCTCACAGGTAAGTTGGTGTGGTGCCACATCCAGGCATTTTTCGTTTTGGTTGGTGTGGGGGCTGGGAGAATTGGGCCTCTTCTCCCTTGCTCATGGATCAGGGGGTTTGTCCACCGTGCCAACAAAACTCTTTGAGTTTGGAATAGATTCTGCAGATTAGCACCCTCCAAGCAATTGAGCTTAATTCTGATCAGTGCACACACAACACAACTCTGTCCAGGAGAGGTGTGCTAGAATTGTTGATAGTGGGAGAGGAACAGTATTAACCTTCCTCAATCTGATGCGCTCCAGATGTTTTGGGACACACACACACACACTCCACCCAGCACAGCCAGTGGTCAGCAGTAACAGGAATGATACAGTCGTACCTTGGATCCCAAACGCCTTGCGAGTCAAATGTTTTGGCTCCCAAACGCCACATACCCAGAAGTTCGTGTTCCGGTTTGCAAACGTTCTCTGGAACCCGAAAGTCCGACACGACTTTCATGGCTGCTGATTGGCTGCAGGAGCTTCTTGCAGGAGCTTCCTGCAGCCAATCGGAAGCCATGCCTTGGTTTCTGAACATTTTGGAAGTTGAACGGACTTCCAGAACGGATTCCGTTCGACTTCCAAGGTACCACTGTAGTTCAAAATAGCTGGATGGCCTCCAGCTGTGGAAGACTGGTCTGTATGTAGAGAAATGGCTGGAAGCAGAGGAAGAAGGAAGAGTAGTCATGCAGGTTGAATGTTCTTGAGGATGTCATGCCTCCCCTGAAAAGCAAAGAAGAATGCAAAGATAATTTTATGGCAAAACTAGGATAGATTATTAAATCTGTGTTAGAATATATTCTGGGTAAACAAACCAACCCCTGTGTTGCAAAATATGAGTCAGCAATATCAAAAGCAACACAATGGCCAGAAACAATAACAATGTGAACAACTTTATGGAATAATTCAAAACATCAAAATTAACAAACTGAAGTCTCTGAAAGTCCTTAAATGAATCATGGTGCCAGACTTTACCCGGAAGATAGCAAGCTGTGAAGCTTTGTATAATCAGCAAGTGTCCAATTCTGATGTCCAACTCTGAACTCTGCTGAACAGTGTTTCCGGATAACAACATGGGGAAAAATTTATAACTTATCTAGGAGACCATTGTAAGCGGATGAAAACATTAGCAGGATTGCAGTAACACTTGTAATGCAGCAAACATTATGGACAAAATGGAGAGAGATAAAATATGGTTATGAAATAATATACAGTTGTAAAGGTTGCCAGTAGGACCCATGGAGGGGAAGGTGGGAAGTCCAGAGATTCGGAGAAATCTCTAAATATGGACATGTATTTTGTGTTGTATTGTTACAATTCTATATTTGTAAAATCAAATGAAAATTATTTAAAAAAAAAAAAAAAAAGCACCCTGAGCCATTGAGGCCTGGCCACCGTTGCAGCCGAGCCTGAACGAACGTCTCTCCCTTTTCCTGCAGGAGATTTGACCCTCGACCCCGAGACGGCCCATCCCAACTTAGTGCTCTCCGAGGACCGGAAGAGCGTCAAGTTTGTGGAGCAACGCCTGCGAGACCTGCCCGACAGCCCGCGGCGCTTCACCACCTACCCTTGTGTCCTGGCGACGGAGGGCTTCACTTCGGGCCGCCACTACTGGGAAGTGGAAGTGGGCGAAAAGACCCACTGGGCCCTAGGGGTCTGTAATGAATCCGTGAGCCGCAAAGGGGAGACGACCTCCTTGCCGGAGACTGGCTACTGGCGGGTGAGGCTCTTCAACGGGGACAAGTATGCGGCCACCACCACCCCCTTCACGCCCCTCAGTGTCGCCACCAAACCCAAGCGAGTGGGCGTCTTCCTGGACTACGAGGCCGGCAGGCTTTCCTTCTACAATGTGACGGACCGCTCCCACATCTACACTTTCACCGACACCTTCACGGAGAAGCTGTGGCCTTTTTTCTACCCAGGAATCCGTGCCGGACGCAAGAATGCAGCTCCCCTCATCATTCGGCCTCCCACGGACTGGGAGTGACAAGATGGCCGATTCTTCTCCCTCTGCGCCCCGCAACCTCGTTCTAGGATTAGCCCTCAAAGGTGGTTTTTAATTGAATGAATTTGAAAAAAAATAAAATTATTAGAGCATAAAGGAAAGTAGATAATAACAAATATCTGTTTCCCACCCCACCCCCCCCAACTAAAATATTAATCTAAATATCTTATCAAATGTGTTGAGGGAGTTATTTAAGGCAGTTTTTCAGTGGAGAAGGATGCAAGGGAACAGGAAACCAAGTTGCGTCATCCCCAGCTGGGAATGGCAGAAGGAAACGTGGAAAGGCTTTCAAAAACACCACTGAAGGGGGCGGGGACCACGGGGACCCTACAGAAATGTTGGTATTTAACTTTTTGGCTTCACATTTTCTTGAAGGGATGTGACGCTAGTGAAGGGAGTATTCCCACAAAAGCAAAGAGCCCGTTTTGGAGCAGTTCGGCTTTTGTGGAAGCCAGTGAAGAAATGGATTCCTTCTGCTTTCCCAAACCTCAAACGGGGCTTAAATCTGAGACGGTGATGCTGAAACTTGGGGGCGGGGTGGAGAAAAACCAAGCCACACTGTTTGCATTAGCTGTGGGCAGAGCTGGTCAGAAATGTGTGTGAATGAGAATGTGGCAGATGTGTGCTATATGGGCAGTGGAGGGAAGTGACCTCTCTCAAGGGATTCATCATTGCATGTGTAGATTGAAGAAACCATCTCTTTTTCCCTTCGCTGCTCCTTCTGCAGTGTATGCAGAAGCAGCCTCCTGTAGTCTTGGTAGAGTGCTGTAATGTACCGGTACATGTGAGAATAAAGCAGGCCAGGAATGGATCCTTTCCTCTTGAACACGCCAGCACTCCCTGGGTAGAGTGTTCAGAGATTTCTATGGACCAGGGCTGGGCAATACCCGGTTTTCAGCGTCGCAGTATATCGCCAGCTAAACATCACGATATACTGATATATCACAACGTCTGAAATGAGGATGGAGCTATGTAGAGGCCTTGGCTGGCTTCACGGTTTTCCCCACATTGTGTTTTTTTTGCATAGCACACAAATGCACATCGTGATTCACAATATATTGCCAGGTCTAAAACTATGAAAGCAATATCATGGTATGGACTTGAAACCAGTTCTGGGTGACATATCGATATATTGCCCAGTCCTGTTATGGGCTGCACAGCCCTTGCAGCCAGCTGGCAGATCTGGACTGAGGGGTGCTGGAACCGAGTTTCTGTCTCGGACCCAGGAAGCAGAGCTGCCTGGTAGTGAGCGCCCATGGACAAGCTGGTCTTAAGACCCAAATTTTATCCAAAGGGCCAGTTGTATGGTTTGTAGTTGGTGGCATCCATTTGGCTTTAACTCAAGCTGCCATCCCAAAGTCTTTCATGAATTGAACGGCATGTACTGTGACCCTTGCCTGTGGGCTGTGAAGAGGAATGCCTGGCGGCATTTGTCATGGGTAAAAGTAGTGCCCACAGTGCACAGATGAGTCGAGGGCAATGGGGGGACAAACGTTTTCCAGTAGTTCACTTGAATCGAACAAAAGGCACCTCTGCAAACCTTTCTGTCCTGAAGTTCACCCATGTTGCACGGCTTAGCCAAATGTGAGGCCGACGGAGCAACACCAAAAATCACTTTTTTGGGCAATGTTTTGGGGGAAGTCAGCAAAATGCAGCTGCTACGTTTACCTGTTTGGAACGCAGACCAATCTGGCTGCACTGTAGTATGACTGCTTGGAGGTTTTTAAGCAGAGGTTGGGTGGCCATCATTATATGATCTCAGCTTGGCTGCTCCTGCCTTAGGAAACAGCCTTTGTTTGGGCAGTTTTCATGGAGGAATGGTGCTGCTGCTTAAAGCTGGGGAAAGAAGCAGCTTTCGATAGGTGACAAGAGCAAATAAGAAAGGTAATGGGGAGCAGATGAATATGCAACTTTCTCACCACTGCCACTCGTCGTCCTGAGAGATTCCACCAGAGTTAGAATATTAAAAGTTATTACAGAAGGTATGTATGTTTGTGATTGGTGAAGGTAAGGTAAAGGACCCCTGGATGGTTAAGTCCAGTCAAAGGTGACTATGGGGTTGAGGCACTCATCTCGCTTTCAGGCCGAGAAAGCCGGCATTTGTCCAGACAGTTTGAAAGCACACCAGTGCAAGTAGATAAATAGGTACCACTGTGGCAGGAAGGTAAACGGTGTTTCCATGTGCTCTTGCTTCCGTCTCGGTGTCCTGTTGTGCCAGAAGCGGTTTAGTCCTGCTGGCCATGTGACCCGGAAAGCTGTCTGTGGACAAACGCCGACTCCCTTGGCCTGAAAGCAAGATGAGCACTGCAACCCCATAGTCGCCTTTGACTGGGCTTTACTGTTCAGGTGTCCTTTACCTTTTTATGTTTGTGATTAGAATACCCTTGAGTGCAAAATACATATGTTGGATAAAGATTCCAACCGCCTCTGAACATGACCGGGAAAATTCCTCTACAGCAAGGCCCTCCAGATGTTGATGGAGCACAGCTGCCACAACTCTGGACCATGCTGGCTGGAGGGGATTGGAGTTAGAGCAGTGATGTCCAAACTTTTTTCAAAGAGGGCCAGATTTGATGAAGTGAAGGGCCGTGAGGGCCGACCAAAGTTGTTGACCTTTCCTTTGGGTTGAAGTTGTTGAGGTTTTTTAGGATTTTACCCCAGGAAATAAACTGCCACAGGGGCCAGAATAAACTGACCGGCGGGCCAGATTAGACCCCCAAAACTGACTTTGGACATGCCTGGACTAAGGCAACATCTGGAGGGCTACAGGTTTCCCCACCCACCTTGTTCTAAGACATTCAGTTCCCAGTTCAGCCTCAGGTTAGTTATTGGCTTTAACCCATCCCTCCCAGTGATGCCCTGTGGGGCTCAGCTTGCCTCTACCTTCCAATGGTAGTGTCTGGAGTTGCGCGATTGAGTAGTGTACGTGTGTGTCTATGCGGCTGAGGAAGCTCTGACTTGGGTGCGTCTGACCCTTGAGCATGAGTGGGCTAGCAACCCACAGCTTAGGGCAAGATCTATGTCTTGTGGCTTTTAAGATTATTAATAAAATATTTGTTTTATTTGACAGCAATATATGTGTGTGTGCGTGTGTCACTTCTTGGGCATTTTTATTTTATCGGCCGGGAGAAAGATGTCAGAACTGCAGTTCTTTCAGCAGCAAGGTAACACCAGGGGCTTTACCTTACCCCAGGTAACAGTCAAGGCGCCACATTTTGCAGTAGCTGCAGCTCCCAGGCCAACTTTCAGGGCAGCACCACACATTGAGAGCCAGCGTGGTGTAGTGGTTGAGAGTGGTAGACTCGTAATCTGGTGAACCAGGTTCGCTTCCCCGCTCCTCCACATGCAGCTGCTGGGTGACCTTGGGCTAGTCACACTTCTCTGAAGTCTCTCGGCCTCACTCACCTCTCAGAGTGTTTGTTGTGGGGGAGGAAGGGAAAGGAGAATGTTAGCCGCTTTGAGACTCCTTCGGGTAGTGATAAAGCGGGATATCAAATCCAAACTCCTCCTCCTCTTCTTCTTCTACCTCATGTTGCGTCCACTTCAGGTTACGTGTTTTCATGTTGCGTCCCATGGCAACCCGGAAGTACCGGAATGGGTTACTTCCGGGGTTTGCCGCTCGTGCATGTGCAGACACACTAAACAGTGCCACGTGCGTGCACAGACGCAGCACTTGGTATGGACGGGCCTCCGGAACAGATCCCATCCATAACGCGAGGTTCCACTGTACACCTCCTTCTGGCAACTCCTGCTGGTGCCAAATGCATTGTTCTGCTTTCCTTTGGTCCATATCAGAGAGGCCAAGAGAGGCCGGTCTTGTTGTCTGGGCAACCCAGGACCTCCATACACCCTGCCCAGGCTTGTGCCCCAGGGAGGTCACTTTAAAGAACTAAACGGCCTCAACCCAGGATACCTGAAGGAGCATCTCCACCCTCATCATTCACTGAGGTCCAGCGCCGAGGGCCTTCTGGCAGTTCCCTGACTGAGAGAAGTAAGGTTACAGGGAACCAGGCAGAGAGCCTTCTTTGTAGTGGCGCCCGCCCTGTGGAATGCCCTCCCACCATATGTCAAGGAAATAAAGAACTATCTGACTTTTAGAAGACATCTGAAGGCAGCTCTGTATGTTGTCGTTTAGTCGTTTAGTCGTGTCCGACTCTTCATGACCCCATGGACCAGAGCATGCCAGGCACTCCTGTCTTCCACTGCCTCCCACAGTTTGGTCAAACTCATGTTTGTAGCTTCGAGAACACTATCCAACCATCTCTGTCATCCCCTTCTCCTTGTGCCCTGCATCTTTCCCAGCTTCAGGGTCTTTTCCAGGGAGTCTTCTCTTCTCGTGAGGTGGCCAAATTATTGGAGCCTCAGCTTCACGATCTGTCCTTCCAGTGAGCACTCAGGGCTGATTTCCTTCAGAATGGATAGGTCTGATCTTCTTGCAGTCCGTGGGACTCTCCAGAGTCTCCTCCAGCACCATAAAGAACTATCTGACTTTTAGAAGACATCTGAAGGCAGCTCTGTATAGGGAAGTTTTTAATGTTTGATTCTATTTTTAATATTCTGTTGGGAGCCGCCCAGAGTGGCTGGGGAAACCCAGCCAAATGGGTGAGGTATAATTAATAAATTGCTCCTCCTCCTCCTCCTCCTCCTACTACTACTTTGGTGCTGCTAATGCAGCCATTTGACATCACCCCTGGAGGCGCACTCCATTGTCACTCAAGACAGACAGGTACAAACCACAAGTCAAAGTTAATTAAAGACAATCTGTGGTATGTACACAGCCAGACTGAAAGTTTTGTGCTCCCTGCCCCCCAAAGCAATATGAAAAAGTCTCCTGGGCTGTGGATTCCCACTTTCACTGTTGTTGAGACTCACCAGAAAGCTGGTTGCAAAGGACAGAAAACTGTCCGTGGCACATTTTGCTACCTTTTCTCTTTGTTGGTGTAATGAAGTTGATGGTAGGAGACTCAGTCAGGGTTGGGTGAAGGTAGAGGAACAGAAAATGTAGGCCTGGGAGGAGTCCTGGCTTGAGGAAGAAGGCCCTCCTTACAGAACCCAGTTTGTATAATGTGAACCCAGCTGGGCAGATTCAGAAACTTTTAAAAAGAACATTAGGTACGTTCAAGATCTACAACCATGCCACATTCTTGCAAATCACTAGATGCTTCCTTGATCTAGTACTGCACAGTGCGTTCAGATTAAGCCGGTCTCGTTACACCCACCTCAGTGAGGCTGCTAATCGCCTCCAGCTATTAATTAATAACCCAAGATCACAGCATCTTTCCAATAGTTCCTGGACTTTCATGCAGGGTCAAGATGTCCCTCACCTGGCTAGTCCTTGCTCTCTGAGGACATCTATCTCCAATAACACATATAATTCTGTATCTTATCAGAGACTCTTTCAAGTAGCCAAAACCACAATTCCTGCTCAGCCTTCTTAATACTGAGAAATACCAAGCCATAGTTTGACCCGCTTTCCTGATGCATGGAAAAAAGGAAATACTTGTTTCTTTCAAAAATTTCATTCTGTTTAGGCATGCAGGATTTCTCTTTTTTTAAAAAAAAAAAAAGATATTTATTGAGAATTTTAAAGTTACAAAGAAAGAAAAGACAAGAGAAGGAGAAAAAGAGAGAAAGAAGTAGATAAACATAACAATTAAGCAGGATTTCTCAAATTTATCCATCATTTCTTTAAGTTTTGTATTTTCACACACACACACACACACACACCCCAGGAACAGAAAGAGCTTCTTTTATTTATACTTTTCAAATTTATACATTTCACTAGTTTTATACATTTCACTAATTTTACATTCATTTTGACATTTCAAAACTTAACTTCCATCCCCCTCTCTCTGCAGTTCCTTAAATTTGTTTTGAATATCTTCTGCATATCCAAATTACCTTAATTTACTCATTTATTCATCTTCTTCAAATACATACTCTTCTAAAACCACAGGTTGTTACAATAATCCTGCCAGCGTTTTATTCTGTTTATAATTTATCTGTAAATATTCAATAAACCATTTCCTACAACAAAGTTATTATTAATGCCCGGTGCCTCCTCTTCACACAACAAAATGGATTATTTGATCCTATCACTTTTGTCTTCTGATTCTCTTGCTGCTAAGTAGACCTCATACTTTTATCTGCTGGCTTAATCCACCAGCTGCCCACGGTGTGTGTTTTTCTAAAAACCCACCTTCTAGCAGGGAGACTTTATCAGGCATCTCTTTTTCCGCCTTTATGAAAATTTCCACCAGCTGAGAAGGAGCTTCCAGCATGGTCCGGGCCCTTCTTTTTGCCACCTTTGTGCTGCTTTGCCTAGATCTGAGCCTGGCAGGTAAGTCTCATTCCAGTGTAACCGTTTACATTGAATTGCATTTGCCATTTTAGTCCTCAGTTTGGAGAGGTCCTGTGAGAGCTCTTCACAGTCTCTTTTTGTTTTGAACTATAATAATAATAATAAAAGGGACACGGGTGGAGCTGTGGGTTAAACCACAGAGCCTAGGGCTTTCTGATCAGAAGGTTGGTGGTTCGAATCCCCGCAACGGGGTGAGCTTCCTGTTGTGGAAGCGGACATACGCCAGCTCCCTTGGCTGGTAAAGCGAGATGAGCACCGCAACCCCAGAGTCATCTGCGACTGGACCTAATGGTTAGGAGTCCCTTTACCTTTACCTATAATAATAATAATTTTATTATTTATACCCCACTCATCTGGCAGGTTTTCCCCAGCCACTCTGGGCGGCTAAGCATTTCCACGTCCAAAACATTTCTACGTGGGTTTGTGATTTTCCTCATGGAAATTCATAGAATAGAATGGTCATGTCAGAAGGGACCATGGGGGTCATCTAGCCCAACCCCCTGCAATGCAGGATTTTTTTGCCCAACGTGGGCCTCAAACCCAGAACCCTGGAATTTAGAATCACATGCTCTACAAACTGAGCTATCCCTTCAGTCATCATCGCTAAAATTTGCCAGCATTTTAGTGTGCATTTCTTTAAATATTGTTGTTGCTTAGTCATTTAGTCGTGTCCTACTCTTCGTGACCCCATGGAGCAGAGCACGCCAGGCACTTCTGTCCTCCACTGCCTCCCGCAGTTTGATCAAACTCATGCTGGTAGCTTCGAGAACACTGTCCCACCATCTCGTCCTCTGTCATCCCCTTCTCCTTGTGCCCTCCATCTTTCCCAACATCAGGGTCTTTCCAGGATTCTTCTCTTCTCATGAGGTGGCCAAAGTATTGGAGTCTCAGCTTCACGATCTGTCCTTCCAGTGAGCACTCAGGGCTGATTTCCTTCAGAATGGAGAGTTTTGATCTTCTTGCAGTCCATGGGACTCTCAAGAGTCTCCTCCAGCACCATAATTCAAAAGCATCAATTCTTCGGTGATCAGCCTTCTTTCTGGTCCAGCTCTCACTTCCATACATCACTACTGAGAAAACCACAGATTTAACTATACAGACCTTTGTTGGCAAGGCAATTTTGGCCAATATAGGCATTTTTGCAAATCAAGTTTCCCGGTTATAATGCATTTTATATGTTGTTTTTCACTTAATATTTAAGTGCAAACCGAACCAAATATCTCAACACACACTAGATGCAGACAACTTCAATTTTGCCAACATATCTTCTCAACAGGAACTGCCTTCTCGACAGATCTAGCTGTAGGATATTGTTACATGCACACTTCCCTTCTTCAAGTGTGACCCTAAAATTCTGCCAGATCTTCGTCTCAGCTTTTCCACCTAGAGACAAACTTTGCTAAGTCAGGACTGCTGGTATTTCACCCAGAAGGAGCACGTTCCATAGTGAAAATAAACATGCAAAAAAGTGCATTATACATGGGGAAGCGGCTTACCAAAAAATGTATACACATACAGTATTAAGATAAATAAGCACCAAAACGATAATGGGGGGGGGGGATTGCCAACAGATGTGGTAATGCGGAAAATAGAACTTAAGGTTGGAAAAATGAGAGCTGGAGAGAAACCAACATTGACAGATTTGCCCAATGTGTGAAATGGCTTCATGTTAGGTAAAGGTAAAGGACCCCTGGACGGTTAAGTCCAGTCAAAGGCGACTGTGGGGTTGCGGTGCTCATCTCGCTTTCCGGCGTTTGTCCATAGACAGCTTTCCAGGTCATGTGGCCAGCAGGACTAAACCGCTTCTGGTGCAACGGGACAGTGTGACGAGTGCCAGAGCACTCACGGAAACGCTGTTTACCTTCCTGCCACAGCGGTACCTATTTATCTACTCGCACTGGCGTGCTTTCAAACTGCTAGGTTGGCAGGAGCTGGGAAAGAGCAACGGGAGCTTACCCCGTCGTGGGGATTCGAACCGCCAACCTTCCAATCGGCAAGCCCAAGAGGCTCAGTGGTTTAGACCACAGTGCCACCCGCGTCCCCACATTAAACCCAAACGACAGGGTATCTCACCTGCACTGCTTCCTGTGACAGAGCGCACCAGATGCTACAGCTGTCTCATGAACTACCCTGGATCCGGGTGCGTAACTGGAGGAAGGGCATGTTCGGCTGACCTAGACAGAGGACAGAATTGTATAACGCTCCATTTTTTCCACGGTAAGTCGTGGTCCCGTGACCACACGTTCTTTCTTCTGAATGGGCATTTTGTTCATTTGTTGCCCCGTCACGAGGCAACTGTCTCGCTTTGCCAAATGGTAGAGCCAGCTGTGGAGCAGGTTAGATAGATAAGATAAAGATTTATTCATATTAGCCAATGGCCATAGCAACAGTAAAACATTACAGTATATGCAGAAGAGGAAATTTGATATAAGAGCACTGAATCATTGATATAAGTCCTGAATCAGCCGTCAGTTAGTGGCCCTTATTCTGATTGCCCCTGCTATGAACCTAGCAACCTTCAAGTACCTCAGATGGCAAAACATCCAGTCTTGCAAGTGTAAAAGCACGCCTGTATTTTGGGATAATACGTTTGTGCAGATATGGGGCCAGAGAATCAAAATGGAGAGGTGGAAAATGAACATACCAAGGGCAGAATTTCCTTATAGTGGTCTGGAGCAGGTTTGAAAGTGTCCCGAGTAATGTGCCCCCCTCCCTGAGCCCTAATAACTCTCACCCACGCTCCATCCCCCACATACCCCTCCCCCACTCGCCAGTCCCCCTTGGTAGAACCAGAGTTCAATGCAGAAGTCTCGGCCGAAGCATCCATGACGGATGGCCACCCAACCTCTGCTTAAAAACCTCCCAGGAAGGAGAGTCCACAGGAGACCATTCCATCTCCAGAATGGAGACTAGAAGCATCAGTCCCAAATCTAAACTCCGTATTTTAGTACCACCGCCCGGATAAGCCATCCATATACAGTGGTACCTTGGGTTAAGTACTTAATTCGTTCTGGAGGTCCGTTCTTAACCTTAAACTGTTCTTAACCTGAAGCACCACTTTAGCTAATGGGGCCTCCTGCTGCTGCCGCGCTGCCAGAGCACAATTGCTGTTCTCATCCTGAAGCAAAATTCTTAACCTGAGGTAATATTCCTGGGTTAGCGGAGTCTGTAACCTGAAGCGTACGTAACCTGAGGTACCACTGTACATGCAAGGATAGCTCACCACTAGCCTCGCGTTTTATTACCTTTTTGCAGGAGAACAAGAGCTGCTGCGTGTCCAAGGTTGCACCAGGCCTGGTATCGATGTCTGTGGCACAGAACAGAAAAGCGGTGACTATACCATCAAATTTGAGTGCTGCATGGAACCGGAGATGTGCAACAGGGTTTTCTGGGAAAGCGGTACAGATTATCCCGAGGATATGGATTCGTTGTGATCAGTCTCCAAAGCAGTCAGAGAAGGACCTGTGGGTCGTGCTGCTTTCCTGACACACCATCATGTGCGTGCACACACTGGCGTACTCCCCTCCCCCCCTTCACTTAAGCTTCCCTCTTGTATGATTAGGGATGGGAGAGAAAAACGTATTTTAATGCAAACTCACCTCTCACTCATGGAAACCCCAACCTAGCTATCCTTCAAAACGCACACTTCTACAAAATTTCTCAATGCTGTTCCCCCCCCCCCAAAAAAGCGTACCAAAAGAATGTACCATATTTTTTGCTCACTTTTTCCCTCCTAAAAAGTAAGGGGAAATGTGTGTGCATCTTATGGAGTGAATGGAGGCTGTGCAGCTATCACAGAAGCCAGAACAGCAAGAGGGATTTCTGCTTTCACTGCGCAGCGATCCATCTTGCTGTTCTGGCTTCTGAAATTCAGAATATTTTTTTCCTTGTTTTCCTCCTCCAAAAACTAGGTACGTCTTGTGGTCTGGTGCGTCTTATAGAGCGAAAAATACGGTAAATTAGGGGAAAGTGTTTTAAAAAGCACCCTTATTTTCATGGAACTAACACCAAAAATGCAGAATTCATCATGCGAAAGGCTGGGCTGGATGAATCCCTAGCTGGAATTAAGATTGCCGGAAGAAATATCAACAACCTCAGATATGCAGATGACACAACCTTGATGGCAGAAAGTGAGGAGGAATTAAAGAACCTTTGAATGAGGGTGACAAAGGAGAGCGCAAAATCTGGTCTGAAGATCAACATCAAAAACGAAGATCATGGCCACTGGTCCCATCACCTCCTGGCAAATAGAAGGGGAAGAAATGGAGGCAGTGAGAGATTTTACTTTCTTGGGCTCCATGATCACTGCAGATGGTGACAGCAGCCACGAAATTAAAAGACGCCTGCTTCTTGGGAGAAGGGCAATGACAGGCCTAGACAGCATCTTGAGAAGTAGAGACATCACCTTGCCAACAAAGGTTCGTATAGTTAAAGCTATGGTTTTCCCAGTAGTGATGTATGGAAGTGAGAGCTGGACCATAAAGAAGGCTGATCGCTGAAGAATTGATGCTTTTGAATTATGGTGCTGGAGGAGACTCTTGAGAGTCCCATGGACTGCAAGAAGATCAAACCTCTCCATTCTGAAGGAAATCAGCCCTGAGTGCTCACTGGAAGGACAGATCCTGAAGCTGAGGCTCCAGTACTTTGGCCACCTCATGAGAAGAGAAGACTCCCTGGAGAAGACCCTGATGTTGGGAAAGATGGAGGGCACAAGGAGAAGGGGACGACAGAGAACGAGATGGTTGGATAGTGTTCTCGAGGTTACCAGCATGAGTTTGACCAAACTGCGGGAGGCAGTGGAAGACAGGAGTGCCTGGTGTGCTCTGGTCCATGGGGTCACGAAGAGTCGGACACGACTAAACGACTAAACAACAACAAACAACAACAACACCAAAAATGCATTTTATTAGGGGAAATTGCTTGTAAATAAAATGCACATGAAGACAAAAAAATCATATGAAGACAAAACTGCATATGGAGACAAAAATGCATATGAAGTTTTGTTCACTCAAAAAACAAAACAAAAGCAAACTATTGTGGGAATGGGGACAACTGAATTTAAGATTGGGAAAATGACAAAGGGAGAGAAACCCAAACTTGGTTGATTTGTCCACTCCTATAACAACATTTCACTGAGACCAGACGAATGAATTATCTGCCAGAAAATCTCATAGCCTTGTGTGTATGCACCAAATAAATAAAATCCAAATAAACTACATGGTGGTCCCAAAGGAAGTCTCTGAAATGCTTTATCATTCCTGAGAAACTGCAGACTGCTTTGGAATAGCCTCAGACTTTAGCACTTGCAAAGTCAATTCCCCAATGCAGGACATTGCTTATCGACTGGATCACACTGGAGGGATTCCAGTTGATCAGTCTAGACTGTTGGCAAGCTGTGTTCACTGTCTGTTAAAGATGACTACCACAGATAATTATTGGATGCAGCAAATTCACAGACAACAGGTGTAGCAACTGTTTACTATTAGCCACAATACTAGCTGGATTGGTACCTTCCAGATTTTGGACTACAAATCCTATCATGACTAGTGGTCCAGGATGATGGGAGATGTAGTTCAGCAACACCTGGAATGTATCACGTTGGCTACACCTGCATAAGGGTCTGCTTCCTGCTTCTTGCTTCTGTACACAGCAACACAGAAGCTAGTGAGCTACCAAAATCTGTCCTCCAGTTTCAAGGGGCTTCAGGTTTTCTGCCTGACTCTCGGGGCATCTGAGAATTTTAATGGGTGGCTGCAGTTTTGTTGTTTTAACAACTAACCTAACTGCTGCGAGGTGACCAAGGGAGGTTTCTGTGTTTTGCTTTCATGTAAACACTTCTTGAAAGTTCTGCAGCCTCCCCTCCCTGGCTACCCACATTTCCCAATCTGAAGAGAAGCCCCTTGAGGAGAGTTACCAAGGCTTATGATGTCTTCCCCAGGGCTTTAATTGAAGCATAGACACCCAGGAGGACTGCAGAGTGCAGACCTTTCATAAGATGATTTGTAGAATGAAAGAAACATTAGTCAGCTACACACGTGTGTGTGTGTGTGTGTGTGTGTGTGTGTGTCTCATTTTCAAAAACAGGAACTGTTAAGTTGTGGGTGAACGTATCAGACGACACAGAGATTCTTCAAACAGCTCTTGTTTATTCACAGGCCAGAACAGAACTGAACTGAAGGGTTCAGCCAGCCTGCTTATATAGAGCTCCACTAGAACGCAACAGTAACCATTTTCTGTAACTATCCAATCACTGAACGTCACTTTCAATCCCTTATTTGCATATGTGGACCTGAGTGAAAACTATCTACAGTATCCCCCTGCTGGCCCAGGGTGAGAACTTCAGTACATAACAGGAACAGAGAGCATATTTAACCCCTCTCCCCTCCCCCTGTCCCACTTACAACTTCATACCAAATATAATAATAATAATTATTATTATTATTATTATTATTATTATTATTTATACCCCAGCCACTCTGGGCGGCTTCCAATCGAATATTAAAAACAGTACAGCATCAAACATTAAAAACTTCCCTAAACAGGGCAGCCTTCAGTTGTCTTTTAAAAGTAAAATAGTTGCATATTGTCCTGACATCTAATGGGAGGGCGTTCCACAGGGCGGGTGCCACTACCAAGAAGGCCCTCTGCCTGGTTCCCTGTAATCTTGCTTCTCGCATGGAGGGAACCGCCAGAAGGCCCTCAGAGCTGAACCTCAGTGTCCGGGCTGAACGATGGGGGTGGAGACGCTCCTTCAGGTATACTGGGCCGAGGCCGTTTAGGGCTTTAAAGGTCAGCACCAACACTTTGAATTGTGCTTGGAAACATACTGGGAGCCAATGTAGGTCTTTCAAGACCAGTGTTATATGGTCTTGGAGGCCACTCCCAGTCACCACATTCTGGATTAATTGCAGTTTCCGAGTCACCTTCAATGGTAGCCCCACGTTGAACACATTGCAGTAGTCCAAGCGGGAGATAACCAGAGCATGCACCACTCTGGCAAGACAGTCTCCGGGCAGGTAGGGTCTCTCATATGACTTCCCTTCCACCCTTTTCCTGGTTCCTTTGCTTTTCTACTCCTCCACGTAATCCACATCTTTTTAATCATCCAATTTGTTATCTATAAAATACTCTATCAATTTCAACTCTGCTGGGTTTACTTGAGACCTGCTAAAGCTATGTATTTGTCTATACTGGTTCTTAAAATATTCAGTAAACAGTATTCATTCCTCCTTATATTCCCTATCTTTGTTTTCTCTTATCCTGTTCGTCAGACCAGCCAGTTCAGCATATTTGAACATTTTACACTGTCATTCTCCACCTTTGTGCCAATAAAGTTCTAGCTGCGGCAGTGGCGAATAATAATAATAATAATAATTTATTTGTACCCCGCCCATCTGGCTGAGTTTCCCCAGCCACTCTGGGCAGCTTCCAACAAAGATTAAAAATACATTAAAATGTCACACATTAAAAACTTCCCTGAAACTCTTCTTTTTTTTAGGACTTCCATTGTTACCATCCCCAAGAGGAAAATCTCCGGTGTTTTGGGGAAAGTTTTTTCTTTAAGCATATTTTTTAATTCATTGTATAGCTTTTGAATTATGGTGCTGGAGGAGACTCTTGAGAGTCCCATGGACTGCAAGAAGATCCAACCTCTCCATTCTTAAGGATATTAGCCCTGAGTGCTCACTGGAAGGACAGATCGTGAAGCTGAGGCTCCAATACTTTGGCCACCTCATGAGAAGAGAAGACTCCCTGGAAAAGACCCTGATGTTGGGAAAGATGGAGGGCACAAGGAGAAGGGGACGACAGAGGATGAGATGGTTGGACAGTGTTCTTGAAGCTACCAGCATGTGTTTGACCAAACTGCGGGAGGCAGTGGAAGACAGGAGTGACTGATGTGCTCTGGTCCATGGGGTCACGAAGAGTCGGACACAACTAAACGACTAAACAACAACAACAACAAGTTCAGCTACCTGAAATATAAAATAAGCACAACAAAAACTCTGCTTTTTATTTTTATTAATATTTTCTCTCTCCCCTATGATAATGCTCTAATTAAGTTTTTTTCTTATTAATTGATAGTTATAATAGGAAACACTGGAGACATTTTAATTTTTTTGCCCAAAATTAATTTTGCCATTCCCTTTGACCACAGGGATGGGTATATTTGCCACCTCCAGCTAGCTAAACTGGTCTGAACTGGCCTTCTGTTTGCAATGGAAAACTTTTTGTTTCTTTAGAGTTAATAATGGGGTTAGCTTGACCCACTGAAGGTGGATCTTAAGAACAAAACACCTCCGCTAGATCTTTAACTGCTCAGCCAACAACTGCTCAGAATAATTCCCTTTTTTAAAAAAAGAAAGGAAGGAAGGAAATATAGGGACATCTTGCCAGCATTCAGCTATGACAATCCAGTTCATGCCTGGCATCTTATTTTGGAGGAGGCTGGAGAAGACCAGAAGTGTTAGGATATTTCCGTTCCACCTTAAAAGGGAGCAGGCTTTGTGAGTCACAGAGTCTGCGTATTTCCTGTTCACAGGAAGTTTATGTTTTGTCTATTGCTTTCGTTTCTCTCTCTGTGCCTGAGATACCGAAGTAGGCAGTCATGTTTTCTTTGTTCTGACCAACGCTGAATAAACTTGTAAATATGCTCTCCTGCGTGCATCTTTCGCTGTGCATTATCTGCTGATAGAGCGTGCATCAGCTCTGGAATGTGGCAAGCTATTTCTGGAGCTCGTGTCGCTAATTGCTGATACTGTATCTACGGGAGATCGATGGATCGTCCGGAGGCGACGTGGAGTCATGATGGACTTTGTCTCCCTGGCAGTATCCCAACAAGAAGATCATCTGGTGCCCAACACAAGATGTTCTAAGCACCAACCGACCTCTGCTTCCCATAAACCCACATATACACAGATGACAAAGTGCCACAAGCCAATGGCAGGAATGAACCTGGTGGACGTCTTCAAGGTGCTGAGCTGGAACTCAAGTTGTTTCAAGTCAGGAAAGGGAGCTGTGTTCCATTCACTACAAGATACTCACAACAGACAAAATGTCCTGCCATTGGTGGTACTTTCAGGGTCAGATAAGAGATATGAAACCAGGGTGCCAACTTGAATAAAATACTGGAGGGGGAGGCAGGTGAGCCCCGCCCCACATGATGCAGTGCACGCACACATGGGTATAGCCAGGGTTTTTGTTAAGGGGTGACAGAATCTCAGATTTGAATTGATATGTTTAGATTTTGATTGATTTTGGGGGGCGCAACTGCCCCCCTGCCTCCTCTTGGCTACTCCCACGGACACTCACCATTTGAATGGCAACGCCCATCAACTTTGGAGGGGTGGCCCCCATTGGCGTAGCCAGGATTTATTTGGGGGGGTAGGCTTTATGGGGGGAGGCAGAACCGAGTTATCTGTGATACAATTGGTCTGTTCGTTAACTATTTTTATTTATTTACTTAATTTGCTCGGGAGGGAGCTGCCCCCCTGCCTACGCCCATGGCTGACCCTCAAATATATTATTGGGGGAGCTAAAGACCCCTCAGCCCCTAGGAGTTGGCTCCTATGGATGGAACGCAGTGTACACCCTTGTGCAAATGTAGCAATGTAATTTATTGTACAAAACTCACATATACATGATAAATGATAAATTTATCATTTGCCCGATAACAAATGTTGGAAATGTAAAGAAACTGAAGGTACATTCTTTCACCTTTGGTGGACGTGCCCAAGGATTAAGGCTTTCTGGGAGATGATATATAATGAATTGAAAAAGGTATTTAAATATACCTTCTTGAAGAAATCAGAGGCCTTTCTCCTGGGCATAGTCGGCCAATTGGTGCCAAAGAAGGACAGAACTTTTTTTATGTATGCCACAACGGCAGCAAGAATACTCATTGCAAAGTATTGGAAGACACAAGATCTACCCACTCTGGAAGAATGGCAGATGAAGGTGATGGACTATATGGAACTGGCGGAAATGACTGGCAGAATCCGAGACCAGGGAGAAGAGTCGGTGGAAGAAGATTGGAAGAAATTTAAGGACTATCTACAGAAATATTGTAAAATTAATGAATGTTAGAATGATGTTGGATAGAAACTAAGTGGTTTTCAGCTGTAATACTATAAGGGAATATGAAAAATGGATTATTAATAGGTAAAAATGTAACGTTACAATACTTTAAGATTAAAGACTAGGATAAACAAAGAGGGTAAGGATTTGCTGAACCAACAAACTGAACTGGAATACAAAAAAGGGAGGCGTGAGGAGGTCTGGGAAATAAGCTAATGAAAAATAAGTAATGGAAAGATTGAGTTGTTTTTAGCCATTTTTATTTTTGTACTTTTTTCTTTTTGTTTTGTAACATTTTGAAAATCTTAATAAATACCTTTTATTATGGGTTGGGGGAAAAACAAAACTCACATATACATGTACAAAACTCACATATACGTACATTAGTAACGGATATGACCTCCGCTATTTTTAAGCAGCATTTGAACACAGTTTGGCATGGAGTCTACTAGTTTTGAACAGTCACTGTTGGTTTTCGGATCCCTATACCACACTTGACTCAGCGCCTGAATGAGCTTCTCCATAGTCATACAGTCTACAGCACAGAGGCGACTTTTGCATATAGCCCACAAATTCTCAATGGGATTTACGTCCAGGGAATTCCCTGGCCAATCAAGTACCTGTATTTGCTGCTCTCTCATGAGTTTCTTCACCACTTTTGATATGTGTCAGGGGGCTAGGACCTCCTGCAATTTCCCAATACCACCAGGATACCTCTTTTCCAGCTCTGGAATAACTCTCTTTCGTAGAGCCTCAATATATTGTGGCGAGCGCATCATTCCGTCTATTGGCTGCAGGCTTCTGATACCATAATAATCAACTGACTTTTCGTGTTTGTTTTGAGCACAGGATTACGAGTAAGATAGAAAACATAGTTTGTTTCAATTAATTTGCACAAGGGTGTAGAATGGATTTATGAGAGTCACAAAAGGCAGGCAAGCAGGAATGGATGAATTTTAACCAAAAGTTAAATGCAATTAATATTGATACATTAAAAACAACAACAACAACAAAATCTACACCCTGGGTCCAGGGCTGGATTTAGGTTTGATGAGGCCCTAAGCTACTGAAGGTAATGGGGCCTTTTATATGTCCAGCTGTCCTTTGTCAACAACAAATCATCTCTTGGGGTTTTTTTTGTTTTGTTTTGTTAAATATATGCTATTTGGTAATTTATGGATCTAATAGGTATCTAAAGCCATTTGCACATAACAAAGCGGAGCCTACACAACACAAAACACTGTTGCTGTATGTAAGTTTTATTTTATTTGTTTTTTATCTTATATTTTGGAAATGTACATCCAGGTTTTTTCCCCTTTAAATTTTTTGGGGGCCTCCAAGAGAGTGGGGCCCTAAGCTATAGCTTGTTTAGCTTATATGTAAATCTGGCACTGGTAGGAGGGATTTATGAGAGTCACAAAACGCAGGCACGCGGGAAAGGGTGCATTTTAGCCAAAAGTTAAATGCAATTAATATTGAGACATTAAAAAAAACAACCAACAAAAACACCAGAATCTACACTCCTACATCACCAGCCAGCAGTCCCAGCACCGCAGCTCGAGACAGAGCCGCTGGCGACGGGTCCCCCTGAGCCTATCCATCCATCCCTCTGTCCAGATCTTCCAAGCCGGTCCGGGGAGGAGGCTCCGTCCTCGGCAGCCACCAGAGGGCTCTGGGTATGGCTTGGGGAAGAGAGAGAAACGCGGCTCTTTCTCTCTCGCGCTCTCTCTGCGTGTTTCCTCCGGGCGTTGCGCTTCCTGGGTGACTCGGATGCAGCTGAGAAGCGGGCCAGATCAGCTGCTTTGGCGCCCCAGCCGGAGTCGATGCCCGCGGGAGACCTGCCTGCCTTAGACGGGACGCCTCCCTTGCCATTGCCCGGCCAAGGTGGGAAGGTCTCCGGCTCGCAACGAGAGCCGATCCAGGGCTGCGGGAATGCCCTGAGCTTGGAGGGCCGTAAGGAAGCTGAAGGCAAAAGACTGGGGAGGGTGGGGGGCAGTGGCTGCGCTTGATCCTGCTGCCTCGATCGCCTGCGCGCCCCGGAGCTGCAGCCTGCGCAAACCTCCCAAAGCTGTGCGCGCACTCGCTTGACACGGAATTGGCCACCCCGGGAAATGCTCCCGTTCACAAGCAGGTTGGTGAAAGAAGGGGTGACCCCGCCCCATCCCCGCCCCACACTTTCCACGGGGGGTCTACTATGCGATGAAAAATTCTCGGCTGCCATCAGTCAAGGGTTTGCTGTTCACTGGTGGCGCATGAGGGCATGCTTTCGTTTAGTGATTTTTTTAAAAAATAGTGTTTCTTCATACAATGCAAGCTCTGCCGCTTGATCTACGGAGAAGGCAGTTAACATGTGTAAATGATAAAGCTGCAAGACGGAATAAGAATGGGGTCGCTGTAGCAAACCGATGAACCCGGGAAGGGAGCAAAACCCAGGCAGAATTAGAAACAGCAACTGTCCCAATTTTCTTGCATAAAAAGAGTTTGTAGCACCTTTTTTGGTATGTGTCTTTAGTTGACCTATTGCCTTGTTAATCATTTGCATTGCAAAGCGCCATGAATGTATTAATATTATTATTAAATTAATTTTGTATACCACCCTATGTCCGCAGGTCTCAGGGCAGTTCACAATATAAAATCACAGTATAAAAACACAAATACATTATGTTCTAGAATAAACAAAGACTATGGGCACTTCCACTGTCATTATTTTGCCAGGGAATTTGGGTTTGCGCAATTAAAGTGGATTCAAGCTCTGGCGCAGGAGTGGGAAACCTTTGGCCTGTTGCATGTTTTGCTGGACTGCAACTCCCATCACCCACAGCAAACATGGCCAATGGCCAGGGATGATGGGAGTTGTAGTTCAGCAACAGCTGGCAGGCAGGTCAAAGGTTGCCCTACACTGCCTCTGCACAACTAATCTTTAAACAATAATGGCTATTTGCAGTTGGGAAAGTGACTTGGAAATAGGCTGGAAAGTGTGGGATTAACGAATGACACCCCACAAACAAATCTGAATGAGTACTCAGTGAAGACCAGTCACCACGTAAACTTTAGGATGAATGCTGAATAAATTATTATGGCATAAACTTTCACAGGCTGTAGTTCAGGTTCTCAGTTGCATGAAGAGTAATCCTGCATTGCAGGTACATATACATATTGCATAGGTTGTAAACGAAGGACAGTATATAGACAGTGGTATTTGCATTATGAAAAGTGGCCATCCGTCCTACTCTGGTTAACACTTCATGTATCTGAGAAAGTGGACTGTATGTAATGCACAGAAGCTTATGTCATAATTTGCTTATGCCATTTGTTTAAGAGGGCAATCCTATGTCAAGATCTGCCAGGATAGGCAGCTATTCAAAGCGCACAGTTCAAAGTGTTGGTGCTGACCTTTAAAGCCCTAAACGACCTCGGCCCTGTATACCTGAAGGAGCGTCTCCACCCCCATCGTTCAGCCCAGACACAGAGGTCCAGCTCCAAGGGCCTTCTGGTGGTTCCCTCGCTGCAAGAAGCCAAGTTACAGGGAACCAGACAGAGGGCCTTCTCAGTAGTGGTGCCCTCCCATCAGATGTCAAGGAAATAAACAACTATCTGACTTTCAGAAGACCTCTGAAGGCAGCTCTTTATAGGGAAGTTTTTAATGTCTGGTGTTTTATTGTGCTTTTAATTCTGTTGGGAGCCGCCCAGAGTGGCTGGGGAAACCCAGCCAGATGGTCGGGTTATAAATAATACATTATTATTATTATTATTATTATTATTATTATTATTACCAAGTGTCAGAGCTGGCTCCAGGTCCCAGCTCACAGAGGACCAACGCTAGCCGGCAGTAATGTACAAAAGTCTTTATTGAAGTACAGTTTCCATTTTCAAGCCGCAGCGCCCCAGCTCTACGTCTAGGGGTTAGATCGGCGAAGCTCCGTCTGAGTCTCCGCCCCTTGTACACCAACTTAATATCCTAGCCCTGCTCCACCTTTTCCGCCTGACTGTTCTTCTCTGGGTCCCTCTGCCCCCTGGGGTCTCTTCTTTCCGGGATTCTTCTGACGCTGACGTTCCCCCCCCTGACTCTTCTCCCTCCTTTCGGCGGGCTTTAGGACCTGGCTCCCTTTCCGGGCTGCCTACTGTGCCACCTTCCTGTGCATTTGAACTTGGCGCGCGCGCCCAACCTTCCACCTTCCGTCTGACCGTTTCTTCGCTCCCCGATGGAGGTGTGGCCACTCCTGACTCGTGCCCTCCCCCCTGTTGTGAGCTGCCAGCGCTTGATCCCTGGCTCCCTTCCTCTTCCTTGCTCTCTGGCGGTGACGCTGGTCCCGATTTCCAACTGCTCCCCTCTGAGTCCCCTCTGGCTCTATCTTCCTGGGGCGTCCCCCTAGGCTCCCCCCTTGCCCTGGCCACTGGTGCTCCTTTCTGTGAATCCTCTGATTCACTGGAAAGACTCGGAGATCTCGGGTCGTCGTCATCACTCATCTTTTCTTCTGCCTCCTCCCCCTCGCTCTCTGTTTCCTCCCTTGCCCTTGCCTCTGCTCCTGAACCCCTGACACCAAGGATGCAGCACATCTCTGACTCAACCAGAGTTAAGTCTCCAACCCCAACTCAGTGTAATTTGCTCAGCTTGCCAAGTTCCACAAAATGGGTGCTTTATGGATGGAACAGGGCCAGAGACAGAGGACCCAGGCTGGATCCTAAGATTGTTCAGCTTAGTCACGTGGCCTGACCACCCAGCACAGAATACTATTTTAAAGGCTCTTTTCCTCTTATGCAGAGCAGCAACAGAAGCCCTGCTGCCAAACAGGGTTTGGATCTGGTGCACCTTAACTTACTGCACCGGTTTTCAAGGTGCTGCAAGATTTTTGTGTTCATTTTCTACAACAGACTAAAGGGACTGCCGGACAGGTGCTTATTGCAGGATGGGTGCTGCCCAGGCATGCAAGTGTTTCACGGCATCTGCGTGACCTCGGCGGCATCGATATGCCAGCGTGTGTCACCCATTTACAGTGGTGCCTCGCAAGACGAAAAGAATCCATTCTGCGAGTCTCTTCGTCTTGCGGTTTTTTTCGTCTTGCGAGGCACCACTGTAAATGGGTGACACACGCTGGCATATCGATGCCGCCGAGGTCACGCAGATGCCGTGACCAAACACCACTGTCAATAAGTTAAAAAGAAAATATACCCTGAGCCATTTGTGATATCTGAGGGACCCATCTGAGATACTAAGCCCCTGTCTGGAAGCCCTCAAATGTGGTCACCCCTCTGGAAACTGTCAAATATCTTCAAGCTCTCAAGAAAAGAATCCCCGTCACCAGGCATCTAAAGGCCAAGGCGGGTGGAACAAGGTTGGTGTCACAGGAAGGGAGTTCCTCAATACTGGTGTGGTGTTGCCGTTCTGTGATGGTGGGGCCAGAGAGACTGAGGCTGGCATGGAGAGCTTGTGGCCTTCTGGATATTGCTGGACTCCAGCTCCCAGCAGCCCATCCCACACAGGGATTATGGGAGTTGTAGTCCCAGGGTGTGGTTCAAGGGGCACATGAAGCCACTACCTTGCTGAGGCTAAGCAGGCCTGGGTCTGGTCCGTGGCTGGAAAGGAGAACACCTGGGTACCACATGTAGTCTGCTTTGGGTCCCGTGATGGAAGAAACCTAGGATATAAGTGTAAGAGGGAAAATGTCCCTAATGTCCCTTTATTTATACCCAGCCTGTTGCATACTAACCTTCCTTTCTTTCTGATTTTTCACTAGGCACCGCAAAGAGCCAATCCGTGCTACTCAGGTAGGTGTGCAGTGCTGGTTTATAGTTCAGGCAGGCATAACCAAAACCCAGGTTACACAGAGACTTGGGTCTCCAGCTGTTTTTGAACTACAATTCCCATCATCCCCAGCTAGCAAGACCAGTGGTCAGGGATGGTGGGATATGTAGTCCGAAAACAACCCAAGTTTGGGAAACCCTGCAGTGAAATGTCTTCAATGTGCTAAGTGCACCCCAAGTTTATCCCGGCAGGAATGAGTCGCTGAACTCTAAAAATGCCTATCGCTTTTCTGGAAGGTGTGTGGACATATGTAGAAAGTAGTCTATGGTACAAAGGTAAAGGTAAAGGGACCCCTGACCATTTGGTCCAGTCGTGGCCGACTCGGGGGTGGCGGCGCTCATCTCGCTTTGTTGGCCGAGGGAGCCAGCGTACAGCTTCCAGGTCATGTGGCCAGCATGACTAAGCCGCTTCTGGCAAACCAGAGCAGCGCACGGAAATGCCATTTACCTTCCTGCCGGAGTGGTACCTATTTATCTACTTGCACTTTGACGTGCTTTCAAACTCCTAGGTTGGCAGGAGCAGGGACTGAGCAACGGGAGTTCACCCCGTCGCGGGGATTCGAACCGCCGACCTTCTGATTGGGAAGTCCTAGGCTCTGTGGTTTAACCCACAGCGCCACCCGCGTCCCTTATGGTACAAAGGTAACATTTAAATGTGTTGCTCCGCCCACTTTTGCCTCTGGCCCTGCCCACCTCTGGCATGTGGCCCTTGGAAAGCTGCCCAGAGGGGAATATGGCCCTCAGGTTGAAAATGGTCCCCCGAACGTGCCATGTGGAAGAAAACATGAAGAGCATCCATTCAAATGTTTGTCACAATGTGCAGGTCATATCTTGGGGTTGTTTTTCCCCTGCAGCCTCCAAAGTCAACGTCATTAACGCACAGACAGGAATACAGTTAGGAAAACGTGCATTTCAAATTGGGCAGGTGGGTTTTCCTCCAGGGCTAGTTTGATGGATGGGCAAACTTCTCCTTACAGATGCGAGAGGCCTCCGAGACCAAAGGTGCGCTTCGCGAAAGAGCAGGGCCTTGCCACCTGAGCCCTCTGCTGGAATATCATGCAGGAGAATTATGAGACGCTAATCTCTCTGGGTAAGGATTCCAGCGGTGCCAGTGAGGCAGTTCTGGTCCCTGGAACACGAGGACCTTTTCCCTTTAGACAGCCACGTGCATTACCTTCCACAATTGACATTTTCCTTATTCTGTCGCCGCCATTCCATACTTTACAACTCGTTCTACATTCCTGTCGTGTCAGAGCGAAAAGGTAAATAAAAAGAACATGTAGCCACACTTTGATTTTTAAAAGAAACAGCCTGCGAGACGGCCTGTTTTTATTGTTATGATTATTGCTATAATATATTGCTGTAATATAAGGGACTGGCAATGAAAGCCTATAGGTCTCTACTAAGCCCCAAAGAACTCCATGGGCAAGGGTGAATAGGAAGCTGCCTTTATCTCAAGTCAGGCTATTGACCCATCTAGTTCAGTACAGTGGTACCTCGGGTTACATACGCTTCAGGTTACAGACTCTGTTAACCCAGAAATAGTACCTCGGGTTAAGAACTTTGCTTCAGGTTGAGAACAGAAATCATGCTCCAGCGGCGCTGCAGCAGCAGGAGGCCCCATTAGCTAAAGTGGTGCTTCAGGTTAAGAACAGTTTCAGGTTAAGAACGGACCTCCGGAACGAATTAAGTACTTAACCCGAGGTACCACTGTATTGCCTGCACTGATTGGCAGGGCTCTCCTGGGTCCTAAATCGTCGTTTGGTTAGCGGAATAGCAGAACTTTTGGCGGATAAGTAGATTCTGTAAATACACAGATGGCAGAAAATGTATTGAGTAGAGATTTACTAAGGCATCCATCTTACCATTTGTTGTTAGCTCCCTAGCAAGGCAAAACTTAGCTCCTTTAGAGCAAATCCAGTTTCAGCAGTCAAAATGAATTACACCACATAAATGCCAAAATGAAAGTAAGTACAGGACGGTACAAGAAGGAAGAGTATGTGAGCTCCCCAGCAGGCAGTTGATATAGACTGTCGTGGGGCAAACATCCTTGAAGTTTGGAGATAGCACAGTAGAAAACCAACAGCTGTGCCCTCTCTGTGCCCTCCAGAACACTTCAGAACCTTTGAAAGCAGAATGTACCAGAATGTTCTGGTGGCTTCTGCACTTAGAAAACTTATTCCCTGACGCAGTCGACCTTCGTAATAATAATAATAGTAATAGTAATAATAATAATTTATTATTTGTACCCCACCCATCTGGCTGGGTTTCCTCAGCCACTCTGGGTGGCTTCCAACAAAGATTAAAAATACATCAAAATGTCACACATTAAAAACTTCCCTAAACCGGGCTGCCTTCAAATGTCTTCTAAACGTCAGGTAGTTCTTTATTTCCTTGACATCTGATGGGAGGGCGTTCCACAGGGCGGGCGCCACTACCGAGAAGGCCCTCTGCCTGGTGCCTGTAACCTCACTTCTCACAGTGAGGGAACCGCCAGAAGGCCCTCAAAGTTGGACCTCAGTGTCCAGGCTGAACGATGGGGGTGGAGACGCTCCTTCAGGTATACTGGGCCGAGGCCGTTTAGGGCTTTAAAGGTCAGCAGCAACACTTTGAATTGTGCTCGGAAACGTACTGGGAGCCAATGTAGGTCTTTCAAGACCGGTGTTATGTGGTCTCGGCGGCTACCCCCAGTCACCAGTCTAGCTACTGCATTCTGGATTAGCGTAATCCAGCCGCTACATAAGGTAGGGAGGAGAGAGTGCTGCGGTGAAGAGGGTTTGCACTGGGAGAATGCTTTCGCATGGGGGAAGTTAGCCAGCAGCATCTCAATGCTCAAAGCCCAACGGCGCCGGCCAGCCTGCCTTGTGTTCTGACGGCATCCTCTCATCTTCTTCTTTTTTTAAATTTAATTTTTATTGATTTTAATATATAAATTATAAAATGTACCACAAAACTTATCACTTATACAATCTTTTTAGACTTCCATCAGCACCTCTGATGATCCACCGTTTTTGTTGGCTTTTTGCAGTATGGTAGCGCTGCAGAGAGCTTGTTGGGGAGACCATGCATTAAAAAGGGACTCAAAAATAATTTAAGCAAGGTTTTAATAAGAAAAACAAAAACTCCTTTTACACTAAATACATTAACAAACAAACATGACCCAACCACCAACCCAGGGTAATGGGAGAGCTAGGTGCTGCTCCTTATATACTACACCCAATTGCCAAACACAGCTTAATCAGTACAACTCGGCAGCACCTGCTATGTTTCACTGCTGCAAAGCTGGGTCTCGCTATCTTGCTCTGGCCCTTTTCTGGCCCCTTAAAGACATACACATCGAGTGGAACAATGATGAACCTTTACATATTAAACCATTCAACATTTCCCCTGCGGTTCATCATTGTGGAACAAAACGTAAAGCATACTTTGTACATGTTTTTCATGTATAACCTTTGGAAGTGCTTTTGTAAAAAATGTCTGCAATTTGATTGTCACCTGGAACATATTTAAATACAACCATTTCATCAGCAATTAGTTTCTTTACAAACTGTAAACGTAATCTTAAGACTTTAGTGCGCTGCGTATTGGTTTCTGAACATAGGATAGCGAGTCCACTCTGGGAATCAAGGTAAACTTTCACTGGTAGAGTTACTTGCATCTGTAGGTCTGCAAATACTTGCAGATACCATTCTACATCACGAGTGGCCTGAACGCATGCACATAATTCACTCTCTGTTGTGGAGAGACAAATAATGTTTTGTGTCTGGGACTTCCATTCAAATGGACAACCGTTATAACAAAACACCATACCAGACACACCCTGCAATTATTTTGTTCCACTGCATGAGATGCATCGCAGAAAATTTCAAAACCTTTGTCAGTACTTGTTGTAAACTGCAACCTATAATGTTTGGTATGTTTAAGGTACATTACCACTCTCTTAAGAGCAGAGAAACATTATGTAGTGGGCTTTTCCACAAATTTTGCCAGAAAGTGAAAGGCATAAGTTATATCTGGTCTTGAGATTCTTTGAATGAAATTTAGCTTGCCTATAGCAGAACGATACAAAGTTTTGTTAGGAAATGGCTTATCTTCACCTGTAAAAGTGAAACCACACACCATGGGCTTTTCCTTCCCATTTGCTTTTTCTAAACGTAGCATTTCAACAAGTTCATCAATTTTTGCAGTTTGATGAACCAGAAAAGATCCATTTTTGCCTTTCTCAATTTGCATGGATAAGTAATTTTTAGCTATGCCTAATTCCACCACATCAAATTTCTTCTGTAACTGTGTTACTACCTGTTCATATTCCTGTTTAGTTTTTGTAGAAATTAACACGTCATCTACATACACACATATTTTTGCTACAGAGTTTGCCCTTTCCTTTATAAACACACACATTGTCTGCCTTTCCCTGTGAAAAACCAATATCCAGCAATTCTTTTGCTAAAGTTTGATGCCAATTCCTTCCACTTTGGTGCAGACCATAAAGGGATTTATTTAATTTGCATACCAAACCTTCAGCGGCGTCTATGCCTTCAGGGACACGCATAAAAATTTGTTCTTTTAAATCTGCAAACAAATATGCAGTTTTTATATCTAGGTGATAAACAGAATGTCCACGTTGTGATGCATCTTTGAACAAAAGCTTAACTGTTTCATATTTTACACTTGGTGAATAACACAAATCATAATCTTCGCCTGGAATTTGTTAAAAACCCCTAGCAACTAATCTTGCCTTGTACCTTACAACTTCATTTTTGTCATTCATTTTAACTCTATAAACCCATTTTGAATCAATAAGTCTCATATCTGGGGTTTGTGGTACAAGAGACCAAGTGTTATGCTCTTTTAAAGAAGCTATTTCAGAGTTCATAGCTTTATACCAATTTACAGCTTGGTGCTTAGGTAAATTCTGAACATCATTGTAGCTTTTGGCTCAAAACTGCCTTATTGGCATACACAGTATTAAAATGTTCATCTGCAAAACGTTGTGGCTTCTGTCTCTTTCTATCTGAACGTCTCAGTCCGGAAGGAGAGTCAGACTCCTCAGACTTAATGGGACTATGTAAACTACTAGTTTCAGGTTGTAAATCATCATTGTCAGACTGAAGAGATGCCTGTTGGCTAAGCTCACGGTCAGAAAACTCAAGAGAATCTAACCTCCCTCGGGTGCCTGTGACTTTAAATCATCAAAGAAATTATCAGATTCAACAGGCTTTTGTCTTCTTCCATTAATTCAGAAGCACCATTTCCTGCTGCTGCTGCTGCTTCTTCTACCTCTTCTTCCTCAGTATTATCTATACCGTTAGTATCTTGGAAAATAGCAACGCCATTCCAATTTACAGTTTGTATCATGCTTCTGGTAATATGAAATTTGCCAGTTGCTGGTATGTAAATTCTGTACGCCCCCTGCTGGTAGCCCATTAATTTTCCCTGGACATTACGTTCACCCAATTTCTGCTTAGCGGGATAATGCATTATTACATCTGAACCCCAAATGCGTAGGTGTTTCAAATTAGGGCATTTTTTAAACAGCTTCTCAAAGGGGGTGACATCTAAACCAGAATGATAACTGCGATTCCTAACATAACAAAAGGCATTGAGCGCTTCAGCCCAAAAGTCTTTGGGCAGATTAGCATCGTGCAGATAAGTTTTAACCCCTGCCTGCAGGTCACGCTGCACAACTTCAACAAGCCCATTTTGCCAGGGACTTCGGGGCAAGATAACTCATGAGTAGTCCCCTGCGCTTCCAGGAATTTCTCAAAATCCTCAGAAACAAATTCCCCGCCCCGTCAGAAAAAAGGTTCTTAATAGGTTTGTTAAAATGTGTTTTTACCCAGTTGCAAAAAACTTTGTACTTCTCAAATGCTTGGGACTTCTCAGCTATTGCATAAGTCCAACAATATCTACTATACTGGTCTATCAGGGTAAGCCAGTACTTAGAACCTCCTAAGGATGGTGGGAGTGGCCCAACTAAATCACAATGTACACGCTCAAATGGCTCAGTTACTTTCCTATCTGAGCACCTACCCTTGCGTGCAACCTTAATCTTATTCTTGCAACAGGATAGACATTGCATAAAGAATTTACATGGTTTTAAGTTGAGGCCATTAACAATATTCTTGGTCTTAATTACATCAGCAAAATTCAGATGTCCCAGAATTCTGTGCGCCTCATGGACACACCCAGAATGTGGCTTTACATTCCTCAACCCCGGCTTGACTGTGCTGCTCTGCAATTTATAGGCGATTGGGAGTAGGTGCGAAAATACAGTCTATATAAACCATCAGATTCCCGGGCATACAATAGACGTTTGTTCCCCTCGAAAAACTCACACATTGACTTTAAGAAACGCACAGTTATGCCTTGACGAGCAAAACACCTTACTGACAATAAATTGTCCACTGATGGGCAGTAAATGCAGTTCGCTATAGTAATGTTTAAAGAGTCAAGTTTAACAGTACCCCTGCCAAGCGACTGCAAGACTTGTGAATTGGCTAAATGTACATTACCAATTTCCTCTTCGAAAGAAATAAACAAGCTTCGATCGTTGCAAACGTGCTGAGATGCTCCTGAGTCCACAATAAAAGAATTCCACTTGGCACCTTTAATTCTTTTACGATCTCTTGTGCTAGCGTGAAAAGCTCGCGGCTCGTTTCTGTCTTTACAGTACGATGCCGGCTGCTGAGCTGACGACCGTGACTGACGAACAGAAACAGACTTGGGAGTACTTTGCTTTCTTTTGGATCTGCAGTCCTTTGCAAAATGTCCTTGCTTATTGCAGAACCAACAACGCTTTGCAGCTTTAAATGCAGTTGTATCACCACAAGTTTGCATATGGCGTTCCTCATTCTTTCTGGAAATAGGAGTGCTTATGGCACAAGCCTCCCTTCTGTCCAACTCGCCCATTAATCTTGCTGTTACCCCTTCCACAGTTAATTGTGCTGGTGGAACGGCAGATATCTGGCTAGCTATACCATCAAAGTCCTCATTAAGGGAACAAAGGATGATGAAAACATACTGAATATCAGGTATCTCCATGTCCCTTCGAATTAATTCGCCGCGTATTGCCTCCAGACGCTCTCAAGTGTGCTGCCAAATCACCACCAGGCTGCAACTTCGTCTGGTACAACTGCTTGAAAACGTCAATGCAGACGCTGACTCTTTTCTAACATGCACTGCTGCAAGACTGTCCCACATTTCTTTGGCAGTTTTCTTATTTCTTATATAGACTACTTGCTGGTCGCTGACTGCCAAATTAATTATCGCCCTGGCTTCGTGATCTCCTTTCGACCAAGCATTAGTTACAGGGTCAGGAGGGTCATCAGTTACATAGGTCCATACTTCTCTAGAGGTCAAAAGCGCCCCACCCGAAAAGACCATAAACTATAGTTCTCATCTGTTAGCTGTGGGAAGACCAGAGCCTTCTCAGCTTCAGGAACCCAGTCAACCATTCTGGAACTCTTCCAGACCCACAGAACTATGCTAACAGGAGAAGGAGTTTTCAAACCTTTCTCAGAGTCCAAAAATATGCAGTCATCCACTCAGCAGCTGGGCCCATAACCAAAGATGTTGGCTTTTTGCAGTATGGTAGCGCTGCAGAGAGCTTGTTGGGGAGACCATGCATTAAAAAGGGACTCAAAAATAATTTAAGCAAGGTTTTAATAAGAAAAACAAAAACTCCTTTTACACTAAATACATTAACAAACAAACATGACCCAACCACCAACCCATCCCCCAGGGTAATGGGAGAGCTAGGTGCTGCTCCTTATATACTACACCCAATTGCCAACACAGCTTAATCAGTACAACTCGGCAGCACCTGCTATGTTTCACAGCTGTAAAGCTGGGTCTCGTTATCTTGCTCTGGCCCTTTTTCTGGCCCCTTAAAGACATACACATCGAGTGGAACAATGATGAACCTTTACATATTAAACCATTCAACAGTTTTAACCACTTCTTATGCATTTCTTAACTTTATATTGCCTTTACATCTCTTAACAAATCATCCTTCCCCTTCTCCATTTTTGCAATACTTCCAATCATACTCCTCACAAAACTTCTTGCAAACCTACAAACGTCGTCTGATCTTCACAAATACTTTTCAAATAGTCCATAATTTTACTTCAGTCTTCCATGAATTTCTGGTCCCGCCGGTTTCGAATTCTTCCTGTTAGTTTATCTAGTTCTGCATAGTCCATTAACTTCATCCTCCATTCTTCGATTGTCAGTAATTCTTCTTGCTTCCATTTTTGGGCCAGTAATATTCTTGCTGCTGTTCTTGCATATAAAAAGATTCCTTTTTACATTCCTTTCTATGGCATCCTCTCATCTTCTTGTTAGCAGAAGAGATGGCCATCAGCCTTCCCCGGATCACTGCGCTGGCCGACTCGCATCGCAGAGGACTGGCGTCAGGTGAGTCCCATGCAGTAAACATTGTGCTCTATGAGAAAAAACAACAGCAGCAACAAAGGAAATTATTTGCTGTATCAACCCACATTCTGCACTCAGAAAAAAATTCTGCAAACTGAATCAGAGGCAGTGATGCTTCTGAACACCAGATGCTGGAAACCCCAGGAAGGGAGAGGACTCATGCGCTCAGATCCTGCTGGTGGGCTTCTCATAAGCATCTGGTGGGACGCTGTGGGAACAGGATGCTGGAGTAGTTGGGCCAGTTGCCTGATCCAGCAGGACTCCTCTTACGTTCTGACCTAGGGGTAAGCCCCAGTGAATTTGGTTGGATTGACTTCTGAGTAGATACAGTTAGGGCTGCCCTGTAAGTTGGTGGCTCTCTTAACAGCATAGTCTGGCTGTGAGCAGTGGGACTTGCTTCTGAGAAGATCTGTATACGATTGCACTGCAAGCGTCACTTGAGCAAACGTGCAAAGGAAGGTAACCAAGCAAGAAAGAGAGATGGGGCCCTGTTCAGGGTATTGAAGTGCCAGGTAGGGACGTGGGTGGCGCTGTGGTCTAAACGACTGAGCCTCTTGTGCTTGCCAATCAGAAGGCCGGTGGTTCAAATCCCCACAACAATGGTGAGCTCCCATTGCTCTGTCCCAGCTCCTGCCAACCTAGCAGTTCGAAAGCATGCCAGTGCAAGTAGATAAATAGATACCACGGTGGCGGAAAGTTAAACGGTGTTTTCGTGCGCTCTGGCTTCCATCTCGGTGTGCTGTTGCACCAGAAGTGGTTTAGTCATGCTGGACACATGACCTGGAAAGCTGTCTGTGGACAAACGCCAGCTCCCTCGGCCTGAAAGTGAGATGAGCGCCGCAACCCCATAGTCGCCCTTGACTGGACTTAATCCGTCCAGGGGTACCTTTACCTTTTAATGAGTCTCCAAGCGGCTCACATTCTCCTTTCCCTTCCTCCCCCACAACAAACACTCTGTGAGGTGAGTGGGGCTGAGAGACTTCAGAGAAATGTGACTGGCCCAAGGTCACCCAGCAGCTGCATGTGGAGGAGCGGAGATGCGAACCCGGTTCACCAGATTATGAGTCTACTGCTCTTAACCACTACCTTTTTACCTTTACTGAAATGCCACCTTCGTTTGCTCATCAGCTGGATTTCCACTTTCCAAACCTGACCTGCTCTCCTGGATGGACCGAGGGGAAGACCCCTGGGTTCCAGATTTTCAGGAGCCGGAGGGAAGGGAGATGCCAAGCGAGACTAACCCAGGTGAGGAACCAGCATTTTAAAAAATGGAATTGAACTTCAGAACTCAAAGGCAGCTCTCCTGAACCAGACTAGTGGTCTATCCTGGCTGGGAATCATAGAATGGTAGAGTTGGAAGGGACCACGAGGGTCATCCAACCTCTTGCAATGCAGGGATCTTTTTACCCAATATGGGGCTCAAACCCACAACCCTGAGATTAAGAGTCTCATGCTCTACCGACTGAGCTATTCCAGCTAGGTCCGACCTGAACGACGTGGTGCGATAAGTTGTGTCCCTTTCAGGCACTTATAGCATATCTAGGACTGATTCTCATCTACATGTTCAACACACAATTACTCTGTTGGTTATCAAGTGGTGACTTGCATGTGTGGATGAGCCATTGCAGATCAAATACCAGACAGAGAGATCTCCATCCCCCCCACAACTCTTCCCATTCTGGAGATGCCAGTCATTCAGGGCTAAGTGAGTAAGTTGTTGGGATGGATGTGGAAGGTAGGATAGCATACATTGTTTATTAATTATCCTTCCTCTTACTCACTTGGGTAATATTAGCATCTAGTTTAGCAGAGTTAAGAGTATACCATCCTTTCTAACACTAACATGGAAACTTGGGACAAAGTTATGTAGCTTTCTAGAATTATCCAGGATGCCTTTCTGCAGACCAGAGTTTCATGAGAGACTTTGCATGAGAGACTTTGTTTATCCATCTATACAAAATAACAACAAAGAACTCTGTAATGTAAAATGTAATAATATGATTTGCTTACATAAAGTTGCACACTTGTTTCAAGCAGAAAATAGCAGTAAATAAGTCAGGCAAAATATCTTTCTAAATTACAAAATACATGGCTTAGATTAGGGCTTCCCAAATTTGTGTCTCTGGCTGTTTTTGGACTACAACTACCATCATCCCTAGCTAGCAGGACCAGTGGTCAGGGATGATGGGAATTGTAGTCCAAAAAAACAGACAGACCCAAGTTTGGGAAACCCTGGTTTAGATCAAACATGGTGCCTGTGTTCAGGAGCACACAGAGCCTGCATCCTTTCTGCATGAAGAAGAAGAAGAAGAAGAAGAAGAAGAAGAAGAAGAAGAAGAAGAGGAGTTTGGATTGGATATCCCACTTTATCACTATCCTAAGGATAGTGATACTGCCCACCTAGCAGTTCGAAAGCACATCAAAGTGCAAGTAGATAAATAGGTACTGCTCTGAAGATAAACAGCGTTTCCGTGCACTGCTCTGGTTCGCCAGAAGTGGCTTAGTCATGCTGGCCACATGACCCGGAAGCTGTACGGCGGCTCCCTCGGCCAGTAAAGCGAGATGAGCGCCGCAACCCCAGAGTCGTCCGCAACTGGACCTAACGGTCAGGGGTACCATTACCTTTTAAGGAGTCTCAAAGTGGCTAACATTCTCCTTTTTCTTCCTCCCCCACAACAAACACTCTGTGAGATGAGTGAGGCTGAGACACTTCAGAAAAGTGTGACTGGCCCAAGGTCACCCAGCAGCTGCATGTGGAGGAGTGGGGACGCGAACCCAGTTCACCAGATTACGAGTGTACCGCTCTTAACCATTACACCACACTGGCTCTCAAGTGGGAGGAAGTGATAAGGATTATCTTATTTTCAATTTCATCGTTCCGCAAGGGACAATGACAATAAAGATATCGTAATCGTAATCTTCCTATTATTACCCTTCCTGCCTGGGCAGACAGAGGATATGACCTCACAGAGTGCCCTCTAGGAATTTACAGAGAACTCCATGTGTCTTTACCCTTTGCTCACCTCACAAAAATGAAATTTATTTTTTGACTGGAGCATCATTTCCTACATAAGTGATACTTATTATTATTATTATTATTATTATTATTATTATTATTAATTTGTACCCCACCCATCTGACTGAAGTTGCATTCAGTTAAGTTATGGGGGGGAGGTTAAATATCGAAAACAGGACTTATACTGGAACAGTGCGATTTTCGCAGCTGCAGTTGAAGTTGTAAAACAATGTGAACATAGATCTTCGGGAGCTTTTTGGTAAAAGTTGTAAAACAGTGAACCACGCGATGGAGCAATGGAGAACTTTTGAAATAATGATGGGATATTAGCTCTGCCCAAGGCATGATGGAAGCATCAGCTGGGAAAAGATAGACATAACACTTTACAAGGACAGGAAGGAATACCACGGACGGAATAATTGTCACACACAGGAGGAATAAAGATACAGCTTCACCTATAAGTTTATAAATCATTAAATGTGTCAAGATGAATGGATGTCGTTAATACTGCAGTTGTTAAATAAAAGGTAAAGGTAAAGGACCCCTGACAGTTAAGTCCAGTGGCAAACAACTCTGAGGTTGCGGCGCTCATCTCGTTTTACTGGCCGAGGGAGCTGACGTTTCTCTGCAGACATGTGGCCAGCATGACTAAGCTGCTTCTGGCAAAACCAGAGCAGCACACGGAAACGCCGTTTACCTTCCCACCGGAGCGGTACCTATTTATCTACCTGCACTGGCATGCTTTCAAACTGCTAGGTTGGCGGGAGCTGGGACTGAACAACGGGAACTCACCCCGTTGTGGGGATTCGAACCGCCAACCTTCCGATTGGCAAGCCCTAGGCTCAGTGATTTATACCACAGCACCACCCGCAGTTGTTAAATAAGGGGTGGTTATTTTGAATGGAATGTAATTGAGAGGAGTAAGATCTTGGAACGCAGAAACAAAGTAAATTAACAATTCTAGCACACGGAAGGCCACCTAAATTATATAATTTGGCATTTGAATGATTGGGATTAGTAGTTGTATTGTAATTTGGCATTGTTATAATGAGACTACCATGAATTATTGTAATTGAAAATTAATAAAAATTATTGTCAAAAAACAACAACAGTTAAGTTGTGGTGAAAGGTATACCACAGAAGGCAGCTCACATTTGCTTCATTTGTCTTAGGTGATGAGCTGAGAAGGAAGAATGAGGATACCCATCAGCAAGAGGCTTTGAGCAAGACAGACCTGCAGGCAGAGAGCACCTTGGACGGGAGTCCAGTAGAGGCAGAGAGCCAGCCGGAAGGGAGACCGAGGCGCACAGAAGCAGCAGAAGGAAAGGCAGAGAAGGAAAAGCAGGCAGTGAGCGCTTCCAAACTCCTGCTGCCCTCTGGGAAGCCACAAGGGACCAAGAGGGGCCACCACTGCCCCGAGTGCGGCAAAAGCTTCAGCCAGAAGTCCAACCTCCTCAGGCACCAGAGGCTTCACTTGGACGAAAGACCCCACAAGTGTGACGGGTGCGAGAAGAGCTTCTCCGAGGCTGAGGCCCTGGCCAAGCACCGGAAGTGCCACGCAGGCGACAAGCCATACAAGTGCGAGGACTGCGGGAAGAGCTTCAGCTGGACCTCTCACCTGGAGCGGCACCGGAGGGTCCACACCGGGGAGAAGCCCTACGCCTGCAAGGAGTGCGGGAAGGCCTTCAGCGTCGGGTCGCACCTGGAGCGGCACCGGCGGATCCACACCGGGGAGAAGCCGTACCAGTGCAAAGACTGCGGGAAGAGCTTCACTGTCAGCTCCACCCTGGCACAACACCAGAGGACCCACGCGAACGACAAGCCCTACCAGTGCGGGGACTGTGGGAAAGGCTTCAACCTCAGTGCCAACCTGGCCGCTCACCAGAGGAAGCACCTGGGCCAGAAGCCGTACGAGTGCCCTGACTGCGGGAAGAGCTTCAGCTTCACGTCCCACCTCGAAAGGCACCAGAGGATCCACACGGGGGAGAGGCCCTATCAGTGCCCCGACTGCGGAAAGAGCTTCAGCCGCAGCTCCCACCTCTACCGGCACCAGCGGATCCACACGGGCGAGAAGCCCCGGCAGTGCGCGGACTGCGGCAAGAGCTTCTACCTCAGCGCGGCCGCCCTCCATCACCTCGGGACGTCCCCAGCAGCGGGCCGGGATCCCACCAAATGCTCCGACTGCAGCCGCAAACGGGCCGCCCCCAACCCACCCTCTCCACCGCCGCTGCCTGCCTCGCCGCCACCGTGCAGCGAGAAGCCCCACAAGTGCGCGGACTGCGGGAAAGGCTTCGGCCAGAGTTCGTCGCTGGTGAAGCACCAGAGGATCCACACGGGAGAGAGGCCTTACCAGTGCCCGGAGTGCGGGAAAAAGTTCAGCTGGTGCTCGGCCCTCATCAAGCACAAGAGGATCCACACGGGCGAGAAGCCGTACCGGTGCGAAGAGTGCGGGAAGGCTTTCAGCGTCAGCTCGCACCTTGAGAGGCACCAGCGCGTGCACTCGCCCGACAGGCCCCACAAGTGCGGCGAGTGCGGGAAGACCTACGGGGAGCTGGCGTCTCTGGTCAAGCACCAGAAATCCCACGCAGCCGAGAGCAAGCGTTACGGGTGCGCCGACTGCGGGAAGAGCTTCTGCTGGAGCTCGCACTTGGAGAGGCACCGGAGAATCCACACGGGGGAGAAGCCTTACGCCTGCGGGGATTGCGGGAAGAGCTTCAGCGTCAGCTCCCACCTGGACCGGCACCGGAGGATCCACACGGGGGAGAAGCCCTACCGCTGCAACGAGTGCGGGAAGAGCTTCAGCGTCAGCTCCACCCTCCTGCAGCACCAGAGGACCCACTCGAGCGGAAAGCCCCACAAGTGCAAGGAGTGCGGGAAGCGCTTTGTGGCCGGCGCCCAGCTGCTGACCCACCAGCGGACCCACCGGGGCGAGAAGCCCTACGAGTGCGCCGCCTGCGGCAAGAGTTTCGGCTTTGTCTCGCACCTGGAGAGGCACCGGAGGGTCCACACGGGCGAGAAGCCGTACCAGTGCCCCGTGTGCGGGAAATGCTTCAGCCGCAGCTCCCACCGCAACCGCCACCAGCGCACGCACGCGGCCAACCGGCCCCCCAAGGGAGGGGCGCGGGGAGGGGCCGAGGGTGGGAAAGGGGGCTCCAAGCGCTACAAGGAGCCGGGCCCGAGTGTTCCCGAGCCCGCTCTCTCTATCATGCCGCCCTGGTGGGTCGAGGGAGACAGGAACAGCAACCCGCCAGCTGCCCCCACGTGGCCCGAGGTCCCAACTCCCTTCCAGAGCCCTATCCCTAATGCCGTCCATCCTGGGGGTCTGCAGGGCTGGGGCGTGAAGGGGTTCTTGCCCCCAGATACATGGAGACTGGGGGAAAGCAGCTCGGGCTGGGCGTCCACCCTTGCCCAAGATGGTTGGCCGCAACTTCCCCCCACCTCCTAACTGGGCGATGGACCTCAACTTCCAGATCTGTTTTGGCTTGCGGGGTGAGGCAAGAGAGGAAGTATTCATCTTTCCTCCACCACCGCCCCTCAGCTGATGCTGAAAAAGTACGAGGTAACAGCTCTGCTGGGACGGTAGCATTTCAGAATGGGTGTTTCTGGGCGTGGAGGAACGATTACTTGAGCACTTCTTCACATTAAAGAAGAAAACAAAACTCCTGCATGTAGACAACTAGTGTTTTGAAAGAGGAGGAGGAAGCTGTGGGGAAGCTGCTTGTGGGCCTCCCATACAGGACTCTTCTTATGGGGTTTCCATGTTCTGAGAGGGCCGGATTCGACCACACGGTTGTGCTAGTGGGAGCCAGCACAATCGGAACGCAAGCAGAGCCTGCTGGATCTCACAGTGGCCAACCAGATGAATTAATCCGGCTAGGGCAACCGGGGCTTTGTCCCCACACGACTCCCCAAAGCAGCTGGCGGGTGGGGTGGGGGTGTCAGGAGAGCCCCCAGAACAGCACACGGCTGGGGAGGGGGGAAGGAAAGCGGAATTGGTTCCACCTGGAAAGCAGAAACACTTGCGCTAATGGAATGATTGTGACAGCACGACACTGAATGCCACACAGTTTCTTCGATGTAGGGGGCATTGAAAGGTGCGGCAAATCCTGTGTTCAGAGCCGGACCAAGACATTTTGCTGCCCGAGGCAGAGGAGAAGAGGATGGCGCCGGCTCAACCGGGAGCTGAGTGTTACTTGAGAGCAGCAGGGGCGCAGGGCAGGTCACATGATGCACACAGCTCTTCCCCCAACAGGCAGTTAGTTACACAGCTAGGGAACTTGGAAGAAATAGCAGTGGAGCTGCTGCCTGCCTCCCCACCCACTTTCAGCATCTACCTCCTTACATAGTCACCTCATCGCCCAACGGTAGGACCTGCATCTCTCCATAATGAGGCGATACAATCCCAGGTGGACTGTATACCATGTCCTTTTATCCCCCTGAGCGGCTGAACTGGCTCACAATGTTGTTGGGAATGGGCTTAGAGGTTTGCAATGAGCAGAGCAGAGGTGGAATGCCTGTTCCCACCCAGGCATACCTCTGTTCTTGCAGGCATCACGGAGATGGTGTTTCATGTACCTTATTAGAGGTACATAGAATCATAGAATTGTATAGTTAGAAGAGATCCGCCAGATTATCTAGTCCAACCCCCTGCGATGCAGGAATCTCAACTAAAGCATCCATAACAGATGACCATCCAACCTCTGCTTAAAAACCTCCAAGGAAGGAGAGTCCACTACCTCTCATGGGAGTCTGTTCCACTGTTGAACCGTGCTTACCATCAGAAAGTTCTTCCTGATGTTTAATCTGAGTCTCCTTTCTTGTAACTTGAAGCCATTGGTTCGAGTCCTACCTTCCAGAGCAGGAGAAAGCAAGCTTGCTCCATGTGACAGCCCTTCAGATATATGAAGATGGCTATCATATCTCCTCTCGTTCTCCTCTTTTCCAGACTAAACATACCCAGCTCCTTCAAGCGCTTAGCTTCCAGACCCTTGATCCTCTTGGCTGCCCTCCTCTGGACACGTTCCAGCTTCTTAGTTTGTGGTGCCAAGAACTGGACCCAGTATTCCATGTATGGTCTGATCAAGGCAGAATAGGGCGGTACTGTTACACTGGACACTATACTTCTGCTGATGCATAGGAGGTTCAAGGTGCATTTTATGGTATCCAGGAGAAGGACTGAGTGATGGGCCAGTCTGACCAAGCTCTGCGGAAGCAAGGGGTGCTGCTTGAGAGTAAGAAAGAAGCATGGGATTAAGTCTAGAAATGGGGCCCAGCGATGGCAGTGGTTCTCTGGGGCAAGTCGCCTCTCATGTGAGCATGCAGCCCGAAAAGATCTATGTCTCGATGTTCCTCTGTAGCATGTTGGAGGCTATGGAAAAGATGAGAGAGCATGACTTTCCAAAGGCCGCAAGGGGAAGGGGTCCACGACAGAGTTGACCTTGAATCCAAAATTCCCACATCCATGCAAGACCCTGAATTGCCAGATCCCCACTGTGAGGCTCTTGATCCCAGGGTCATAAGTTTGATCTCTACATTGGTGAAAGATTCCCGCAATGGACAGGGCTGGCCCCTTCCAACTCTACAATTCCATGATTCTATATACAGTGGTACCTCGGGTTACAGACACTTCAGGTTACAAGACGCTTCAGGTTACAGACTCCGCTAACCCAGAAATAGTACCTCAAGTTAAGGATGAGAACAGAAATCGCACAGGGGCAGCGCGGCGGCAGCAGCGGGAGGCCCCATTAGCTATAGTGGTCTTCAGGTTAAGAACAGACCTCCAGAACAAATTAAGTTCTTAACCCGAGGTACCACTGTAATCAGCATTGGGGCTGCCTTAGTGGGAAACCAACCTTGTCCGTTGATGCCCCTTGGTTGATCTAACCCCTCCCCCCCCCGCCATCAGTTCCTAACAATAAAGTCTCCCAGGACCCAGCTGAGAAGTCCAGCTCGTAGCAGATATATAATATAGAATATATATCCTAAAGGAGTGTCTTTCTCCATAACCAGTTCATTCCAAAATCAGGTCTTTTCTTGGCCCAACATTCAGAGGATGGGGTTTGAGCAAAAGCTTAAAAGAGTCTAGTCTTTTAGGGAAGAGGCCATTTCCTCTCTCCCACCTTGTATATTCTCCCACCTTGGGCACTTCATTATATCCTAGCTAATCACAGGATTGCCACCGACCTGCAAAAGGCTGGCCAGCTCCTGTGCCTTTAATAACAGCCTGAGAGGAAGGAATTAGCAGGTGTTGCAAATTTTCACAGCGTGGCCATAAACACCAGACATTGGTCTGCTGCTTAAAGGAGCAGCTATAGAGCTTGTTTGGAAAGATGGGACTCCCCTATGGGGTAAGAGACAGGCCTGAAATATGTGATTGTGATAAAGGCAGGCTGTGACTATGTGCAAAAAGCTAGGACTTTTTAATAGAGCTAAATAGAAAAGGTAAAGGACCCCTGAAGGGTTGAGTCCAGTGAAAGGCAACTATGGGATTGAGGTGCTCATCTCGCTTTCAGGCCCAGGGAGCCGGCATTTGTCCGCAGACGGCTTTCCGGGCCATGTGGCCAGCAGGACTAAACCACCTCTGGTGCAACGGAACACCATGACAGAAGCCAGAGTGCATGGAAATGTCATTTACCTTCCCGCCGCAGCGGTACCTATTTATCTACTTGCACTGGTGTGCTCTCGAATTCTAGGTTGGCAGGAGCTGGGACCGAGCAACGGAAGCTCACCCTGTAACGGGGATTCGAACTGCTGATAGCTAAATAAAGAGATGCTCAGAGCCGTGAATTGGATTGCAACTGCATTGCAAGGAGTTGGGTTACATGATCCTCAGGGCACCTTCCAACTCTACAATTCTATGATTTTCAACCAGAGGCCATCGGGATGGGGAATGGCAGCTGTAGAGGATTTAAGCACCATAGGCACACACCTGAATATGTCGTTTCAAACACATAACCATGAGCACTAGAATCTCTTTGAAAGTAAATAACCCAGGACCCAAGAGGCTTGGGCTTAAATCTCAGCTTCGTTACAGACTCACTGGATAGCCTTGGGCCAGTTACAATCTTTTAGACTCAGTTCCCCATCTGTAAAATGGAAATCAGGGCGACTTACCTCACAGAGTTAAGAAGAAAAAGAAATTTCCTGGGCAGGACTATCCTCCCTGCCTTTCATCCACTTCTTCCAGTTTTCCCCCTTCTGTCCAATTTAGGAAATGATGCTGAAGCAATCAGGAGGAGACTCTAAACCTGCTGCTAAGACCTACTATGCCTCAATAATGTCAGCAAAGAAATCTTATGGCAATGGTGGTGGTTTTTTGGGTTGGTGGAGGGGGTAATGAAACCCCCAACATTCAGACCAGATCTTTTGCTTTCTCAGTTGTGCTTCCTTTGCTCTGTACCACCCTTCCTTCTTCTTATTTTCTATTTTTAAATTATTGTGGGGAAATCTCAATGTAACAGTTGTCTGAAATGAACTCGCTTTATTTGGAATTCAGCACTACAGAAGTTTTTTTAAAATCGCTATTACAATTATACTATATGCTATTATTATTATTATTATAATTATTATTATTCTATTATGATATATAGGTGAACCTCAATAAAGGAAGAAAACATCCTTGAAACTGTGAAAACCCTCCTGCTTTTGTTTGGTTTTGCTTGGCCAGGCTTCTAACAGCTTGGTAACAGGTGGAAATAAGGAAGATGGAAGGTTTCTCTGCCACTGCTTCCCCATACCAGGGGAAACTTCCCCTGTTGAACTTCTGTTGGTTAACTCTTAAAGGCACAGAGACCTCCTAGATGGCAAAATGGCCTGGTTTTCAACCAGATGTGTTCCTTTGTGAGGGGAGGAGTGCCTATAGTTGGGGGCGCGAGAGATCTAGAAAGGAAAACATTGTGAAAGGGAGTTCCCCCGCCCAGTGGTCCTGATCCACCCCTGCCACTGCTTTTAAAATAAATTAACAGGGCCACCCCACTATGCATGTGCAATCTTATCTCTCAGGTGAGAGAATCTGAGGTGGTTCAATGGAAGAGGGACATGAGACCGTTAGTTCTTCAGGTATTAAGACTGTATCTTATTGCTTTAAGCTTGGCAGTGACCCTGTGTACTTGGGTTGTAATATTGCAGAGTGTGAGTGGTTTATGTACAAGTAGCTGGCAGATAAAATGCTTGAGGCAGTGGGTGCTTCTAGTGGTTGTGTGAAACAGATGACAAAATTGCATGTACGCTGTGTTGATTGAAATTTTGAATTCTACCACCTAGTAGTCGTGCTCTCTGAATTTATTTTATGTTATGGCTATGGGTGTGGAGTTTCCTCCCCCCCCCCCCCCAATGTATTTTGTAACGAGAGTCATTTGATACGGGCTTATTGTACTTAGTGTGGCGCAGTGGTTAGAGTGCTGGAATAGGTTCCGGAAGACTAGAGTTCAAATCCCCACTTGGCCATGAACCTCACTTGGTGACCTTGAGCCAGTCACTCTACTCTCAGCCTAGCCCTACCTCACAGGGTGGTTGTGAGCATAAAACGTTGCTGGGGGTGATGTCCCATAGGGCCACACCCTGAGTTCCCTGGAGGAAAGACGGGATATAAAATGTAATAGAGAGAGAGAGAGCGCATATAAATTGCTTTGAGAACTTTTTAGTAGCAAAACGGTCGACAAAATGGAAATAAGAAACAAGTAAGAAAGCCTAAATGCCCGGGAGCGGGGTCATTTCCTACAGATAACTTGGCCTGTGTAAATAGGATAGAGAAATTCTCTGCAACAGCGGTTCTCAAAGGGTGTGGCAGAAAGATTCAAGGACAAAGAGACATTTAAACATTTTAGTGTTGCGTGGTATCAGAATAATTTATTTGCAGAATATGAATAGATACCCTTTTCAAAACGACAGCCGTAGCATCCAGCGATAATCTTACAAATCACAAGCGATGTTTCTCTCTCCCCCCCCCCCATGAATTTCTATCAATAATAATAAATAAATAAAATCGGCGCGGCGCAGAGGAAAAAAAGTTTGAGAACCACTCTGCTCTAAACAGCACAATAGCAGCGGCGGCAGCAAATAAGGGATAGCTGAAGAGCCCGACTGAAAACGAGGAAGAAAGCGTTCAGACGAAGAAGAGGATGAAAAGAGAGCAAAAGCGGCCGCCGCCCACGCCATTTCCCCGCTTTGATTCCCCCCCCCCCCCGGCAATCGAACGAAGCCGGAGGAAAGAATTGGGAGCCTGATTGGCCTCGGCTCGAGGCGGACCTGAAGGGAAACCGCAGGGGGCAGCCGGGAAGCGGCGCTCGGCGTCCGGCGTCCGGCTGCAACTCTGCACCTATATAATCATTGCGGGGGGGCCCGGTCAGTTGGGGCGTGAAACGAGGTTGCCGGCATGGCAGGGCGAGTGGGGAGGCTGGAGGAGATGGGGGCGAGGATCTTGGCCCTGGTGGAGAGCGCCGTCGCCCTGAAAGAAGACTTGAAAGCCGAACTGGGTGAGCAGCAGCGCCTGATTTTCCAGGGCTCAGTTACTGGGAAGAACTTTTTAATCCTTTTCCACAGCGGCATTGCTCCAGTGAGGGGGTTTCAGGATCGACTTATTATTTTTAATTATTTTTTTTTTAAGGAGGTGGATTGCTTCACCTTCCTCTATCGGAGTTAGGAGATCCGTTTTCTCTTCAGTTGACTGTGCCTCAATCACAGATACGTAAAGGCGTAGTTGGCTAGTGAGGCAAATGCACTCTGCACATGGGCAGATGAGCTGTTGGACATTATGATTAAATGAAAACGGGGTTGGGGCTGAGCCCCTTTTTGGCTATGTACCTACATTTTTACTGTTGCAGTTGTCATTAAAAACTATTTAAAATGCAACGCTAAACACTTACCATTCCAAAAAAACCCTCGGGTGCGAAAGGCCAGGGTAAGAGGGGGCATGTCTTGGCTATGGTTCCTGCCGCTAAAGTGATGGGATCTTTTAAAGATTATGAGTTAAATATTAGAGTTTGGTGCATGGGTGTGTTGTTTTTGTTAGTCTGTTTGGTTCTGAACATTTGTTCTCGGGCTCTGAAATCCTCCTTTTAAATCTCGCCACCAAAAAGAGAGAAAGCCAGCAGAGCAGCTGTCTCCAACTTTTCATTGGGGTGTGTCCAGTCTGCTAAGGACTTGGAGCTCACCTTGATAGATGCTCTTCCTAGCCCAGGAGGATAGGCCCAGTGGAAACCCCAGTTCTTCAAACTCACTCCGTAAGGCCAGTTGCCTTAGTTTCCTATTCTGTGACTTACCCATCAGGATTTCCAGATAAGGGAGGAAGTGGAGAAAGGCCCATTTAATAAAAAAAGAAAGCTTGCTAAGAGGAGAGTGTTACCTCGAGTAGACCAATGCCTTTAAGGTCAGCAAAGCAGGAACTGGGACAGGTGTGAGCCACTGAGCTGAAATCCACTAGGACAGAGGTTTTTAACCTTGAGCCCATGGCTCTCTTGACCAACTACATTCTTTCTGTGGCACCCCTGTGGGGCTCTGAAGTCCAGTTATGTCACCCCTTTCCTGTAGAGCTGGCAGCCTCTCACCATTTTTCAGACACCCTCCTTTGTGGAGGGTTCCCTCAGCCTCCTCTCCCCTCTCCTTGGTAGTCTTCTGGGCAGCCACAGCTGCCACCCCTGGTCTCTGAGCTGCCCCCGTGCCCCAAACAGAGGTGCCACCTCACACTGCCCCAGAGGGGCCTGAGAAGCACCAGGGGCACCATTCACCTGGGTAACTTGTAGCCAGGGCTACTGCAACAAACAGCTGTGCAAGCTTTTAGGAGGCAGGGACGCAAGAAGGCATGGGGGGGGGAGGGAAGGAAAGAGGGACAGAGGCCAGTGTTGCCTGTGGCATCCCTATCAGTCATGGCACTCCAGGGTGCCACGTTGAAAACCATGGCACTAGGATGTTCTCCTCCACAAGCTCCTTTGTCATGAATAGGAAGTGGTCAAAAGTACTGCTGTTTACACAGTTGGATTTTGGTAGGCCTTGAGCAGGAGAACTTAATTGTGGTGAATTGTTATATGCTGATATGTGGGATGGAGTCACTCTTGTACTCCGAACTTTGAGGAGCAAAATCTCACGGGAGGAACCCTTCAAATCAGTGATTTGACTGAGTCCTAACAACAAATAATCTGGGACGGAAAATATGGAAAGGCAGGGATTTAGAGGAGAACATCATGTGGACAAGAGAGAATTAACAGTGGTTTGTAAAGCTTACTCTCCACATTAAACGACAGTAGGGATAAGCACCGAATCAAATGTGTAGTAGCCATGGTCAGCCCTACTATTAGGCAAAGGGGGGCAGTAACGACAGAGGGGGTGCTGGTAATGGTAATCTCTCCAGCTGTTGCTCCTGAGCTCCCCCAGTCATTCTCATCTGCCAGGAGGACAAAAGGTATGTATTAATATGCCCCAAGGCCAGCCTGAAAGGTGCTGTCCAAACACTAATGTTGAAATGAGAATCATCTGTAGGGGACGCATAAAGTATTGGGCTGGGCCCACGCATGCCATGACTGCTTTCTCTCTCTCCCCAAAATAGGGCATGTGTTTGCGTACCAAGAACATCAAGACAGCTCTCAAGAAGTCCCTGATGAAGGAGTACAGCAAAGTCATCTACAACCGGTGCTGTCACCACTGTCACCGTCAATTTCACCACTGCCACCGCCGCTGTCACCGCTGTCACCACAGCAGCCACTGCAGGCAGCTTCTCCTTCAAAGGCAGCCTCTGGGATGCATCTGGGCAGCGGCAGGGAGCTCGGTAAGAATTCTCTGCTGGCAAATGTGGATTTGGCTGACCTAGAAGCCAAATAGCTTGACGGGTTCTGTGCTTTTCTCCACTGGTAGCCAAGGGTGCAGACACGCTACAGATCTAAAGCACATCCTGCCCACCAGCCCAAGAATCCTGGGAACTGTAGTTTACCCCTCACAGGGCAACAGTTCCCAGCACTCTTAACAAATGACAGCTCCCAGTAGCCTTAGGTAAAGGTAAAGGGACCCCTGACCATTAGGTCCAGTCGTGACCGACTCTGGGGTTGCGGCGCTCATCTCACTTTACTGGCCGAGGGAGCCGGCATACAGCTTCCAGGTCATGTAGCCAGCATGACTAAGCCGCTTCTGGCAAACCAGAGCAGCGCACGGAAACGCCGTTTACCTTCCCGCTGGAGTGGTACCTATTTATCTACTTGCACTTTGACATGCTTTCGAATTGCTAGGTTGGCAGGAGCAGGGACCGAGCAACGGGAGCTCACCCCGTCGCGGGGATTCGAACCGCCCACCTTCTGATCGGCAAGTCCTAGGCTCTGTGGTTTAACCCACAGCACCACCCGTGTCCCATTCAACCTAATAGGGTAGGATAAAATGGGGTTGGGTGGAGAATCATGCCAGTGCTCAAGGCAGCTTTGGAGGAATGGTGGCATATACAGTGGTGCCCCGCAAGACGAATGCCTCGCAAGACGGAAAACCCGCTAGACGAAAGGGTTTTCCGTTTTTTAGTTGCTTTGCAGGACGAATTTCCCTATGGGCTTGCTTCACAAGACGAAAATGTCTTGCGAGTCTTGAGATTTTTTTTCGCTCCCCCCCCCTTTTCTAAGCCGCTAAGCCGCTAATAGCCTTTTAACCGCTAAGCCGCTAAGCCTTTAATAGCCACTAAACCGCTAATAGCGCTAATCCGCTAAGCCGCTAATAGGGTTGCTTCGCAAGACGAAAAAACCGCTAGACGAAGACACTCGCGGAACAGATTAATTTCGTCTTGCAAGGCACCACTGTAAATGAGTTGTTTCTTCTACACAGATGCCATCCTGAAGAACCAAGAAGCTCTCTGCAAGGTCTTGATGAACCAGGATGCACTGAGAAATCTTATGGACAGGCTCCAGAAGACCTTGTCCACCGTAGAAGAGAGGCTCCAAGCCATTGAGCAAGAGATGAGCATCATTTCTCAGTTCACCCAAGAACTCAACCAAGTGGGGAATGAAGCTAACTGGACCTGAACGGTCTTATCCATGTAGCCCAATGACTAACCTGGTTGCCATCCAAAGCACCTGACTTGCACCTGACTCTCCTATTTTGAAGTTTCAGCTCTACCACAATTCTTCCAGCACATACAGAGAGAATTTGTTTTACGATACAAAAGCAAAAGATTCTCAGTACTCAGGATCTGATCTTTACAGACAAAAAAACAACCACACTGCTGCAGTTAGAAACGATTTCAATCTTGCTTGTGTGTATCTCTCTTCCCTAGGATGAAGATGTGATTTATCTTAAAACATGATCTGCCTCGTTCTAGCCTTATTAAAAACCCCAGCTTGATCAAAGAGCCTCATGGTTCTCTGAAGAAGCCTCTTGATGCCGCGTCATCAAGCCTGGAATGTGCCCAACGGATAAAACTCAAGCCTTCCACCAGAAATAGAAATGTAAACAGCTTCCTTTTCTCGAGGTGCCTGCTTCTCTGCTTTTGCCCATCTTCATCCTAAATGCCACATGGAAAACCTCTTGGTGAGGGTGTGCTCGCCTTCAAAACTCAAGGGTCAAGTAAGAAATGTGAGCCAAATGTGAGATTTGTAGCTATTAGCTTCTTCTATTCTCAGCTTGGTTTCCACTTCAACCATGATAGATATAGGCAAGGAAGCCAATGTTTTTGGACATGTTTTTGAGCATTGCAGCACATTGAACTCTTGTGTGCATCAAATCCCACTAGGGGGTTTTAATGTCATAATAATCTGAGTGGGTTTTTAATTCACAATACTCCCGATGGTTAGCTCACAGATTTTGGGGTAGCACTGTTGCACTTTCCGTAAGCTTACAGTATGAGATAGCAAATGTGCTCTCATGCAAGGGGCGATTCCCCCCCCCCCCCAATTTTACTAAAACTATTGTTCGAGTGCTTTGGAATAATCAATGCAATACAGAGACCTATCACTGTGTCCGATGCCAGCCTGCTGATAATAGTGGCCGTATCCCCGGTCATTTACACTGCAAGTGCCGATTGGACAAACCGGTCTTTAGAAAGCTTCATGTTGAGTATGGTTCTTTGAGTGGCCTAAATAGTGCTGTTAAGCTGGGCCACAAATCAGAAAAGTAAATTTGGCTTGCAAGAAAGAGGGGGTGCTCCTCCCCAGGTCTTTCCTGCCTGTCCCCTCCTGGAATGAATGGGAGGCTGATTACAGATCCCTCCTTGCACTAATCAAATTAGCTTCAGTTGATCTTGCAGAGGAACTATTTGTTGTCATTGTTCCTAGGGGTTTATTAAGCATAGTTAAACTTCATAGTGTGTGATTGGTACTATAGCCAAGCCCTCCCTCTCCTATGCCAGCCTGAATATTTTTGGAGCACCCACCTGTGTGGAAAAGGATCAACAGATTTGTCTATACTGATCTTGAATGTATTCATTTGCTCTCAAGCCCCCTCCAGCTCTTCATCTTCTGTGGTGATGGTTTGTACTTGTATACCTTTGTGCAATACTTGGCAAAGTATGTCAAACAAATAAAACTTTCTTGCATACAAAATGTCTGCTTTGGTCTTTGTAGGGCATGCGGCGATGAGTGAGACCTACAACAAAATGTTGCAGTGTGGGGTGCTCCCGCCCAAGGTCCCAGCCCCATGCCCTTTCCCAGTAGTCTGCATTCCACTCGCCAGCAGCAGCTTTAGTCCATGCAAAATTGCAGTCAAACATAGCTATGCATAAGTGCTAGTTAGTGCATGAAGGGGTTAAGACCACCGAGTTCTGTTCCTAGACTTAGCTAGGTCAACCCCACCTCTTGTTTAGGAGGTGGTGAGTTGTTTCTCTTCTTCCATCTCTTTCAGCCATGTAACAGACCAGGACGGACATGTCTGCCCTTGATCCAAGTTCAGACTGCATGTTCGAAACTGCATTGTGTATTTTGCACCCAATCTACCTGCGTTCTCTTTGCTGTTGCATGGAACAATGCATGAACCAGACCTTTGGATGCAATAAGTAAAACTTTAAAAGTAGCCTGCTAGCATGTGAGGCTAAGCTGCAATGTGCCTGCCAATTCCTATGACACCTTCCCCTACCACAGACTATATCTCTGCTTTCTTCTGTGTGGGTGGAAGAAGTAGACTAGAAACTTTGGCAGAGCTCTGTCCCTGGGCCAGGGCGGCTGGAACTCCCAAAGTAGTATCCTGATATCTGCATGAGAGAATGTGCATAAATGCAACCCTCACGCCAAGAGAGATTCGTAACCCCTACCTGTTACAAGAGTTCTAAAGTCTCAAATATAAATTAAATGTTCATAAATGTACAAGGCAAACACATACATAAGTATATAGACCACGTGTCCGAAATAGTACAGGAGAGCAATCCAGAAGCCATTTTGACTCTCCTAAATTGACCTCAAATATTTCTCTGCAAGGAGGAAGGAAATGGAAAAGCCTCCCCATTGTCTTTTGCTTACAGATCCTGTCTTAAGGGCATATTTGTGTATGAATAGGGTGAGCCTGTGACCTGGATTCAGGAACTGAAGTATTAACCATCACCAAAGAATGGCTGGACTGCCCAGGTAATGCAATCAGTGACCATTATCAGGTATCCTGGCAGACAGGATTTCTGCTGTAGATGGCCGGCTCCTGTGATATATGTATGATGTTTCAGGGGGTGGTGGTCTTGGGTTACAGGGTGGGCAATTTCAAGAGTCTATATAAGGGCTTGAGCACCATCATTCAGGGTTCTCTCCTCCTGCCTGTGGGGAGTAAGGACCCTGTTGCAACAGTTTAATAAAGATCAGGCTTACTAGCTGCTTTGCTTCTGTTAACGGAAAAATCCGAGGGCTCCCTTGGACAAAAACAAAGACACCAACCAGGATAACTTGGAGCAAAACAGCAGCCTGTAGCCTTGACCTTTATTGATCTGTTGCAACAGGGTGCTCCCCTCACCCACAGGAGAGAGGAGGGACCCAGAAAAATGGCATGCAAGGCCTTATAAAGACTTTTGAAATTCCCATCCTGTAGATCAAGACCACCCCCAGAAACATCATACATACATCACAGAAGGGGTGTAACCTAAGACCACCCCTCAAATACATCACACCTACATCACAGAAAAGGTGGTCTAAAACAGAAATTTGAATATTGTTTTTCTCCTGTTGTTGTTTATCTCCTGTCTGGCAGGTTACTTGATTGGATTGCCTGGGGAGCCTGGCCATTCTTTTGTAGTGATACTTAGTTCCTGGGCCAGGTCACAGGCTCACACCCTATTCATATCTTAAATTCCTCACAGGATTTGTGAGGAAAGAGACAATGGGGAGGTTTCCCACTTTGACCTTGCAGAGAAAACATTTGGTCAGTTTAGGAATCAAAATGGTTCCAGGTTGGTCTTCCTGTGCTGATCTATGTACGTGTGGTTATGAACATTACCATATATCTAAGACCTCAAAATTCCTATCACACTTCTCAATATACCATACTCTGGTTGGCCTCTGTTGCTACGGATAGGGAACCCACTTAAGGACTCTTTACGGGCTCTTGGATACCCCATATGGAAAAAGGAAAAGTTTTTCTTATAACATACCCCTGCTTTAAACCAACCACCTCCCATCCAGTGTCCTCCAGAAGTTTTGGACCTCAGCTTCCATGAGCCCATGTGGCCAATGTTGAGGGATGATGGGAGCTGTGGTTCTGCACTGTCTGGAGGGCTGCAGGTTAACCTCCCACAGCCTGTGGGGCACCTGGGCAACTTTGCTCTCTTCCACAAGAAAGGTAATGGTAAAGGGGCCCCTGACCATTAGGTCCAGTCGTGACCGACTCTGGGGTTGCGGTGCTCATCTCACTTTACTGGCCAAGGGAGCCGGCATACAGCTTCCGGGTCATGTGGCCAGCATGCCTAAGCCGCTTCTGGCGAACCAGAGCAGCGCACAGAAAGGCCGTTTACCTTCCTGCTGGAGCGGTACCTATTTATCTACTTGCACTTTGAGGTGCTTTCAAACTGCTAGGTTGGCAGGAGCAGGGACCAAGCAACGGGAGCTCACCCTGTCGCAGGGATTCAAACCGCCGACCTTCTGATCAGCAAGTCTTAGGCTCTGTGGTTTAACCCACAGCGCCACCCGCGTCCCTTGTGGGGCACCTGTGCACCTGTGGGGCACCTGGGCAACTTTGCTCTCTTCCACAAGCCAAGATACAGGCAAATGGGAGTGGGTTGAGTAGCTGAGAATATGCCTAAATAAGGATGGTCCTTTCCAACTGTAGGATTCTACGAGCGCGCTCGGCACAGCAACCTTTTGCTACGGGTCCTGCCTCGTAAGACTGATTTCCCCCATCAGAGACTTTAAATGCCTACGCTCGGCACAGTTAGCAAGCGAGTTTAGATCCCGGACCACGTGGACCCGCCCCTGACGTCCCCGCCCCCACCGTGCGCGCTGAACTTCTTTCCTCCACCCTTGCGCATGCACACGAAAGCGCATACTAATAACAAACTTAGTTGGTCTCTAAGGTGCTACCGGATGGAATTTTTTAATTTTGTTTTCCTTTAAAACCGGATTAACGATGCAATTCTGGGACCGCCTCCCATTGGCTGGAGCGAGCGAGGAGTGATCGCCTGCGGCTGTAAAGCGGCTGGATCAGCTGGGCGGATCGAGATTCGGACGGTGAAGGGACGCTGCGCGAGAAGAAGGGGTTTACGCAGCTCAGCCGACTCCCGTAGTGGTGGTGCAGAGGTAAATAGCATATTTCTGGGGTGCGTGTCTTTTGCGTGTTTAGGGTGCAGCCCTGCGCGTCTCCTGTTTTTTTTTCTCCTCCCCCTCCAACTGCGCTGCTTTTCTGATGATAACAATTGCGTTCTAGATCTCAGTTCCACGACACTTTCCCCATCTTCCCTCCTTTGCAGCCCCGGTATTTGGGATCTGCGCGCGCCCTTCGGTTGCTTTTTGCGCGCAACGCAGTCGGCTGTGGAGCAGTTGCTGCAAATGGTTTCAGCAGGTCGGAAAGGGGGCGGGGTGGGTTGGATCCCGACTGGAGCCGCTCTGATTCCAGTCTACAAATATCTTGGAAGCGTTTGGGGTGGGTGGGGCTGATAGTAAGAGCAATTTCCAGGGCGGAAATCCTGTTGAAGTTATAATGCTTCTAATTTGCAAGAAAAAGTTTCTCCCAGGGCTCCTTCAGGCAACCTGCGCGTTAAATAGCCATCCTGATTGGATGGCTAGACAACGCCTGCTCATATTACTGAGCATTGATGTTGATTTACCGGTACAGAGGCTATACTGTATCCGCTCTTTATTAAGCGCTAATTCCATGTTGTATTATCCTGCACTTTAGTGCATTTCCCTGTTACTTTGCCGACCCCAGAAAGTCTGTTTTGAAAAACAGCAACAACACGGATTGTTGCACAAGAGCACTTCGTTCTGCTTTAATGATTGCACAAACCTGATTTTCCAGTATGCGATTGAATCCCTCCTGCAAAATACAGAGTCTGCAGTTGACCCTTGTGAAAAGGGAGAGGGATAATCCTGCAAACCTAGATAATCTTGTAAATAGCCTAGATCCAGTGTCAGCAGGGTTGCCACCTTGCTTCAGGCAGGGCTATACCTACAGTTGCTTAAAGGTAAAGGGACCCCTGACCATTAGGTCCAGTCGTGACCGACTCTGGGGTTGCGGCCCTCCTCTCGCTTTACTGGCCGAGGGAGCCGGCGTACAGCTTCCGGGTCATGTGGCCAGCATGACTAAGCCGCTTCTGACGAACCAGAGCAGCGCACGGAAACGCCATTTACCTTCCCGCGCAAGCGGTACCTATTTATCTACTTGCACTTTGACGTGCTTTTGAACTGCTAGGTTGGCAGGATCAGGGACCAAGCGACGGGAGCTCACCCTGTCGTGGGGATTCAAACCGCCAACCTTCTGATCAGCAAGTCCTAGGCTCTGTGGCTTAACCCACACACAGTTGCTTAGCAGGTAGAAAATAAAGTTTTCCTCTTGCAATGTATTAGTATGCTCCAGTTGATCCTGCCCCCTATCAGGGACAGCCCCCTATTTTCACATCCCTGCCCTTTGTGAATCACTATTGCCCTATTTTTTTGCCTTTCTGTGGATGCCTTGTTAAAAATATATATTTTAGTGCCAGTGGTTATGGTAGCTATTCTCTGGTGTTCAACCTCTAGTCTCCCCATCTCCTAGTTAATCCAGTCTAGGAGTGGGGTGCATTTGTGTGTGTTTATGGGTGAACAATAGGGTACCATGCAGTGTCCAGATTGGTAAATTCACACACTGATTGCTTGGCTTAGTAAATTTATTTCCATGCTGCCTTTCCACAATGCAGATTGTAGTTGCCATCCAAGGAGCATCAGTTCCTTGACTTAGATGCAGTTCAGAGAGGGAGAGGTTTTCTCCTGAGGCTAATGATTTACACCTTATCTCCTTTATAGCTACCGTAATTGTTTAAACTGTTGATAACAGTAGCACAATGGGTGGGGGGGACTCCAGCTTGCCTTTTAGCCTTTTTCTCAATTTTTATACCTGTAGCCCATGGGTAGGCAAACTAAGGCCTGGGGGCCGGATCCAGACAAATTGCCTTCTCAGTCCGGCCCACGGACGGTCCGGGAATCAGCATGTTTTTACATGAGTAGAATGTGTGCTTTTATTTAAACTGCATCTCTGGGTCATTTGTGGGGCACAGGAATTTGTTCATAATTTTTTTCCTTCAAAATATAGTCCGGCCCCCAACAAGGTCTGAGAGGCAGTGGACTGGCCCCCTGCTGAATAAGTTTGCTGACCCCAATATCCTGGGGCAGATGGGGCTGATCAACCTGGGAAGGCAGTCCATCTAAGAGAAGGGAAACTGTGACCCTAAACCTCCACTGCCTTGCGGGATATATTTGGGAGAAGAGAAGACTCAGGAGTAAACCCTACACACAAATCAAGAGAGTAGTCACTAAGGCAAGGCCTTGTATGCTTCCTTTCGGCAACTCCTGCAGCCAAGCTGGTGCTAAATGTATTGCTCTGCTGTCCTTTGGACCACATCAGCAGGGCCGGGGTGTGTGTGTGGTCTTGTCACCTGGGCAGGCCAGGACCTCCATACACACCACCCAGGCTTGCGCCCCAGGGAGGTCACCCAAGGAAGTAGACTTTTTCAGTTAAGGGAGGCTGCCCCACTGAAGCCAACTAGACTGGCATGTGAAACTGACTTCAACACTTAGGATAGGGTGGTGAGGGAAGAAGGTTAACTTAGGGGGTGCAGTGCAGGCTGCTTGCTTTACCCCACCAGGCACATCCTGGGCCTACTGCTGACTCGAGGTCCCCAGCCCTGGAGGTTTACAACACCCTCCTCCTCCTGTTGCTGCTGCCAGACACTCCCAGACTTGAGAGCGAGCTCAGCTTCCCTTGTCCAGCCTTTCATGCCTTCTAGAAGAGGGGTCAGCAAACTTTTTCAGCAGGGGGCCGGTCCACTGTCCCTCAGACCTTGTGCGGGGCCAGACTGGTTTTTTTGGGGGGGGCGGGGGAGAACTAATTCCTATGCCCCACAAATAACCCAGAGATGCATTTTAAATAAAAGGACACATTCTACTCATGTAAAAACACGCAGATTCCCAGACTGTCCGTAGGCCAGATTTAGAAGGTGATTGGGCCGGATCCAGCCCCCAGGCCTTAGTTTGCCTACCCATGCTTTAGATCTTAGGCTTGCTGGTGGAGAGGCAGGAAGCCTGGGGAAGGCATTCAAAGGGAATATCTCCCATTGAAATTCCAGTTCCACACCCAGCAGGTGCCACACCCACAGTTAAAAGGTGAGGCACAGCACCCTAGGCTTGTCCCTTCGATAGCTCAGCTGGTAGAGCGGAGGACTGTAGACTGCTGCCAAAGTCATCCTTAGGTCGCTGGTTCGACTCCGGCTCGAAGGACAGATTTTTTTTCTTCTTGTTTTTGCCAGATGCATCAGCAAATCACGCAGTAAGACAGTATTTGCATGCAGTGCTGAAATTAGTAGTTTGTGCTTTATATTGGTCCGTAATGTGAAAATTCGAGCCTGGCCTTAATTTGCCTACCCATGTTCTAGAAGGACCAGCAGGAAGTCCTCCAGGTGTTGTACATCAGGGAGATGTGTTTCCATCACCGTGGCAACAGCACCATGCCAGCCCTCCATTTTCCTTTGCTTCCTAGCTAGTCCCAACCCTTCGTTGCCCCAGCAACAGCTGATGCTGCTCTGGTTGTGAGCTGTATCCCTTTCATTTCCACTGTGCACCCCATCTATGTGGCTTGAGTCCCTGCTTCTGGTCGTGTCTTCCGTTCCTCTACTGTCGCCGGTAAGGAGAACAACAGAAAATCCAGAAAACAGTCACATCCATACATTTAAAACAAGTCTTACTACGCCACTTCCCCTTTCACAAAGAATCCTGGGAAATGTAGATTGTTAAGGGTCTCCTCACAACTCGGCACGCCTAAAAACTACAGTTCCCAAGATTTGTTGAGAGAAGCTGTGTGTTTTAAGGTGACGTAATAAAGTTTTAAATGTACGGTGTGGATGTGACCGATAGCCCCAAACAGCTGTATCCTCAGAACCTAAACCCACATGTAAGACATAATAGAAAATGAACCTAAACCACCCTCTGTCCACGCTAAAAATTTCCAGCGTTAGGTCCAGGCAGGTCTCCCAAGGAGGGCCTTCCGTAGGATTGGCCCCACAACAGAAAAGACCCTGCTGTTTCACTTTGTAATTTTGCTGGAAGCTGCCCAGAGTAGCTGGGGCAACCCAATCAGGTGGGTGGGGTATAATAAATAAATTGTTATTATTAGAGATATACAGTGGTATCTTGGGATGCGAATAGGATCCGTTCTGGAGCCCCGTTCGCATCCTGAATAGAACGTAAGACGCGTCTGCTCGGGCCGCGTTTTGCCGCTTCCGCGCATGCACGTGATGTCATTTTGAGCGTCTGCGCATGCGTGAGCGTCAAAACCCAGAAGTAACCCGCTCCGTTACTTCCGGGTTGCCGCAGAGCGTAACTTGAAAACGCTCAACCTGAAGCACATTCAACCCGAGGTATGACTGTACTCACCACCCTTCAGCTGGTGAAGGAATCCGAAGCAGAGCCCTGATGTGGATTGAAACAGTTGAGAAGGCACAGGCAGAGGAACACTGTCCTTCAGATAACCAGATGGTTTTGGACCTTAAAGGCACGAATTCACAACTTAAATCGGGCCTGGGAACAGACAGATAACTTGTGCAGATCAGATGGCAGGAATGGGGTATGTTCAAGCCACGACATCCCATAGGATGTACCAATAATCAATGAAGCCAAAGAGAGGTTAAAACATAGATTTTCCCCCTCATACCGTTTTTATTATTGATGTATTAAATTTGTGTTCTGCTTTTTGCCTTCAAGGACCCAGTGTAGTGTAGTGGTTAGAGTGTCAGACTAGGACCTGGGAGACCATGAAGCCCATTGGGTGACCTTGGGGCTGGTCACATGACTCCCTGCCTAATCTGCCTCATTGGGGTTGTTGTGACAATGAAGACAGAGGAGAGAACCCAAGTATGGAGGAAAGAGTGGGGTAGAAACGAAAACTATAAATTTATTATAATAATTGATTATTGGCTAATGAATCCGTTAGCCGTTCTGTGCAAAATATAAAGGCCTCAGGGTAGAATACCGCTGACTAACCCGAACATTTAAAACCAGAAACCGTTGTTCAATTGCACGCTGCTTGGAGAACTGCTAACATGGAGCAGAAGGGTTGTGTTCAGGTGTACATGCCCAGAAGTCACTCATTTTTAAGCTGTTTTTCATTGCCAGATTTCGCCAGCATGAGGGATGACAGCAACCTGTTTGAGCCACTTCTGGACGATGGGGACGACAGCAAGCTCATACCTGTGCAGAGATTCTCGTACAGAGAGAAACTCTGGGGAATCCTGCCCCGAAGCTCTGCGCCATCGTGGCTCTACGGCATAGAATGTGGCGTGCCCAGTTTCTCTGACAAGTCCACTATGACTCAGACGACCAGGCCTCTGGGCAAACGAAAAACCTGGACTTTTATTCTGGTTCTCCTTGCCCTTCTCACCCTCCTCGCCCTGGCTTTTATCGGGGCTCTGTTCTGGGCCCCGTGGAGACAGCAGTCTCCCGTTGAAGCCAACAAGGCAAAAGCTGGGGAGAACGCAACAGCGGCCATCTTGGTTGGGCAGAAAAACCTCAGTCTTGCGGCTCTACTGGAAGCCGAGATGCAGGAGCCGCAAGAGGGAGCCATGCGTAAGTGCTTGGAGGAAGCTGTTCACAAGTTTTCTGAGGAACCAGCCATGGTGCGGAAGAACTCCAGGATGATCCTTCAGTGTAACGGAACAAAGCAGGAGTTCGTTTCCGGAAAAGGGGAAATCCACATCGAAGTGGTCTGGATCAACGGCACGGCGTCATACATCCTCGATGAGTCCAGCCCAGAAGTCCATGTGGCAAGGCTTGGGCGCCACCCGATGCCACTCAGTCTTGCCAGAATCAGTGGTGTCCTCCAAGACCTGCCATCCAACATCTCCGAGACTCGGGGAGATTTGAAGGAGCTGCATAGCTGCCTCGACAAGACCTTGCAAGAATTTCCACATGAGCCAGTGGTGCTGCAGGACGATGCCAAACTGATGGTGACGTGTGGAGGAGTAAATCTGACCTTCATCTCCGGTGAGGGGCAGAGCGATATCAACGTGTACAGAGAAGACGGGGAAGTTCAGTATCAGGTGAAGCCTACCTGGTCGGCTTGGTGGGCCAGGCTTTTCAAAGGAAGGCTTGGTTGAGTGACAGGTTGGAGGAGCCAGCGCAGGAGGTACCTTTGTGGTGCTGCTGGGGAGTCAAAAGGACTGACTATAAGGCATCTCGCTGCTGCAGTTTCAAATATGCACCACCCTCAAGATCCCATTATTCCAATGTTCTCTGCAGTTCCTGTCAATCGCATATCTGGCAATGAATGATTATTCACTAGTGATGTATAAAACAATCAAAATCTTTGGTCCAGGATATGATTTCAGGGCGGGCAGGGCATTTCTTTTTTTCCTAGGTCAACAACTATGCCTTAATCACAGATTTAAAATTTTATGCATGCATCCGTCCTACTGCCAAGTTTGTAAAGGTTTTTAATGATTAGGATCATGTGTGACAATCTTTTCCCCCAACCCAGAAAGTTCAAGGGCTGCACCTTATGCGTCTTGTTCTTCTGTGTTCTGTTTACTGATTTATGAAATAAATTTTTTGTTCTTTTTGTTTTGTGTGGGGGGCAAATTTGGTCCAGCAAATCTTTTTGCTGGGGGAAAAAGTTCCTCTGATTTTGTCTCCTTTCTGCAACAATTCATCTGGGGTTTTCCTTCTGCTGTAGAAATGTGCCCTGCCCCTTCCGCTTGGGTCTTGGTGAGTAGGACTGTGGAGGACACCTTTGTCCTTCTGGATGCCCAGCACTGTCCCCAATCATGTGGGTTGGATGATGGGAAATGGGAGTCCAACAGTGGTTAGCGTGGCACAAATGGCGCCACCCCCAGCCCTGGTGCGTTAGTGCAGGGCCCTGTGACACTCTGCGTGTTTATTATGAACACTGGTAGGTAGGAGGCAAGTTCTTGTTAGGAACAGCTAGGGCCATGCCCAGCATTAGTAGATCATGGACATTAAAGGACACAGCAGACTTGGGGACAACTACTCCCGTTGTCTTGGCCTTGCAGACCTTTTCATGAAAGACGTCCTGGAGGAAAGCAGATTGCCCAGGAATTGTTGCTGCAGAAAATGTGGTTAGCTGTGAGAAGATGGGGCAAGGATGGGGATGGGGGACATAAACAGGCAGCCATCCAACCTCTGCTTAAAAACCTCCAAGGAAAGGAGAGTCTATATCGCTTTCCAAGGAAGTCCATCTAACAGCTCTCTCTGTTAGAAAGCTCTTCCTGGTGTTTAGTTTGGAATCTTCCTTATTGTAACTTGGATCCATTGATTCAAGTCCTGGCCTCCAGAGCAGAAGCCCTTTAGTCCTGAATGTGTATAATAATAATAATAATAATAATAATAATAATAAATTTATTTATACACCGCCCTCCCCGGCCAGAGCTGGGCACAGGGCAGCTAACACCAATAAAATTACAATAAAACATAAGGGGGGGGGGAGACAAACAAACAAAACCAGTTTATTAAAATATGGGTTAAAATACAATTTGAAATGCAGTCTCATTTTAATAGTAGTCCATAAATCAAAACCATAAGGGGAGGGAAACATAAGGGTCAGACTGAGTCCAGGCGGAACAGCTCTGTCTTGCAGGCCCTGCAGAAAGATGTCAAGTCCCGCAGGGCCCTAGTCTCTTGTGACAGAGCATTCCACCAAGTCGGGGCCAGTACGGAAAAGGCCCTGGCCCTAGCTGAGACCAATCTAATCACCTTGTGGCTTGGGACCTCCAAAGTGTTGTATTTGTGGACCTTGCGGGTCAGAAACTTCTCCCGCCCTTCCCCTGCTGAGCAGGGAGAGGAGTTCAAGAATTGCTGTCTTGTGAATTAGCGAAGAATTGCAGCTATGGGCACAATCCTGCCGGCTGCAGGATTTGGTGGAAGCCCTGCTATGCTGGCCGGACCCCCTTTCCCCCCTCCCTCTCTGTACAGGGATGTGTACCTCAATTCATACGCTTTTGCCATATTATCGAATGCCAAGGTTTGCATAGCTGAAAAGGCGCATGATAGCAAAAGATTTCATCACACTAGAACCCAACTAACGACTCAGCAAAAATGAGCTGTTATAGACATAGGCTCTTTTCGGAGATGGAGCTTCCAGTTAATGTTGGGTCACGGTCATCATCGGACAAACATTTCAGATAATCACGAATAGCGCACACATCTTGGCAATCTTTGCAGCAACCCTTTGCAGCCAATCATAAGTAGGAGGGCGGTTGGGGTGGTGTTGGCTAGGCAAATCCTTCCACCAGGTGCTCTTTCAGGGAAAATGCATGGTAAATTGGTGCACGCAGTCAGCCATGTGGCCCCATCATTGAAAGAGTTTGGAGGTTGCAATATAGAGTGGAGAAGCACCCTCTGGTCTCTGTTAGGGGACCTGAGGGCCACTGGGGAAGATGTGCTTCCTGCCTCCCAGGCAGTGCTTCATTTATGTACAGTGGTACCTCGGGTTACATACGCTTCAGGTTACACACTCCGCTAACCCAGAAATAGTGCTTCAGGTTAAGAACTTTGCTTCAGGATAAGAACAGAAATCGGGCTCCGGTGGCGCGGCAGCAGCAGGAGGCCCCATTAGCTAAAGTGGTGCTTCAGGTTAAGAACAGTTTCAGGTTAAGAACGGACCTCCGGAACGAATTAAGTACTTAACCTGAGGTACCACACTATAAGCTAAACAAGCTATAGGTTAGGGCCCACTCTCTTGGGGACCCCCAAAAAATTTAAAGGGGGAAAAAATTATGTACATTTCCAAAATACAGTCGGGTTGAAGGTGCTTCAGGTTGAGCGCTTTCGGGTTGCACTCTGTGGCAACCCGGAAGTAACGGAGCGCGTTACTTCTGGGTTTTGCCACTCGCGCATGTGCAGATGCTCAAAATGATGTCGTGCATGCGCGGAAGCGGCAAAACGTGACCCGCGCAGACGCACCGTCGTGGCTTACGTTCCATTCAGGATGCGAACGGGGCTCCAGAACGGATCCCATTCGCACCCTGAGGTACCACTGTATAAGATAAAAAACAAATAAAGCCTACATACAGCAACAGTGTTTTGTGTTGTGTAGGTTCCTATGATGTAAGCTAGCCTGCTCCCTAAAATATCACTTGTTTGCTCATTTCTAGATATAGGGTGCCTACATTCTGCATGGACTGGTTGCATGGCAACATGGGCAAATGGCTTTAGATACCTATTAGGCCCATAAATTGCGATATAGCATATATTCAAAATAAAAAAACAGTGACAAATTGTTGTTGACAGGACAGCTGGACACAGAAAGGGCCCCATTACCTTCAGTAGTTTAGGGCCTCATCAAACCTAAATCCAGCCCTGTTCCCAGGAAGAACAACCTGGCAAGTGTAGGGGGGAGACCAACCCAGCCCCATCCCTAAGCCCCAAAAGAAGTTACTGTAAAAACTTGCTTCCTGCCTACTGTCAGAAAGCAAAAAAAAGGAAGCTGATCAGGCTTCCTTGCAGCTGCTATTTGATTAATAATAAAATAATTATAAATTTTCTATACAGCCCTACATCTGAAAATCACAGGGCAGTTTAAAGTATAAAACACAAAATGCATAACAAAGCAAAGCCACTACACACACACACACTGTTCACATGCTACAACCTCTGCCTCCCAAAAGTTTATTACGGCAAAGGGAAAACTAGCCTGGCCTCATCTGTCGGCCTCAAAAGGAGCAGCGTCCGCAGAGAGTTTGATTTGCGTTTCTATGACAGAATCAAGAACACACCATGTACTTGAAGCAATATTGTACTACCTTAAAAACATTCCTGGCTTTTCCTAAAGAATTATGGGAGCTGTGGTTCATTAAGGATGCTGAGAGCTGTTAGGAAGCCTATACAGAACTACAGTTCCCAGAGTTCACTGTGAAGAGGGAGTTGTATGTTAAACCACTCTGGGAAACTAGCTGGGGGGAGGGCAGGAAAAAGGAGTTTCCTAACAACTGTCTGCAGAAAACCAAACAGCATCTTGTGTCAGGCTTGTTAACAGATTAACCCTACCTACATGTTGGTTGCAACTGTATGGAATTATTATTATTTATTGTGCTGTGAATTTGCTTGGAGATGCTTCACAAGAATTGATTCATGCGTGAAATAATAACCACAACGTCCTCCAATTTCTCAAAATTGCTGTCACTAGATTTAGCGATGACCATTAACTTGGCTGGCAGATAATATTATTTTGAACCATACACTAACAATATGAGGTTTGACAGCAGGTCAACATAGGTGGGCTCTTCGTGCCCTAACTTCTGCCGAAAGACTGCTACTGATTCATTGGAGAGATAATACTATGACCCCCCCCCTTTAAGTAGGACAACTCTTGCAACATATGAATGGATTGCTTTTAGACACAGATTGTAAATACAATGATATTTGGAACTCATTGGAACTTGCTAATATTTCTTTATTTGTTAGAATAATTATATTACATACCCATATTTCGCATTGCATCACATTTTCAAATATCTTTGGTCTCTTTTCTTTCACTTTTATTTCCTCACTGAGCCATTTCAGTGAAATATCATTTGAAAAACCACACGATTAAATCACATAATTTTTCAACCACATGCATTTGAAATTATGCAAGGGGTGTGTGTGTGTGGAAGCCCCAACTCTTGCTGTTTGCAGGCTTCCATCGTTTATTTCTGTCATTTACGTTTCCTCAATATAATCTGTTGCTCAACCCCACAAATATTCTGGAAGACAAGAGGGGTGAGGAACTCCCCCCCCCCCCGGAGAGGGAAGGGGGGAAGCCAAGCAAACGTGGGTTGTGGGTGGAGATGAGGAAGAGAAGCCATTCTTCTTCCGGAATAGGAGGGAATTCTCAGAGAAGCCAGGGGAGTTTTGCAAAGATCTGTAAGTTTCCATTCCCCGCTTTTTTCTCACGTCTTGGCTTGGCTCCCGAGGAGGGGAGACAAAACGGAGAGCAGATGCGGGAAGAGAAGGAAGAATTATGGAGACGGGGGTGGATTCCCAGCTCCTTGCTAGACGTTGCAGTAGTCCGAAGAGCAGCATCGGATGCGGACCTGGTGGCCGTGCGACTCCTTGTTTACCCCGCAGCCTTTTTTCTTCTGTCTGCTGCAGCCCAGGATCCTGAATTTCTCCTTTCCGTCTGTGGGTGGGGGGGGAGAAGAAGGGAAAGTAGGGAAAGTTTGGCATCCGCGGCCTCTCCAGCCTCTCACTGCAGCAGCCAGAACCAGCTCTGGGCTTGTAAACTTCCTCCTGACTCACCCCAGCCTCTTACGGTGCTCCCACCCCTCTGCTATCCCATGCCTGCATTCATTCGTTTAATTTCTCCTCACTTTTCTGTCCCAGCTTTCCTGCAGGGAGCTCAAGGCTGCGCACATGGTTCTTCCTCTCCTCCTCCATTGATCCCTACAACAACCCTGTGGGGTAGGAATATTTAAAATAAAAATACAAAATGTCCAGTTGCACCTTAGAGACCAACTAAGTTTATTCTTGGTATAAGCTTTCATGCGCATGCACACTTTGCGCACTTCTTCAGATGATAACAACAACAACAATTTATTATTTATACCCCGCCCCTCTGGCTGAATTTCCCCAGCCTCTCTGGGCGGCTTCCAATCAAGTGTTAAAAACAATACAGCATTAAATATTAAAAACTTCCCTAAACATAGATACCTATGCACACGAAAGCTTATACCAAGAACAAACTTAGTTGGTCTCTTAAGGTGCTACTGGACATTTTTTTAATTTTATTTTTATACTTCGACTGCGTCAGACCAACATGGCTACCTACCTGAATCTAGAACCTGTGAGGTAGGCTAGGCTAAGAAGCAGTGGCAGTAATGCCAACTCAAATAAAATATTTGAGGGGGAGGCCGGATTTAGGTATGATGAGGCCGCCCTAAGCTACTGAAGGTAATGGGGCCCTTTATATGTCCAGCTGTCCTTTGTCAACAACAAATTGTCGCTGTTTTTTGCGTTGAATAATAGGTATCTAAAGCCATTTGACACTGTTGCTGTATGTAAGGTTTTATTTTATTTGTTTTTTATCTTATGTTTTGGAAATGTACATCCAGGGTTTTTTTCCCTTTAATTTTTTGGGAGGCCCCCAAGAGAGTGGGGCCCCTAAGCTATAGGTTGTTTGGCTTATACATAAACCTGGCATGGGGGGGCAGGTAAGCTCTGCCCTGCATAATCGATCGCATGACACGCTGCATGTACACGATTTGAATTGCAATGTCCATCAACTCTGGGGGCCCCAGCCCCCCCCCAAAAAAATATTTTTTGGGGGAAGGGACCTTGGCTCCTAGGAGTTGGCTCCTATGCTCTGTGGGGATAGTCCGATGGCCTAGTCCGATGCTCTAACCACTGTGCTATGCTGTGTATACATTGCAGGCTTAAAATGCAGCTAGGGTGTACTTTTTATGCTCCTTCGTTGTCTTGATTCAGATCGAAGCTGGGTTTTTTTTGGGGGGGGGGCGCACATCAAAATGTTTCCCAAGAAACAGCAGGATAGATAAAAGAAATGTGGTTTGTGGCTTTGTGTTCATCACTTTCTAAGCCAGCAGCAGTGGGACGCTGGATGAAGAGCAGACCACACTGGGCTAACTTAATGAAAAATTCTTCTGATTTCTATGTACCAGGGGGTGTTGACAGGCAGGGATGCCTTTACCCTATGCAAAAGGTGTTTGCACTGGGTCTGGAGAGGAATTAGGAGCGCCGTAAGAATTCCAATCAGTTTGAAGCTGGTTTAAGAAACAGCGTGGCAGACAGCAGTATCTTTTACAGCAAAGCACAGGATACCTATGCATATTGGATTGTGACATGTGAACACATTTAAAAAGACAACTGCTTTGGAATGGCAGTAGATGGGAGTGTGGACACAGCCTCTGTCTCTTTTTGTGTGCGTGGGCGATTTAAGAAACTACACACACACACACACACACACACACACACACACACAGCAACAGCATCACTGCTAAAACCAGTTCCATATTATGAAAACCAAGTGCCCTGGGCCAGGATGCTGAGGAGGACTAGAAAAGGTCTTAGGGGAAATTGGTAGATTGCACCAGTGACGTACAGAAAACACAGGCTTCAGACCCGTGTTAGTTAACCTGCTCAATAAGTTCTGCCCTGGTTCACATGGCCGCAATTTCCATCGTCTGGCAGCAGAGATCTTCCTGACTGTTCCACAAGTCAAAGGTCTCCCTAAAAAGAGCTTGCAAGCCCTGAGTGGGCCATACAGTTTGAGAGACTCCAGACCCGGGGCAGGGAATCTGTGGCCTTCCTGATGTCGTTGGACTCCAACTCCCATCAGCCCCAGCCAATGGTCATGGATGGTGGGAGTTGTAGTCTAGCAGCACCTGGAGGGCTGCAGGTTCTCCTTGCTCAATTCAACCGGTTCTGAAGGATGCGGCAACCAGACCAGGGTCCCTTACCTTGGCTGATGCGGATGGTCATGCATTTTTCTCCCTGAGACATGCAACCTTCGACCCCAGTCATGCACTCGGCATCGGGACTCTTCATGAGACAAGTGTTGCATTTGATACTCTCTGGGAAAGAAAGCAGAGTGAGTCCTCCTTGCTTTTGCTGTAAGGTCTGCTGCCTTGTGTAACACCCAGTTGGACTACTGCAATGCGCTCTACGTGGAGCTACCTTTGAAGGTGACCCGGAAACTACAACTAATCCAGAATGCGACAGCCAGATTGGTGACTGGGAGCGGCCGCCGAGACCATGTAACACCAGTCTTGAAAGACCTACATTGGCTCCCAGTACGTTTCCGAGCACAATTCAAAGTGTTGGTTCTGACCTTTAAAGCCCTAAATGGCCTCGGTCCAGTATATATGAGGGAGCGTCTCCACCCCCATCGTTCTACCCGGACACTGAGGTCCAGCACTGAGGGCCTTCTGGCGGTTCCCTCACTGCGAGAAGCCAGGTTACAGGGAACCAGGCAGAGGGCGTTCTCAGTAGTGGCGCCCTCCCTGTGGAACGCCCTCCCACCAGATGTCAAAGAGAACAACTACCAGACTTTTAGAAGACATCTGAAGGCAGCCCTGTTTAGGGAAGCTTTTAATGTTTGATGTATTACAGTATTTTAATATTTTTTGGAAGCTGCCCAGAGTGGCTGGGGAGGCCCAGCCAGATGGGCGGGGTATAAATAATAAATTATTATTATTATTATTATTATTATTATTATTATTAGGACTTACCCCCGGATTCAAGCAGAGCAAGGGAACAAACGGCAAAGAGCAGAGCCCCAACCATCTTGGAATCGATTGCTTCTCTCTCAGTCGAGATCTCCAGTCGAGGGATAAAATAACCATCCTACACTGACAGGGGACAGACCTTTGCAAAAGCACAATCTGTAGGCGGTGGGTGCAGTGGCTGGCTAATCATTCCCAAGACTGGAGGTGGTACTCAAGAGGAGACCCATTGAAATTAATGAACAGGACTAAGTTAGGTCCATTGATTTCAATAGATTTGTGCAGCATAATGCTTAGTTGAGTACCACCCTCGGAAACGAGATGTACAAGATTCTATGTGTGTTCCCGTACCATATTTTCGGTACTCTTTAACCTTACAGTTGAATATTTGTGAGTCAACGCCAGAGGCCAAGGCGAAGCATAGCTGGGCAGTAAAACGTGGGTTTGCACCCCTTTGGCTCCAAGATCAAACACATGCATCTAGGGAGAGGGCAGGTTTCTATGTATGATTAACAGACCAGTAGTGTTCAGGACTGGGGGTCAAGACCCTGAGGGGGCTCGGCTTCTTTTCAGGTATGTCCAAAGTTCATTTCGGGGGCCTAATCCGGCTCTCTGGCTGATTTAATCCGGCCCCCGTGGCAGTATATGTCCTGAGGTAAAATCCTTTAAAAAGCTCAACAACTTTGGTCGGCCCTCACACATGTTTACTTCATCAAATCTGGCCCTCTTTGAAAAATTTTTGGGCACCCCTGTTTTAAGAGTTTGAGAGGAGAGAGTAGGGGTCAAGAGAAAGGAGAGATTCACCAGCAACGACCACCTTTTTCTCTCTTCGCAGGAATACAGACAAGTTTAGGTAGTTTAGGAGTTTGCTCTTGATCAGTTTCAAGAGACGTAGGCTCTTTAAAAACCATTTCTCCTTGCCAGTCTATTACTGACAGCAAACTGTCTTCTGACTACCCACTCCACAAAAAATGATGATCCTGACCACAAGCAGACCACCATTGTATCACTTTGGCATTGAACAGATAGGCAGCCTGTGGGTCGCACCAGACACAGAATCATAGAGTTGGAAAAGACCCCAGCGCCATGGGGTGATGTCCAGCGCTGAGGGCCTTCTGGCGGTTCCCTCACTGAGAGAAGCGAAATTACAGGGAACCAGGCAGAGGGCCTTCTCGGTAGTGACGCCCGCCCTGTGGAATGCCCTCCCCTCAGATGTCAAGGAAATAAACAACTATCTGACTTTTAGAAGACATCTGGAGGCAGCCCTGTTTAGGGAAGCTTTTAATATTTGATGAATTATTGTATTTTAATACTTTGCGGGAAGCCGCCCAGATTGGCTGGGGAAGCCCAGCCAGATGGGCGGGGTATAAATAAATAATAATAATAATAATAATTACTACTACTACTATCATCATCATCCAACCCCTCAATGCAGGAATCTTGACTAACGTGGAGCTCAAACCCACAACCCTGAGATGAAGAGGCTGATGCTCTACCAACAGGCTTTCCCCCCTGTGCAATGGAGTCTCTGTGCAAGAGAGGCTGGCTGATATAAGGACCCATCTGGAACTCAATTCCCAAAACAGTAAGGAGTCGTATATGACTTAATTTAAGATCCATTGATACGCCTGATACCAAAACATTTTCCTAGGTAGCAGTGAACATTCCCGTTATTTATCCCAATTGTTTTTTAAACTCTGCACATCAAACTTATTTGTTGATAATAAATATCTATAAAAAGCCATCACTGGCTTTTCAGTGTCCAACGAATTATCCAATTGCTCCCTAATTCCGGGTATCTCAAAGGCTGTGAAGGCCGCCGAACCAAACTAAGTTGCTTAAAAGATGTTGTTGCTTCAAGTATTGCCATTGTGCCACCTCTGACAGATGGTGTTTTTCTCTTAGAGCATCATACGTATAAAATTAGTCTTCCTCATCTATACCTTTTATCATCCAGCTTTTTTCCATATTGCCATATTTCCCCCAATTCTGCTTTAATAGAACAGGGATAGGCAAACTCAGGCCTCCAGATGTTTTGGGACTACAACTCCCATCATCCCTAGCTAACAGGATGGTCAGGGATGATGGGAGTTGTATTCCCAAAGCATATGGAGGGCCGAGTTTGCCTGTGCCTGCCATAGAGCATTTTAAAAATAAATAAATAATTTTTTCAGATTTATACATTTCACTAATTTTACAATCATTTTAACATTTCAAAACTTGACTTCTTTCCCCCCCTTTCTGCGGTTCCTTAAATTTATCTTTAATATCTTCTGAATATCCAAATTAACTTAATTTTATTCATTTATTCATCTCCTTTAAATATATACTCATAAAACTGCAGGCTATCACAAGAATCCTGTCAATGTTCTTATCTGTTTACAATTTATCTGTAAATATTCAAGAAAGCATTTCTTTTATAAAAAGTTTGTTATCTTGATTTCGTATTCTTCCAGTAAGTTTAACCATTTCTGCATATTCCATAAGCTTTTATATCCATTCTTCCATTGCTAGGACTTCTGCTTCTTTCCATTTTGGGGCAAGTAACATTCTTGCCGCTGTAGTAGCATACATGAATAATTTTCTATACAGTTTAGGTAGTTCTGTCCCTATAATTCCCAAAAGAAAAGCTTCTGTGGTTTTTGTGTGTGTTTTTTTATAAGCATTATTTTAAACATCCTTTTCAATTCATTATATATCATTTCCCCATAGAAGAAGTGTAAGGAGTAAGGATAGACAGCATCTTAAAAAGCAGAGACATCACCTTGCCGTCAAAGGTCTGTATAGTTCAAGCTATGGTTTTCCCAGGAGTGATGTATGGAAGTGAGAGCTGGACCATAAAGAAGGCTGATCACCGAAGAATTGATGCTTTTGAATTATGGTGCTGGAGGAGACTCTTGAGAGTCCCATGGTCTGCAAGAAGATCAAACCTCTCCATTCTGAAGGAAATCAGCCCTGAGTGCTCACTGGAAGGACAGATCCTGAAGCTGAGGCTCCAATACTTTGGCCACCTCATGAGAAGAGAAGACTCCCTGGAAAAGACCCTGATGTTGGGAAAGATGGAGGGCACAAGGAGAAGGGGACGACAGAGGACAAAATGGTTGGACAGTGTTCTCAAAGCTACCAGCATGAGTTTGACCAAAGTGCGGGAGGCAGTGGAAGACAGGAGTGCCTGACGTGCTCTGGTCCATGGGGTCACGAAGAGTCAGACACGACTAAACGACTAAACAACAACAAAGGAGTAAAGAGTCAATGATCCCCTGTGGCCAAAGACAACCATGCTCCTGCTGCTAGACCAAATGACCAGCATGCTATTTCTTCCTCCTGGAAGTCCACAACCATGGTCTTGCATGGCAGCTGCTCTCCCCTCCAGTGTGGGAAGGAAGGGGTTAATCCACAGTAGCCACTCTGACCTCTACTGAAGCTCTATGTCACCTTTGCTCTGCCCAGTGCTGTGTTGATCTTCTGCTGCATCCCTACCTGCCCCCTTGCTGACCTTGGGGTTTTTGTTTGTCTCCCAGAGTCGAGATGCTCAAGGCCTCATGGTGCTTTGCTGTGGTTGAAAGGCAGCAGCAGGCAAGGCTAACGAGAACCTGTCAGCATCCGTGAATGAAAGGGAGACGGCCCTGGTTCTTCTCCGCACCAGCCGTAGCTTTTGGGGATCCAGCCCAAGGACCATGGGCAGGTTGGGTAAGCATGTCAGGTGACTAAGGTGATACGTGGGCAAACCCTTTCTCCTCTCGTTGCTGAGCCAAAAGGGAAGGGAAGGAAAACAGAAAGTACTGAAACCTCTAGTTGTGGAACTGGGCAATAGAAGGAATGGAAGTTCTGTATGCACCATGCCCTTAAAGATTGTCCCCCCCCCTACCGAAAAACTGTAGTTTATTACTATTACTATTTATTTCATTTCAATACTGCTTTATATTTTTAAGAAAAATCTCAAAGCGGTTTACAGAATATTAAAACATCAATAAAACAATCTGAAGAAAGTCAAATACAGTGGTACCTCAGGTTACATACGCTTCAGGTTACAGACTCCGCTAACCCAGAAATAGTACCTCAGGTTAAGAACTTTGCTTCAGGATGAGAACAGAATTCACGCAGCAGCGACGTGGTGGCAGCAGGAGGCCCCATTTGCCTCCAGCTATTAATTAATAACCCAAGATCACAGCATCTTTCCAATAGTTTCTGGACTTTCATGCAGGGTCAAGATCTCCCTCACCTGGCTAGTGCTCACTCTCTGAGGACATCTGTCTCCAATAACGCATATACAGTGGTACCTTGGGTTGCAGACGCTTCAGGTTACAGACTCCGCTAACCCAGAAATAATACCTCGGGTTAAGAACTTTGCTTCAGGATGAGAACAGAAATTGTGCTCTGGCGGCGCGGCGGCAGCAGGAGGCCCCATTAGCTAATGTGGTGCTTCAGGTTAAGAACAGTTTCAGGTTAAGAACGAACCTCTGGAACGAATTAAGTACTTAACCCGAGGTACCACTGTACACACAAAAATTGACTGGCAGGCGAAGATGATAGAATATTTAGAACTTGGGAAAATGACTGGGAGGAAACTCAAACCAGAAAGTGAGGAAAGGTTGGACAATGTTTAAAGAATATCTTAAAAAGTACGTAATGTGATAATGCAAATCTCCTGACAGGTCTAGATTGAATCTTGAATAATAACGAAATTATAGAAGCAAAAATCACCTTTGATATTTAACAGTTAAAAAATAAGGAAGTGCGTATCGACCCATCATGTGTAAAAAGTACAATGAGGTGAATCGGAAGTCAAAAGTGTGCGTGATCTCAAATGATATGTTGTTAGTGTTTAGTTGTTATGAGGGTATAGTATTGGTCTGTTTGTGTTGTTTTTTATGTAGTATGTAAATTGTTTTGCAATAAAGCTTTAATAAATTAAAACAAAAACAAATATAGAGTATACAGTCAAAGCAACATAATTAACAGAAAACTAAAATATTATCTTAGAGATTTCAAAATACAGTGGTACCTCGGGTTACATATGCTTCAGGTTACATACGCTCCGCTAACCCAGAAATAGTACCTCAGGTTAAGAACTTTGCTTCAGGATGAGAACAGAAACTGTGCTCTGGCAGCGCGGCAGCAGGAGGAGGCCCCATTAGCTAAAGTGGTGCTTCAGGTTAAGAACAGTTTCAGGTTAAGAACGGACCTCCGGAATGAATTAAGTACTTAACCCGAGGTACCACTGTATTACAAAGGAGGTCAACTACGGAATACATATTTAACACAACGTTAACAAACAAACAAAAAGCCTTAAACATTTCCCCCCAAAATTGCTAAGTGAAGTCAAATATAAAATGCACATTTAAAAAAGCATAATTAACAAGAGAATAAAAGATTATCATAAGCATAACACGGCTGTTTGGCAGGCAAAAAAAGATGGGGCAAAAGTTAGGGGTTTCTTGTCAGGCATAGCAATGTCCCTCTGGTCTCACAAGGAGCCTCTTTATTACAGGTGTTGGGAGTTGTAGTTCTGTGAGTGGTGAACTACAGTTCCTAGGATTTTTCCAGGAGATGTGCACTTTAATGTCTGGTGTGTACTCAGCCAAAGATGCAAAATAGCCCTGAAAATTTCAGATGGCATATGAAAAAATACGAACTCAATTCAGCTTAAGGAATCTCTATACAGATTTGCATGCTGATTTACAGTAAGACCAGGGTTCTCCACAAAGAAGCCTAATTTTTTAATATATGTCTTAGGGCACCACATCAATAATAATAGTTTTTAAATATCTATATCTTTTTTCCTCCTGGCAGGTTTTGGAAGGGAATATTGGGGTCCATTGTGGAATGTATTTTCTGATTTCGGTGTATGTGACATGAAGAGATTATAGGCACATGCAAGCAAGATTTGTGCAAGCTCTTCTAGCTGACTTTTAAGTATTTTTGCTGCAGCATATCCTGTTGCCAAAGAGGCAAGCCACTTTTTGGTTTAAAAAGCGGCTTGCCTCTTTGGCTATTGCTGTGGCAACAAAATGTAGGGGAGGGGGAAGGGAAATAGTTGTTTTCAGTCAAGTCACCACTACTGAGCATACATTTGTTTAATGACAAATTCAGGCGTGATTGTCATGGAATTGTAGAGTTGGAAAGAACCCTGAGAATCATTTAGCCCAATCCCCGGCAATGCAAGATTTTTTTTGTGCAACGTGGGGCTTGAACCTACCAACCTAAGTTTAAGAGTCCAATGCTCTACCAATTGAGCTATCCCTCTGTGTGTATGTGTGTGATGTTTTAAATGGCCCGCAAAAAAGCTTTCACTCCAGTGTTGATACGACTGCCAAAAGATGAAACAGGCTTCGATGCATTAACCTTAAGTAACAAGAAGTTGGCATATGTCCAATATATTTTTCACACATGAGATGGCACCGTTTCTGAATGCTGTTCTTTGGGGGCATAACGTTGAAAGCAGAGATGCTAGCCAATACAGGCTCAAATTTTCGCATTACAGACCAATATAAAGCGCAAACGACTAATTTCAGCGCTGCATGCAAATACTGTCTTACTGCGTGATTTGCTGATGCATCTGGCAAGAACAAGGAAAAAAAATCTGTCCTTCGAGCCGGAGTCGAACCAGCGACCTAAGGATGACTTTGGCAGCAGTCTACAGTCCTCCGCTCTACCAGCTGAGCTATCGAAGGGACAAGCCTAGGGTGCTGTGCCTCACCTTTTAACTGTGGGTGTGGCACCTGCTGGGCGTGGAACTGGAATTTCAATGGGAGGTACTCCCTTTGAATGCCTTCCCCAGGCTTCCTGCCTCTCTGCCAGCAAGCCTAAGATCTAAAGCATGGGTAGGCAAACTAAGGCCGGGGGCCGGATCCGCAGACGGTCCAGGAATCAGCTTGTTTTTACGTAAATAAAATGTGTCCTTTTATTTATAATGCATCTCTGGGTTATTTGTGGGGCCTGCCTGGTGTTTTTACATGAGTAGAATGTGTGCTTTTATTTAAAATGCATCTCTGGGTTATTTGTGGGACATAGGAATTTGTTCACCCCCCATATATATATATATATATATATATATATATATATATATATACATACCCCCCCATATATCCATATATATATATATATATATATATATATATATCCATATATATATATATATATATATATATATATATATATATATATATAAAGATAGTAAGAAAACCCACAAGCATAGCCTTTAAAAATCCTGGGCTGGATTTCAACTAAGTGGCTGCATTGGCAGAAGCCAGCACAATGGTTAGCAGGCTGTTGTGCTGAAACGTGAAAAGCTTTTGAAATAAAAGACCAAGGTAACTCTCCATCCCTTCCTTTTGGGCCTGAGAAGGCCACTTCTCTCCTTTAGATCAGGTATGGGAAAATTGTTTTTGTAGTGTTTGTTTGAAATATATCCTTTGCTGTAATGCGTCCCTTGTTGTAAGCTGCTTCGAGCATGGTGTGTGTGTGTGTGTGTGTGTGTGTGTGTGTGTGTAAAAAAGTGGCATACAAATAAAATGAACGAATAAGTGAATGAATGAATGAATGAATGAATGAACGAACCTTTGGCCCTCCTGATGCAGCTGAACTACAACTCCCATCAGCGTAAGCAAGCATGGCCAATGGCCAAGGATGATGGGAGTTGTAGTTCAGAAGATGTAGAATGTACATAGATGTAGATGTACATAGAAAGAAGATTCCACCTGAACATTAGGAAGAACTTCCTGACAGTAAGAGCTGTTTGACAGTGGAATTTGCTGCCAAGGAGTGTGGTGGAGTCTCCTTCTTTGGAGGTCTTTAAGCAGAGGCTTGACAACCATATGTCAGGAGTGCTCTGATGGTGTTTCCTGCTTGGCAGGGGGTTGGACTCGATGGCCCTTGTGGTCTCTTCCAACTCTATGATTCTATGATTCTATGATTTGGAGGACCAAAGGTTCATCACACCTCTTCTAGATGTTTCTGGACCGTACATCATCCCTGCCCATTGAGGCTTTTAGGTGCTGGATAGGTATACAGGTTCCCCATCTCTGTTAGAAGGGGTCCCCCTCATCTCAGTTCATTGACTTAACTTGCATTCAGTGTGCATCTTATGATGATGTTGTCATCCATCATCAACAGCTGCCGCCCTTGCCTCTGCAGTGTCATGACTTTGTGCCAAGATTTCTCAAGGAATATATGGAAGCTTTCATTGAAATTCCAGTTCCATGCCCTGTAGGCCAATCGCTGCCTTTTTTTTTAAAGGAAGCCGCATCCCAAGTTGAAAAGAACAAGGCAAAGCTTTGGGCTTGTTCCTTCGATAGCTCAGCTGGTAGAGCGGAGGACTGTAGATTGTCGTCCAAGCCATCCTTAGGTCGCTGGTTCGATTCCGGCTCGAAGGACAAAGTGTTTTTGCTTGCCAGAAGTAGCTCCTGATCTCCTAACCAATCGTACACTGTGGCTTCCCTCATCATGACTACAAACAGTCTGGAGAAACCCTCTGAGTCATACCGAAGCCTCTAAGCCAAAATAAGATCTCGTAGTTTGAAAATACCAGAATATAGTTTTCTGCACCTAGCCTTGAGACAAGTGAGTTTCATCTCCTGTTTCAGTTGCCGGTTTGTGGACCAGCTACTGAGCCGTGCAGCACGAAATGAAAGGAGTCCTGTGTTCATTGGCAAAGGGGTAGACACTGTTCAATAAAACACTTGTCCAACTGCATCCCAGATCAAACCTGCAAGTGCTACGGCCCTTGAGAAGTGCTGCTGCTGCTGGTGGTTCTTGTAGTGAGGAACCCCATTCCCTCAGCAGCAAGATATTGCCACTGCAGTGCATTGCCAAAGCAAATCCTCAAAGCAGAGAAGCTTCTTGGAGGGGAGAAACCAAGACCCCACAGAACAAACAAGCAGCAGCTACACATGTATTGCACAACTGGTGCCTGGGAAAACCAGGACTGGAGTCTGACTCAGGAGAGGGGAGCATGGATTTGTGGGGACCTGTACCAGCCAGGAGACGAGACTCAGAGGCAGGGGAAGCTTCAGAGCTGGAGAAAGAAGAGGAAGAAGCAGGTCAGGCAAGTGAAGGACCGGATGCTTCCTGACCCACTCCTGCACCACTGTCTCCCAGAACCAGGAGCGAACAGAAGTGGGAAGAGCAGAGGCAGCTTCCATAAAGGCGTAGTCTCTGGCTGCATGTGTGCAGCCTGTCGTGGGGAGGTGCATAAGCTGGTGAAGGGGGCATGGCCCCCTGTTGCTGAAATTCCTTCGTAGAGCGTAGAATAGCTGCCTAGATACAAGGCTGGTGTGTGCAGGTATTCGGAGCCGAGGAAACTACTGTAAGTGTCAGCTTTGACAATGAAGAGCTAACTATCTTCCGTGGGCATTCATGTGGTTGACAAGATATCAGAAGAGAGAGGAAAGTGCCCTCACATCTTTGCTTGTATGTTTCCCATGGGCACCTCGTTGGCCACTGTTAGAACAAGCCACTCTTCTTCTTCTTCTTCTTCTTCTTCTTCTTCTTCTTCTTCTTCTTCTTCTACTACTACTACTTTGGCGATCACTTGTAGCCAAGTAAGTTTGTCTTCCATGAACACAGTTTTAGCAGTAAGTCTGTAAGTGACTGTGGAGGCCAATTCTGGATCCACACATCCTTCCACAGTGGGGACATTGGTTTCCGGGCGGGAGATGATCACGGTGAGGGTTTTCCAAACATGCCTTCCTCTTAGCATGTTTCTCCCTTTTGTCCTGAGTTCGAGCATCTTCAAAGCCCATGACACCTTTGGTAAAGGCTGTTCTCCAACTGGAGCACTCTCAGGCCAGTGTTTCCTAGTTGTTGGTATTTATACTACATTTCTTTAGATTTGCCTTTGAGAGAGTCTTTAAACCTTGTTAACCACCAGCATTGCACTTTCCATTTTTAAGTTCAGAATACAGTGGTACCTCGGGTTAAGTACTTAATTTGTTCTGGAGGGTCCGTTCTTAACGTGAAAATGTACTTAACCTGAAGCACCACTTTAGCTAATGGGGCCTCCTGCTGCTGCTGTGCCACCAGAGCGCAATTTCTGTTCTCATCCTGAAGCAAAGTTCTTAACCTGAAGCACTATTTCTGGGTTAGCGGAGTCTGTAACCTGAAGCGTATGTAACCTGAAGCGTATGTAACCCGAGGTACCACTGTAGAGTACAGTGGTACCTCGGGTTAAGAACTTAATTCGTTCTGGAGGTCCGTTCTTAACCTGAAACTGTTCTTAACCTGAGGTAACACTTTAGCTAATGGGCCCTCCCGCTGCCACCGCCTTGTCGCCGCCACACAATTTCTGTCCTCATCCTGAAGCAAAGTTCTTAACCCGAGGTACTATTTCTGGGTTAGCGGAGTCTGTAACCTGAAGCATCTGTAACCTGAAGCATCTGTAACCCAAGGTACCATTGTAGTTCCTTTGGAAGACGATAATCAGGCATCCGCACAACATGACCGGTTCAACGAAGTTGATGTTGAAGAATCAAGCTGTTGATGTTTGTGTGTCTTCTTAGTGCTTCTGGGCCTTGTCACTCTGCTCCTGATGCAGAAGAGCACACTCAGCCCCTTGGAGAGATGTTTTGAGGATCCAGAATATGAGGAGCTGCTGGATATCGCTAAGGATGGGCTGGGCAAAACTGAAGAACCGAGACGGATTGCGATTGTGGGAGCCGGGGTTGCTGGACTTACAGCTGGGAAAGTGCTGCTGGATGCTGGACACAAGGTGATGGGGCCAGGGAGAAGGGGAGGCATTGGCAGGGTGAGAAGCAAGGGAGGTGAGGCAGGGGTTGCATAATAACAGAATTTTTTTATTTGTACTCTGCCCGTTTGACTGGGTTGCCCCAGCCACTCTGGGCGGCTTCCAACATACAGCATATAAAAACATAATGAAGCATTACACATTACAAAGCTTATCTGATGGGAGGGTGTTCCACAGGATGGGTGCCACTACCGAGAAGGCCCTCTCCCTGGTTGCCCTCTTTCCTGTAAGTCAAGCCCACATCCTGCCCCCTTGATTCACAATCTTCAGCCAACCTTGCCCAAACTCTTATCTCGCTCAGGATGTTTGGATTTAAAGACACAAGGCAGTGTTTCAAGCTGATCCAGTCTCTGAAGCAACAGCAGAGTGGCCCTACCAAATTATTTAAAAATTTCGACAATGGTTTCTGCACACGGGCATGTGTATGAAATATAGATTGTTGTTTAGCCATCCCATGCATATTCCGGGGAAACCAAGGGGTTGATTCCAGTGTGACCTGGTGCAGATGTAATCCTGATTTCTTGCAAATGACAGTTAAAGGTAGCACTGGGAATGCACCTAAATAGGAACCATAGCTAACCTCGGCGTATATGTAATGCTAAACCATGGTTAAAGGCAGTGCTTTTTTTCTGGGGGGGTACGCAGGAGTATGCATGCCCCTAAACATTTTGTGAATCTAAGTTTGGCCTCATTGAAGGGCAGTATTTCAATATGAGTATGAAAATGAGAGTACCCCTGAACATTTTTTTAAAGAAAAAAGCACTGGTTAAAGCCAACAAGGGAGAATTTGTCCTCAAAAGGGATTGAGGGAATAGGAGGAGGACGGTATGTGCGTTCCTGAGACTGTCTTCCAGTTTTCAAGCCCTGGTCCTTATATAGCCAGGTTTACATTTCAAAGTACCAAGCCTGACATTGACACATGGCATCTTCAGGCAGATGCTGGGGACACAGCACTCTGGAAGGGACTATAATTGACACTTGCCCTGGGCTCCCATTTAGACAAACATTTGCTCCAGACGACTGGGCTTGCGAGCTGCTGTTTTAATTTTCTGCAGTGCTCCTGACACAGCATCCCTCCACTGTATTGTGGGAAATTAAAAAGGTGTCCCCCTTTCTGGTGCCTGAGAATACAGAGGATAGCCTTTCTTAATATTATTATTATTATTATTAATAATAATAATAATAATAATAAATTTTATTTATACCCTGCCCTCCCCAGCCAAGGCCAGGGGAGGCTCAGGACGGCTAACAACCAATAATAAAAACGAGTTGAATGAATACAACTTAAAAACAACATTAAAATACAACATTAAAACATTAAAATGCAGCCTCATCACAGGAGGAGAAAAAAAGAAAGAAAGAGGGGGAGGGAATCAAATTGACTCCAAGCCAAAGGCCAGGTGGAACAACTCTGTCTTACAGGCCCTGCGGAAAGAAATCAGATCCTGCAGGGCCCTGGTCTCATGAGACAGAGCGTTCCACCAGGCCGGAGCCAGTGTTGAGAAGGCCCTGGCTCTGGTTGAGGCTAATTTAACTTCCTTAGGGCCCGGGACCTCTAGGGTGTTGCTATTTATGGACCTTAAGGTCCTCCGTGAGGCATACCGGGAGAGGCGGTCCCATATGTCCAAGGGTCCTAGGCATAATGATATGGTCTCTACGGCATATACAGCTTTAATCATGGCGGCACCTGTCAACGTTGTACTCTCGAGATGTCCTGGACTACAGCTCCCATCATCCCACTCTGGCTGGGAGCTGATGGGAGTTGTATTCCCAAAAATCCGGAGGATGCCACGTCGGCGACCCTTGTCTTACACCGTCGCTTTCTTCAGCATAGTTTGGCAGGTTCAGGGGCTGAGTGGCTCCAATAGCAGCCTTTCCCCTCTAGGGGATGCTGGCTCCACTTGAGACCCAGGTGCGAGTAGAAAAACAAGAGCTTCACTTAGCCTAGATTCCCCGTCTGCCTGCCCCCCCCCCCCGCCCTCTGCTTCTGCAGAGCAGGCTCATTCCAGTCCAATAACCCGGATCAGCACGTTTGCTATATACTTTCCCCCCATCAACAGGGCCAACTGGCAGGACTTAATTACTATTTTCTGCTGCAGGGCAAGCTTATGAAAAACAAATGAAAAAACTGGGTGGGCCACGGAGTGTGCAGTTGCACAAACCGCCAGGCAATTAAATATGTAGATGGCAGGCATGATCACTTCTATTGTTGTTTTTGCAAATCTTGCAAGCCTCTCTTTTATTGGTGACCTGCCGTGCCACAATGTGCAAGACATATTCAAGAGAATGGGGAAGGTAGATAGCCAGGGTGTGGAATGTGGCCCTCTGAGCTTCTACATCTGGCCCTCAAAATTCTCCCCGGCTACATCCCTGCATTAGGGACGTGGGTGGCGCTGTGGGTTAAACCACAGAGCCTAGGACTTGCTGATCAGAAGGTCAGTGGTTCAAATCCCTGCGACAGGGTGAGCTCCCGTTGCTCGGTCCCTGCTCCTGCCAACCTAGCAGTTCGAAAGCACATCAAAGTGCAAGTAGATAAATAGGTACCGCTCTGGCGGGAAGGTAAACGGCGTTTCCATGCGCTGCTCTGCTTTGCCAGAAGCAGCTTAGTCATGCTGGCCACATGACCCGGAAGCTGTATGCCGGCTCCCTCGGCCAGTAAAGCGAGATGAGCACTGCAACCCCAGAGTCGGCCATGACTGGACCTAATGGTCAGGGGTCCCTTTACCTTTACATCCCTGCATTGCACAAGTGGTTTTGCTTGGCTTGATTGCATCTGGTTCAGTATAAAGGCAGCTTCCTATGCCATGCATGGGAATGGAGATCCAGAATATGTCAGGATCACCCATGTATTTTTGACCCCAAATCGGTTGACACTTTGCCAAGGAGCTAACCAAGGCACAGCAGTCTGGTTTCCCAACAGAGCAGTTGCCAATGAGTCAGATCTTGTGGCTTTATTTATACAGGTGCATCTGTTCTGAAGCAGAGCTGTAATCATAACCAGAAAAACAGACCTTTCCCTCAGGGACCTTGGGTAATCTCTGACAAACAGTTCCTCCAGAATGTGACGTTTTCAAGATGTTAGCTGATTGAAAGCACCAGGCTGCGGAACAGAATTCACCTACCTGTCTCCTGACCTGTTTTTCTCAATTTGGTTTTGGAGCTAGCTCCGAACCACTGCCAAAATTTATTCTGCTGTCTGCCCTCCTAACCTGTAACACAGCAGAGTATGCAAAGATCCTTGCGTACTGGTGTCTGTGTGCATCCTGGTGTGTGCAAAAGATCTGTTGATCAGGGCACTAATCCAGCACTGACCTTAGAAAGGAGAGCAAAGGAAGAGGCATCTCTGAAGTTACAGACATAGCAGCGTAGGAAGCTCTCCTTTGCTGAACCAGACTGAAATATACTCCGAGTCGAGAGTGGATTTCAGGCTCTTTATTCAGCTCATAGTGGTGAGGAGGAATGAAAGTTTCCCCAAAGTATCTGCTTTATATACATTATTTACACAATGGGCTGCACGTGATTGGCTAATTCCGGAATTCTCCTGTAGGCCAATCAGGTTGTGGATTCACTTCTATCTGGAGCTGGATTGGGTGGCTCCTGCAGACCAATCATACTGCTGCATTGTTCTAGGACCAATCAGACTGCTGCATTCTGAATCCTATTGTTCTAGGACCAATCAGACTGCTGCATTTTGGATCCTATTTAACTCAGTACATAACACAGACCCATGGTCCTCCTAGCTAAGGATTGTTTACTGAGCAGCTTTCCAATATTTCAGACAGAGGGACTTTCCCAACCGTACCCAGAGATGGTGGGGATTGAACCTGAGATCTTCTGCATGCAAGGGAGACGCACTGCTGCTGAGCCATGCCCCGTCCCCAGATAAAGTGAAGAAGCTTGATCTTGCTCTTGTACAGGGAAACCCCACTGAAACAAAGCAGCAATTGCAGGCGGCACCCCACTCAACTTGCACACAGCTGCATATAGGCACCCACCTTAGGGGAAAGTGGTGGCTGGGAGGCAGAGAAGCAGTTGGCACTGCCAGCTGATTGGCTCTCTCCCTGGCAAGCAAGCCAATGGCAGCAGTGGTGATGAGGACAATCAGCTGGCTGTGAAAGTCGTGAGGAGCTAGACTCTTGGAGGGAAAGGAGTCTTTCCCACGAGCCCTCCAAAATCCAGAGCCAACACTGCTGGCATCTGCACCTTTCCAGCTGTTCTGTGCCTCCCAAGGGGAGTCTGCCCCAAACCACCGAAGAACAGCCTACACCATGGGTAGGCAAACTAAGGCCCGGGGGCTGGATCCGGCCCAATTGCCTTCTAAATCTGGCCTGCGGATGGTCCAGGAATCAGCATGTTTTTACATGAGTAGAATGTCTCCTTTTATTTAAAATGCATCTCTGGGTTATTTGTGGGGCCTGCCTGGTGTTTTTACATGAGTAGAATGTGTGCTTTTATTTAAAATGCATCTCTGGGTTATTTGCGGGGCATAGGAATTCATTCATATTTTTTTTCTGGCCCCTCACGAGGTCTGAGGCTCAGTGGCCTGGCCCCCCGCTGAAAAAGTTTGCTGACCCCTGGCCTACACAATACAACCCAGACTTCAGCAGCAGCTGAATGCGAGTCAGCGCTTGCATGCCAGAAGAACGCTGCCCAGTCCTTCCGACTCAATGAACTCAAAGCTGATGTTCCTGCAAACGGCCATTTTGAATCTGCACAGTCCCCACTCTCTAGTAGCATCTTCTACAGAAAGATGCTTCTTGCAGTTTGTGTTTCAATAAGATATCAGCAGGGTCCATTTCTTCTGCCCTCAGTGCCACCAGCCTAAGTCCATTCTGAGAGCAGATTTTACCCCTGAGCTTGTCCATTTTGCCAATCCCCAGTATGGGCATCAAGCATTCCTCAACAGTGTAACTTCCAGGCAAACTTAGCAGGTAGAACACTCAGGCTAAGTAATCTGACAGCAAGTTGATAATTGCCCTTGAATAACACCAGCAGATCCAACGTGGCAGCAACTTCTGAAAGGTAACAGCCAATATCCAAGGCTTGTAAGTCTTAATTACAAACTCACCGGAGATGAATGAATGAAATCAGCATGAGTCACCAGACATCTCTTGACACATGAATCTGCTGGTATGATATAATTTGCTTAACCTGCCTAGAATAAGGTGCCAGTGACAGACCGTCCAGGGACTACAGCTCCCATCATCCCTGACCATTTGCCATGCTGGCAGGGGCTGATGGGAGTTGCAGTCCAACATCTGGAGGCTGAGGAAAGCTGCTATAATCAGGACTATAAATATTGGACTGGGTATTCTCATAAAACAAACACTTTGGCCCTTTCCCATGGGGACATTCTTCAACATTGTTCAGTGGAGGCCATTTTGCAACCACTGCAATTATAGTTCTTCTTTTGCCCACCCCCCAGGTGACAATTCTAGAAGCCAGCAGCTGTGTGGGAGGCAGGATGGAGACTTACCGTGATCCCGAGGGGGGCTGGTATGTGGATTTGGGCCCGAGGCGCCTGCCTTTCAGCCACAGGTAAGAAGGGGCAGTGATATTCCCATGGTGGTGTGTGGCTGATAACATTTGATGGAGGGAAAGAGAGTTGGTATGACAGCCACCTTCAAATGAGAGCCAGTGTGGTGTAGTGGTTAAGAGCGGTAGACTTGTAATCTGGTGAACCGGGTTCGATTCCCCACTCCTCCACATGCAGCTGCTGGGTGACCTTGGGCTAGTCACACTTCTCTGAAGTCTCTCAGCCCCACTCACCTCACAGAGTGTTTGTTGTGGGGAAGGAAGGGAAAGGAGAATGTTAGCCGCTTTGAGACTCCTTCGGGTAGTGACAAAGCGGGATATCAAATCCAAACTCTTCTTCTCTTCTTCAAATAGAGGGAGGGCTGTCACATAGGAGGTGAAAGGAGCTTGTTTCCTGCTGCTCCGAAGGGTAGGGCCTGAACCAATGGATTCAAAATGGCAAGAAAGGACATTCCGACTAAATATTAGGAAGAGCTTTCTGATAGTAATAGCTGTTTGACAGTAAAACAGACTTCTCTCAGAAGGCGGTGGACTCTCGTTCATTGCAGGTTTTTAAGCAGAGGTTCGGCGGCCATCTGTCAGGGATTCTTTAGCAGTGATTGCTACGTTGCAGTGGGTTGGTCTAGATGACCTTTGGGGTGTCCCTTCCAACTCTGCAATTCTGTGACTCAATGAGAACAAAATCAAGAGCAAAACTGAAATGAGTCTGATGGTAAGATGCCCGTCATCATGTCATGCAGCATGTGCAGAGATGGGAGGCGTTGCAATTTTAGGGGACCCTGTGGTGTGCAGTGGATCCCTGCGGTCACTAAATCTTAGAGTTGGAAGGGATCCCAAGGGTCATCTAGTCCAACCCCCTGCAATGCAGGAATCTCAGCTAAAGCATCCATGACAGATGGCCATCCAACCTCTGCTTAAAAACCTCCAAGAAAGGAGAGTCCACCACCTCTCATTGGAGTCTGTTCCACTGCCGAACTGCTCTTACTGTCAGAAAGTTTTTTTGAATGTTTGGTCATTGCATACTCCATTCATTCATTTAATTGCATTTGTATTGTCTCCACCTTTTTCTCCAAGGAGCTCAAAGGGGCCTCCATGGCTCTCCCCTTCCCCATTTAATCCCCACAACAACATTGTGAGGTAGGTTAGGCTGAGAGGCCCAGTGAACTTTGTGGCGGAGTGGGGATTTGAACCTGGTCTCCCAGGTCCCAGTCTGACACTCTAACCATTACACCACGCTGGCTCTTCCGCACTACAGCTTCCCCTGCACGATCAAAGTCAGCAGAAGTGGAGTGTCCAGTTTCAGAGGGAGAGGGCATGTGCTGCCCTCAGTCCCCAAATGTAGCACCTTACCTTTCCCCCATAGAAATGGATGACAGCCATTCCCCCATATGTCAGGATGCAAAGGTACACTGACACGACTGGGTAAGAGTTGAACCTGTTCCTTATCTCTTGCTGATCCCGGCCATTATGAATTCAGCCTTCCTGTTTCTGGGGCTGTGCTTCTTGGTCATGCTAGAGTGTGACAGAATATTTGGAACCAGCTTTTGGGGGGAAAAGAGACAGACAGACAGACAGACAGAAAGAAAGAAAGAAAGAAAGAGGTTGCTCCAGCAACAGGCCATATGATTGCCAAGTTGCAAGCTAGAGATATTCCCCTTTTAACTTTGTTTCCGCTCTTGAATCAGGAGAAGAGACAGTTGGGGCTTCCCCCTGTTTTGTTTTCCTCTAGTCCACACCCTTTCCCACCTGGGATCCAGCTTGTTACAGCAGGTGTGGGATGAGTGGGTGGGAGGATACTGGGGGGGAGAAGCCACATCCATTACATCTCCTATTCCAGCAGCAGAATTTAAAGGCAACTCTCCAGGTTGCAACCTAGCCAGCGACTGTCCAGTTCTGTGGGAGTGGGAAGCTCCCAGAGGAAGTGATAAACTTTCAGCACCTTGAACAGCTCCAATGAGTCCTGCTAAGGCAAGCGGCTACCTGAAATGTTGTCTGTGCAGAGAGCTAGTACCAAGGGAAGCCTTGTGTAGGCTGATCAAACCTAGTAGGCTCTGTCAGCCTAGAGGCGCTGGCCGGGTAGTTAAAGGGCCCTCAGCTTATTTTAAAGTCTTTGGCTTCTGTGAGGTTGGGACAACAGAAGTATTGCAGGGAACCCTGCTTCTGGGAGGTTGGAAAGACAGAGATACTGCAGGGAATGGTGTCAGGCCTGTGTTTCCAGAAGGCCTCTGGTGTGTTTGGGTTTGTTTGTTTTTTGCCTGTTTATTTATCTAATTTATACCCTGCCCTTCTTCTAAGGAGTCCAGGGTGGCAAACATGTATACAATTTAAAAACAGGAACAAAGAGAAATGTTATAAAACAGATCAAAACATTCTAAAAAATAATTAAAAACATCTAAAAGGTGTTACAATTTTAAACGTTCTAAAAGCAACTGCAGTGAAAAACACACATCCATCTCGAGTTTGCCAGGAACAGTATTCTTCAGACACCAAATTCCTGTGTAAGCAGGAACCTTTTCAAATCCCTCCTTGATGGAGACAGGAACACCTCACTGTGTAGCACATTCCACAACCTGGGGACCACCACTGAAAAGGCCCTGTCATGGATGAGGACCAACCTGTGAATGAGATGCTGGTGGTTCTTTGAGGAGGTTTCCTGAACCCTTTCTTCGTCAAAGTTCTCCACCCTATACAGTAAAGTCTCTGTTGGGACATGACATGCCGTGGTAGACCATGGCAACGGAACAGGAGGCACAATAAGGGAACAAACTATGCAGAAAAACTAAACGCGGGAAATCAAAGACTAATGGCATAATAAACACACCCCTTTATGTTTAATACCCATTCTTCCCCTCTGTTACCATCTTTCCTCCTACTCTTCCCCTCTGATCTGCCCATTGGCTCTCTCTACCTCCATGCAGAATTGTCCGGGAATATGTTGCAAAATATGGCCTGAAATTAAACCATTATCCAGATGGCAATGGCAACGCCTGGTACCTGGTGAACAATATCCGAGCCAGAGTCAAAGAGGTGGAGAAGAATCCAGACATTCTGGGATACCCTGTAGATCCCTCCGAACGTGGGAAGTCTGCTGTGGAGCTGTATTATGAAGCGTTGAAACCGGTGAGTTTCTTTTCGTAAACCACTTTGAGGTGTGTGTTTTTTTAAAAAAACCATCAAGTAGTGTATAAATTTTATGAAATAAATGAGAGAGTGTGTGTGCATGTGTGTGTTTGTGAACACAGTTGCCAACAGGTTAGCAGGGAGCAATACCAGCCTGCCAGAGGGGTATCTGTGCTACTCTGTCGCAGCAAAAACTGCCAAGAGACCTGTGGTATCTTAAAGACTAACACTTTTTAGTGTGGCGTTGACACAAACACACACACACACACTATATATATCTTCTTCTTCTTCTTCTTTGGCATTCACTCGTAGCCGAGTAAGATTGTCTTCCATAAACACATTTTAAACAATGAGTCCATGACTGTGGAGGCCAATTCTGGATCCACACGTCCTTCCACAGTGGGGACATTGGTTTCCAGGCAGGAGTTGATCACGGTGTGGGTTTGCCAAGCGTGCCTTCCTCTTAGCACCTTTCTCCCTTGTGTCCTGAGTTCGAGTGTCTTCAAAGCCCACAACACCTTTGGTAAAGGCTGTTCTTCAATTGGAGTTCTCGCAGGCCAGTGTTTCCCAGTTGTCAGTGTTTATACTACATTTTTTAAGATTTGCCTTGAGACAGTATTTAAACCTCTTTTGTTGACCACCAGCATTATGCTTTCCATTTTTAAGTTCAGAATAGAGTAGTTGCTTTGGAAGACCACACACACTATGCAAAGGGGCATAGTTGTACACAGTGGTGCCAAAGGGAAGTGAAATGTAAGAAGTCTCGACAGTGATAATTCAGTTAGACCTAGAACATATGGGTAGCTCCCAACAAAAAAAATAGCAAAAACACAATACAACATCAAACACTAAAAACTTCTCTAAACAGGGCTGCCTTCAGATGTCTTTTAAAATCACATAGCTGTTTATCTGCTTGACATTTGATGAGAGGGCATTCCACAAGGCGGGTGCCACTACCAAGAAGGCCCTCTGCCTGGTTCCCTGTAGCCTCACCTCTTGCAATGAGGAACCACCAGAAGGCCCTGGGAGCTGGATCTCAGCGTGAGTGGAGATGCTCCTCCAGGTATACAAGGCTGAAGCAGTTTTTTATTTATTTTTGTTTTTATTTTATGTTGTAAACTATGTGATATTTGGCTGAAGGGTGGTATATAAGTCTAGCATTATTATTATTATTATTATTATTATTATTATTATTTAACCTTCTGTTTCTCAAAACCTGAGGTTGATGGGGAGAAAAGGAGGACACACTTTGCCATTCAAGGACAGTCCTACAATAACCCGTCTTCGTTTGTGCCCTTCAGATAGAAGAGGACTTGGCGAGATCAAACTGCAGCCATGTGCTTGAAAAATACGATGCCTATTCTCTCAAGGTGCTGTTTTATTGATATACGTGGGTGATATTTGCTGTTTGTGGCACTGCTTCTCCCTCTTTTTATATATATTACATTACTTTGCGGAATTGAGAGCCCCATTTGATGATACACAAGACGTGGAAATGCTCTTGCTTGTGCAATGCTGTGATTTGCATCTCTCCAGCCCCATCCCACTTTACTGGCTGTTGGAAATATCAAAGGGACACAGAGCAGCGACAGTTCCATGTCTGGTTTGGCACTGTTAAGTGCAGACCTCTCCATCCATTCATAATTCATATGAGTCTGTTCTGGCCAAACTAAACTACAAGCCAACATTGGCCCAAGTTCATGTAGGTTTGCAAAACCTTGCATTTCTGCCACCAGGGGGCAGCAGAGTGCTACCACGTGTATAAAGACTGCAATAAAAATAATTGTCTGTTTGTTTAATTGAATTTGATTATTTTGAAACATTCAGTTCAAAGTCTAGAGTACAATTTTTTTAAAGTCAACACCTGAAATTTGGATTTTGGAATACAACTCATGCTTTGAGAAGCGGGACGGAAAATTGTTAAGCTTTCACAAGGAAAACTCATCCTTTGAGTTTTGACATTGAAACGTGTATGTTGAAATTTGGAAGACGGTTTTCAAAAGTTGTTAGTTTAGTTGTTTTTAATTTAGGGTATACGGCAGCCTTTGAATTTTAGGCAAAGATGTGTTTAAGCTCTATCAATATTTCCACTTGAGTGCAGCCATATTATTCCTCATACACTCTTCCACCTTCACAGGCATATCTGATCGAAAAGGGAAATCTAAGCCACGCAGCCGTCCGAATGATTGGAGACCTGATTAACCTGAGTGCAGAGTTTTCCTGCAGTTTCATTGAATTCCTCCGAGAAGTTTTCCTGTTTACCCGTGAAAAGAGGTAATAAAAGCGGGTTGCATAGGTGCTGGCTCCCTGGGAGAAATTCCCCATGAAGGGGAATTTACTTTTCAGTATTCTGCTAAACATTGGGACGCGGGTGGCGCTGTGGGTTAAACCACAGAGCCTAGGACTTGCTGATCAGAAGGTCGGCGGTTCGAATCCCCGCGACGGGGTGAGCTCTGGTTGCTCGGTCCCTGCTCCTGCCAACCTAGCAGTTCGAAAGCACGTCAAAGTGCAAGTAGATAAATAGGTACTGCTCCAGCGGGAAGGTAAACGGTGTTTCCATGCGCTGCTCTGGTTCGCCAGAAGCGGCTTAGTCATGCTGGCCACATGACCCGGAACCTGTACACCGGCTCCCTTGGCCTATAGAGCGAGATGAGCGCCGCAACCCCAGAGTCGGCCACGACTGGACCTAATGGTCAGGGGTCCCTTTTCCTTTTTATTCTGCTAAACACGTGGGAACGGGTGGAGGTATCAGGAGGTGTGGAGGGCCTGTGTGAGAAATCCCACTCCCCTACCCACATGTCTCGGACATTTCGAGAGTCGGACGGACTTCCAGAACGAATTAAGTTTGAGAACCAAGATTCCACTGTACAGTGGTACCTCGGGTTACATACGCTTCAGGTTACATACACTTCAGGTTACAGACTCCACCAACCCAGAAATAGTACCCCGGGTTAAGAACTTTGCTTCAGGATGAGAACAGAAATCATGCTCCAGCGGCATGGCGGCAGTGGGAGGCCCCATTGGCTAAAGTGGTGCTTCAGGTTAAGAACAGTTTCAGGTTAAGAACGGACCTCCGGAACAAATTAAGTACTTAACCTGAGGTACCACTGTATATAAATTCAATAAATAAATAAATACACACTCACACACACTCCTGGTAGTTGAATGAGCATGTCTAGCAGAAACGACTTCTCAAGCCTTTTCTTGACCTCCAGGTACGATGAGATCGCTGGCGGGTTCGATATGCTGCCCAGGGCTATTCACCAGTCACTACCAGCTGGCACCGTGATGCTCAACAGCACCGTGACAGAGATCCTCAGAGAGGGGGACATGGTTTCGGTGCTCTACCATCCTTCCAGCTCCCTGGCCTCGTCGGGCACCATCCTGGCTGACTACGTCATCGTCACGTCCACGGCAGAGGCCACACGCCTCATCCGCTTCCACCCTCCCCTCTCGCCTGCCAAGACCCAGGCGCTCCGTTCTCTACGCTCCACAGGAGCCACCAAAGTGGCCTTGGCCTGTTCTAAGAAGTTCTGGGAGGAAGAAGGAGAAGAGATCTACGGTGGAACCTCCATCAGTGACCTGCCCTCCAGGATCACCACTTACCCCAACCACAACTTCTCCAGCGGCCTGGGGGTCATCCTGGGCTCCCAGACTTACGGGGATGACTCGGAGTTTTTTGCTCCCCTCAGCCCCCAACAGGCTGTCGACGTGGTTCTGAGGGACTTGTCCACTATCCACCAGCGCCCCCTGGAAGAGCTGAGGCGTCTTTGCAGCCGGTGGGTGGTCAAAAAATGGAACCTGGACCCCCACGCCATGGGGGCCTTCACCCTCTTCAGGCCTTACCAGCTGAGCGAACACGCGGAGGCCCTCGCCCGCAAGGAGGGGAGGGTCTATTTTGCCGGAGAGCACACGGCTTTGCCACATGGTTGGATTGACACTGCGATGAAATCAGCCCTGAGGGCAGCCAGGGATGTCCACTGGCATGCAGGGGCATGTGGTCACCAGACAGGCATTTTTGGTGATCAAGGGGGTGGCTCGGAAGTTTGTAAACCTCCTTGATCCGTTGTAAGGCTATGCCGCCTTTAAAAATTTAGAAGCAGTGAGTAAATAAAGATGACTCATCTGAATCGTTTTCGTCAGTGTTTGAAAACACATGGAATATTATTCTGTAAGCCCTTGTGAAACGGTTCGCCTGCTCTTTTAAGTTGCCCCCACTCGGGTCTTTTGAATATGCCTCTACCTCTGAGTCCACATCTTCAGTTGTTGTCAGTCAGGTGGGTATCTTCCAGATGTGGCTTTGCAACGCTTCAAATTGACCTCCGTCGCCCTTAGTAATGTTATCACGTATCACATAATCAGATGTGTTTGGCTACGTAACACAATAGAAGGGTCACGCTCACCAGTTGGTTGGGATCATCCATGTGACTCATCTAGGAAGTGTCACCCTCATTCTTGCTTGCCTCACTTGATCGCAGCAATGTCATCAGATACCTAATTTGTACCTGCTAAGTGATGACATCCTGTTTTTGCTTTGACCATGATTGGCTACTCTATAGACCCATGTGGCCAATCCAGGGTGGAGAAAGCATAAGAAAACTCTGAGAGATGATCAAGCCACTACTGTGGCTGTAGAGGCTGATACGGGAGAGACATGTTTGGTTGTTGTTGTTTTTAAATATTTTTTATTAGTTTTAGCTTACAAAATTTTAAAGACATACCACACAAATTATTACACACATATTCTTATTTGGACTCCCTTCAGCTCCTCTGATAATCCTCCGTCGTGTTCACATCTCTTGCAATTCTTGACTTAATATTGCCTTTACATTTCTTAACAGATCATCTCTCCCTTTCCATTTTTACAATATTTCTTAAATTACTCCTCACAGAACTTCTTGTAAACCTACAAACGTAGTTTGATCATCACAAATACTTTTCAGATATTCTGTAAATTTAGTCCAGTCTTCGGTGAATTTCTGGTCCCGCCGGTTTCGGATCATTCCTGTTAGCTTATCCAATTCTGTGTAGTCCATTAGTTTCATCCTCCATTCTTCCAACGTTGGTAATTTTTCTTGCTTCCATTTTTAGGCCAGTAATATTCTTGCTGCAGTTACCGCATATAAGAAAATTTTACAATCTTTTCTATTTGGGAGAGACATGTTTTGTTGCAGCTAGGGCAGATGAAGGTGTCCGGTTGTGCTGCAGCAGGTGCTCCATGGCACATTTTCTTTCTGCAGTCCTTCCTCCTCTGGTCACTGCTATTATGCATCAGATCACATGAAAACAAGCACTTTTGGGCTTGCATATTTCTCTGCTGCTGACTTCCTACCTTCAATTTCTGCCAGCCTTGCCAGAGATAATTCAGATGTGGCTGTTGCAACATGAGGGCACTGGGGCCATGCCTAAGGAAAGCAGGCGATATCGCTCCCATTTATTGATAACCAGTCGTGAAACCTGCAACACCAGATCCTATAAAACAGCCCTCCCCAGCCCCAGCAAGCAACCAGAGCAGGAAGAGCAGGACTCCTGTACCTTTAATAGTTGCACTAATTTATGGTAGGTGTAGCTTTAAACTCTCGTCCATGTAAGCTGTCAAAAATTATCCATCTAAATGCCTAAACAACACCCTTGGGTCCTGTGCATGTGTTTGCTCTACAAATGGCATTGGCACACCACAACATTTATTGCACCATGGGGTGTGTTTCGCCATGCCCATTTACTGGGTGACATTGTCCAGCTCAGCATCGACAGAAAGGTTGCTGGTTATGGTGGAAGCCAGGTAGACAGAACCAGCTACCACTTCAGGTGTCCCAGGATGTTGTTGGTCTTCGTTAGGCTGATGGTGAGGCCAAACGCCCTGCAGGCTCGGGCGAAACGGTCCATTAGTCTTGGCAGAGCTTCCTCAGAGTACGCTGTCATCTGCAAACAACAACTCTCAGATAAGGACCCGCCGTACTGTCAAAGTCACACTTTACAGATAAAACGAAGAACTCTGGAATACCGACACATTCTCTTATTATGCATGATGCTGAGGCTATCTTAAGATTCACTTTAAAGCTGAAATGAAAAATGTAGAGAGAGAAAGAAAGAAAAATTAAATTCACAAAGCTTTTTTTTTATTTTAAAGGAACCTGCAGGCACCTCCTCTTGTGGAATGTTTAAAAAGTTAACCTATTAAAAGAAAACAGTCAACTTCTTGTGAAGGTTTTGAAGAAATGTGGGTCAGTTTGTTTCATTTGGGAATCTGTTATGTACTGAATAGAATAGGATCCAAATTGCAGCAGTCTGATTGGTCCTAGAACAATAGAATCCAGAATGCAGCAGTCTGATTGGTCCACTGGAGCCACCCAATCCAACTCCAGGTGGAAGTGAATCCGCAGCCTGATTGGCCTACAGGAGAATCCCGGAACTGACCAATCACGTGGGGCCCATTGTGTAAATAATGTATATAAAGCAGACATTTCGGGGGAATTTCGATTCCTCACTACTATGAGCGGAATAAAGAGCTTGAAATCCACACTCGACTCTGAGTATACTTCAGAATCCCTGTGTGCTCCTTTAATTATGTTAAGTTTACAAAACTCAAGAGCATGCTCAGAGTCTCTCAGCAGTTAAGGCTTAACTGATCTGGAACAAGTTGATCCTGTGTATGCACTCTGCCATAATTACATGTCTCGGACCAAGCTCTATGTAAGCCAACTTTTGCAATAATAATAATAATCCCCACAACAGCAAGCTGGGAATGGACTTCAACTCAGTGGATATGCATGCAGATGGTACTAGGTACAATTGCCACTGGCATGTCCAGCTTGAGCTGGGAATGCCCACCCCCCGTCCGAAATCTTGGTGAGCCCTGCCAGTCAGTGTAGACAATATTGATTTAAATGGACCCAAAGTCAAACAGCTTCCTATGCTCCACAAGGTGGTCCACTGGAAGTCAGAGCGTGGTTCATTGGTGGGCTGCCTTCTGCTCACTGCTGTGTTATGCTCAGTGCATTATTTGCCCAAGTTTTCCTTGGGAAACACAAAAGGAGATTCCCTAGATTACTCAATAACCTGTGATTGCCTTATCACCTTCCGTCTGGGGTGGTGAGAAAAGGCCATGATCCATGGTGCTGTGTCACATGATAAACTGCATAGTTTCGTTCCATTTGTGGTTTCCCAGTATGCAAGTATGTTGTCTGGCATCTTGACAATCTTCTTTCATCATTTAGATTTCTTTAAAAATAACAAACAGTTGTCAGGGAAGGCTTGAAAATGTTTGGGTTGCATCTTGGCAGAGGAAGCTCAGGAAACAAGTGCAAAAGGGGTTGTGCAACGTTCACTGTTTTGGGCAGTGGGAAGGGGGGAACTCCAAGGATTTGTGCCGCTCTATGCTGCTGTTCTTAAAAAGCAGAGACATCACCTTGCCAACAAAGGTCCGTATAGTCAAAGCTATGGTTTTCCCAGTAGTGATGTATAGAAGTGAGAGCTGGACCATAAAGAAGGCTGATCACTGATGAATTGATGCTTTTGAATTATGGTGCTGGAGGAGACTCTTGAGAGTCCCATGGACTGCAAGAAGATCAAACCCCATGGACCAGAGCACGCCAGGCACTCCTGTCTTCCACTGCCTCCCGCAGTTTGCTCAAACTCATGCTGGTAGCTTCGAGAACACTGTCCAACCATCTCGTCCTCTGTCATCCCCTTCTCCTTGTGCCCTCCATCTTTCCCAACATCAGGGTCTTTTCCAGGGAGTCTTCTCTTCTCATGAGGTGGCCAAAGTATTGGAGCCTCAGCTTCAGGATCTGTCCTTCTAGTGAGCACTCAGGGCTGATTTCCTTAAGAATGGATACGTTTGATCTTCTTGCAGTTCATCGGACTCTCAAGAGTCTCCTCCAGCATCGTAAGTTGCCCCTATTCCAAACTTGGTTCAGAGGCTCCTACTGCCAGCTGAGAGAGCTGGTGAGCATGGACCAAGCTGGGCCCTAGGCCACATGACTCAGTCTCTCCTTGTCCCATCCCACTCCCAAAATGCTTCTTTTGGGGGGGATTTATGCTGGTGTAAATCATGCTGACGTAAGATTTTCTGGCAAAATGCTGAGCTGGGGTGATGGACTTACACCAGCATAGCAGACCTTTCAAGTGTCCTTATTTCCCAGGGACAGTCCTGAATTTACAGAAGCTGTCCCAGTTTCTGATTTGATCCCAGAATGTCCTGCTTTTCCTTAATGGTAAAGGTAAAGGGACCTCTGACCATTGGGTCCAGTCGTGGCCGACTCTGGGGTTGCGGCGCTCATCTCGCTTTACTGGCCGAGGGAGCCGGCGTACAGCTTCCGGGTCATGTGGCCAGCATGACTAAGCCGCTTCTGGCGAACCAGAGCAGCGCACGGAAATGCTGTTTACCTTCCTGCCGGAGCGGTACCTATTTATCTACTTGCACTTTGACGTGCTTTCAAACTGCTAGGTTGGCAGGAGCAGGGACCGAGCAATGGGAGCTCACCCCGACCTTCTGATCTGCAAGTCCTAGGCTCTGTGGTTTAACCCACAGCCCCACCCGCTTTTCCTTAGGAAATCCCTATTTTCATCGGAGAAATGTTGAAGGGTTTTATGTACTGAGCTAGGATCCTAGAACAATAGGCAGGTAGAATCCTAGAATGCAGCAACCAGATTGGCCTGCAGGAGCAGCCCAATCAGGCCCCAGGAGGAAGTTAATCAGCCTATTGGGTCAGGAGGATCCTAGAATGCAACAACAGTCCAATCAGGCTCCAGGAGGGAAGTAGAGTCAGCCAATCAAACGGGACCCATTGTGTAAATAATGTACATAAAGCCTGAGGTTTGGGGGGTGGGTAGCGGCGAAGGGATTCAGTTTGCTCAGCACATAACAAAGGGTATGGCATAGGTCCTCCAGTTAGGATTGCTCTGTTATAATATCTGAATGGTTATGGGTTATTCCCCCATCCCTGATTTACACGGATTGCAGAGCAATTGTACATGTGAAAACCAGCTCCTGGAAGGGCTTCTCTGAAAGACGAACATCTCCTTGCATGGAGATGCAGCGATAGGGAAAAGATGTCAGATGGCTATTGGTGTCACACCAGTAACTAAGAACCCAGGAATCCTGCTGGATATTCAAAAACACCTGAGGCAAGCCACACAACCTCAGAGGACTCATTTGATAGGTAGATTTTTATAAAATGAGCCACCATCTAACTGATTGCACCTCTCACAAGGCTCTGAGTCGCAAACCTCAACTGACTTTTAACAAGCTCTAGCAAACCTCTGGGAGATCAGGAGGCACCGTTGCCAGTCGCTGGGGGGAATTAACATCATCAATTATCTTGCTAATTGCTCCCCCACAATGCAGGTGCCCTTTTTCCCAAGGCACTGGCCCTCTTACCTCACCTTATCAGAAATCAAAGAGGCACAGGTAAGCCGTGATCATGGGAGGGAGAATTCTTGCATCTCTGCTTGTGTTGTGATTATGCAACGGGGACGTCCCAGAAAGCCTGACATTTCTGGTCTTACCGGAATGTCGCAGCTGAAACACCGGGCCTTACATAAGGGCCTGTGAGAGTGCGTCACCTGTTCCACAAAAGACCAATGTTGAGAGGAAAGTGAGTCAGGGCAGCTGACAGAAAGGGGAGCCAGGAACCAAGGGGACAGAGCACTTGGGGTGGCAGAGCTAAATAATAAAAACGAAACATGCGCCATTGTTCATAAAGCTCTTCCTGTCTGGGTGTCCGCCACCTGCCCAGATTTTAACTTGTCTGAATTAATTTTAAGATGTTTTTTAATTAATTGATGTCTGTTTTTATGCATATTGTGTTGCTTTTATGATGTTAGCCGCTCTGAGCCCGGCCTCAGCTGGGGAGGGCGGGCTACAAATAAAATTTTATTAGTAGTAGTAGTAGTAATAGTATAATAAATTTTATTTATACACCGCCCTCCCCAGCCAAGACCGGGCTCAGGGCGGCTAACAACCAATAATAAAACAAGTTGATTGAAATACAACTTAAAAACAAGATTAAAATACAACATTAAAACATTAAAATGCAGCCTCATCACAGGAGGAGAAAGGAAAAAGAAAAAAAGAGGGGGAGGGAGTCAAATTGACTCCAAGCCAAAGGCCAGGCGGAACAACTCTGTGTTACAGACCCTGCGGAAAGAAATCAGATCCCGCAGGGCCCTGGTCTCATGAGACAGAGCCAGTGTAGAAAAGGCCCTGGCTCTGGTTGAGGCTAATTTAACTTCCTTAGGGCTTGGGACCTCTTGGGTGTTGCTATTTATGGACCTTAAGGTCCTCCGTGGGGCATACTGGGAGAGGCGGTCCCGTAGGTATGAGGGTCCTATTATTGTTGTTGTTGTTTCCTATTGTTGTTGTTGTTGTTGTTGTTGTTGTGGACCCAGTGGGCAGCCAGAACTGCCCAGGAAGAGGCTGCAAGCTGCAGTCAACATCCTCAGTTATTTGTATGTTGCCTTTCCACTGGAAACCAATCTCAAGGCGGCTCCCAGCACTACAAACTCTACCTAATTCACCAGCCCCTCTTTACCCTGCCCTCTGACACTTGAGATGTACATCTTTTAGGAGCCACCCTATACTTGTGACTGCAATTTGTTGAAGCCGATTTACATGTTGTCTTCTAAATTGTCGCCGCATGCCCTGGGACCTTAGGGCAAAGGGCGTGTAGGAAATTAATCACAACAACAACAGTGACAAGACGAGTCGAAAAGGGAAAAAGCCGTAAACAACAGGCTAGTGGAAACCTCTCGTATTAATAAATATTCAGTAAAATCAGGCAGTCCACCGCTGGAAAGCCTAATGATAAAAATACATAATCCGGAGAGCAGCAAAAAAATAAATTAATTAAAAATGCATCCCTAAAACTTAATATTGATCCCAGGAAAAAGCCCCTAAAGTAAATAGCCCCATGATGGTACCCTGAATGGTAGCAATATTTGTAGGTGGAGTCAGTCAAGGCCACACCCTCCCAGTCCCAGGCCACAAAGCAGGGAGCAGGTCACAGCAAAAAAAGTCTCTGACACCTTTGTCAGGATCTGAGCACAAAAGCATATTCCCCTCCTGTGGTTTCCAGCAATTGGAATCGGAAACATTACATTTAGGGAAGTATTTTTATGTTTGATCTTTTATTGTGTTTTTAATATCCTGTTGGAAGCAGCCCAGAGTGGCTGGGGAGGCCCGGCCAGATGGGTGGGGTATAAGTAATAAATTATTATTATTATTATTATTATTATTATTATTATTATTATTATTATATTACTGTCTTTAGCTTTGGAGGCAGTGCACAGCCATAAATGCCAGTAGCCATTGATAACCCCCTCCTCCATGAATTTGCCTTAGTTTTTAGAAAGCCATCTCAGTTGGTGACCATTGCTGCCTCCTGTGGAAGTGAGTTCCATAGTTTAACTGTGTGACAAAGTACTTCCTTTTCTTTCTACAGAAGCTTCTAACATTCAGCTTCATGGGATGCGTGTGAGTTCGATCATTAGGAGATGGTGTTGACCTTTAAAGCCCTAAATGGCCTCGGTCCAGTATACCTGAAGGAGCATCTCCACGCCCATCATTCAGCCCAGACACTGAGGTCCAGAGCCGAGGGCCTTCTGGCGGTTCCCTCCCTGCGAGAAGCGAGGTTACAGGGAACCAGGCAGAGGGCCTTCTCGGTGGTGGCACCAGCCCTGTGGAACGCCCTCCCATCAGATGTCAAAGAGATAAACAACTACCAGACATTTAGAAAACATCTGAAGGCAGCCCTGTTCAGGGAAGTTTTTAATGTGTGACATTTTGATGTATTTTTAATCTTTAGTTGGAAGCCGCCCAGAGTGGCTGGGGAAAACTAGTCAGATGGGCGGGGTACAAATAATAAATTATTATTATTATTATTATTATTATTATTATTATTAGGATAGAGGGAGAAGAAATTTTCTCTCACCTCTTTCTCCATGCCTGCATACTTTTATGAACGTCCGTCTTGTGTCATCTCTTACCTCTTTTCTCCACACTAAAAAGCCCAAAACTTTGGCCTTCCATTGCCATTTTCATCACAGTTGCTACCATTTAAAGAAGTGCATAGGAATACAGGAACCTGCCTATACTGAGTCAGGTCATTGGTCCATCTAGCTCAGTATTGTCTACACTGATTGGCAGCGGCTCCTCCAGGATTAACAGACAGGGAGCCTCTCCCAAGCCTACCTGGAGATGCTGGGGATTGAACCTGAGGCCTTCGGCTTGCAAGGCAGACGCTCTAGCACTGAGCTAACCCCAATTCCCTGGTCCTGAATGAGGTAACTGTGCCCTTGAAGGACCAGGTGCGCAGCCTGGGAGTCATTTTGGACTCACAGCTGTCCATGGAGGTGCAGGTCAATTTTGTGTCCAGGGCAGCTGTTTATCAGCTCCATCTGGTACGCAGGCTGAGACCCTACCTGCCTGTGGACTGTCTCAACAGAGTGGTGCATGCTCTGGTTATCTCTCACTTGGACTTCTGCAATGTGCTCTACGTGGGGCTACTTTTGAAGGTGACCCGGAAACTACAACTAATCCAGAATGTGGCAGCTAGACTAGTGACTGGGAGCGGCCACCGAAACCATATAACACCGGTCCTGAAAGACCTACATTGGCTCCCGGTACGTTTCCGAGCACAATTCAAAGTGTTGGTGCTGACCTTTAAAGCCCTAAACAGCCTCAGTCCAGTATATCTGAAGGAGCGTCTCCACCCCCATCATTCTGCCCGGACACTGAGGTCCAGCTCCGAGGGCCTTCTGGCGGTTCCCTCATTGTGAGAAGCAAAGCTACAGGGAACCAGGCAGAGGGCCTTCTCGGTAGTGGCGCCCACCCTGTGGAACGCCCTCCCATCAGATGTCAAAGAGAACAACAACTACCCGACTTTTAGACGACATCTGAAGGCAGCCCTGTTTAGGAAAGCTTTTAATGTTTGAGGCATTACTGTATTTTAATATTGTGCTGGAAGCCGCCCAGAGTAGCTGGGGAAGCCCAGCCAGATGGGCGGGGTATAAATAATAAATTATTATTATTATATTATTATAACCCTTCCCTGTTCTGTTGGATGCAGTGGGATTTACTTCTGAGTAAAGCATGCCTTGTTAGAATTGGGTTGCTGCATATAGCAGCAACAACATCATTTCCCACTTAGTCTTAGTCCTTAAAAGGTAAAGGTAAAGGTACCCCTGCCCGTACGGGCCAGTCTTGACAGACTCTAGGGTTGTGCGCTCATCTCACTCTAGAGGCCGGGAGCCAGCGCTGTCCGCAGACACTTCCGGGTCACGTGGCCAGCGTGACGACGCTGCTCCGGCAAGCCAGCACCAGCGCAGCACACAGAACGCCGTTTACCTTCCCGCTATTAAGCGGTACCTATTTATCTACTTGCATTTAGGGGTGCTTTCGAACTGCTAGGTGGGCAGGAGCTGGGACCGAACGATGGGAGCTCACCCCGCCACGGGGATTTGAACCACCGACCATGCGATTGGCAAGTCCTAGGCGCTGAGGTTTTACCCACAGCGCCACCCGCGTCCCAGTCTTAGTCCTTACCCCATCCAATTTATTTTGCGTTGCTATTTTAAAGATACTGCAGTATTGCGCTGTCTCCTTCAGAATCTCCAGTGCTCCAGGGCAGTGCAGTCTTCCGAGCACTATTTGAGCTACAATACATCCTCCTCTGTAAATTAGGGTTTCCATTTCCTCCCCCCACCCCAATCTTTCAATAAAGTTGTCAACAATTAAAATTCTGGGCTGGTCATTTCAGAGCCTCAGTGTCTCCGCCTATAAAATGGGCGATAAAACTATCGCCCGAGCGTGCCAGGAAAGTTAATTAGCTGATGTGCAGACGGACAGAGACAGAAATAGCTGTGAGTTATTATTATGGTTGCTGCCTCTGAAGTGAGCTCAAGGGATAGCAAGGGTACTGATCCCTTTCGTGGCATTCCACAGACGTGATACACGAGGGAAGCATTTCCGTCCTGGAAGGAACTAAACAACTTAAGAGGAAGTTTGAAAGCTGCAAATCGGGTTCCTTTGAAAACAATGATCCATGCAAGGTGCATCATCAGAGACATAGAAATGACAACATTCTTATGCTTATTATTGATGGTTGTGAAGCTTAGTGAAAGCCAGGGCATTCCAGGGATCTGCACCCAGACAAACGCAACCCCTTTCCGTATTGCACATCAGAAGAGCCCTGCTGGGAACCTAAGGGTCATCTAGTCCAACCCCCTGCAATGCAGGGATCTTTTGCTCAATGTGGCTCTACCAAGATGGAGCATGTGAATCCCAAACTGCAGTGTGCAGAACTCAAAGAGCGATATTAAGACTCAAGTAATTATAATAAGTGGTAGTAGTCATGTTACTGAATTGCAGATGGGGAAATGCAGGTCTCTGTCCCAAGGACAATACAATTTATATATCACCAATAAGGTGGGATGGTGGGGTGAGGCAAAGTTTTCAAAAAGATATATGGGTACAAAGTGCACTTAGGTCTAGTTTCAGTTGTGGGTGATGACTAGCTGATGACTTAATGCACAAATTTGAGGTGGGATATAATACTTGTATTATCATTTATTCTTCCCTTCCCTTTCATAGAAATACAGTGGTACCTCGGGTTAAGTACTTAATTCGTTCCGGAGATCCGTACTTAACCTGAAACTGTTCTTAACCTGAAGCACCACTTTAGCTAATGGGGCCTCCTGCTGCTGCCGCGCCGCCGGAGCACGATTTCTGTTCTCATCCTGAAGCAAAGTTCTTAACCTGAAGCACTATTTCTGGGTTAGCAGAGGCTGTAACCTGAAGCGTATGTAACCTGAAGTGTATGTAACCTGAGGTACCACTGTAGCTTCAATTGCTAAATCTTGTCACTTTCACTGTGTATTGTCTGTACTGGGTTTGAAACTGTTCTGACATGTGACATTGTTTTTAATGATTTGCACAGATGGAGTGGTTTTTACTTGTTTATACTGCATATATGGAATGGTTTAAATCATTTACACGCATTGAATTTTTTATTATATGGGATTGCTTTAAAAGGTGGAATTGTTTGTGCATTTATGGGATTGTTTTCATTTTCTTTATTGTTGGTGTTTCTGCGGGGAAATCGCTTTGAGATATTTTATGGGAAGTGAAATAAAATAAGTTTGTTTTTTTATTATAAAAAAATCACCCTTCTCTCTCTTATGAAGAAGAGAGAATTTGCCATCTCCTTTCATTATATTTCAAATATCTTAGGTTCCACCTTCTTTTTGTAATGTTAAGTTGTTTTAAACAGTGTTTTTAATATTGTGTATTATTGTGTTTTAATGTTCATGTTGTGTTATAACCCACCCTGAGACCTAGGGCAGGGTAATAACTTGTAATAACAATAAAAATAATAATAGCCTCTGACATTGCAGCACTCCTTTCTCTGCACTTCCTGTTTCTTCTCTCCAAACTCTCTTTTCTGCTTTGAATTCTTTCTTTCCCTGTGTTTATATACCACCATTTAACAGCATCAGCAGCTATTGATGCTATTTTAAAATGGAACATTCTATTCATGCATCTCGTGTGGCACACCTGGTTTAGCCCATGAGCTATTTTTGTTTGATGAAATGCACCTCGCCTTTGTGAGTGAGAGCTCCGCACATAAACAATAAGGAACAAGAATTCTAATGAAGCCAGTGAAGGTGTTTGAAGAGGGGGTTCATAGGAGAGATGGAGAGATCTCTGGGTAATATCTTCTTGTATCATAGGTAAAGGCAAAGGGACTCCTGACCATTAGGTCCAGTCATGGCTGACTCTGGGGTTGCGGCGCTCATCTCGCTCTATAGGCCAAGGGAGCCGGCATACAGCTTCCGGGTCATGTGGCCAGCATGCCTAAGCAGCTTCTGGCAAACCAGAGCAGCGCACGGAAATGCTGTTTACCTTCCTGCCGGAGCGGTACCTATTAATCTACTTGCACTTTGACGTGCTTTTGAACTGCTAGGTGGGCAGGAGCAGGGACCGAGCAACGGGAGCTCACCCCGTCACGGGGATTTGAACTGCCGACCTTCTGATCATAAAAAAGCTTTAATCAAATGTATGAACTGCAAGAAGATCAAACCTATCCATTCTGAAGGAAATCAGCCCTGAGTGCCCACTGGAAGGACAGATCCTGAAGCTGAGGCTCCAATACTTTGGCCACCTCATGAGAAGAGAAGACTCCCTGGAAAAGACCCTAATGCTGGGAAAGATGGAGGGCACAAGGAGAAGGGGACGGCAGAGGACGAAAGCTACCAGCATGAGTTTGACCAAACTGCGGGAGGCAGTGGAAGACAGGAGTGCCTGGCGTGCTCTGGTCCATGGGGTCACGAAGAGTCGGACACGACTAAACAACAACAACAACAATGCTTTTTTAAATTAAAGGTTCATGTAGAAGATGACTCCTGGACTCAAATCCCTATCATCCTATGGCTATACTGGTTGGGGATTATGGGAGTTGGAGTCCAACAACATCTGGACACCACTGCATTGGCTACTCCTATCCTAAGCCCTGTCTTAGGTTCCTTCCAGACTGTCATCATTTTTTGTGCAGATCTCATCCATTCAGGTAGATGCTGGGAGATGTCCTTCATGCAATAAAGCACACCTTCATTACCCATTCAGAACCAGGGAGTCCCCCACACCCGCCCACCCCTTCTCCTCCCAAAACAGTACTTCTGTCTTGTCAGAGTTCAACCTCAATCTTTTACATTCTACTCATGTAAAAACACCTCTGGCCCCAACTGTTCCCCTACAAAAAAATTAACTGCACACCCACTGGAGATAATCATCATGATGATAATCACCATATAACATCTGCACACATTTTGTGCCAAGAAATGAGGAGAAATTGCCTTAATTCATCTGCAATGAGCTTCCTCCATTCTCCTCTTAATACTGAAGCAAACTGCAGCCAGGGCTTATTAATTTAGTAATTGTCCTGTATCTCAAACACAGATTTCTGTTCCCCCGGCTTCATACCATGTTCTCTATCGTAAACATATTTTTCTGCCTTTAAAAAAGAACGAGGAAGAGTTCTGTGTCATCTGAAAGCTCACATGCCACAGCCATAATTTGTGATTGCTACTTATAAAGGTGGTGGTTGTTTTACTGTCCCTGAACAATTTCCAGGATGTCAAATTCTGGTCCGGCTATCACACAACACATTTCCAAGCCTAGCAGAATATGCACCTTGCAGTTTACACCCTCTGTTTTGGATGGTAAAAACTGCCAATGCCCAACTCACCTTACAAATATAATCAAACGACACACAGCATGTTCAACAGATTTTGCCTCTGCAACATCATGCTGCAGTTTTGCTTCACCGCCCCCTCAAAGGCATCCCCCAAGAAGAAGGAAAATAATTCCTCCTTCGAGCCGGAATCGAACCAGCGACCTAAGGATGACTACAGTAGTACTCTACAGTCCTCCGCTCTACCAGCTGAGCTATCGAAGGGGTGATGGGAACACTCTCTGAGTCATTCCTTTTCCCTTCCAGTTTGTGGTTTGCCTAACCCTTACAGCACATGTAGCTCTTCAGTTTAATAATCTGGCCTTGACTCATTTCCTTTAGAATTCCATGTTAATCAACAGCTTCCATTACGAAAAGAAAAAAGGAATTGCCCCAAGGTTTCGCTGTTGTCTTGCGTGTAAGGTTTTGTTTCTGGCCATGCTAATAACAGGTCACACATGATCCCAGGCATGTACACACACACAAATGCAAACACAGCCCCCTTCCTCACCTCATCAGCTGAGGAAGAAGGGTAGAGGCCCCCAATTCTTCAGACTATCAATATGGTGAGTGGAGAGGTGTGACCCCCCCCCCATAGTGATGGGCTGGGGAAATGAGGTTTAACCGTCTCTGCTCAGCTCAGCCCCACAATGGGAATGAAAAGTGTGCTGTCTCCACTTGCCTCTGCATTATTGTTTGTTTTTCCACTGGCAGCTCCTCCCCCAACAGAAAATCGGGTCAGTGACCAGTGGGCAACTGGGGAAAGGTCAGTGGCTCCCAGTATGTTTCCTAGCACAATTCAAAGTGTTGGTGCTGACCTTTAAATCCCTAAACGGCCTCAGCCCAGTATACCTCAAGGAGTGTCTCCACCCCCATCGTTCTGCCCGGACACTGAGGTCCAGCGCCGAGGGCCTTCTGGCGGTTCCCTCACTGTGAGAAGCCAAGTTACAGGGAACCAGGCAGAGGGCCTTCTTGGTAGTAGCGCCCGCCCTGTGGAACGCCCTCCCATCAGATGTCAAGGAAATAAGCAGCTATCTGACAGGGCAGCCCTGTTTAGGGAAATTTTTAATGTTTGATGTTTTATAGTGATTTTAATATTTTGTTGGGAACCAGATAAATAAATTATTATTATTATTATTATTAGCCTTCAGACTGGCACCCCTCCTTTGTCCCCTAATGTGGTGGGGCAGTCAATCCCACTATGAAACTCCTCAGTATTATACTTATTAACATTATTGCATTATTATTATTATTATTATTAATTTATATAGTAATAAAAGCATACCTTCATCCAAAAAAGGAATGAAGAAAGGAAGGGGATCCAAAATTGCGTCATCTCAAATATGGTTCATGGTCTCTGAATCCAAAGTTATCCTCTAGCATCTTTGCACATGTAGGTCTGCATATGCAGTCTGTATGTCCACATACAGATTACCAGGGTGTTGTCTTCGATAAGACGCCTTTTCAAATAGTGATAAGACATTAAGGCCAGCAATTCACCAGACAAACGAAGGCTTGGACTTCTTGTTGCAGAACTGCAGGGACCACTATCAGGGCCCTCCGCCGTTGGCCAACTGTTAACTTCCAAAGTGCAGGACCGGCGTTGGTGCAACAACTCTGGGAAGACGCTCCTTGCTTGGCTTTGCTGATCCAGTTCCGGATTCTGCTGGACAATATCCCCTGCCAGCCCAGACCATCCTGCAAAACCCATCCTGTTCCTGCTGGACATAGAATCATAGACTTGCACAGCTGGAAAGGGACCTCAAGGGTCCAACCCCTTGCTATGCAGGAATCACAGCTGAAGAACCCCTGGCTGATGGCACAGCCAACCTCTCTTTCATCTCTGTGGCTAGCCTTGCCCTCTGGTTCATTCCCTCTTCTAGTCTATGGCAACTGTCCATCAACTTGGGGTTGGCCAACGTGAAGATCTATGCAGGTCCTCCTCCTGATAAAAATGCAGATGTCTTGAACTGCACGTCCTCCTCCAGCCCACGTTGCAACATGATGCTCTTTGATTATATTATCATGTTACAGAATCAAGGTCAGCCCTCCAGGTCTTGATTACACAGGTCTGCTGAGACAAGCCCAAGGCAGTGGACTGCCGGGCCGATACTGCATTGCTTCTCGTGGATCTGCAATAGCCACACTGCTGTTTCTGATGCAATACATTCAGAGTCTCCTTCAGGGAGACGAGCCTTGGGGCGGCAGCCTGCAGCCCGAAGCACGGGGCGCCCTCCGGAGGGCGCCCCGTGCTTCGGGCAGGTGTGCGCAAGGCTTGGGGCGGCAGCCACGGCTGGGGGAGGAAATATTTTTTTTTTATTCATTCCCCCCCAAAAAAACACGAGGTGCGTCCTATGGGCCGGTGCGCCCTATAGGACGAAAAATACGGTACATCAGGAACAAGGATGGGAGGAGACCAACAGCGCCTCCTATTGGCCAAGAAACCACCGTAGAGGTGGCATTGGGGAGGGGGCAGATCTGGTCTCCAAGGAGTGCACCGCAGCTGTTGCTGTCACCAGTGGGCGATGTGCTCCTTGGAGGCTGAATCTGTTGCCCCTGTGGATCCTGCCACCTGAAGCAGTTGCCTCACCTTGTTTCATTGTTGGATCGGCCTTGGCCATAAGCTCTACGAAATCGCGACCAACTTTTGACCTGGAAAACGGTGTTAGGCTCCCAGCACCAAGCACCGATCTTTCCGCACCAGCAAATTAAGGTGGGCATTGCTATAATGAGGCTGTTATTGGAGCGATACTGGAAAATCTATAAAAAATGTATTTTTTAAAAAAATTAAGAGCTGTGAGAAAGATCAGGACAAGTGATGCCTTGGGGGAAAAGGTGGGCTGAGCACAGCAATTAATGGTTGCAATTTGCTTACCTCCCAGCAAAGCGCTTAATTACTCCCAGCCTGCACCTTCTGCTAATCTGCTGGAAAGGGCAATTTTCTAGGATTACACATATTTGGGCTGAGACAACCTTTTGCTTCCCATAATGAGCACAACAGCACACGTAATTAGGAAACTCTGTAAGCAGGGAACCAACGGTACTTTCCTCCGTTGGGTGATTGCATTAATTCTTTGGCCAAATAAGGAAGCTTTCGAACCTTAGCATCACTGGATTGTTGCCAAAGGAGCTCTACTCAGAGTAAACCCATTAAAAGGAGTGGGTGAAATCAGGGCTGGATTTTGGGTTTGATAAGGCCCTAAACTACAGAAGGTAATGGGGCCCTTTATATGCCCAGCTGTTCTTTGTCAACAACAAATTGTCGCTGTTTTTTGTGTTGAATGTATGCTATGTAGTAATTTGTGGACCTAATAGGTATCTAAAGCCATTTGCACATAACAAAACATGTGTTTTATCAAAGTATTTTGGAAATGTACATCTAGTTTTTCCCCCTTTAATTTTTCTTTTGGCCCCCAAGAGACCACAACACCTTGGGTAAAGGCTGTTCTCCAACTGGAGTGCTCTCAGGCCAGTGTTTCCCAGTTGTCGGTGTTTATGCTATTTTTTCTTTTAGATTTCCCTTGAGTCTTTAAACTTCTTTTGTTGACCACCAGCATTACGCTTTCCATTCTTAAGTTTGGAATAGAGTAGTTGCTTTGGAAGACGATCATCAGGCGTCCGAACAACATGACCGGTTCAACGAAGTTGATGTTGAAGAATCATTGCTTCGACACTGGTGATCTTTGCTTCTTCTAGCACACTGGTATTAGTTTGCCCGTCTTCCAAAGTGATGTTGAATCTGGTCCAGTGAAGCTAAATTAGTCATGTCCAGGGCTTTTCTTCAGCCAGAAATCACAGGAACTGAGTTCTGGCACCTGCCAGGTAGGTGCCATTGCCATGATAAGAGAACAAGGGAGGCATTCATGGAGAGTTCCAGAACCTCTTTTTCTAGAAAAATAGCACTGGTCATCCTTATTAACTTCAGTGGGTCTCGTCTGAGCAGGACTAGCACTCGATATAACCTACTCCTTCTAATAACTAATTCAGGTGTGGAGTGCCAAGGTAGGAGGACACTTTGCATTGTAAGCATCTGAGCAAGATCATTGGTCCATCTAGCTCCATATTGCTTTCAGGTGGGGGTTTCTTCCAGTCCTACCTGGAGATGCTGGGGATTGAACCTGGGACTCAAGAAGATGCTCTACCACTGAGCTATATCCCATCTCCAAACCCTACAGGGTATGGGTCAATGTTCCATCACTGTGTTGACATCTGCTGGTAGATTCAATGCAGAGCAAGGGGTGGGGACAACAGTCCCCTTTCAATCCATTGGCATCAGACGTCCTTTTCAGTAACATGAGCCAGAATATCAAATGCATTTTCTCCCTACAGCCCTCCCAGGCCTTTTGCTGCCTGAGGCAGACAGCAGTATAGGGTTTCCTTAACTCCCCCAATTCCAATACAGAAGCTCACCCTATTGGCAACTGAATCTTAGGCTTGTTGTTGTTGAGTCGTTTAGTCGTGTCTGACTCTTCGTGACCCATGGACCAGAGCACCCCAGGCACTCCTGTCTTCCACTGCCCCCCGCAGTTTGGTCAAACTCATGCTGGTAGCTTTGAGAACATTGTCCAACCATCTCGTCCTCTGTCGTCCCCTTCTCCTTGTGCCCTCCATCTTTCCCAACATCAGAGTCTTTTCCAGGGAGTCTTCTCTTCTCATGAGGTGGCCAAAGTATTGGAGCCTCAGCTTCAGGATCTGTCCTTCCAGTGAGCACTCAGGGCTGATTTCCTTAAGAATGGATAGGTTTGATCTTCTTGCAGTCCATGGGACTCTCAAGAGTCTCCTCCAGCGCCATAATTCAAAAGCATCAATTCTTCGGCGATCAGCCTTCTTTATGGTCCAGCTCTCACTTCCATACATCACTACTGGGAAAATCATAGCTTTAACTATACGGGCCTTTGTTGGCAAGGTGATTTCTCTGCTTTTTAAGATGCTTTTCTCCCAAGAAGCAGGCGCCTTTTAATTTTGTGACTGCTATCACCATCTTCCCCCAAAGAACCCTGAGAACTGCTGGACCTAAAATTCCCCAGTGCTCATCACAAACTGCAGTCCCCAAGATTCTTTAGGGGAAGCAACATGCTTTAAATATACAGTGCCACTTAATTCAGCACTGTAGCTGGGGCAGCATCCTCCATTGTACCAGAGGGAAGGAGGCTAGTTTAGGGGCCACAGGGCAGGCCATGCGGCAAACACACGTGGCTCTGTCCTCCAACACCTCACTGCCTCTCCCTGCCCCCTGGGACCTGCCGCCTGAGGCAGCTGCCTCCCTCTACCTAATTGCAGGGCCGGCCCCGAATTTTCAAAACACGTCTAGCTGGAGGAAGTCAAAGTGTGAGCACCGCTCCCCTGCTGAAAGAAGGATGAACATGCCTCTGGATGTCTGCGTCATTCAAGGGAGAGAAATGCCAGCTCACTCACATTACAAGAGCATAATCTGAGAATACTCAGCAGGCAGGAATCTTCCAAGATTCCTGAGCCACTGCCTGCTCCCAGGCTTTCAGAGCCTGGCTCAGCTCCCATGCAAATCCTTTCTTCAGCCACTATATAACCATATAGGGCTGTTCCATGAATTGCTGAAGTTCTAGCTCCCAATGGGTGAAATCCTGACCCAAAGTGATCTCATTGAACTCCACTTGAGTTGTTTCGTTGGAACTGGCAGTTCATCCAGCCTGTGTGTGTGTGTGAATAACACTTAAGAAGGCTCAGCAAGCGCAACTGAAACAAGCAGTGGCTTTGGGGATAGGGCGAGCTGTGCGGAGCAATCAATGATGCCTCATTAATTGAGTCAGTGCAGCATAGTGGTTAGAGAGTCAGACTGGGGCCTAGGAGACCAGGGTTCGAATCCTTACTTGGCCATGAAGCTCAGTGGGTGGCCCTGGGCCAGTCACCGTCTCTCAGCCTAACCTACCTCACAGGATTGTTGTGAGGCGAACAAAGGGAGGATGAAATTGTGTACACCGCCTTAAGCTCCTTGGGTGAAAAGTTTGTGGTGCCATACATTTAAACCACCATCACAATAAATAAAACCTATCAAGAAAACACTGAGAGCGAGAAAGGGGGAAAACAAGGAAAACAACAGTCCCCCAAACAGAATCATAGAATTGGAAGGAGCCAAGGGTCATCTAGTACAACCCCTGCAATGAAGGAATCACAGCCAAAGCATCCATGACAGACGGCCACCCAACCTCTGCTTAAAAACCTCCGAGGAAGGAGAGTCCACAACCTCGGGAAGCAGACTGTTCTACTGTCAAACAGCCCCTACTGTCAGAATCCACACACACACACACACACACACAATGTTTAGGTTGGATCTAAGGTGTAGAAAATGTATTTCCTGACTGATGGGGGTAATGGCAAGGTTTATTCCCTGTCTGCTCAAAACCCTTGAGGTTCAAGAATATTTGTGTCTCACCCATCTCACATACACAGCTATGTTCCTGATGGATCAGATCGCCCGCTACCAGGATCCCAGGCCAGAGGAATGTCCTCAGCAAAACAGAATAGTTGCTTATCCCCCAAGGAATGGGTCCCTTCTAATGGATTGTGTCCCTCGTCCTCAGGGGCACACCCTCCTTCTCTGAGACCCTCCTTCTTCTCCATGGCAGCAGGATGGCTATCATCCTGGGAGCGGGACACAGCTGTAACATCCCTAAAAGACTTTGTCCGCCAAACTCATGAACATCTGTTGAAGCTGGTGAGCATGGCTAACAGTGGCTACCAACCAGCTGCTATGTTCTGCCTCCAGTATGTTCTGAGAGCCAGTGTGGTGTAGTGGTTAAGAGTGGTAGACTCGTAATCTGCTGAACTGGGTTCGCGTCTCCGCTCCTCCACATGCAGCTGCTGGGTGACCTTGGGCTAGTCACACTTCTCTGAAGTCTCTCAGCCCCACTCACCTCACAGAGTGTTTGTTGTGGGGGAGGAAGGGAAAGGAGAATGTTAGCCGCTTTGAGACTCCTTAAAGGGAGTGAAAGGCGGGATATCAAATCCAAACTCTTCTTCTTCTTCTTCTTCTCCACTGTCAGAGAGGCAGTAGGCCTCTGAATGCCAGTGACTGGCAACTACAAGTGGGCAGAGTGCTGTTGCTTTCATGTCCAGCTTGCAAGCCTCCCATAGGCAACTGGCCGGCCACTGTGAGAACAAGATGCTGTTCCAGATGGGCAACTGGCCTGATCCTGCAGGGGCTTGCATTATGTCCTTAACTTCTCCGCCTCTCTCAGCTTGACCAACTCATCCATTGGGCTGGATGGTTTATCTGATTGGAGACAGTCAGCAATGATCAGAGGAGGAATGACCGCCAGGAGGAGGAGGAGCACAAAGAGAAGATGAACCATGGTGCATCTGCAGTAGCACAACTGGACGCCTTCATCTGCCCCAGATGCAACAAAACATGTCTCTCCTGTATCAGTCTCAGCAGCTACAACAGGCACTATAATTCTCCAATCGTTTGACTTTTCCATTGTCTCCGGAGGCAGGCGGGTGCCAACCAATACCTGTACCATAAACAAATAAGTATGATATCTGTTCCCACTCACAGCCCTGCGATCCTTTCCCAGGCTCTCAGAGCTTGGGCTGCTTTGCATTTTTTTGGCTCCTGGGAAAGAGAAGGGCGACGTGAACTTCAGCAAGAAAGAAAAGGTGGAGCGCAGCTCTGGCGAGCGTCCAACTATTCCCCTTCCCAACAGAAAAATCCATTCTGTTGCATTCAAAACATACTATTGGCAGAACAAACAGCACACACCACTGCCAAAATAGCTCAGAGGAAACACGAGAATTTGACAAGAGAAAAGACCCAACCTTGGGTGGGGTTTGTTTGCCTGCTGTTGCTGTCAAATATTTCTAAAGTGGTGTTTGGTTTCAGGTGGCACAGTAGGCCTCGGTCACAGCTGTTTTCCTTTCTGGGCAAATCAGGTACATTTCTTTTTTTCTGCCCATGACTGAGACATCTTTATCAGGGTCCACACACCTTGTACTCTGGCTTCCCTAACCTGGAATAACTGCCTACCACCACCCGTGTTCTCCATGCCACAACCTCCAGCATTTCACAAACAAAAATAGGTACATACGCCCTTATTCTTGCAAACCAAGGATCCCTCAGTGGGCCCCGTGGGTCACCTCCCCCCACGATTGAGGGGGCCAGGGGCCACACAATGTCAGCATGCCATGCAAGCACATCTTGCAGGTTGCTTGCATGAAGTCAGCCTGCCCCGCTGCTGTTGGCCCCATGGCATGCTGACATGTTGTGTGGATTGTTACTTTTTGTGATATATTAATACCATATTGGCCCGAATATAAGTCGCACTCTTCCCCCCCCCCCCCAAATTCCGACTGTGAGAAGTTAAAGTGCGGCTTATATTCGCGGCCTTACAAAATTTGGCTTTTACAATAACGCTGTAGGATTTTCTTCTACATTTGCCATTTACGGCTGTGAGTGCCTGTGGAATTTTAAGGGAGCGGCTTATATTTGGGTATTGTCTTTTTTCCTCCTCCCCCCCCCCCGAATTTTAAAGGTAAGGCTTATTTGCGGGTGCGGCTTATATTTGAGCCAATACGGTACATCGTGAAAGCCTCTTTGCTGGCTTCTTGTGGTCCCTTCCAAATCTACATTTCTATGATTCTGGATTGACTTAACTCTGCAATAGTCCTGTCCCGGTTCCAAAGATCTTAAAAAGTCCAGAGTTATACTAGAAAAATGTGAAATTGCCTGGTTTATCAAAACTTTAAAATAGATGAGGTCAGCTGTAGCACGTGAAACATCAGGGTGTACATGATTCTCGGTGTTCATGTGCATGAATTTACCAGAGCTCTTTAGAACCATTCAGAGCTGGCCCTGCCATTCGGCAGAGTGAAGCGGACACCTCAGGCAGCAGATGCTGGCAGCAAAGGACTGGAGGTAAGGAGCTGTAAGGAAGAGCTGTCTGTTTCCCACAGCCTGCCCTGCGCTCCTTAATGTAGCCTGTGTGGTAGAAGATCTCACCCCATCACTACCAGCAGGGGTGTACGAAGTGGGAGGCGGGTCGCCCCGGGTGCCACTCTGGGGTGTGTGTGACAAGATGGCCCCCTGCCTCCCCCCAGCTGTAGAGCAGCCGAGGGCATGCGCAGTCAGTATGGGCGCCACTTGCGCAGCTTCCATACGGGCTGCCGCTCTCTCGCGCCGTCCAGACGGGCGTCCGTACAGGCTGCGTTTCGCACAGCAACCATACGGGCTGCTACGCATGTGCAGTCCATACTGGCTGTCGCATATGCACAGTCTATACGGGATGCCGCTCACATGGCGGCCTGTATGGTCGCCATGCAAGCGGCAGCCCATATTGATGTCCGTATGGATGGCGCACTCTACCTCTCTTTCAGATCAGAACCAGTGAAGGAGGTGAATGTCCTGTGTGAGTGTCTGGAAGCAGTTGGAGGATGGATGGCGGCTAACAGATTGAGGTTGAATACTGACAAGACAGAAGTACTGTTTTGGGGGGAAAGGAGGCGGGCGGGTGTGAAGGACTCCCTGGTCCTGAATGGGGTAACTGTGCCCCTGAAGGACCAGGTGCGCAGCCTGGAAGTCATTTTGGACTCACAGCTGTCCATGGAGGCGCAGGTCAATTCTGTGTCCAGAGCAGCTGTTTATCAGCTCCATCTGGTACGCAGGCTGAGACCCTACCTGCCCGCAGACTGTCTCACCAGAGTGATGCATGCTCTGGTTATCTCTTGCTTGGACTACTGCAATGCACTCTGTGTGGGGCTACCTTTGAAGGTGACCCAGAAACTACAACTAATCCAGAATGTGGCAGCTATACTGGTGACTGGGAGCGGCTGCCGAGACCATATAACACCGGTCTTGAAAGACCTACACTGGCTCCCAGTACGTTTCCGAGCACAATTCAAAGTGTTGGTGCTGACCTTTAAAGCCCTAAACGGCCTCAGTCCAGTATACTTGAAGGAGCGTCTCCACCCCATCGTTCAGCCCAGATGCTGAGGTCCAGCACCGAGGGCCTTCTGGCAGTTCCCTCACTACGAGAAGCCAAGTTACAGGGAACCAGGCAGAGCGCCTTCTCGGTAGTGGCACCCGCCCTGTGGAACGCCCTCCCACCAGATGTCAAAGAGAAAAATAACTACCAAACTTTTAGAAGACATCTGAAGGCAGCCTTGTTTAGGGAAGCATTTAATGTTTAATAGGTTATTGTATTTTAGTGTTCTGTTGGAAGCTACCCAGAGTGGCTGGGGAAACCCAGCCAGATGGGCGGGGTATAAATAATAAATTATTATATATTATTATTATTATTATTATTACTTGGAGTTGCTATGGAGAGTTGAACCTAGGACCTTCTGCATTCAAAGAAGATGCCCCACTGCTGACCTCTGTCCCTTGCCCCCAGATGCGGTGGAGAAGAGCACCACCTTGTCCTCTGCCTCAGGCAGCAAAATGTCTTGGGCTGGCCCGAGATCCATTCCCGCTTTGGGGCAGATCTGCCAAGCTGAAGGAAAGATGGGCATCAGGATCCCAGCCCTAGCACTGCAGATAAAACCCCAGCTGCACCTCCTCCCACCTCCCTTGCCCCCGCCAGCATTAACAGCTACGGCTTATCAGACGGCAGAATCTCCCCAAGAGCCAAAAATGAGCTCGTCTTCCATCCTAGAGGCAGTTCCTGCCACATCTTGGCAGAGAAAGCTGAGCTCACTGCGGAGCGAAGAGGCTGGTTGTGCAAGAGTTGTTTACCTGCAGCTGGAGCTGGGAGGTGCTCCGCCCCAGACCTCCCCGGTGGCCCCGCCCCCTTCTATAAAGAGCCAAGCACTTGGCTGGCAGCATCAAACCACAGAACACACAGACCGACAGAGACGCACACAGGCAGCATGGAAGGCAAAGGGCTCGTGGCTCAGCTGCAGAAGGCAGCTATCTGCCCTGCCTGCAGGGGGCACTTCAAGGACCCGGTGATCTTGGACTGCGATCACAGCTACTGCCGGGCCTGCATCACCCGCTACTGGGAAGAGGCGGCCGCCACTGGGAAGGGCCCCAGGGTGCTCTCTTGCCCCCAGTGCAAGGCAGTTTTTGAGAGGAAGAACCTGCGGACCAACGTCAAGCTGGCGGTGGAGGTCAAGATCACCCAACATCTCAACGCCAAGACGGCTCACGTGCCCCTCGCACCCAAGCCCAGGAGGCGCCGTGGGGGATGGATTCCTGCAACCGGCATCCAGGAGAAAAAGGTATGACGCGAGAGTAAGGGGAGTTGGGGCTCACCAAGGGTCAATGCCAGGACTCAGTTCTAGAAATTGCAAAAAAAGAGGATAGAAGGTCTCTGAGTATGTGCAGAGTGCCTCTCATCGCTGAGTTGATTTGTTTGGTATTATTGCATTTGCATCTGGCCCTTCTTCCCCAAGGAACAACTGCAACCGGCCCCTAAAGGTCTCGGGAGAAGGGCTTTCCATGAAGAAAGCATGAATTCCAATTAAGTTACCACCTTTCATGGAAAGAATTTTGTCGCAGAATCTGAGATAAATTTGCAGGAATCCAGGGTCCTGTGTTTTTTCTTTCTTTCACATTTTTAAACAAATTCCTTCACCAGGAAGATCTATTGCTATACAGTGGTACCTCGGGTTAAGTACTTAATTCGTTCTGGAGGTCTGTTCTTAACCTGAAGCTCCACTTTAGCTAATGGGGCCTTCTGCTGCTGCAGTGCCACCAGAGCACAATTTGTGTTCTCATCCTGAAGCAAAGTTCTTAACCTGAAGCACTATTTCTGGGTTAGTGGAGTCTGTAACCTGAAGTGTATGTAACCACAAGCGTATGTAACCTGAGGTACCACTGTATAAGGTCCGCTTCAAACCTTTCCCTTTAACTGAATATAAACAATGAGCAGCACAAGACTGAGTGTGGAAAGAAAGTCGCAGTCCACTTCTGCTTTTAAGAGGACGGGCAGAAATTCAGTCAGTGAAGCTTTTCCCCAGCACTGGGATGCACAAAACAGTTCTTGTTAAATTTCTGACTGTTACTCCAGCAATTAAAGCCAAGAAAACAGAGTAGATACTGAAGAGCACAGGGATGTTTTCTTACAGTTGGAGAGCATCAATAACTGAAAACCAGAGACTTAACCAGCAGCAAGAGATATCCCTCCTTTCCCCCTCCTTGTATGTCAGCCTTTGCCAGCTTGGTGCCTTCAATAAGTTTTGGACTATAACTGCGCTGGGGCTGATGGGAATTGTAGTCCAAAACATCTCTGCCTAGAAGAGGGATGGGGAAACACATGGTCCTTCTGCCATCTTTGACCATTGGCTTGGGCTGATGGGAGCTGAAATCCAACAACATATGGAGGACAACAGGCTACCCATCCCTGCTCTAGAACCTCAGTAGCCTGGCCTAGAACATCAGGAGCAGACTTCATAAGAAAGAATCTCCAAGTGTCTCTATTTTCCAGGGATTTACAGAAGCCATCCCAGTTTCTGATTTGACCCTGGAATGTCCCACTTTTCCTTAGGACGTCCCTATTTTCATGGGAGAAACGTTGGTATGATAAGATGATGAAGAGCTGACACTGGACCTCTTTCAATTTGGGTGTATAGCAACCACAGGGTGAGGGAGCCACATGGATCAATACGATAGGCCTTTTTTCCCTTACCCTGTCACCATGTGCTGTTTCCCTAGGGAAATTCCCCTCCAGCCGTGTTCGTACATTTTCTCAAGCAGAGCAAATTTGTCTCCTCCGAGCTACGGGAGAGGCCGGTGCTTAGCGGCAGAGAATGCTCTCTGCACGCTGGTAATTCTCAGCACCTCCAGGGAAGGCTGGGAAGGACTCTGAGAGTTGGAGACTCTGGTGAGCCACTGCGGTCAGGGCTAGATGGGTGAACGGTCCAATTTGTTATCTGGGAGACCCAAGGTTTTCCCTTCCCTCCTGCAGACTTAGGCAGCCATGGCAAGACAACAGGAACACTCGAGTTATGTGGGAAGGCAGGCCTGTCAGTTTGCAGGCTCCCCAGGAGAAACGTTCTAGGGACTGGAGGTTTTAAAGCAGAGGTAGGATGGTTAGGGGTTCTTGAGCTGTGATTCCTGCACTGCGTGGGGCTGGACTTCCAGCTCTGCAGCTCTGTTATTCTATAAACACAAAGCAGGGCATGATGCCCATGAAGAACTCTTATTATTTGTATATCACCTTTAAGGGGGATGCATTTTACAGAAGGAGCAGGGGGAGAGAAGGATCTCTGCAGATCCCGAAACCTCACCCTCCTCAAAATCCGAGCAAGGCTCCGTTCCTTTGACCCACACAGTGAAATGTTCCTCATTGTCTTGCATTTGTCCAGCCTGAGGCTCCAACCTTATACCCACTTGCACGGAAAGAAGCCCCGCAGAACTCAGCGGAACTGAACAGACATGTCTAGGATTGCACCGTCAGACAGCCAGTCCCCAGGATTTCCACATTTAAAATAACATGCGCACACACACACACGCGCAAAAAATGCCTCAACCGAAACGGAAAACAGGCTCATCTGGTATGCCGTTGACATTAGCATTACAGGTAGCCTGGATCTCAGAGCGGCAGATAGAAAGAGGAAGGAGAGCAAAACCGCTTTGTATTATCTGGAGGGACAGGGAAGTTTTTGCCCTTCAGATGCAGAGCCTACAATTGTCCCTATTTTCCAGGGACAGTCCTGGAATGATAGAAGCCGTCCCGGTTTCTGATTTGATCCCAGGATGTCCTGCTTTTCCTTAAAGGTAAAGGGACCCCTGACCATTAGGTCCAGTCGTGGCCAACTCTGGGGTTGTGGTGCTCATCTCGCTTTATTGGCCGAGGGAGCCGGCGTACAGCTTCTGGGTCATGTGGCCAGCATGACTAAGGGACTTCTGGCAAACCAGAGCAGCACACGGAAACACCGTTTACCTTCCCGCCGGAGCTGTACCTATTTATCTACTTGAACTTTGACGTGCTTTCAAACTGCTAGGTTGGCAGGAGCAGGGACCGAACAACGGGAGCTCACCCCGTCATGGGGATTCAAACCGCCAACCTTCTGATCGGCAAGTCCTAGGCTCTGTGGTTTAACCCACAGCGCCAGTGGCGTAGCGTGGGGGGTGCAGGGGGGGCCGGCCGCACCGGGCACAACATCTGGGGGTTAGGGGGCACAAATCCACGGGTTAGGGGGTGCACATTACTTGCCTTGCCCCGGGTGCTGACAACCCACGCTACGCCACTGCACAGCGCCACCCACTTAGGACACCCCTATTTTCATATTGGAAGCTATGCAGATTTTGCTGGATTACAACTCCCTGACCATTAGCTGTTCTGGCTGGGGCTGATGAGGGTGGGGTGGTGAAAAATAATGAATAAAATAAAAAAAAGTAAGGGGATAGCTTTCATAGAGGCAGGAAAAAAGTTGGCAAACCTAGTGACCTCCATTCTGGAAGGGGGATTTCCAAACGCATTGCAAGAGAAAGGAGTAGGGTGAACACTTAATGGAGCAGGAATCTCAGATATTTGATTCAGATTTTGGACTCGAATTACAGCTGCCAACTAACCAGGGGCGGTTGGGAAAGAGGCATGGTCTCTTTCGACTACAGCTTGAGCTGCCTATATCAGCCAGTGAATCTTTCTTAAGACATGGAAATATGCATAATCACTTGCTAAGGTCTGCAGAGCAAGCTGCTATATGAAAGGCAGAGGTGCGTGGGCTGGGAAAGAAGTTGGCAACCTTAACTAGAATCTTCATGGAAGGAGGAGATAGAGAAAGAAACCTGATACTACAGGAAAAAGCAAAGAGGAGAATCAGAAGACGGAAAGAAAAGCCGCAAAAATGGACAACTATGTATTATGTAATAATTACATATTGCATGAGGATGATAGTCATACGGGTGTTTTTAAAATAGTGGTTTCTCTTCTTGCAAATATGCATATATAAGAGCCTAGCAAGGTTTTATGTTTGTGTGTGTATGCAAAGCTTGCTGCTCTTATCAGACACTATCCTGAGGGTAATCCAATCCATTTCCATCGGTAATGAATTTAGTCTGATCGCAAGCCCAGATTTGAGTTACAACATCCCTCTTGTGTTTTTTGACGCTGAATTTTCGTTCTCCTGGAAGTCTTAAAACTTGTGCCTTCTTGCTGCTGCAACAAGACAATAATCTGATAAGATCCAGCCTTCCTTACATAATGCCTACTCAAAACAAAATAGGGCAAAGCATAATACGGAATTTGGAATTTAGTGGAAGAACCTCGTGCAGTGGAAATTTCATGCGCCTGATCTGCCTTGCCTTCCCGGATTGCACCAGCCACAATTTATCGGGCACATCCCACAAATCCTTCGCCTTCTGTTGCTTCAGCATCTCCTACATAGCTAAGGTGGAGATCAGATAGAGTGGCCTTGCTGTTCTCGACAGGCAAGATACACAGCAATACTGGTGGGGCAGCAGGATGGCAGCACATGCCAATGAGTGATGACATTGCTGAAACAGGGCATATATTTTTTTGAGTCTTTCAGGCAAAGTGAGGTCAAAAAGTTTTCACTCTTGGCCATTGTTGGACTCCAGCTCCCATCATCCCTGACCATTGACCACACTGGCTGGGGCTGATGGGAGTTGTAGTTCAACAACAACGGAGACAAAAGGCAGCCCACCCCTAGTGAAGACATTGGCTGAGCTACATGGATCAATGCTCTGTCTTGTTTATGAGATCCGCTGGCCTAGGAATGGGCTCCTCTGTGTCTGACTAGGACTGAAGACACCTGGATTCAAATAAGCCACTGATAAGAACATCCCCACCTGAAAAAAGGGGACATCTCCTATTTTCACATGAGATCTCGGTGGCCATTTTGGGTGCCGCTGTCTCGTGCACTCTGGCGACGCAATCTGGCCCTGAAAAACGCACCTTTTAAAAATAATATACCGTACTTTATTAAATTTCCACAAATTTCACATAAAATTCCAATACATAATAAATTCTTCTTTTGCTTTATCGACTTCTCATCCCATTTTCCATGGTTTCTTTTTAAAATTCTATCTCATTCCTCTCTTCACTCTTTAATATCAAAACCATAATACAATAATCTCTAATTATTTCTGTTGCTCACAGTTCAAATCCTGATTGCGAATTTATCATATTAAAATATTTTGTTAAATTGTCCAGAAAGGGCTTCCATTCTCTTATTTTAGCTCTTAGCTTTGCTGATTCAGTGTAGTCCATCACTTTGCTGAGGCATTCTTCTTTGGTGGGAATTTCTTCATCTTTCCATTTCTGTGCATAAAGAATCCTAGCTGCTGTCGTTACATACGTAAATAATGAAAAAAAGCGATTTTTCAGGGCTGCGTGAGATCGAAAGAAACCGCTTTTTGGGGTCACCTGACTTAGCCATATTTCTAACATGCAGCCAAATTCAGCAAACCCCTACCCAATTCAGGTAGTCTATGTGTTCCAGCTCAAGCACACCTGGTACAACTAATGGAGCCCTTTATTAGTTGCATCAGGTGTGCGTGAGAAAACACCTGTTGTATTTGTGCTGTTGTGAGCAATTCTATTCAGGGGGTTGAACATCAGTGAGCTTGGAGAAACCAGTTTAAGTTGCATTTTCAGCTGAATTTGGGGGAACTATGAAACTTCCATTGTGCTGAGCTATTTCAATTGCTTTTGTTTGATTTGCCCATTGCAAACAGCTGAAAGTCTGGAAATTCTGATAATAAACCTGATGTGCAAGGGGGGGGGGGTTTGAATAATTTCCATTGTGACTGTGGAGCTGTAGAGTTGGAAGGGAACTGCCCTTCTTTGGAGGGGGAAATGTGTTTTAAAGGCATAGCATGCATGCACAGACACACCTTTGGATCTCAGCACCCAGGCAGGTGGAGATGCTCCTTCAGGTACAGTGGTACCTTGGTTCTCAAACTTAATCCATTCCGGAAGTCCATTCCAAAACCAAAGCATTCCAAAACCAAGGTGCGCTTTCCCATAGAAAGCAATGCAAAACGAATTAATCCGTTCCAGACTTTTAAAAACAACTCCTAAAACAGCAATTTAATGTGAATTTTACTATCTAAAGAGACCACTGATCCATAAAATGAAAGCAATAATCAATGCACTGTACTATAAAATAAATAAGACAGTTTTGTAGATGATAAAAATTAAAATTATTATTATTTTCTTACCTGCACTGATGATAATAATAATAATAATAATAAATTTTATTTATATCCCGCCCTCCCCAGCCAAAGCCAGGCTCAGGGCGGCTAACAACAAACAAATAATCAAACAATCAAATAATCAATATTCTAAAACATTTCATTATAAAATTAATTAAAATCAAATTAATGGCAACCGTTAAGCAAAGTTCTGTGCAGGTTGCCGGAGGTGGGAGTCAGGCTGGGCCCTGACCAAAGGCCTGGTGGAACAACTCTGTCTTGCAGGCCCTGCGGAAAGATGTCAGGTCCCGCAGGGCCCTAGTCTCTTGTGACAGAGCGTTCCACCAGATTGGAGCCGCAGCCGAGAAAGCCCTGGCTCTAGTTGAGGCCAGCCTAACCTCTCTGAGGCCTGGGACCTTCAGGATGTTTTTATTTGCAGACCGTAGGTTCCTCTGTGGGGCATACCAGGAGAGGCGGTCCCGTAGGTACGAGGGTCCTAGGCCGTATAGGGCTTTAAAGGTTAAAACCAGCACCTTAAACCTGATCCTGTACTCCACCGGGAGCCAGTGCAGCTGGTATAGTACCGGATGAATGTGATCTCGCAGCGAAGACCCCATAAGGAGTCTCGCCGCGGCATTCTGCACCCGCTGGAGTTTCTGGGTCAGTCTCAAGGGCAGCCCCACGTAGAGCGAGTTACAATAATCCAGTCTGGAGGTGACCGTCGCGTGGATCACAGTGGCTAGGTCAGGGCGAGAGAGATAAGGGGCCAACTGCTTAGCTTGGCGGAGATGAAAAATGCCGCCTTTGTTATAGCTGTAATCTGCGCCTCCATAGAAAGGGAGGTATCGAAGATTACACCCAAACTCTTAACTGACGGTGCTGGCACTAATTGCACCCCCCGCAAGAGATGGGAGTTGCCCCCCCAATCCCATATCGTCCCGTCCCAGCCAGAGGACCTCTGTCTTCGAAGGATTTAACTTCAACCGGCTTCCGCGTAACCATCCAGCCACAGCTTCCAAACATCTGGTCAGTGTGTCTGGGGCCGAGTCAGGATGGCCATCCATCAACAGATAGAGTTGGGTGTCATCAGCATACTGATGGCAACCCAGCCCAAAACTCCGGACAAGCTGGGCGAGGGGCGCATAAAGATGTTAAAAGCATCGGGGAGAGTATCGCACCCTGAGGCACTCCACACACCAAGGAGTGGCGGGATGACAATGCCCCCAAGCGCCACCCTCTGTCCCCGACCGGAGAGAAACGAGCGCAGCCATTGAAGGACTGTGCCCTGGATCCCCACGTCGGCAAGGCGGTGGTCCAGGAGTTCGTGATCAACCATGTCGAAGGCTGCTGACAGGTCTAGAAGAATCAGCAGCCCCGACCCGCCTCGGATAGTCATTGTTTGGATGGGGGGCTTTTATCCACTTCTGCAGACACATAATCAATCAATGAATCAGTACTTGAACTGGATTCCACACAGTCACAAAAACAAATTAATCAAAAAAATCCTCAAAAACAAAAACACAAAATAAATAGAAAAAACAAAAGCGCCAGACTTAATCAGTTCTGGAAGTCCATTTGACTTCCGAAATGTTCAAAAGCCAAGGCACAGCTTCTGATTGGTGCAGGTGCCCCAGAAACAATAGCCAACAGCCGCACTGGATGTTCGGCTTCCGAAAAATGTTCAAAAACCAAAACACTTACGTCCAGGTTTTCGGAGTTTGAGAACCAAAGCGTTTGAGTACTAAGGTACCACTATATTAGGGGCCCAATCAGTCAGGGCTTTATACATCTGCATTAAATTGGTATTGCTCATACCTTATAAGACCTGCAGCAATATCACTAACCACTCAATAGAAGCAAAGAGGTGTTTGCTTTGGAGTGTACATGCCTAGACGGTTTTAATTGTCACCCCAGAATATTAAGCCAACAACCTGGCCCAAGAGGTAGGTGTAAGCACAAAGGGTCTGAAATGCAGGGTGTCCACGTGACTGCTCCCGCTTGCTCATCCCTTAACTGGCAACCTATGATCATCACATTTCGAAGGATTAGGCCTCTTAACTGGCCGTAGTTACACAGCTGTGAAGCACCAGGACTGACACTTCCTGGGACAACAGCTCTGGGGCCAGCCTGCTCATTGGACACACAAACCAGAAAAGATCATCACTGCTAAAACATGCACACCTGTCAGCAGCTCTATGATAAAGTACCTGCTCTGCAAGCAGAGAGTCCCAGGTTGTCTCCATGGGATGCTGTAGCACTGAGCCAAGACCCCTCCCTAGTGTCCTTTGACATTGGCAACAGAAGCCTACTTCATTTGTTCAAGAGATTTGGCTCCTCATTGCCATGGTGGGTCTAGCAGGACAGAAGAGCATTCTAATAATGGCGACCGAACACAGCAGCGAAGAGAGAAAGTGGAGAGAGGAGGCAGGAAACGCACCTGGCAAAATGACAGATCCGTAGGAGGGGTGAGGATTCTGATGGGATCAGGATCCCTTTGATTAAGGCTAATTTCTCAATCTGGTCGAGCCTGTCCAGAGAACATGCCGCAGCCCTAATGATTATCAGGCCCTTGGGAAAGGATGGTTTTGGAAAGAGATGTCATCATACGATGACAGGTAGAATGGCCTCTCCTATTACAAAGGAGACAGATATATGAGCAGATTTTTTATTTATTTAAGTACATGTAACTGAAATTGTGGCAGATGGAAAATGGCTCCATATCAACATGGGATTTGGGACTTCAGTAATGAATTAGACAACAGATGGCACTTCTACCTGAGCAATAAGCCCATTGGTGAAGTGGGAAGGTGAACCATTTTACAATGGACACAATGCATGAAAAGCACTCAGGGTGCTCCAGGTCCCAGCCTCTACGATCTCTTGGATGAGGAGAGGCCACATCCCTGGGAAGGAAGACTGACTGCTTGAATTTTTCAGTGAAAAGTGCCTGCTCAGGATTGTGCCTGTTCACAGATGATCAAAACATGCAGATACAAAGCTACCTTCCAGCCAGATCCTAAAACTAAAATAAGTCTCTAACTGAAACTGTGGCAGATGAACTGTAGCTCCGTATAAACATGGGATGCGGGTGGCGCTGTGAGTTAAACTACAGAGCCTAGGACTTGCCGATCAGAAGGTTGGCGGTTCGAATCCCCGGGACGGGGTGAGCTCCCGTTGCTCGGTCCCAGCTCCTGCCAACCTAGCAGTTCGAAAGCACGTCAAAGTGCAAGTAGATAAATAGGTATCACTCTGGCGGGAAGGTAAACGGCATTTCCGTGCACTGCTCTGGTTCGCCATAAGTGGCTTAGTCATGCTGTACGCCAGCTCCCTCAGCCAATAAAGCGAGATGAGCACCGCAACCCCAGAGTCGGTCATGACTGGACCTAATGGTCAGGGGTCCCTTTACCTTTACCTTAAGGATCAAAAGATGGCACAATCATCTTCCACCTGAGCAGCATATTTCCTGTCTCTAGTTGAGGTTGCCAACGCGGTGCCCTTGAGGTCGTCTGCTGGTCACCACAAAACTTAGGAGGTGATGAGGGCGGTTCGTTTTTTCTCCCTTGTAAAGTCCATGGAGCTGACAGAGGGTGTTGGACAAGTGACCCACTTTTCCACTTCTTCCTTTAGCTCTATGTAGCTTCAGACACTCCGATTAGTTCTACTGTAAGAGGCCAGAGAGTGTGGCACCCATGGCACTCACTTAAAAATCCAGATGTGCCCATAGATTGGCAACTCCTGCTTCTAGTACAAGACACACCATATTAGTGTCATTCACAAGTGTCTTATGCTAGGCTATGAGGCGTTCTTATGCTCACTTTGGACCCATCAGGGTTAAAAGGATGTTAAGGTTTTAAATTCTGCTCCCTCCCCTCTAATAATAATAATAATAATAATAATAATAATAATAATAATAAATGACTTATATGCCACCCATCTGACTGGGTTGGGGTAGCCCACTCTGTATAGCTTCCAACAACTCTGTGAGGTACTTTAAGCTGAGAAATGGTGAGCTTCACGACTGAATGGGCATTTGCACTCTGGTCTCCCAGATCCCAGATCCAACACCACGGTGATGCAATCCACTCTGCAGAACAGTGACCAAGCACCAGGACACAGAGCAGCAATGATGTGTACAGCAAGGAGTGCACCATGTCAGAGACTTCTAGTATTCCAGGCATGAGGAAATGGCAGGGAGACTTCCTGTCCTTGGCTGTATGCAACCTCACTGGGAAGCAATCAGAAACTCCACCTGAGAGTTCCAGGGGAAAGAAAAGTTGGCATCGTCTCAGCCCTGACCTCACAAACAAACCCAATGCTCTCAGGGCAGGGACATTGTCACTTGTGTCTGCATCCTGAACGCCACCTGTCGTGTGCTGATGACTCCGAACGACATCCACCAATTAAGCTCAACTATTGCTTGTCGAAAATTACAGATAATTATAGCGTCAAGAGGCCATTGGTTTGGTGCTTGGCATCAAAGGTTGACAGGTTTATTTTTTTTTATTTTTATTTATCTATCACACTTATATCCTGCCTTTTTCTCCGAAGAGCTCAAGCTGGCGTACAGGGTTCTCCTCCTTTAATCTCCACAACAACCCTGTGAGGTGGGTTAGGCCGAGAGGCAGTGATTGGCCCAAAGTCACCCTTTGTGAGCTTCGTGGCCAAGAGGGGATTTGAACCCTGGTCTCCTGGATCCTAGTCCAACACTCTAACCACTACACCATCCTGGCAGCAACCTGGAGACCTGTGCTTTTAAATGTGTTGATGCAATGGATGGCACAGCAGCCTCAGGTCACTTGCCTGTTGCTTAGTCCCTGCTCCCGCTTCTCTGCTGTTTGGCACACCTGGAGTTTAGGTTTTCTGCCTCTTACCTCTGACACGGGACATTGCCCTTTGGATCCCTTGCTGGAGGAGGAGGAAAGGTAACAGCCATGGCTCCGCCATGCTTCTCTGCTCATTCCTCCCTCTCCGACTTTGTCATTCCCCTTGCTTGCCCCACCTGCTGGGGCAATTAGGACTTCAGGTGTGCCACATATATGCAGCAGGCGATACAGTGGGATGGACAGCCAGTACCATAAAAATCATGGGCGGGAGACAGAGCTAACCACAACCTTGTCTAAAGGTAAAGGTAAAGGACCCCTGACCATTAGGTCCAGTCGTGGCCAACTGGGGTTGTGGCGCTCATCTCACTTTATTGGCCGAGGGAGCCGGCGTACAGCTTCCACGTCATGTGGCCAGCATGACTAAGCCACTTCTGGTGAACCAGAGCAGCGCATGGAAATGGCATTTACCTTCCCGCCAGAGCAGTACCTATTTATCTACTTGCACTTTGATGTGCTTTCGAACTGCTAGGTTGGCAGGAGCAAGGACCAAGCAACAGGAGCTCACCCCGTCGCGGGGATTTGAACCGCCGACCTTCTGGTCAGCAAGTCCTAGTCTCTGTGGTTTAACCCACAGCGCCACCCGCGTCAGCTCTTTAAAAGCAGCTTGACCTTCAGAAATGAGCTGGTGAAAATTTTACTCCGCGGTGATAAACTTGAGGCAGATGCATAGCGCTGACTCAGACCATTGGGCTGTCCAGCTCAGCATTATTGTCCTCAATGGCTATCCAAGATTTTCTCCCAGCCCTAAGTGGAGATGCCAGGGATCGAACCAGGGACCTTGTACTTGCAAGGCAGAGGTTCTACCACTAAGCTACAGCTCTTCCACTACCCATTCACTGTTAACATCAGCCCATTGATGCTGATCTGGCACAGCTGCAGGGAACAGTTCAGAACCTCAATGGAAGACGACATGGAGGAACTCCAGGCCACCGTTTCTTCCTCTTCACCTGGAAGGCAGCTCCTGTAGTCTGTGGTGGGCGGCTCTGCTGCAAAACCTGATAGCTATCTGCGAAGGAGCAGTCATGTCGAGCTGCACCAACGCAAGACATCTCTTTTTGCCAGCAGCATCGCACCTGGAATCCATAAAGTTGCTCATTAGAAGCTGGCAAAGCTGGATGAGTCACTAATGCATGGCAGAACGTACCTAGTCAAATAAGTACTTTTGGGAAAAGATGCTCCCGTCTAATAATGTCAAGCAGCGCACATCGCAGGAAACAGGGGCGAACCAGGCCACACAGTGAGAAAACAGTCATTATATTTAACTATGTAAATATAAGGCATACGTAGTCATGCCACAAAAGGACACACCTGCTGTGCACTGGTGAGTTGTGGATTGCTGACACCATATCCATCTTTTGCTCTCGCACAATCACTTGGGCAGGTTGAGATTTCTAAATAGTGGCATCTTCTGGTGGTTCTTACGCTTCTACTTTCACTCGAGGCGCCTGACATGTTGGCACCTGGGGCACTGAGCTGCTCCCATCAGTTTTGGTTGAATTCAGCTAGACAGAGCTCCCCCTCCTTCTGCTCCCAACCCAGATCTTCTCCAGAGGGGTGGGGGAACCTCTAGAGCAGATTTGGGGTGTGTGCATGTGCACGATAAGTTCTCTTGTCTTGTACGAGTGAAAGGTATTCTGCTCTTGCAACCACTCTAACTCCATCCGCACTACACATTTAAAGCACTATCATACCGCCTTAAACAGTCATGGCTTCCCCCAAAGACTCCTGGGATCTGCAGCTTGTTAAAATTGTTGAGAGTTGTTAGGAGACCCCTATTCCCCTCGCGGAGCTACAATTCTCAGCCATATCACAGTGGTTAGAGCATCTGCTTTGAATACAGGAGGTTCCAGGTTCAATCCAGGTAAGCCTGGGGAGGATCCTGATCTGGAACCCTGTTTTGCTGCAGGGTCGAGTGTGGACCAGGGTTTCCCAAACTTGGACCTCCAGCTGTTTTTGGACTACAACTCCCATCATCCCTTTCCACTGGTCCTGTTAGCTAGGGATTGTGGAATTTGTAGTCCAAAAAACAGCTGGAGAACCAACTTTGGGAAACCCTGGTGTAGGCAATACTGAGCTGGAGGGTCTGGTTCTCAGTAGAGGGCAACTTCCTATGTTCCTATATTTTGGCTCAGGTGTTGATTATCTGCTTTGCGTCCAGAAGGTCCCAGGTTCCATCCCTGGTTTCTCCAGGGCTGGGAGAGAAGCCTCCCTGAAAGGCTGGAGAGCTTCTTCCAGTCAGTGTAGACAATACTGAACTAGAAGGACCAAGGATTCAACTCTGGATAAGGGAGCTTCGTACACTGCTTTAGATACGGGAGACTATCATGGCATCCTTGTGGACGGATGAGCCGGTGGTGCTGGAGGAAAACTCGTGCCTGACACCTCTGCCCCAGACACAGGCAGCTCATAAATTCCTGGAGGCTGAGGTGGTTGTGGGTGACCTCATGTGCATCGAGTGGCTGGAGCATGCTGCGGAGCAGAGCGAAGGTTGCAAACTTTAATTGGCACTACTGAGGCTCAAGGCACATAACTGATGGGAAGGATTTCAAGGACACCACCCTCCCTCGTGACTCAATCACTCGTAGGCCAACCATTTGGTAAGGCAGCCCAAGACAATGGTGTGTTTATATTGCTCCATGCCTTGGCCTGCGTCGTAGCCAACCACTCCTGATTATCAGGCATGAACAGCACGTGGACTCCCAGGTGAGCAGGTGGCACACAGAGTCTTCTTCTTCTTCTTCTTCTTCTTCTTCTTCTTCTTCTTCTTCTTCTTCTTCCATGAACACGGTTTTAAAAGTGAGTCTGTAAGTGACTGTGGAGGCCTGTTCTGGATCCACACGTCCTTCCACAGTGGGGACATAGGTTTCCAGGTGGGAATTAATCACAGTGAGGGTTTGCCAAGCATGTCTTCCTCTTGGCACGTTTCTCCCTTTTGTCCTGAGTTTGAGCATCTTCAAAGCCCATGACAAATTTGGTAAAGGCTGTTCTCCAATTGGAGCGCTTGCAGGCTAGTGTTTCCCAGTTGTCGGTGTTTATACATGTGTGTCCAAATGTGTACATGGAAGGGGCTCCAACTCTTTCCCCACCAAAGCCAGTCTCACCATCGTTAACAGCTGCATGGCAGAAATTAAACAGGCAGAGCTTTTCCCAACACAAAGGTGACCATGATTGCATCTGTTGAATTTCAGGCAACTGTACAACTGTTAAAGGTACAGATCTTCTGTGGGTGGGATAGCCTACTTAAGTGTTATTGGGGAAAGGAGAGATTTTAGGAGCACACAAGTTCTTGGGAGGATAGCGAATCCCATAGCAGCGTTCTCCCTGAAAATTGCAGATTTTTCACTAGGGTGACCACATAAGGCACACTGGTGGACCAGTGTTAGTTGTGTAGAGGAGGGAAATTAGGCAAACATGCCTGCCCCATAGGGACAGACAAAATTGCACTTACTGAAATTTGTAATTCGGTTAAGGAGTCGAAACTGTGTCATTGTGAGCCCTGTCCTTTCGCAGCTCATTGCCTTGTTTTTCAGACATGCACATGCACCCTTCAATTTAGCAATTCATTTCGTACCTTGATCTGGGGCTGCTTGTCCAAAATAGTGGGCCTGCCCCTTTAAATAATAAGCACATGGAAGGAGTCAATGTCCCACCCACCAAATGTGGTTGTAACCCCAGCTGCCATCATCCCTCACCACTGGCCATGCTGGCAAGGGATGATGGGAGTCCAGCAACATCATGCTAGCTACCCTGACATAGCAAACACAACACCATAGTTTATTTCCTTGCAAAGCCTGGAATTATAATAATAGCGAGAGACCAGTAACCATTAGGAGGAGCCAGAGTTCTTTTCCTTCTGCTAGTTCTCCACCCATCTCTTTTAGCTCCCCTTCACTAGAGAGCCAGTGTGGTGTAGTGGTTAAAAGCGGTAGACTCGTAATCTGGTGAACCGGGTTCGCTTCCCCGCTCCTCCACATGCAGCTGCTGGGTGACCTTTGGGCCAGTCACACTTCTCTGAAGTCTCTCAGCCCCACTCACCTCACAGAGTGTTTGTTGTGGGGGAGGAAGGGAAAGGAGAATGTGAGCCGCTTTGAGACTCCTGAAGGGGAGTGATAAAGTGGGATATCAAATCCAAACTCCTCTTCTTCTTCTTCTTCTTCTTCTTCTTCTTCTTCTTCTTCTTCTTCTTCTTCTTCACTATTCTGGAGGAGCAACCAGGAACTGCCCTACCATCAGGCCAGAGTTGCAGGGAGGAACTTGTAAACATCTAGATGCACTTGGACTAAACTCCCATTATCCTTGGCCCCTGGCTGTGCTGACAGAGGCTCATGGGAGCTCACAATAACATCTGGAGAACCACAGATTCTTCCATCCCTATTGCTGCAGGACAGTTTCATTTTCCTTTAACCCAAATAACCTCTTGCCTGCGGAGACTGGAGAGCAGGCTACGGCAGGAGGGACAAATACAGCACAAAATGCGTACCTGGTTCAGGAGGGGACACCATTCAGACAGCAATCTTTGGCATGAGAACTGGGGTGACACAAGCATGGCCTGGCTTGATTTAACTTGTGAGATGCTGGAAGATATGTCTTCATCTGGGCTTGGGAATGCTTGCCTTCAAGCCCTCTGCTGACCTTCGTCTTGGACACTTGCATCGTCTAGTTTGCATTCATAAGAGCTCTGCCATGACTGGGATAATGTGGAATAAATAAGCATAATGCGCAGATAGGAGCAATTGATTTTTGAGGCACTCGTCTCTTCCTTGGGGGCTTCACATAAGCATCTGGTTGGCTGCCGTGATAAAAGATGCTCGACTAGATGAGCCACTGGCCTGATCCAACAGGGCCCTTATCAACATTGCAAATAAATAAATAATCCTCTGTGGATGTGACTGCTTCCATTTACGAGCCATCAAAGTCAATGGTCATCACCGTATATCTTTTGGCATTGAATTCCAATTAAATCTCGCTTGTGCAAAGAAACATTCTACTTTGTTTTCTATGTCGACGGGCCTATGCAGCTGTTTAAAATTTTGTTGAGTAGCTGGTCATTTTCATGATTGATCTGTAAGGCTTTTAATGGTCTTTTTTTTAAAAAAAAAAAAGTTTGAATATTGCTGTACACTGCCCTGGTATTTTATGAGAGTGCAGTATATAAACACCATCATAAATAAACAATATAGAATAAATTCTGGCTTTGCTGAACCTACTGCCAATCAATATGAATCTGACTCAACACATTTTCCATTTGCTCCTGCTCCATCGATATAGACAAGATTACCACCTTGACCTATCCATCTAATATCACCTTCTCTCTCTTTTTTCCAGGAAGTCATCAGAGAAGTCTGCAGATGGTGAGTCTACTCCACCTTCTCGATTTCCAGATACTTGAAAACTAACCTTGCCAGGCATTGAATCTGGCAGCTTTATGCAAGCCAAACACACAGTGCCGGATTTACGTATCACCTAAACAAGCTATAGCTTAGGGCCCCACTCTCTTGGGGGCCTCCAAAAAATTTAAAGGGAAAAAAACTGGATGTACATTTCCAAAATATAAGATAAAAAACAAATAAAATAAAACCTACATACAGCAACAGTGTTTTGTGTTGTGTAGGCTCCTATGATGTAAGTAATGGGCCCCGCCTGCTAGCCTGCTCCCTAAAATATCACTGTCACTGTTAATATACTTCTTCTTAATTGTATTTCAGTTCAACAATTACTTTGGTAAAATACATATTTTGTTATGTGCAAATGGCTTTAGATACCTATTAGGTCCATAAAGTACCATATAGCATTTGTTCAACACAAAAAACAGCAACAATTTGTTGTCGACAAAGGACAGCTGGGCATATAAAGGGCCCCATTATCTTCAGTAGCTTAGGGCCTCATCAAACCCTAAATCCAGCCTTGCAAACATGGGCTCAAACAGTACTATAAGGATAAAGGGATCCCTGACCATTAGGTCCAGTCGCAGACAACTCTGGGGCTGCGGCGCTCATCTCGCTTTATTGGCTGAGGGAGCCGGCGTACAGCTCCTGGGTCATGTGGCCAGCATGACTAAGCCGCTTCTGGCGAACCAGGGCAGTGCACGGAAACGCCGTGTACCTTCCCGCCAGAGCAGTACTTATTTATCTACTTGCACTTTGACGTGCTTTCGAACTGCTAGGTTGGCAGGAGCAGGGACCGAGCAACGGGAGCTCACCCCGTTGCGGGGATTCGAACCGCCAACCTTCTGATCAGCAAGTCCTAGGCTCTGTAGTTTAACCCACAGCACCATCCGCGCCCCTCAAACAGTACTATAGATGGCCCTAAACATGTTTGTAGGAGATAGCTGCTTAAGTATCAAATTGCAGGCCAGGGAAATTTTAGGATGAGGGGGCAACCCTGGGGCTTTTCAGTGGGTCATGAACTCCAAATCCCACCAGCCCCAGCACCATTTGGAGGGCTGAACACTCCCATTTCTGCCCCAATGGGTTCCCCACATCTCAGTTTGTTATGTACTGAGTTGAATAGGATCCAAACTGCAGCAGTCTGATTGGTCCTAGAACAATAGGATTCAGAATGCAGCAGTCTGATTGGTCCTAGAACAATGCAGCAGTATGATTGGTTGGCAGGAACCACCCAATCATGCTCCAGATATAAGTGAATCCACAACCTGACTGGCTTACAGTAGAATTCCAGAATTAGCCAATCATGTGCAGCCCATTGTGTAAATAATGTATATAAAGCAGATACTTTGAGGGGACTTTCATTCATTCCTCCTCACCACTATGAGCTGAATATAGAGCATGAAATCACTTTGCGACTCTGAGTATATTTCACAGTTCATCATCTTTTGGTGATGCTGTGATCCACACAGGTACCAGAGCTGCCACTGCTGCCTCAGCAGCGTCATGACTCTGTGCCAAGATTTCTCAAGGAATATATGGAAGCTTTCACTGAAATTCCACTTCCATGCCCTGTAGGCTAATTGCTATCTATTTTTAAAAAGGAAGCCACATCCAAAGTTGAAAAGAACAAGGCAAAGCTTCAGGTTTGTTCCTTCGGTAGCTCAGCCGGTAGAGCGGAGGACTGTAGATTGTCGTCCAAGCCATCCTTAGGTCGCTGGTTCGATTCCGGCTCGAAGGACAAAGTGTTTTTGCTTGCCAGAAGTAGCTCCTGATCTCTCAACCAATCATACACTGTGGCTTCCCTCATCATGACTATAGTCTGGAGAAACCCACTGAGTCATGGGAGTTGTAGTCCATCAATGCCACTGTTTTCCCTTCCCTGACGTAGACGGTCGTTTAATATATTGGCTCTGAACTGTTGAGGAGCATTAAATGTCATCACAATCTTAATTGTGCCTGGAAGCGCCTGCTAAAAACATTTTTTGTTCAGACAAGCCTATCCAGATGTAGAAGCCAGCAAGTATTTTTAATATGTTTTTAGCTTATTTTATATTTTAATTATTTTCTGCATTTTAAAAAATGGCTGTTTTTAACTCCTTTTTATTGATAATTTTAATGTTTGCTTTCTTTTTTATAAACCGCTTGGAGATTCTATTTGCAATCAAGAGGTTTACAAATTTCATGGAATAAAATAAAAATAAGATGTCTGACACCTCCTGTACAGAAACACCCTTGAGGTTCCTCCACTGAGCAACTGGGACCCTGAAATGCAAGCGCTGCCCTCCATCCTAGTCTTGATATTTATTGTTTGTGTATCTTCATTTTTCTCTCCACAGCTAATGTGGTTTGGATGCTCCCAGACACCCATATTCACCTGAACCTGCAGAACAACCTACCTGGAGCCCTTCAAAGTGGCAATCCCTGCTTCCCAAGATTTGAAGACCCTCAACAAGATGGCCAAACAAGCCACCTCCAAATGGCTCAGGCTACGGCATGGGGGCAGCTAAATTTGGGGAGGGCTGCTGGTGGTGGAGAAACTGAGATTTCAGCCAAGCATGAAGCTCTGGATTTACGAATGGACCTGCAAGAGTTAGGGAGACTCTCGTGCTGCAGGGCTTAGGTTATTTTCTAGAGAGAGATATCAAGCTGTCTCAGAAACTACAAGATGCATTGGCTTGGTGAGTGGGGCGGGCGGGAAAAGTGCTCCATACATGGCAGAACCCCCTTTACTTTGTTAGGGTTTAGAGTTTGGAATCAGATTTCAGGCTTTCGTCATCCCCTGGTTCGGATTAAGCCCTGCCCCATAACTGAGCAGAACAGGCTAAATCTGCGAGGAGTGACTGGTTCCACGTTTGACTAAGTCTTCAGAAGTTCTGGTACCTCCAAGTGTCACTTGATGTGGGAGAAGACGAGATCTTGGAGAAGAATGATTGGTTTTCTTTTAGTTTATCCATCTCTGCCATCTTCCTCTGCTAATTTCCTGTCTGCCTTGTCTGGGAAGTGTAAACCTTCTAGGCAAAACTCCCCAGTTTCTCTGTTCTTTACAGGGTCTAGTACACACTGCTGACACCGTGTTAAATGGCAGAAGGAATAATTGTTTGACATGAACTGGTATTTACTGAAAGGCATTAAAGTGATCCGAAGTTCCCAATGCAGTTATTTCATAAATGACCAGTGGGTGGTGCTGTGTGGTCATTTATCTTTCTGGCTAGCTTAATAAAAATCTGTCAGTGATTCTAACCAGCTTCTAAACTTGACCCAGGTACCATCCGAGGGGAGAAATCTGAAGTTCAATGTACATACCTTACTTCCCCAAAGTCCACTCCCCTTTCCACAATATATTGTACTGCTGATAAGGAAGAAAATGTATTATACCACAAATAACGTTGTGTTTGTTTCGTGTACTATATATAATTATTTTAATTTTTGTGTGTCTCGAGTTATTTGAGTCCTTCCATGGAATGGACTTTTAACTGTAAATCAACGGGCAAGTAATTAAAAAAAAGGCATTATCCCAAAGGAAATCTGTGGTTGTGGTTGTTTTCTTTGATGAGGAGTTGGCTTGGAAGGTTTGAGTGAACAGCCAATGGAAATTTCCCCAAAGGCCTAGCATAACATCACATAAGCAATTTTCTTCTCCTTTCCCCCAGTAATGTGGAGAACTAATACGCAGCAAAATTCATGGTTAATTTAGTAGATTTGAAACCCAGAGTCTTGATTTGCTACCCTACAGCAGGATTTTCATGTCTTTAACAGTGGCACGACAGTCATAAGGGGAACAGTCTCCCTTGGGAAGTTGTGGACTCTCCTTCCTTGAAGGTTTTTAAGCAGAGGTTGGGTGGCCGTCTGTCACTGATGTTTTAGCTGAGGGGGTTATGATTCTAAGTGTAAGGGATGGTTCTGGTGTGGGAGTGAGAGACCTTTGGCCCTCCAGATGTTGTTGAACTACAACTCCCATCATCCCTCCAAATGTCGGTGGCCAATATCTCCCATCATCCCTGTCCACTGGCAACAGAGGCTTTCTTCTGAAGCAGGGATGAGGACGCTGTGGGCCTGCAGATGTTGCTGGACCACAACTTCCATCATTCCCGACCACTGACAATGTTGGCTGGGGCAGATGAGAGTTGGAGTCCGAGCACCATTGGTTCCCATTCCTGATCAGTAGGCCACTTCATGCCTCCTGGTATGCCCCACCTTAAGGTCCACAAATGACAACACTTTGGAGGTCCCAGGTCGCAAGGTGGTTAGATTGGTCCCAACTAGGGCCAGGGCCTTTACAGTACTGGCCCCGACTTGGTGGAATGCTCTGTCACAAGAGACTAGGGCCCTGCGGAACTTGACATCTTTCCGCAGGCCTGCAAGACAGAGCTGTTCCGCCTGACCTTTGGTTTGGACTCAGTCTGACCCTTATGTTGCCCTCCCTTTATGGTCTTGATCTATCTGCTACTTTTAAAATGAGGCTGCATTTTAAATTGCATTTTAACCAGTATTTTAAATTGGTTCCCCCCCCCATTATGTTTTCACTGTGATTTTATTGGTGTTAGCCGCCCTGTGCCCGGCTCTGGCTGGGGAGGGCGGGGTATAAATAATTTATTATTATTATTATTATTATTATTATTATTATTATTATAGCTGCTGGTGGAAGGGGGACCTCTCTAGCTAGAGAAGCAACATGTCATAAACAAGGTCCCACCAACCTAAGACACTTATTTTTCTACGAACCAGTTGCCTCTTCCCTCCCCCAAACACACACCCTTTGCATCCTAAAGTGGTAACATTCTAGGAAAAGCTTAAGCATTTTGTGGAATGTATAAACTTGCCCGGAGATTAGCGAAGGCAGAGCCTCCCTCCTCATCCCTGTTGGATGTGGGAAACCACGTGACATCTCTCAGCTCCCGTACTAAAAATACATTTCCCGTCCAAATATGATGCATCGCTCCAAGCCCCTTCAGGCCAGCTCTTGCCAAGCTAATTAAACACCCTTCTCTTGTCAGAACTGTTGAAAACCCAGCCTTGAATTTGTCCCAGAGGCTGGGGGCCCCGTTCACAAACCCCACCTGGATTCTTCCTACATTAGCGCAGCCTCCTGCCTTGGCATGTCCACAGCAGAGGGAGGAAAAACAACCTCCTTTACAGGTGGTGTTGGGGATACAGCCAGGTTTGGAGCCAAGCAAGGTTATACCTTTTAACGGATGTTTGTTTGCGTAAGAATGGAATGATTTCTAACAACTAGGTTTCCCTCTCCCCCGTCCTGCCCCAAAGCCTCCTGTGCCTTTTAATGATGGCGCTGCAGGCATAACTTTGACAGATAAAACTGCAACACACACCTTGCATTAGCAGGGCAGTTTAAAGATTCCTCGGCCTTTTGGCCACACACTTCAGGAGTGAGTCAATTTCAGGCTTGTTGGATCTACTTTGTTTTTTAAATCAGGACTAGGGCTGGGGGATATATCGATACATCATCCAAAACTGGTTTGAAGTGTAAATTGTGATATCGGTTTCATAATTTTTGACCTGGCAATCATGATGTGTGTTAGGGCCGAGAGATGTCTGGCTTTCAACACTGTGATATATCACCAGCTAAATATCACGATATAACAATATATCACAATGTCTGCAATAAGGATATAACTACATAGAGGGCAGGAGCAGATGGAATTGTGTGAGAAGTGATGATTGGTTTCATGGTTTTTCCCACATCACCATTTTTTACATAGAACCCCCATACATTGTGATTTAATAATAATAATAATAATAATTTTATTTATACCCCACCCATCTGGCAGTGTTTCCTCATCCACTCTGGGTGGCTTACAGCATACCTAAAAACATGATAAAAGTATCAAGCATTAAAAACCTCCCGCTACAGGGCTGCCTTCAGGTGTCTTCTAAAAGTTGTGTGATTCTTTAACTCCTTGACATTTGAAGTGAGGGTGTTCCACATATATATAGCCATGTTGAATATTATGAAACTGTTACCACAATATGGACTTCAAACCTATTTCTGACCATGTATTGATACCTTGCCCAGCACTTTTTTGTGTGTGTGTGTGTGTGTGTGTGTGTGTGTGTGTGTGCTTGCACTATGCAAAAATCACCATGCAGGAAAATCCCTGAAGCCAGCCAATGCCTTTACATAGTTACATCCTTATTTCAGACATCATGATATATCAGTATATCACAATGTTTAGCTGCTGATATATCAGTGTTGAAAACCAGATGTCGCCCAGCCTGAATTCAGGACCCTAAGATTTAAAGCAGTCAAGATGGAAGGAGCTTACTGTTAGAATTAGAGGATGCCTGTGAGAATCTCATCCTGAGCCTAGGAATTTATTCTCAGTGCCAGAATTGAACTATGCTCACAGTGTTTCCCCATAAAGTCCACTCTCAGCTGACTTTCTTCATTTGAGCCGCCCAATTCAGGTGTGTGGGGGGGAAGTAGTTTTGTTCTCACTGTTGCTAAACAATTGGAAACTAGAAACTCTTGCAGATCTGTAGAAAATCACCAGAGATTACTGATGGATCCCAGTCTACTTTCTGCCCATCCATGATGTCGTTAATTGGGCCTGTAACAAATTGGGGATAGGGGAGAGAGAATGAGAAAATGCAACTCATCTACAATGGGAGATCTGGCAGACAGCGTGAATGGAAAAGGGACAGGCAGGGGGTAAATACTGTTACCCAAGCTTTTTGCAGCACACAAACCTATCAGGAAAAGTAATGGATGGGACGGAAGGCTTGCTTCTTTTCTTTTTACTGCCCCTCCCACTTTTTAATGTTCTTGCTCCTATTATCTTTACCAGCAGCCTACTTTTCAGGCACGATATAACCACACTTTCTTCTGAATGAAACTTCCCTTTCCTGGTTTGTACAGCTCCTGGGGAATATATGACATGGAAGCAGGACATTCCTCAGAAACAACCCTAATTTTAAACCATGTTTCTAGCCCTTATGACATACTTGGAATTGGGTGTGCCTATCAGAAGCCAGAGGCGCTGCTTAAAATATGACTAGCCAAGTGTTTATGCAAAATAGTAACTGCAGAATAAATGTTGCAAAATATGGGAACCAGACACATTTGACCTTGGTGTAGAATTTCTAGGGTCCCCCAGCCTAAGTGCAGGATATGTACAGATCTGTTCATAAACCACCCACCCCCAGACCAGGGAATAAAAGGATGCCCTTCAAGACCTTTTCCCCAAAAGCCTTCTGCAATTGTTTTGGTGTAGATATCAAACCGCTTTATTATGGTGAGCAAGAGCAAGTCCATATCGCATCTTTACCAGTCCTGCCCCTTCAGATCTTTTAATCTCAAGCCTAGGTCTTTCCTCATGCAAGATCTGAGCTCTTTTACGAAGCTACAGCTTTTATGTTTGTGGGTGGGCGCACTGTTGTCCCTTCTAAATCAAATGCAGCAAGAAAGACTAGGAAGGTCTCGTATATATCCCATAAGGTACTCTTGTATCGCCTTAGGAAATGCGTGTTTTAGACCCATGTGACAAGTTGGCTACTACCCATCCATGGTTGGAGGCATGTAGCTGGAAACTGCAGAAGGCCCTTTTGCTCAGATCTTGCTTGTGGGCTTCCCCATGCCACTTTGGGTAAAGGAGGCTGGACTTGACAGGCCATTGGGCCTGATCCAGCATGGTTCTTCTCAGGTTCTTGTTTTAACAAACCACCACTGAAGGAAGCTAAAGGATTAGCATGGCCTAATAAAACAGAAGCAGGTACTTTAAACAACTTTACCTGCCCTCTAGTGGTCAGTTCATTTAACAGCATTGCCTCATTTGTGATTTGAAGTTTTATTCCTTGAACTCATTTCCTCTGTGGAACTCAAGAGAGCACACATGTAGTTCCCAGCACTGTGAACCATACAAGTGGTTCAGATTAAATAAATTTGGTTTTCCGTGCAGAAAACACCACCACCAGAACTGTTACAGCATATGCCTTCAAACCATAACACAGGCTGCCTCTGTTTCACTGTGAATTTATATAATGCAGCTTGCAAAATGAAAAGGCACCCGTCAGATACGTGAGATCTAGTTTTATTTTTTAAAAAATTAAAATAAAAGCATGTTCCTAGTCCTCTGTGTTGCAGAAATAAGCTTTAAAAGTGAACACATTGGCTGCTGAGGCTGGAGAGGGTGGGTAAGAGGAATTACAAGTGGCTAGGCTGAACGATATTATTCAGTTTCCTCTCTTGTCACCCTCTCTGTCTGCCAGTTGTCCATATGGCCCATTGCTTGTTACCGCGCTAGGAACTCCCCCCCCCCCCAGCATGCCGGAGGCAGCAAGGTCTCGACTCGTCCCTCAGCACATCTGCTAAACAGCAACTGTGTTTAAACGAACCAGAATTTAATTGGTGTATCAAATAATCACAACACTTGCGTAATGTATGCCATTTGTAATGAGCTTGACAAAATTTGGCATTTGGGGTTGCAATACATTTGAGATGGGTGCGTATCTTATAAGCCAGTTGAGCAGCACAGGACTTAGGGCTACTGGAGCGACCAAGGAAGCAAAGATTTCTGTCCAAACCTGCAGGCATTTCTGTTTTAAACTCCAGAGGCACCTTCTTAAGGTGTTGCATCTAATTTTCTTCCTAGGGCAAGGCAGGAGAGAAAGCAGCTTCACTAAGGAGCATTGGCCCCCTTTTTTCTTTCCTTTCTTTGGTAAATGGGGATGCTTATTATTTGTAGAGCAACTACGTGCGGCTACAAGCTCAGCGGTCCCACTTGCTCAGCCTCCCGTATTGTGGCCAATAGGCACTTCCAAGGCCAACAGAGGAAGTGCCCAAAATGGACCAGCTAAACATGTCACATTTCCTTCATCCAAACAAGACAGACCAATAATAACACCAGAGTCATGACTCGCCTATGAAGTTCCTCACCCTGCCTGTGTACAGAAATCTGTGGCTTACCCTAGCGTAGTTGCTCCAAAACTGTGTTCAACTTATTGGAGGAACGTAGGACCCCAAGTGATGAAATCCTCAAGCCCCACACCCCCGACTTTCCCTTGATTTGGGCCAAATTGTGCCTGCTATGGAAGGCTATCACAAAAGAGGATGGTTAGGTCCACTTTACCCATCAGGCAATCTGAACACCGTGCTACGGGAATGAAAGCGTGCTGCGCAAAAGAAATTCATCAAGAGGCTTCCCTGAACCCAAAGCACTTGCTGAGAGAGGAGGTGGCGGCAGCAGCCCATTGCACCTCCCATCTCCTGCTCTGCAATGTGTTCTTGCTCAAAAGAGTGACTGATGCAGAAATGGAGAGGGTAAGCTTTGAGAGCAACTGTGCACCACTTGCGTTCACTCCCTGATAGAGAATCTTTTCAGATCAGAGTGTGACGTGTGCCTGTTTTAATTCAGACAGGCCTATGCCTCAGCCATTGGAAGCTGGAGAAGTGCTGCTGATTTCTCCAAACCAGGCAGAGGTCCCCTAACTTGCTCGAAACCTTGTGGGAAATGATTTGCCATGTGGTTCTCTGGGGTAGTGCGACGTTTAATTAGAAGCAAGCCGACATTGGCGCACACGGGCCAGAGAGGGTTCGAGGCTGTACAAAACAGAGAACTGAAAAATTCAGCCCAGGACTTTTTTCCTGAAACCACAGGCAGGGAGAGTGACAGAGTGATCTGTGAGTCATGCAAGGGAAGGTGCCCCTGTCCCACATTGCAATGCCACGATCCCTTTGCGGTCATGCAAGATTTCAGGAGGGGAGGGGGGAGCTTGTTCTGCAGCCAAAGGATGGAAAGTCAACAGAAGGCTGGTATTCTTCACGCAAGGTCATGAAGTCCACCTTCTGCTGACGTTCCACTTCACCGTGAAAGCTGATCAGGATCTGTTTTATTCGATCGTGGACCTTCTCCAAATGAGGACCAACCCTGCACCCTGGGCAGATGCCAGAGTCTACCACAGCACATAATTCTCAGCCGCCTTCCACATCCACAACGCCTCTTCCCCAACTCCAGCACCAGTTTCTGAACCCCCGCCGACCACCTCACGAGTTAGGTGCACCCACCCTGATTTCCTTCCTTTTCTCCCCAGCCCCACTTAAAAGAAAATATATCACAGCGTTCCATAACATAATGAAAAACAAGCATTGTTGGGTTTTGTTTTGGTTTTTTTTTTAAAAAAGGAACCGTGGAAGGGAAGGGTGCCCTCTTAGAAAGACACAACTGAAGACAACCAATCACAGTTGTTGTAGCAGTGCGGAGGAGGAACCGAGGGCTCCTGGAAAAGTTTAGGATGGTGGGGAAACCCCATAGCTGCACCCTCGAGGCAGCCGTGTGTCAGAAGCAGTGGCCCTGCAGTGGTGGGGAGGCCAAGAGTGGGGTACGGGGGGGGGGGAGAGGAGAAGTGGGGGTGGGACAATCAGGGATCAGAGAGGGCAGGGTGAGAGTGAGAGAGAATGAACTTCATTGAGGGTTAGAACTGGGCTGATTAGGGAAGGAAATTACTGGGGGAGGACAAGGGGAGGAGGTGTACAGGCAGAAAACGGAGGGGTGCTCAAAGCCGGGAACAGGGAGCGAGAGGGCATGCATGTCCGACAGGAGCTCGGGCACAGCTCCATCGCTGCCCTTTTCTGAAGCAGCACCCGTTTCCCACCTTGTTTATCACTGATGCAAATATTTAATGAAGAAGCATGGGGGGCAGAAATTCAGCCAAGAAACCCAGCAGGCTCTCTCTCTCTTTCTACATTCCACGTCGGGTGGAGTGAGGATGGGTGTCACCAGACGGACTCACCAGCCACGGATGGACAGATAGACAACAGTAGCAGCTCTGGCACAAGGCAGGTGGGGAGCTGGATGCACGCGCCCTCCCCTCTCCTCCCTCCCCCTCCCCTCGCCCTGGGACCGAGGCAGCACCAGCGCCAGCACAAGACGGACGGGTAGCTGATTGTGCGGGCCCTCCCTCCCTCCCCCTTGCCCCCGAGTTGGGGCAGCGTCAGTCCCTCTTTGGGGCAGAAGCTGGGGCTGCCCTCCCCCGCCCCGCGGCAGGGAGGGGTTCAGTGCTGCATCGCCCCCGCGTGGTTCTGGTCAGGTGGCTCCGACTTCTGGGGGCTGCTCTCCGACGGGCTGGGGTCTCCCGCTTTGCCCCGCCCCTTCCCGTGCTGGCCTTTCTTGTGGCCCCGGATGCAGTGGGCATTGCCGCAGCCTTCGTCATCCTCGTCTTCGCTCTCTGTGGAGCTCTCGCCAAACGCCCGCGGCTTCTCGTAGATGCAGCAGCCTGCGTCGGGACAGAGAGCGTTCAGAAGCAAGATGGTGAGAGACGTCAAGGTAAGGAAGATGGGAGAGGGAGGGAGGGAGGGAAGGTTTAAGAATATGGGTCATCATCCAGTGTGTGGAGGATCATGATGTGGAAAGAAGGATGGGGTTTAAGAAGAGACAGGGTGGGAAAATGGGATGGAGGAGAAACATTAATCAGGAGGGGAAACAGGGATAAAGAGAATATGTAGGAAGAGAGGAAAAAGAAAAAGTGCATCATGATGGAAGAGAGGAAACAGCAATTACAGGGTAGTAGAGCATTAGGGAGAAGAGTGTAAAGGGAAGGGCACAAGGAGGGAAGGAAAAGGGGGGCAGAGGAAGAAGGGAGAGAGAATCAGACAACAGCCTGCCAATGATCAAAATCCTTTGGGAGGAGGCCCAGCTACGTGCCCCTCTCATCTACCAGTAATTCACCCACGTGGACATCTTTCAGACAGCCTCAGAAGATTTATCTCCTGTGCAATGTCGGCTGCAGGTGTTGAACCTGCGTTGTCAGAGTGAGCAATTCAACTCTCTCTCCTTCAGGTGTGGCCAGGGAGCCAGTGGACAGGCACAGAAGCAGAGGCCAAAAGGATGAGAAAACCTACTGTCAGGCTTCTCCACTCCTCGCATGTGAAGACAGAGGAAGGAAGGAAGGATTCTCTCCTAGCATAAGGCCTACTGCAGCCGGAGGTATCCCCCCAGGAAGGAAGGCTATAGCTGAGTCAAGCAGCCTTAAAGCTTTCTACCTCCACCTTCATAGATACCTAGATACATTGGTACCTCGGGTTAAGAACTTTGCTTCAGGATGAGAATAGAAATCGTGCTCCGGCGGCGCAGCAGCAGCAGGAGGCCCCATTAGCTAAAGTGGTGCTTCAGGTTAAGAACGGACCTCCAGAACGAATTAAGTACGTAACCAGAGGTACCACTGTAGAAGCGCTGAGCCTCTGGGATTCCTGCTGGCAACTGGCTGCCAACCACAGCAGGAACATCTCTGTCCAGCACGGCGTAAGCAGCCTTTGATCTCCAATGCCTATCACTTCTAATCCAAGCTCTGTCATGGGAAGGTAAGAGGAGCCCTGCTCCTATGAAACAAAGGCCCCCCTAGCCCGGCATCCTGTTTTCAAAGTGGCCACCCACGAGCCTATGGCTGACTCATATTCAATAAGCATATTATTAGAAGACGGCAATCAGCCATTTTCAGGGGATGCTGGCTAATGTGGGATGAGGTTATTGTGGCTGGGCCGGGATACAAAATCACACAGGGGTTTACCCACAAGTAAACATACCAAGGATTTTAAATCTCATCTGCACTAGTCTACAGGCCTCCTCACACACAAATCACAACCGATACTGCCATTCCCATACACTAGACCAGGGATGACGAACTGTGGTCTTCTCATGGTCCATGCAGCCCTCCAGACAGTAGAGTCAAGGCGAGAAGGGTGCCTTGCCAATCAAAAGCAACTGCTCATGAGTAGACAGGTGCTATAGTAGAGCTGGTGCATCTAGCAGAAAGGGCTTTGCAGACTTGGCAGCAAATACAAACATCTATGCATATATACATGTCAGTGCATTGAGATATGGCATATTTTGCTTCCTAAAGCTTTTGCTTCCCTTTTCCAGTAGGAAAACCTTTATACACCTTGATTAAAATTAGGGAGAGCTGCCAGTGGATATGGGTTGGAAAGAGAGCTAGAATAAAGGGAGGTAGGGAATAAAGTTGCCCCAGCCTCAGATCTTGCCTAGAACCATCAGCTGGTCATCCCTGTGCAAAACTGCTCCCAAACATCAGCAGACAAATAAATGCCCCCCCCCCAAGCATTTCTACTACCACAATTGCTATAAAGCTGAGAGCTAATAGTGAAGCTTAGAGTGATGGACAGGGACCGAGGAAATCTGGGCTCAGATCAGAACTTGGCCATGAATCTTTGTCTCAGGCCAATTACCGTCTCTCAGCCTAACCTACCTCACAAAGTTGCTTGTAAGGATAAAAGAATTAAATGGGTGTGGCCAGGTTTTAGAAGGAGCGGGGAGAAGAGAGGAACCATATACACTGTCCTAGATGCTTTGGGAAAGTACGGAATAAAAATGGAACAATAATAAAATGGTGGCTAAACTAGCCAAATACATCCCTCAACAGGTGGTCCACAAATGGCATCTGGCTTGCTGAGCCTATTGGATTGGGAGCATTGGGCACCCAGCTTCCCGGCTGTTCCAGGTTACTAAGTTTACATGCCACACGGTGCTGCTGTGCACACCAAAGGACATAAGAAATGATGGCAGCTCGGGGACAAGTGCTGGTGAATGCCGGGAACAAAAGGCAGAATGACAGCAACTTGACTAGCAGACTCTGTGATCTCACCACAGAACCAGGGAAATGGGTTCATGGGGGGCGGACCCTCTGGGGATACATTGAGAATACAGTGGTACCTCTAGTTACAAACTTAATTCGTACTGGAGGTCCACTCTTAACCTGAAACTGTTCTTAACTAGAGGCGTGCTTTTGCTAATGAAGCCTCTTGCTGCCGCTGCGCTGCTGACACACAATTTCCGTTCTCATCCTGGGGCAAAGTTTTCAACTCGAGGTAACTCTTCCAGGTTAGCGGAGTTTGTAACCTGAAGCGTTTGTAACCTGAGGCATTTGTAACTCGAGGTACCACTGTATAGTGAGGAGACGGTCTCTCAAAGTAGCCCGAGATAGGTGGAAGTGTGGCTCACATTTGGAAGATCTGCGTCCCAAGTGCTCATTGTCCACCGTGTCACTTGACCATTCCACTTTCTTGGCCGGTTTCCGTTTCCTCAGTTTGATGGTGAGGCTGCGATTCTCCTGTGAACGTAATGGTGAGAAACAGGGAGAAAATTGCGTAACAGAAAATGGTATGGCGATTCCCCCATTCAATACATGAGTACCTGATTGTCAAAAACTCGAGTCCTCCAGGAACGCTTTCCGCATCAGCGTGTCTGCCTAGGAACTCTTGGCCTCTGCCAATAGTAAATCCATGTACAATTGCAGAGGATTCTGAAGTCTTAGCGGCTCCTCCTCCTCCTCTCATCAAGCCAATATGACAATATCCTCATGTCACAGGCCTTCCCACAGAAATAAGAAAAAGGCCTGCAGAGGCGTGCCTCTCTGCCTGTGCAGACTGTTTCCAGCCATTTTTAAATATCCCCTGGGGCAGAAATGGGAGGCTGCCCAAAGAAATCAATTGAGAAACCCAAGATTTAACTGCAGCTATAAGTAATATGAACTCAGGTTCTAGGGATCAGATTTGCATTTTCTTTGCACCACCGTAAAAAGCACCAGCCAGCCAGCAATTTAACATGCAGCAGTACAGTACTGTAAAGCAGCACATTACTTTTCAGTATATTTATATGTAACCGTTTTCAAAAGCACAGCCATGCCAGTCCGTTGTAGCAAAAGCAATAGTCTTGCAGCACCCTGAAGACCAGTAGTAAAATTTGCCATGAAACCAGTGAAAGGCAAGGGAAACCACTGACACTTTGCTGTAAAGGAAATGCCAGTCAGATTTGCAGAATCCATTTCTAATCCCCAACTACTTTCAAAATCAGCCATGATTCTGAATTTTGAAAATGTTAGGAATGCTCCCTATCTTAATTTGTGTCTCATGCTGCATCGTCAGCGTATATCAAGTTCAGTGCTTTTATTAAGGGGTGTTAAAGGATGAATCGATTACTTTTACAGTATTGGCAAATCCACTGTACTGTGTCTTTGCTGCCATCCTTTGGAGGGGCAGCAAGAAGTAAAGAAACACACAAACGTCTAATCACAGGTAAGCTAAAATCCTGGATTTCTTCACTGATTCCTATGGGCAGCTCTCACTTCTGCTCTGGTGAGAAGGAAAAAGAACTTGCACCAAACCCATAAACTGGTTCTGCATTTTTGTTCTGTATTTACAGGTCTGTGAAATTTCCCGATAGAGGTAGGTAGAGTAGGCTGAAACAGATATTGTAGTGGCTGCACTCACATTGTTGTGAGGCATGATGGCACCATAGTATAGAGTGGATGGAGCTTGTCAGGAAAGAGAGAGAGAGAGAGCTACTACTTCTTGAACTAGGCAGATGGCAGAAGACTGGATGAAGGAGGTCACCAGCTAAGCAATTATGGGCATGCAATAAATATTCCATCAACAGCTGGGAATATTTTAGAAACAATGGGAAGGAAGACCACAATGCCACACAGGATCTACACATAGTGGGACATGCAATTGTTTATCAACCTGCTTGTTTTGTGCTGAAATTTAAAATGTGTTTTATTTAATCCCCCTGAACCTTCCTTGCTTTCCATTCCCACTCCTTAGGTTGCCAGTTTCCCTTCTACAGCTGGTTTGTTTTCCAAAATCTGTGAAAAGTGACTCTGATACCCAGCAGATTCAGTGGGCTTTGCATTGCGGCCTACTTAGCTTTTCTAAACTGTTCCATAGAATTAAAGCTGGAGCAAACCTTGCAGGCAGTCCAGCCCAACCCCTTGCTTAATACAGAATATACAGAGCTGTTTACTTTCTGAGATAGAGAGCACCCATCACGACATAGACAATTGGCTCCACTGCTGAACTGCTCTCCTATTGTTTCTCCTAACGTTTAATGAAAATCTGTAACAAAACCATTAGTTCTAGCGCTGCCGTCTGGGGAATCAGAGAACAAGCCTTTGACATCTTCTGTGTGACAGCCCTTCAGGTACTTGGAAGAATGCTACCATGCTTTCCCAACTCCCAGTCTTTCAGTACTGCTAACGATCCATGCTGCCTTCCTCTGAACCAAGCTGTCACAGTGCTTACAACCAAGAAGCTATAAAAGCATATTTGATTCTTTCTTACTGTAGCTGGAACACAGGGAGCTGCCTTATCACGAGTCAGACCATTGGTCTATCCAGCTCAATACCATCTGCACTGACTGGCAGCAGCTCTCTGGGGCTTCAGACAGGGTTATTTCTCCAGTCCTATCTGGACATGCCAGGGATTGAATCTGGGACCTTCTGCATGCAAAGCAGATGCTCTACCACTGAGCTACAGCCTGTCCCCACTTATCCACTTAAGCGCCTTCTGCTTATCCATTTGCTGTTGCCTTTGCAGCCTAAATCACTTTGCTTATTAACTGCACTGAATATATTTGGATGCTGCTGCCATTGCAAATGCACAGGAGATGGGTCAAGCAAGGCTGATGGGAATGAGAAAACAACTGATAATGGTGGCGGACCAGGAGACCTGAGTGGTTTGGCAATCTATTATTTTCTACGTGGCCCATAACCGTGCAATACTGGTTAAGTTGTGCAGGCTCTCTCTCTGGCTCACAAAACCTTGACTGTGACACCCAGCAACTGGTATTCAAATGCATTACAGCGGAAGACACGGCCATCACGCCGGCTGCCAAAGGCTTCACTTCTGCAAAAAGCAGGCTGGCTGACTCACACAAACCTGCAGCAGCAGCAGCCATCCTTTTTGCACAGGAGAGTCGGCATGGTGCAGTAGCTTAAGAGCCTTAAAACCAAGAGCATGTGGGCTCAAACCCCCACTCCGACCAAAGCTCACGGCGCGACCTTGGGCCTCCCAGCTGTACTTTACATGACAGGGCTGGCCGTGAGGATAAAATGGGTGCAGGGAGCTCCTTGGTGCACGATGAAATAAGCGCAGGGTGCGGATCCCTATATATATAAAAAAGAGCCCTGTTGCATGGTCAGACCAGAGGTCCAGCGTCCTGCTTCCCACAAGAGAAAACGATGAAAGGAAAGCGCAAAGCCTTTGGATGCCCCACCCTCGCACGCTCAAAGGAGCATCCCACCTCTGGCTATGACGAACGCCCACAGATGCACCTGACTCCCTCCGTGAATCTGCCTCACCCCCCTTCCAGAGGCATTCGCGGTTGCTACGGCAACCGAGGGGGACCCGGACCCAGACACCGGGGGCGCTGCTCCTCCTCCTCTCCCCCCCACCTCCATCACCGCGGTTGCCATGGCGCCGAACGCAGCCCCCCTCCCAGCCCACCCGCTCCCCCCCCTCCGCCCCGGCCGCTCCCTCGGCTCCCCGTCCTCACCGGCTCCGTCACCTCCGTCTCGGTGACCGTCGAAGAGGCTCCCACGGCGGTCGTGGACTCCGCCATGGCGCGGCTGCCTGCGGCCCTGTCCGCCGTGGCGCCAGTTGCAGGGGGGACGGGGATTCGGAGGGGCCCGGAGCCAAACCTCGCCCGGAGCTTTCGCAGCCTCGGGGGAACCTGCCGGCAGCTGTTCGGACGCGCCGCAGCTCCTCTCCCTCTTTCGTTCTTTCCCTTCCTCCACCTCCTCCTCCTGCAGGTGCAGCAGCCTCTCCCTCAGCCGACTTCCGGCCCCGCCACTTCCTACTTCCGCTCAGGAGTCCGTCGCGTTAAACGGTCCCCCGGCTGGGCCCCAGAGTCATTTCCGCCGTACGCGGCAGGAGGAAGAGGAGGAACAAAAAAACCCCAAGAAAACCAACAGGAGGCACCGGCGCGCGCGTAGTAAAAGAAGGCTCGGGGCTCGCGTTGTTTCGAGAGAGGCCTGCCCTTTGCTCAGCAAAGTCTGCTTGCGCTTGTATGGTCGCAGAAGTCATTCGGCATTGGCTCTCCGCTTTTGCCAGGCATTATTTTTCATATTTTGTTGGGAGCCGTCCAGAGTGGCTGGGGAAACCCAGCCAAATGGGTGGGGGATAAATAAGTAAATATATTATTATTATTCCGAGCACAATTCAAATTGTTGGTGCTGACCTTTAAAGCCCTAAAGGGCCTCGGTCCAGTATTCCGGAAGGAGTATCTCCACCCCCATCGTTCTGCCCGGACACTGAGGTCCAGCGCCGAGGGCCTTCTGGCGGTTCCCTCGCTGCGAGAAGCCAAGTTACAGGGAACCAGGCAGAGGGCCTTCTTGGTAGTGGCGCCCGCCCTGTGGAACGCCCTCCCACCAGATGTCAAAGAGAAAAACAACTACCAGACTTTTAGAAGACATCTGAAGGCAGCCCTGTTTAGGGAAGCTTTTAATGTTTTATAGACTATTGTATTTTAATATTCTGTTGGAAGCCGCTCAGAGTGGCTGGGGAAACCCAGCCAGATGGGCAGGATATAAATAAATTATTATTATTATTATTATTATTATTACAGGCACGCTTTGGAGACATCTCTGTAATAGCTGCATTAGGGATCACCGCCTTCCACATGTGCTGCGTCAGGAAGATTTTGGGCATCACATAGTCTCTGGCAAAGATGTGCTCTCCCAAACTCCCAGCATGATCGCACTCCTGTCTCGGCAACCAACGTCTGTGCTGGCTCGGCCATGTCCACAGAATGGAAGATGGCACGATCCCTAAGGATGTGCTCCACGAGGAGCTGGCTTTGGGCACCAGGCCCATCGGCAAACCAACTCTGCGCTACAGATATGTCTGCAGTTGTGGCATGAAGGCTGACAACATCAACCCTGGCCTGTGGGAACCGTTTGTGAAGGACCACAGCACCTGGAGACAGGCAGGTTGTGTACCCATAGCAGTGATCTGAGGAGAAATGACGGCTGGGAGGAGCGCAGAGAGAAGAAATGCCATGATGCATCTGCAGCAGTGCACAGTCCATCTGTCTGCAGCCTTCATTTGCCCCAGCTGCAACAAAACAGGCCTCTCCCTTATCAGTCTCTACAGCCGCAGCAGGCGCTGTAACTCTCCAGTGGTTTGACTTCACACCCAATGTTGTGCTCCTCCATGGCTCCCAAAAACCTGGTGCCTTGGGGATCCTGCCATCTTGCATTCTGTGTACATGACCAAGCCCTAAGATTATCGTGGTTTAAGCCTCCATGGATTCAAAAATCTTTACTAGACCATAGAGGCTTACGCCACAATAAGTCTCCTTTGTTTCTGCATTGAAACGGTCATAGTGTCAACAGCTCCTGTAGATATCATGACTATTTTTTGTTTTATGGAATTTTAATTGGATTTGTTTAAATGCTTGCATTTAAAACTTTGCAGATGCTGCCTCAAGGACATTTTTTGTGGAAAATCAATCTACAATAAATTATTGTGGGTTTTTAAAATAAAAAATATGTTATGCAAATAATTTTCAGCCTTGGGGGTAGAGAGGAGCCTAGAAAAACTATCTTCTTCATTTGGAATGTAGCATTGGGAAGTTAGGGTACTTCATAACATCTGGAAGTGCCAGGGGCGAAGAAAGAAAGGTAGGGGCTGTGAAAGAGAGCGAGTAGAGGAGTCTAAGGCTGCAAGTCTAAGCACACTTCTAAGGGAATAAGCCACATTATGCACAATGAAACTTACAGCTGTGTATTAGGAACATAAGAAGCTGCTTTGTGGACTTCCGGGTTAGCGCCATCGCCGAATGGCGGACTCCCTCCGAGCTCCGGAGGGAGTCTGCTCGGCAGGGGCTGGGTCCTACCGCGCCGGCGACGCGGGGACCCTTAAAACCACGGGCACGGAGTCCGTGGACATGGGTGACTCGGCTTGCACCATTAGCGCCCTCCCGACTCGTGAAGGAGCCTTTTTAAAGGCTTCGGATCGGGTGCCGGGAGTGGCGTGGTGCTTTGAGTCCACTGCTTTCCCTGCCGAGCGCAGCCGCATGCCATTCGACGGAGAGCGCTGACTTCTTCTATTGAAAATTTGGACTATTAACAACAACCCGTGAGTAATTAGGAAACCGGGTTCAAAATTTTGGATTTGGCACGAGCGGGGGCGATTTAAAAGGAAGTCAATCCCCCTATTGTAAGCATTCCAAAACAAGGACTGGGTAACCAAGGTCCAAAGGGAAGTATGTCTCTGATAAAAATCATTAATTTCACGATGGGAAATTATAAGAAATGTGCTGGAGGAGAAGAGTGGAGGGTGAGAAGAAAATGCAACCCCCCCCCCTGGGAACCGGGGCGATTCGTGGAGCCTGGTGAAGAGAGACGGAGACTTTGACAGCTGTCAAAGTGGCTGTCAAAGCTGGAGAATATAAAGAGGACTTTATGAGGACCTTGCTGGTTAATTTTGTTACAATTTGCTATAATATGGATATAAACTGTTGGAAAATAAGCAACAATTTGACTTTTGGATTAGAGGATACAAAGTTATTACAATCCCCTAGAGGGTTTCGGGATACTACAAGAACGGTCGTAAGTGGAAAATACCCTGGGATTCGCACAGGATTTGTTATCTTCTGGGAAAGCTGCAAAACTGAAAGAGTATTTTGTCTACAGAGGAAGACAATGGAATTTTTATTGAAGAAAGAAAGGGACTGGACGTAAGTTTTTGTTCCTGAATAACAAACCTCTGCAGAGACACTAGATTTCTGAATTAGAAAGTTTTAGCAGCTGAACAGGACAAGAAACCTGAGAAAGTGAGGAATAAGAAGAATAAAGGACTGATTACGACACGGAAAGAACAACGGGAGGAGTGGTAAAGATCAAGGAAATTAAAGGCCTTTGTTAGATTGGACATTTGAAGTCAAATATTATTTAAATTAATAAACTAAAAGAAAACCGGCAAGATGGAATCGGGAGAAATCTGGTCATGAAATGAGACTTCCAAGCTGATAATGTATAGACTGATGGACATGGGGAATTCAAACCGGGAAGGGGGCCAGATTTGAAATCCAAAGGCTGTGTAACCATTTTTTGAATTTTTCTATATCTCTTATTTTCTATTTCTTTACATAACTTACGCATGTTATTTTACTTTGATCGGACGTGTTTAAAAAAAAGGGAATTTGTGGAAGGAACTGGGGTGGATCTGTGGGAAAATCGGTTTTCTTTTTCTGTTAATGATGTGGGACGGTGGTAAGATTTGTACAATTCAATCTGGATAGTGGGTTAAACAAATTAAGCTTTAAATTGGGAGTGAGAGCTTGTAGAACCAAATTAAGGAAAGGGGAATACAATTGGGGGGAGGAGGGGGGGAGTCCCAGAAAGTAGGGAATGAAAGTAAGGTTTTTAAATACCTTCTTTCTTTTGTCTTTTTTCTTTGTATTTTTATTTTTTTTGGAAACTTTAATAAATATGATTTAAAAAAAAAAAAAAAAAAAAAAAGAAGCTGCTTTGTATGGAATCAGACCGTTGGTCCATCATTCTCATTTCAACAACAGCTCTGAGACAGTAAGCAACTCTGGGTAAATTCCTGACTTGGAATTCAAATAGATATCCCACCTCTCTCATCCCTCCTGTTAGTAACTCCTACCTTAATTTCTACAACAATTTAGCTATTTCAAATAAACCTCTCAATTGGGATGTTAAGTGGCTTGCCTCAGCCAACCCCCGCCCATTGCTCTCCAAGGCACACAAGAGCCAAAGAACCTTGTCATTATCAAAGTAGAAAACATCAAACTGCCACATACTGCAAACTATTACAAGGACTACTGCCTGTGTGTACATCATCATATCACCAAGACAACTATCTGTAAATAAACAATAAACGTCCATAAAAATGGCAACAGTAGTATCTTTCCCAAATAGGTTCTATCTTAAACAATAGCAAACACAGTAAATAAAGAGTTCATATGTCAGTGGTTCAGTGCTCATTTCTTCTCTTCCCAAATTAGATTTTATCTTGAACAATTGCAAACGCAGTAATAATTAGTGCACTTGTGACAGCAGTGGTTCAGTGCTCAGACATTGTTCCAGTAATCCAACGTTTTGTTGCTAAAGAGTTTAGATATCAAGCTTTGTAGTAAATAATATACAAGAAAAGACAGTATGTAAATGACTTAAAGCAGGGGTATATCTGTCCCCATCTGCATGTTTCCATTGGGAAGAGCATAGAAAGAGGATGATGTCCTTCAGTTTGTTAAACCTCCTGCTATTGTATCATGTCATTTGTTAAATTACTGCTATTGTATCACGTAAGACGAAGGTGTTCACTTTTGGTATGGGGCTAAATATATAGGTAGTATTAAACTAATTTTTACTCAGAGTAGATTCAGTGGACAGTTGACAGTGCAACAAACTCCCTAGGGAGCTGGTGGGCTCTCCTTCCTTGGGAGATTTTAAAGCAAAGGTTGGATGACCATTTGTCATGTATGATCTAGTTGAGATTCTTGCATTGCAGGGGGTTAGACTAGATGACGCTCAGGTTCCCTTCCAACTCTTCGATTCTCTTGATTCTATGACTCACTGAAACTGATTAACAAGGCTAGACCAGATCCATTAATTTCAATAGCTCTACTTTTAGTAGAACTTGAGACTAACCAAGTATATCGAATTAGATCCAGATTACGTTCTCCCACTAAACTCAGCGGGAGCCATTTTGACCAGAGCCTACTTCTAACTGTGTAGCCTAATACTTCCATCTTCAGAACCCTGCCTTGACTTCTGTTTCCTTGGTCGCAATGAAGTGTGACAAAGGCTGGGGATCTTCTAAAAAGAAAACAGATGCAGCCCTTTGTTTCTGTACTTTCAGTAACAATCTGCTGATGAGAATCATGATAACCAAGAAGAAAACTTTCAATGAGGGAAAGCCGCTCTTCACCACATTGATTTTAAAGAGGAGGAGGAGGAGGAGGAGGAGGAGTAGTAAGGGACACAGGACGCAGGTGGCGCTGTGGGTTAAACCACAGAGCCTAGGACTTGCCGATCAGAAGGTTGGCGGTTCGAATCCCCGTGACGGGGTGAGCTCCCGTTGCTCAGTCCCTGCTCCTGCCAACCTAGCATTTGAAAGCACGTCAAAGTGCAAGTAGATAAATAGGTACCACTCCGGCGGGAAGGTAAATGGCGTTTCCGTGCGCTGCTTTGGTTTGCCAGAAGTGGCTTAGTCATGCTGGCCACATGACCCGGAAGCTGTACGCCGTCTCCCTCGGCCAATAAAGCGAGATGAGCGCCGCAACCCCAGAGTCGGCCACGACTGGACCTAATGGTCAGGGGTCCCTTTACCTTTACCTAGTAGTAGTAGTAGTAGTAGTAGTAATAATAATAATAATAATAATAATAATTCTTATACACCACCTATCTGGATGGTTTCCAACAAAATATTAAGAGTATTCTGAAAAGGTAGTTAAAGTACAGAAGGCAGGAAATAATCCACATGAGGACCCAGCCCCCTCTCCCTCATTGACCACCAAACCAGCAATATGATGCATATGCAAAGAAAACCATAAAGTGCTTTATTCTGCGTAGAGTTACAAGGGGAGCTACAAGCACTATGCACGAAATCCCCCATCTCAAGTAACAGAATGCTTCCATGGAACCCAAAAAGGACTCCACGGCCACAGTAACTAGACAAAAATGACCCTCAGAAGTGAAGTTCCTCGGACACAGTGTCCCCCACACATTTGGGTAAAGCCGATCAAGAATCTTCCTTTTCCTGGAACCTGGAAGTGAAAAACAAATACATATGTATTTGTAAGGCCATTCCCCAATGGAACTTGCCAACGAAGCAACTCACAGAGAATGGTGATTGGATGACAAAGAGAATGGTGTTTTGTAGCACTGCACTCCAAAACTCTTGAGCAACCTCTCCCAGTAGTGTCCATGTAGATACCGTACTGAGGAAAGTCAGGGGTGAGATGGATTCTCACAGGCCCTCAAAAGGCAACAGCCATGGAGGTACGCAGATCTTCCCTCAATACCATCTTATGAGACCTACTCTCCTAGAAACATGAGAACCATCATAAAGCGGTATCTCCAGCATTCATCCTAGGGAAGGACAGTGGCATGGCGATAAGAATGACCGTTCTGCATGCATAAGGTCTTAGGTTCAACCCACTGCACATCTATGTAGGGTAGGGAAAGACTCTGGGGAGCTGATGCCAGTCACTGCAGACCAGCTGGTGCTGAATGGAAAGTGATACCTGCTGAATCAGAAGGGCCATAGCTCAGAGGGAAGGTCCAGGTTCAACCCCTGACTTCTCCAGGTAGGGCTGCAAATATCCTGTCTGAAACACTGGACAGCTGCCACCAGTCAATGTAGACCATGCATGGGTAACCTTTGGTCTCCATACATTGCTGAACTACAACTCCCATCAGCCCTAGCAAGCATGGTCAATGGCCACGGATGGGGGGGGGAAGGTTCCTTACACCTGGTGTAGGCAAAACTGAACTAAATGAACCAATGTTCTGACACAGGAAAAGGCAACTTCCTCGCCTTTGTAGGCAGCTCAGAAGAGTTGAAACCTACTGCAAAGCCCAGCAGAACCAACAGGGATGCGTCAACTAGGTCCCAATGGAGACTATTCACCAAGGCAACCCAAGTTCTTTGTCTCAAAACCAGGCTGGATGATGCAATCTTAATAAAAGTTTGTAGCACATGTTTCTTGGCAAATCAGTTGGGGTGGATGGGGTTGCTCATGGTGCTAATAATCCAATAGGGGACAAACAAACATATTTTGCAAAGCATGGACAAAGCGAACAGGGTGTCCAAGAGAGGCGTGAACAAGCTGTTAGTAGCCTATCCTTACTTGCATCGAACGCAGGTGTAGAAGACCGTCTGCCCTTCATCCGCAGACCTCATCTGCCGCGTATGGTATGCCATGCCCTCGTTCCCGCACTGGGGACACTTCCTGTCAATCTGAGAGGAGAAACATAGGATAGATTCAGACCGGGAGGTGGATTTCCCCATTTGGAATTTCATTCAGAGAACCTGCTTCGAGAAAAGAATATAAAGACATCTAAAATTCCAAGCTCAGCACCCAAATTGCAAATCTGGGAATTACAATTGTGCCCCCAACATTTTCTTCCTGATGTGGGAACCATGTCAGCCAGATTTCATGGGCAGGATACAAATTATGTTGCTGTTGTTTAAGTTCCACACTGAAAATCCAAAACTCAAAGAGAAAATTGTGCTCACCCTCCACAATTCATATTTTAAAAGTGTGCATCTAAAAGTTTAATGTTGGCAGGGTCAAATTATAAATTCTGTACTCTTTTATATAGTCCACTGTAAACAAGTATACCTGCAGGCATGGAACAGTATCACTGTCCTGACAACTTGCATGCCACCCCACCAGTTTTGTTTTTTCCCCAATTTTTTTTATTGATTTCCCAAATTTATAAACAAACAAACAAACATAAATCCTAACTGTAATAATTCCACTTTTGTTAACATTATTAAGTGACTTCCTCAAGTCCCCCTGGCTGAGTTTCAATGTATATCATTGTGAAGGTTTTCCAAAACTAATTTCTCATAAAATTTACTTAGTCAAGTAACATCTTTGTTTCTTTTCATATAAACTTTAAACATATTATTCTATAACATCACATATTTAAATCCTAAGCCAATCTGGTACTTGCAAGTATTTCTAATTAAGTTATCTTAGCATATTTAGCTAAATAGTCTTTGAATTTCATCCATTCCTCCTGGTAGTCCTCCTCCTTCTGGTTGCAGACTCGTCCAGTCAGGTCGGCTAGCTCCCAAAAGTCCATCATCTTCATCTGCCATTCTTCCACTGTTGGCACTTCTTGTGTTTTCCAGTTCTTGGCCAGCAAAATCCTAGCAGCCACCCCACCAGTTCTGAGCTACCTCGTTTGAGTTAAAGAATCAAAGATCTTGGGAGGCCTTTGCTACAGACAACTGAATCATTCCAGTATAACACCTACTTTCATTTCCCCATCCACTTACCAATGGTCCCTTGACTGAGCTTCCTTCATCCTCCGTCTTCAAAGAGGTGGAATCTGCACTGTTGAATGTGACAGATGTATGCACAACTCGCATCTCAAAAACTGTGTAGAGAAGAAACATATGAGGAACAACAGAGAACAGAACTCAAAGATGCAAGCTTAAAAGCCCCTCCTAATACTCTTTACAACAGCCTTCCATTTAATATCTAACCTGGCAGCCACAGGTGTCAAGGAAATCCAAACAGGCATGTGTAGGGACTCCCATACAGGCAACTGAGAAAGGTAGCAGCTGAGAGACAGATGACTCCATCCCTCCTGTGTTAGCCTGCTGCATTCTTATGCTGGCTCCTTAAGGAGTGGGTTCATCTTCTCAATGCCTGGCATCAAGACAACAAGCTGATGGAGGGGTGCAGCAATTCATACACACCTGGCCCCTCTTCCAACAGTTCACTTGGTTTCCATGCTAGACTGCTAGTGGTGGAGAGGAGAAGGCAATCCTTCATCCACAGTCAGCACAGAAATGCAGCCTATCAGCCTCTTAGCAGAGAATTAAAAAGAACAACCCTAAAATAGCAGGATAGCAACTGTTGTGGGTTTATTTACAAGGCCATTCTACACTTTCACCAATCTGAGAGCACAGAAAGCTTCCCCATTCTTTTTCAGTCCAGGCAAAATCTGTTGCAGGCACCTCAAAATACTCAAAATTTTGTGGAAGAAAAACTGGTGACCCCTCCCCCAAAACTTTTCAAGAGGGGTGCATAATTGCTATTCCTCTTTTAATGAGAGATTCCTAAAAGTGTTATAGGTATTTACATAGCAGCTCCACATCTGAAGTTGGGTGAGTGTAGAGATGCAGCCCACAATTATACTTATGTCCACCTCTTGGATGACCACACCAGCCTTCAGGAATTTCTAACGTGAACAGACTCAGTCGGAAGTTGAAACTCAGCCACATTGCTTGTCTGCCTGCCTGGGGCCTCCCCAGAATGTGTCAGGAAGAGACCAAAGCCCTTACCTCGCACATCAATGGAGTAAGAGCAACAGGGGCATGTCACCTTGTCCTGGATCCCCGGCAAAGGCAGGACAGTACCGCACTCGGGGCAGAAATCGAGTTCAGATTCAAAGCAGGAGCTGCCTTGTATCATAATGACCAAAGTAAGTGGAAACTCTGAGGGGAGAAAAACACACACGTGGTCATGAAAACATCAGCTAGTCCAAGTGAAAACACATGTCAATGCTTTAGGAAACGAAGGCTTTGGGAGCCGCTTGTGGTACCTCGTATCTCTTGGGTGACTGCCCAGCTAAATATAGTCCCGTCCATCCATTAACTCCTCCATTTATCTGTACAATCGTTCACTGTATCACATACAGTGGTACCTCGGGTTAAGTACTTAATTCGTTCCAGAGGTCCGTTCTTAACCTGAAACTGTTCTTAACCTGAAGCACCACTTTAGCTAATGGGGCCTCCTGCTGCCGCCGCTCCGCCGGAGCACGATTTCTGTTCTCATCCTGAAGCAAAGTTCTTAACCTGAAGCACTATTTGTGAGTTAGCGGAGTCTGTAACCTGAAGCGTATGTAACCTGAAGCATATGTAACCTGAGGTACCACTGTACATCGTGCAAACTGAAAACAGATTCCTCCAAGAAGCCATTGTAGCAAACTTATAAGGAGTTACAGCTAGGATAAACCCATCCCGGGTATTCTTGAGGTTAAATAAATAAATAAGAGGAGAAAGTCCTCAAACCCCCAAAATGAGCAGTTTCCTTTCTGACTTCTTTTATATCACCATATATATAAATAAATCTATTGGGTCTTAACTTACTCCCCGCTAAAGCCGCTAAGGCTACAGCAGCAGACCTACAGGAACAGAACCGGAGCTCTGCAAATCAAATCAGGCAGGCGCCAGGCAGCCCGATTCTCCCCAAGCTCCCTCCCACGTCCTCTTACTGGGTTTGATGGAGCGGCTGGTTCCACGGGCAGCTGATTCCGCACGTGCGGGCATGGAACACTCACTTCATTTCCTGGAGAGACAAGCTCGGGAGCCTAGAGCGCCCGTGCGTCTAGAGAGGTGAAAAAAGAAAGATGCAGAGGGAAACCCCTAGAGCGTCTCCATCCACGGAGGTCTTCGAATTTCGCCGCTGGAATCGCGCGCATTAGGATTAAAGGCTCTTCGACAAGCGCATTTTGGTTTCCAGTAAATGCACATAGGATCAGACTAGATGGGATTTTCCGGACTGGGGTTTATTTGTTTGCTTGTGTGTTTATTAGATTACAATGCCGCCCTTCATCCGAGGATCACGGGGTACAATAAAAAAAACACAAATATGCATGACAAAAACAATAAAAACGCTTATTTATTTGTTTGTCGCTTTGTTTCGCACAGCTTTCAACACACCCGCCAAAAATGCATCCCAGAGCACCTGTCAGATCGATAAGAAAAATTTAAAAAACAAGATTGTCCCTGGCAAACTCAGTCTTGGAAAAAGGTGACACAGAAAGAAAATGGATGGGATTGGAAAAGGAAATATGCAATGACCGTGTCCCAGATTTTAGTGGCGGACTGGCTTACTCTCAGCTAGCTATTTATTTTACGTATATTGAGAATAAATAGTCAACAGGAAAATACAGTTTTCCAAAGCTACCATATTCACCGCCATTGCAAAGATGGTGTGAAAAGTGATTGTGGTGAATGTAAAAGCTCCTCACTGGATTGGTGGCAAGGAGTGAAACTCTGCTTCAATATAAGACCATTTTTTTTGAACATTTTGTTTTTAAAATTAAATTTCTTTTTTTCAAAAAAATTATTAACAATTTCAACATAACAATATATTAAAACATATCATATTCATTATTTCCCCCTTTTCCCCCCACTCCCCATCAAACCCTCCGTCCTCCCCCCCAGATTTCCCTCAGTGCCGCCCTCTGATTTCTCAACACATGTTATTCTCTGCATATTATAAAATTATATCAGTCCTTATATTATCTATCTACCATGTTATCAATCAATAAATTTGTGTATGTTTATTCAAAACCTGCCAAGGAGTCCAATTCATTTTGTTGTCTTTTTAAATAGTTTGTAAAAAGTTCCCATTCTTCTTTAAAGTCACAGCTGTCCTTATCTCGCAGTTTGTATGTCAGCTTAGCCAATTCTGTATAGTTCATCAATTTCTCTTGCCACTGTTCCTTTGTCGGGGTTTCCTCATTCTTCCATCCTTGTGCTATCAAGACTCTTGCCGCTGTTGATAAATTCTTTATTTTCGTTGGCAGGTCTTGTCCTACAATCCCTAACAAAAATGCTTCTGGTTTTTTTAAAAAATGTCATTTTAAACATTTTCTTCAATTCATCTTTCAATGGGTTTACCAATTGTTCACAAGATTTTTTATAATACTTTGCAGTTAATCCATCTGGACTTGGAGACCTGCCATTTTTTGTCCACTTTATTGCCTCCAACACTTCTTGAGCTGTTATTTGGGTGTTTAAGATCACCATTTGTTCCTCTTATTTTCGGCAAGTTACTGCTTTTAATATATTCCTCTATTTTGGAAATTTTCCCCTTCCCTTTCCTATACAATTCTGAAAAATATTTTACAAATGCTGCTCTTATTTCCTTCATCTTATCTGTGATCTTTTGATTTATGTTAATTTTGTTTATGGAGTTTTTTTGTTCACTTTTCTTCAACTGCCACGCTAGCAGTTTTCCTGATTTGTTGGCATGCTCAAAGTATTTATGTTTCATTCTTTTTATTTTCCAAGTAATTTATTCATTAACTATCATAGAATATTGAGTCTGTAATATTCTGATCCCCTTTAATCACTGACTCTTTATTTGCTTTCTTTGACAGTTGTTTCTCCGTATCTGCAATTTCATCTAAAATTTATTTTTCCTTTCTTTCTTTCAGTTTCTTTTTAAATGAATTTTGTTGTATAAACAATCCCCTCATTACCACCTTACTTGCATCCCAGACCATCTGCAATTTTGTCTGTCCTTGAATGTTTATTTCAAAATAATCACTCAAGGCCCTTTTAACTTTTTCCATAAAATTTTGATCATCAATAAGTCTTCATTCAATCTCCATCTAAATGAAATATGACTTTCCTTTTGTATTTCCATTTTCAAGGAATTATGATCTGAAAAATTCCTGGGGGGGTTAATTTCAATTTTTTAAACTCAAGGTTCCAACTCTTTGGAAATCCATAAAGAGTCTGTTCTTGAACTGCTATCATAAACATGGCTATAATAAGTGAACTCTTTGTCAAATCAGTGTCTTGTTCTGCATATATCTATCAAGTTCAAAGTTTGAGCCAAATCAAAAAAAGTCTTTGGTAATCTGCCTTCTTTTGTCTCTTTTTTCCTGGCTGATCTGTCTTTTTCTAATGATGAAACTCCATTTAAATCTCCCATTAACATCATCTTCTGATCTGCAAATTCAAGTAGTTCTGTTTCCATTAAAAACAAAACAAAAAACCACTGCTTTTTTCTCATTGGGGGCATAAATTCCTACCAAAATCACCTTCTCTCCCTGAACTTTTATTTATATTATTAAAATTCTACCTTTCTCATCCTTCTGAATCAATTTAGGTTCGAGTGCAGGATTAATGTAGAAAATTACTCCTCTCTTTTTTGCTTTATCCGCCAAGATGAAGTCCAAACCTAATTTTTTATTAATTAAAACTCTTTTATGCTTTTTTGCAGTGTGTGTTTCTTGAAGACAAATTATATCCAACTTTTGTTTTAAAATTACATGTTGAATCCTGTTACATTTGGCTTTGCTATTCAAGCCATTAACATTCCAACTCAATATTTTAAGATTGGCCATTTTCAGAGTCAGTTACAATATCTGTTTTTCCACCTGTTGCTCCTTCCAATGACAGCTGCTCCAGAGCAGCTCTTTGTTCTGCTACTGGGTCTGTTCTTGTGTCATGTCCAGGGTCTAAGTCTCTCCTATGTCTTTCAAGGAATTCTTTGGCTTAGTATTGTGTTGTCAACCTGTATCTCTTTTTCATGAATGTAAAAGAGATCCCTTCTGGGTATTCCCATTTGTACCTGATGTCTACCCTTTTCAATGCTGTTGCTAAAAACCGGTACTTGTGCCTCCTAAGTCTCGATTTCAATGGAATCTCCCTAAAATGTCAACTTTCTGTCCAGCAACCACGATACTGTCCTCAAAACGTTTTTGAAGGATTGCATCCTTCATTTGATTTGAAGCTAATGTTAATAGGACATCTCCTGGCTGCCTTTTCAGTCTACTTTCTCTTGTCCTTAGTCCAAAACAGCTCTCCAACTTTTCTGCCATCCAGTCTGCAATTGTCTGTGTAACATATGTTTCTAAATTCTGTTCTGTCTCTGATTCTGGTAAGCCTCTTATTCTCACTGTCCTGTCTCTCTCTCTTAACTATAAAAGGAGGATTTGATCTTCCAACTCATTTTGCTTCTCTTGTAGTCCTCCCACCGTCCCCATAACTGCTTTTTGTTCCTCCTCCAAGTGCCCTAACTCCTCAGTAGTCCCCCCCCCAGTTTGTCAACTTTTTAGTTTCTAAATTATTGACCTTTTTGCCTAATTTTCCAAATTGTTCTGTCAACAATTTGTTAGATTTCTCCATATCCATATGCACTTGTTGAGTAAAACTTTTCATTGACTGAACCATCTCTTTCCTAAATTCCATAAACTGTTGTGTAAGGAAATCAGTATGTTCTGCTTTCCCTACTTTTTCTAATGTCTCCTCTTGCACACTTGCACGTCTTTTGTCCAGAGCAGATTTCCTAGTAACCGCTCCTGCATCTTGCTTACCCACCATATCTAGGCCAGCAGTCTTTCCCACAGTTCGGCACTCTTGTTTTGAACTCTGCATTTCCTGGCTCAGCCCAGAAGTGTAGATATTTTCCCACTCCCAGACTGAACCATGACATTTTTATTTCCCTTTAAACAAACTTCCGTCTCCTAGCAATCCCTCACGACAGTAAACCAAAAACAGACAAAAGAAAAGCATAAAATAATCCAAAAACAGACAAAGGAAAAGGCATAAAATGATATCACTAAATCTATAAAATACAAAAATAACAGTTCTCACACCCAGGCCCTTAAAAAACAGAAAAAGCAAAACAATTCCAGATCAAATCAGATCAATCAAACAAGACCATTCCCAATCCAGCCGACATATAAAATTAATATAAAAGCATATACTTCTCTTCAGTCTTGTCCTTTCCTTTTCCCAAAGGTGGTGGGAAGTAAGAGTTAGTTCAACTTTATATAAAGATGTACTTCCAAATTAAAAGTCCAAGTCCAAATTCAAGTCCATGTAAACTGTTCTTTAGTACCGTATTTTTCACTCTATAAGACACACTTTTCCCCTCCTAAAAAGTAAGGGGAAATGTGTGTGCATCTTATGGAGCGAATGCAGGCTCCATGGCTTCAGCGAAAGCAACACGAAGCTTCCGGAGCGCAGCAGGAGCGCTCACGCTTTGCTCCGGAGGCTTCGCGTTGCTTTCGCTGAGCCAGGTCGGTGCGCACCAACCCCTCTTGCTCTCCTGGCTTCAGGGATAGCAAGATGAGCGCCACAGCCCCAGAGTTGTCCGCAACTGAACTTAACAGTCAGGAGTCCCTTTACCTTTAATACCACTTTAAACAACCATGGCTTACTCAAAGAATGCTGGGTGCTGTAGTTTAAGTAGGGTTGCCATATTTCAACACACACCCTTTTTTTGCCAAATCTTTAAAAAAATGAAAATCGTCAAAATCTACACTACCAACATGGGCTGCCGCACATCCAGATTTTCCCAGACATTTCAGTGATTTTCCGCCCAGACGCTGTTTACAAGGGCTGAATACTGAGTGTGTCCAGGAAATTTCGGACGTATGGCAACCCTAAGTTTATGGTGCTGAAAGTTTTTAGAATACCCCTGTTCTCCTCACAGAGCTACAGTTTCCTACAGAATCAGACAGCATTTTTAAAAATTAGTAATCTACTGTATAGACCACAGCAGCAAATCAGATCCACTTTCCCCTTCCCAAAAGCAGCAGCTCAAAGCACCATATGAACTATG